GCGATTTTAAGCGCTTTATTTGCATGAAACTTTTGGACTTTCTATTAGCGCGAGGTTCACATCTGTGAGTGTATTCTTAGCCCTTTAGGTTATCTCAAAGTTAGCCGTTACTGCGCTATATGTGCTATATACGTGGCTACATGTTCATCTACCTCGCATAGTTAAGAAAACACAACCAAATGATAATATAAGTGCTGAGCTTTTTGGCAATAGTAGTGAAAGTTGGGATTGTTGGTGAAGTTAGTAGACGTTGGGTAGGCAGGGGTACATTAAACAAGAAGCTATCATGATCCAAGACTTCTGGTACTCTTCTCTCATCGAGTTCAGTTGCTCAAGCTATCTGTCCCCCTGACGTCCCAACACTTTGATGCAATTTCAGACTCCTGCCAAGTTGTGTAGTTTTTATGCCGTTTTACGTAAGTATCAATCATCAGTGGTATAAACACAATCAGGTACACATCAGGTAATCACTTCTTGCCCTGGCCTGTTCCTCCGCTTCCAATACAAATTGTCTACAGTCTCGACTTGCATGTTTCAGTTCGTTTTGTTGCTAAAGAACTCTATCATAAGGTTAGTAGAAGCTTAGAGAAAGATTATTATACGTTGATACTAGCGTAAGACACATTAATGAGATCGGAGCCCCTGCGAGAGGTTTGTAAGTGGTCATGTACCGATAATGACTGCCAAATCCTTTTTAGACCTCTCAAAAGGTTTCGAGAATCCTTGGGTTTTGTGTATCCCGCTGTGACAGCATAAGTAACAACGGAGCTACGAAGCCAAAAGTTGAGAGAGAGAGAGGGAAATTTTAGAAGAGGCGGAGGTAGGGAAGGGGTCAGTGCGTGATACGGGATTATACGTTTTTAATTTTTATGACCAGTAAAAATACGAAATTGAAACCCTGTGGTTTTTAAAAGGATTCAAAAGTTCCTTTGCGCAGCCGCTTAGTGTCCCAATGAAACCGATGTCAAGAAAGAAATCAAGTAGTGCTTGGCCGCATGCTTCGATGTCAGTGGTATCCTGTGTAGGGAGTTCCCAGGGCCCTCTCTCTTCATCACTCGATAATGAGAGGAGGCCTGTGTAACACAACTCGGCCGCGTTTCGAGGCGACTTTCATGATTGAAGAGAGGACAAAAGATGGGCTGGCCTGAGGTTAAGCAAGCCGCCGATGAACATAGGTATGAACTAGTTCTGAGTGGTGCTACTGTTTCCGAGAGGATCGATAAAAGTGGCCTGGACAAGGATATTTTCGAGTTGACCTTTCTCAATTTTCTACAAATATCGAACACAACGTTGCTTTCGCTTCCGGTCGAATTAGGGCAACTGTTGAAATTAAAGACACTGGATTTGCACAAAAATAGCTTAAAGGAATTACCAGCTTCCATAGGATTGCTCAAGGAACTTAAGCACCTTGACTTATCGGACAACAAGTTGCAAAAGCTTCCGACAACACTGACAGAACTGAATTTGCTTCAGTCATTGAATTTGAATTGCAACCAACTAACTGAACTGCCGAGTTTTGTACTTCTCACAAGTCTGAAACGGGTTGACATCAGTCATAATCAACTGAAAGAACTACCCGATGGAATATACGAACTGGAACATCTGTCGGAAATCATCGCTTCTTACAACCAGATCAGCAACATTAGTGGTAATATCTCAAAACTGCCAGCTCTCAAGGTGCTGTCCTTGAATGCAAATAAGATTGAACTTCTTCCATCAGAATTGACAGACTGTCTTAAGCTGAAAGATCTTCACTTGCAAGACAACTCGATTCAGGATAGGAGACTTTTCAAGGTTATCAAACAATGTTCAACCAAGGCAGTTTTAGATTACATCGCAACAAGAAGTGAGAAAGTGAAAGCTGGGAAAAAAGGAGGGAAAAAAGGGAGAAGTAGAAAGGTCAGCGAGGGAGCTGATAATGAAGTTAGTGCGGACCAGGCTGAGGCACAATTTTTCAGCCCAGTGGTCAGAGTTATGCACAGTGAAGAGTTTAAGGTTGTTTCTCAATCAAGTGTTAAGGTTGTGCGACCTTATATTGTATGTGCGGTGGTGAGGAATTTGGATCTTATTGATGCGGATGCCTATAAAAAGTTCATCAATATTCAGGTACCTCTTCACAGTTATACAAAAGAGTTATTGACCAGGTGTGAGGTCATGATGGCTAATAACCAGCTAGAAATTAAACAAGACTTATCTGAAAGTTGATGTTCTGTTTTAATTTGGGCAATTAAGAGTATCCTATGGGGTTATATGTGATAGCTTGGGTAGGCCCTGATTAATAATTTGAGAATTATTGGATGTGGTAAAACCAGTGTTATACTCAGGGGCGGGTTTGTAGTCAGTCTGATCCTTCTTAAATGCTTGTTTACCAGGTGAAAAGCTAAACTTTACTATCTAGAACCTTTTCATAGTGAAAAATATGATGTTTGGTCAGTGTCTTGATGATGGCTGGATTGCCATTAGCCATTAGAATGTCTTTTTGTCCCATTTGCCTGTTTACTCTTTTGTTAGATTAATATTCTAGCCTCAAACCACAGACACTGTTAACAAAGGAGAGGTGTTTCTTAAAAAAACTTTATTTAATTAGCTAGGCTGTTAGGTTAGGAATAGGCTAAATTTGTCAAAGCCAGCAATAACAAAGCAAAACATGGCAGAACTCATTCACATTTGAGGTCAACTTCTTTGACTGAAAAGAAGTTGATTTTGACACTATGGTGGTTTTCTATACCTTTGACTTTCAGCAGTTCTTACTTTTCTGCCTGCACTTGAGATGCTGTTAGTGCCTGTTTTATGTCTGGACATTCCCTCCACACTTTCTCTCCCTCCCTCTCTCTTGCTTAAGGAGGAAGTTCATAAAATTGTCATGAGCTTGAACTGGGATGGAAAAAGAAGAGTCTGTATTTTAGTCCCAGATGGCTGCCTTGTTGGTATTTTCATCAGCTATTACCTTGGCAGCATTGTATTGTTCCTTTGAATGTTCATCACTTTGTAAGGTTGATTTTCATACTCTAAACAGCTTTTTTTTCTAGATTTCTGTAAGCCAGGTTATTTCCCATGTTGCAATATTCAAGTGCCATAAGTGTTGTTTTTCCTCAATGCCAAAAGTGTTGCAAATGAATTTTGATCAACAGAAGTTTCTGAGTGTCTAAAATAAGACCCTAGGCTGTTTCAAGCTGGCGATCAGTAATGAATCCACACAACATCATCTTGATTGAGACATACCAACCTACCATAGTTATTCAGTTATAAGGCGCACCATTTTTTTCAAGAAATTCCTAATTTCTACTAAAATTACCGGCAAAGTTTGGGTGCATCTTATAGGCGAATATTTTCCCGAAGCAATTTTTTTTAATCACAGTTACTGGTACGATTTCAAGCAAATAAAAGGATACACAGTGTTGGTCATTGACTTTTATAAATATGGTGGTTCTGAAAAGACGAGTGAAGTCAAATTTGCATAGATATGATGCGTGCTCGAAAGCACGTGCTCAGTAATTTGATACGTCACAAAACAAAACGAAAATAAACAAGCAAAGAGATAAATACCTTCTTCATCCATCCAGCCTTTTTTGTGCACTGAGACCTACATTCTCAGCGGTATGTTAATTCTTGTTTAATCAAGGCTTTTGTTTGTGCACGTGGTCGCGTGTGCGACAATTCTGCTTTTGTTAATTAACAGTAAACTATAATCGATACGCGACTTTTTCGCTTTTTTGTAAGTTTATGAAAGAATTTACAATAAACTTGACTGATCTTTACTCCTCAAACAACGGTGCGCCTTATAACAAAGTATTTTAGCGATATTTTCAGTTTGAAAACATGCAATAATGAAGTTGCCGAATTGGGGGTGCATCTTACAGCCGAGTGCGCCTTATAACCGAATAACTACGGTATTATCCATACATTCTCAAGCTATCTCAATATATTCTCTAATAAGGTAGAATATGTTTTGTTTTTTTCCATAATAATTTTGTTAACAATATTTTAAAATCTGAAGTTAAGGAGGATGTTATAAAATAAATTGTGTATTTACCAGATCTGAGTGATTAGTATGCAATCAAATCAAATACAAACTTGAAGTTTACTCTAGAAGTTACTTCCCTAGGTTTTATAACTTTTTGAATGCTACATTCTGTACCTTTATGATCAAGTAACATTCTCTCTCTTGCCTACTAACAGACCAAACTTCATGAAAGCATTTGTGACCATAGAACATCAGCTACAATTGCCACACATGACATAGCACCTTTAGCATTCCCCCTGGAATATGAAGCTTGCCCTCCAGGTGATATTCAGCTGGTGCCTCTGGGAAGACAAGAGGAAATAACTGCTGAACAGCTGATAACAGACCTAAGAGCAGAAGCCATGAGACAAAAACAGAGAACAAAAAGAAATCCATATAAAACTGGACTTTTTAAGTATGATTTTATTTCCTGTTATTAACAACAACTCCGAGTTTATCTTTTTAAAAGATAAATGTTGATGTTATCTATGTAGCTCTATAAACAGGGCTTCTTCAGATATTTGTAACTGATTTTGTTACTATTTTAAAAAGATGAATAAATAGCCTATAGAAATGGATGGGATGGTTACTGAAAGAGGGTTTACCTAACTATTATGCAGCAACATGCTTTTGACTGGCTTGTAAATGCAGTGTACAGTGGCAACTCTCACACTGACATCATCTTTATGTGTTTCTTGCAATAGGTATCTTACTCTCATTGAAGGAGCAGAGTCATATGCTGTATTAAGAGACTCAAGTAGAGCTGTTGTGTCTCTGCCTCCAGTTACTAACTGTGACAAGAGTAAGGTAAAGAGCCCCATCAGGTCATACATACAACATTGGTGTACACTTGGTAAAAGTGCCCTTTCTTTGTTTTCTGGTGTGTTGTGTACAGATGATGAGGAGAGGAACCCCATTAGAGTCATTCTTGCTTATCCCATTTATTCAAATTTTTTAAGGATGTTTGTTTGTATCATTGCTATATGCCATGAGACATAAACCTTTTTCCCAAGATGTTAGACTTATTCATAGAAAGTGAAAAGCAAAAGAAAACAATTTTTTTATTATTATTTGCAGATAACAGGAAAAAAAATTGATGTACTCCTGGAGGTAACATCACCAGTCAGTCTTGAAACTTGCAAGACTGTAATGGACAGTCTAATTAAGATGATGCTGGAAGTTGGTTTGTTTTCGGAGGCCAACACTTTGGTTGATGATGTAGAATGTGCAACTTCCTTGTCAAACCAAGAGCTTGTTATCGAACAAGTTAGAGTATTAGGCAGTGACGGACAACTCAGAGTTGTTTATCCATCAAGAGTTGACCTGCAGTTTGAGTCAGTCAAAGTTATTCGACCAGAAAAAGTTTAGGAAACGATTATGTAACAAGATATGGACATGTAGAAAAGGGTGTTGTCTCATTTGTAGGAGCTGTCTTGGTGTACCAGTACACGGGGGAATTCCTATTGTTTTCATATCCATACATGGAGTTGTGACGCAGTTCGTTAATGTTTCGTTCCTTTGTGTAACGGTACACGAGGACACAACCCATTTGAACCACTTACTTTAAACTTTAAATTCAACCATTTGCCTCAAAGGCAATAATAAATTAGCCCTTTCTCTGTTGGCTTAGTATGAACACCCCCCTTACTGAATCCATTTTTGGTGTAGGTTAGTTTTTCTTAATGACCAGTATATGGTTCGGTTTGGTCCTGTAAGGGCAAACCAAGTATATAAATGTTTTTTGTAAAGATTGCTTGGGACGGAGATTATTGGAGATGGATTGTAAACATCAGAAGTGACATTAAAGCCGTCGAAAATCATTAGAGGTGGAATATTTAGAGTGTGTGGAGTGACTCTAATCTGCCCTCCTCACCCACTCTCTGAAACAGGAGAAATGCTCGTAAATTTCGCCTTAAAAAGATAACGATAACCTAAAAAACCCGAAACGGCAATAAACCAGTCTTGCGCGTTCTTATCTTTGATTCATCCCCAGGCCGCGCACTGGCAAGTCACAGACAGCCATGTTACAAACGTCCGGTAACCAATCAAACGCCGCCAAGTGATTTGCCCTTCTGTTCACTTCCGTCCCTTCGAAGTAACCGCCACAATCTTGGTAATTTTGCTGAAGAACAGCAAACTCTATGGCGAACCAAAAGAGTTTATTACTAACGTATATTATTTGGCTCATATGGGGATGGCTCGGTCTGCATCATTTATATCTGGGTCGAGATATCCAAGCATTTATCTGGTGGTCAACAATCGGAGGTGTATTTGGCCTGGGATGGTTTCGCGACCTTTGGCGTATTCCAGAATATGTTGACGATGCCAACGAAGAACGGTTTTTCGTTGAAGAACTCAAAAGAAAGATAAAGCTTAGGGGAGAACCAGCATTTAGTGTAACCAGATTTTCAGGACAAATGCTTGTAGGATATTTTTACGGCATATTAGTTCGACTAGCGATACCTGAGGAGGCGAAATGGCTTCCGGCGTTGTTGGTACCTCTTGGGGTCGCCGTTGGTGTTTATCTCGTTGGAAACATTGGTCGAGAGAGGGGAGATTTTAAATATCCTTTGATGGGAGCTTTTATTGCTAATATAGCTTTGACATATCTTACTGGGGACGAGGCTGGTGCAATGTATGTGGCTCTAGTTGCTGCCATATTTTTCCAAAACCGCCGCCAGTTTAGGAAGGAGAAACCGCAGGGCAAGACCTTATGCAAGCGGCTACAGTACTTGGCGATTGGCGGCTTAATTATTTGTTCCCTGTGGGGATCGTTCCTCTATTTCAATGCACAAGTCACAACAGAAGATGGAGAAACTGTAAAGTTACGTGACGCTATAAATCACTTCTTCAATTCACCGGTGTGGCTCGAATTCAAGGAAGTATTTTGGGGTCTTTATGAAGAAGGTCAGAAGAACGGCTGGGACAATTTCTACGACGAGTTTGTTAAAGCGTTGGATCCCAGGGGAGAAAAGAACGCTTATCGTGTCCTAGGGCTAACAGAAGATGCAACTCAAGAGGAAATAAAACGAAGATACAAGAAACTTGCAGTAAAGTGGCATCCAGACAAAAATCTAAACAACAAAGAAGAAGCCCAACAAAAATTCATGGAAATTCAAGAAGCTTATGAAATTCTTTCGAAACTCAAAACAAAGAGAGCTTCTAAAAACACCAGAACAAGAAGTGAATTCGATCAACACGGTCATGAAGAATATTAGTAAAAATTAGCTTATAGCCAAGTGCAATTTATATTTTAGATTCCATAGAAACATGACAATGAGCAACAGGTGGTTAAACTACAAACTATTGATAACAATAATGAGTGGTGATCTGTGATTCTTTTACCACCTGCTAGAAAATCTTACTCCAATACTCCCTATTTATAAATTATTACTTCTAAAGGTAATTTAAGGTAGCACTTACATACATTTTTTATGCAGGTTATTTATTGCATTTTTATGGTGATGAGCTATACCATAACTGACAACACAGAAAAAATGATAGTTTGAGAAAAACAAAGTACACATTTCTAAAGTTACATTTACTACAACCACCAGTAAATAGTATGAACCATGTTATCCTGTTTCCATGAAATGATGGCTACCATCTTCATTTCATAACTCTGAGTTATTGTGGCAGGTATATTTTTTTTCACTGAATTGAGGAGAGGGTGTTATGTACATAGAGGCTTATCTTTTTCTTTGTTAAAGAGAAATGATAATTCCAACATAAATAATGACCAAGTACTGTAATAAGTGCAGTGCAGATTATTTTCCTTGTGGCTGTTAAAGTGAAAATGCATGCAGTTGTTGTAGACGTTTTTTTGATGTATTTCAACATCATCCGAACATTTCTGTTAATTTCACTCATAGACAATATGACAGTGGTTTTAGAGATGAATGTTTGGAAAGTCCTTACCCTTGGGCATTGAAAATGTACTAATTTTGTCTGAAGAGGTATGTTCATAGAAATTATATTTAGGCTTGATCACTAGAGATGAACTAATTCTGTTTACCAAGCAAGGTAGTGAAGATGAATTAACTGTCAAACATTGCCAATTGCAAATGATCAATAGAATTAAGAGGTTTACAAAGTGTGCTCTTCTTTGGCCAGGCAAAACTTTTTAAACAATCAGAATTAAACCTACTTCAGTCTACACCCAGCAATTTTTAAATAAAGCATGTTAAAGTAATGTAGATGAACCTTAGATAACATTTCCTTGACTCTGATGATACAAAGTTGGCTTATGAGAACCAGGCTAACACTGGCAGATGTGTGGGAAGAACAAAAGGCAGTTGTTAGATGATAACTTTGTTTGTTCTGGGCTACAAAACAAGAGCATGGACCAGGCTGCGAAGTGACTGTCTAGAATTTGTGGAAAATTATGTCATTGGATGCAAGTCTGAAAAAACTGATTGAAAGCTTTCCCTTTTTCAAAATATGTTGTAATTGCTAATAGAGTTAAAAGATAACTTTCAAAGTTGATGGGAAACTAGTGTTGATGTTTATTTCAATCCTTAAAGTGAAAATAACAAGGTTTTGGTGCACCAGTAACATTTTATTTAAGAGTGTGGTTTGTTTTCCTTAATACATAAAAGAAGTTAGTGACTTCGTGCAGCCCATCACTGAAAAAAAGAATTCTTAAAATCATGAAATTAATTGGGCTAAGTGAAGTTAAATTAGAAAAAAAGTTAAAACTTTGATAATAAACAAGCAGAACTTAACTCGACAAGTCATTATTTTTGCGGCAATTCAAAGAAAACTAACTTTCCATATAACAGCATTTTTAACCCTTCGTACCCTTAGAGTGACTAGCATCTAATTTCTTCTCACAATATCACCCATGAATCACATGTTAAGATTGTGCAAAAGAAAATGATTCACCAACTAAGGAAGCTCTTGATTGTTAGACAAATTCTCCATGTCAGCACCATACAAAAAGCAAGAAGAACTGTTTGGAGAATATGTATACTAATGTTAGGGTGTAACAGGTTAAATAACTTGTTTCAGTCTCTAATGATAATTGAGTACTGGGTGTGACTGGGAAAATTTGCCCAAAATTCTATCAGAAGAAAAGGACTTTAAATTTCTTTCACTCTGAAAAACTGGTATTTTTTTTAGTTTACAATATCAACATAAAGCCTGACAAGTTGCTTTGATGCACTTGGCAAATGTGTGACTGGACAGCATCCATGTTGATTGAGGTATTTGTGGATACAAGGGTAGCAGAAAACATAGCCAGAGGAAGACAATGCTGTAGGATTGGTGCGAACTCTCTTACACAGTGGACACTGAGCTGGATGTGGAGGGAGTTGGACACCATGTTGGGCAGGCTGTCAACAATAACAAAAATGATGAGTACAGTAGAACCCTGCTTACTCAAACTCAGTTCACTTCCACCTACAACAAAAGTGATGAGTACATCAGAACCCCACTAACTCAAACTCATCAAGATAATTTGGTTTTCAATTGAGTTGATAACGTAAATTGGCCACTGCAAAGAGGTTCTAAGCTGATGTTTCAATTGCTAGCCCTTTGTATTTTGCTCTGAAGAAGGGCTAACACTTGAAACATTAGCTTGGAAACTCTTTACAGTGGCCAATTTACATCATCAACTCAGTTGATAAAACTCAATGATCTTGTTATACTTCCCCACCAAGTCAGCACCACAGTTTCTCCAGAACTTTACCATATCACACCATTAACTAAAACTCAGTTAACTTGAACCCACCAAAAAAGGGTGAGCACAATAGAGCCCTGCTAACTCCCAAACAGGATAACTGAAATACACTACTCCCATTATCTCAAGCCCTAGTAACTCAAAGCATTTTCCTTTCCCTTGAGAGTTTGAGTTGACAGGGCTCTTTGGTAGTTTGAAAGGTCGGTAATGAGATTTATAGATGTCTCAAGCTACAAAATATTATCGAGTTTTGGGATCATTCGAGTGCCAGGCTAAAAGCTGTAATCATCATGTTTTGTACAATCACACAAGCCTCATTTACCTCCTCTCTTTCACCTTGCCAGACACTTTGGCTTCTCTGAGAATAAACTGCCATGCAAATTCAGATATGAACATATCTCATGAATATAAAACCTTCCTTCTACATAAATACTCCAAATTAAATACCATACTCCAAATTAAATACCTCTGAGACAAACTACCTTAGGCTGGGTTGGTGGCGAGGGGACTGGTAACTGCATTACTGACTGAACAGCACTTCTATTGTCACTTGAATACCACCACTCTATGAATTTAAGTGAAAACACAGCAATAGGAAGACCATTGGCTAACACTGATGATAGCAGCCTTGTAACTGAGCATGGAATGGCCAGTATTTGTTTAACCATAGTCTGTCTGTAAGGAACTGTAGGAAGACTTCTCTGCAGATTGTGCACGACAATGTCTCGTTGTGTGAATCTTTGTAAAGAGATTCCCACAATATGAAGTAAAGGAGAGTGAACTCCAGAGACTCTAAAGATATACAGCATGTAATAACACAAAAAGATCGATTCCCACGCGCAATGTAAGAAGGGATACAAGTAAATAAATATTCTCTTGAGGTGCAGAAAATACAACCGCTTCCTGGCTGGATGGGAGGACAATGAACCAGTAACATACTCTTCTCTTAATCTTTCAAACAGCTGATCAAGTTTAAGTTTAGCATATGGAAGTACCACTAACATTAATAAAGACAAATATCTCTGCAAACTTGATAGTTTATCATCGGCATTGTTATTAGGGGTTCTGCTAACTCTTTTGAGCCCATAAAAATGTTCAGATATTGAACCTTCAAAGTTCCTTAAATAGTGACTCTGGAGAATATATTCTAAACATAGGTGAAGTTCGTCTCCGAAACGCCAAATCCAGCCCCATCTGTCAGGATTAGAACTTGCCAGCACTTTCAACGCATAAATAACAGCCGGTCTTAGCACTGATGCCATAGATTCTTGGGCGACTATCTCAAATATTGTTGGTTGAGCGTTCAAAGTGCCTTGGTTCAAATGGGCTGCAAATTCCGCCATATTGAAGTTAGAGCGACTGGGTAACCAGGTGATTTCAAAAGACCCAGTAACCGAGAAGTAATTGAGTGAATCGATGATGTGTTGATGGAGCGAAAGGCAGGGCACTTGACAAAGTCTGTGCAAGAGATTGCTGGATCTTTGTTCTGGATAAAGGTAAAAATTTCCTTTCAACTTTTTGTTCTATCCTTGTAATTCTTTAGTCTCATCAAATGGTTTGTGTCGTACCTGAGCTAGTCTCCTCGGAATTTCAAGTGCAACCAAGATTACTAATGTCTTAAACGAATTACGGTCGTTCCGCTGACGACCAGTTCGCTTACCTCTCATGAGACATAAGCGAACCGATCATAGGTCGTTTCATTAACGTTTTATGATAAATTTTTAATTCCTCGAACCCTTACCGATTTTAGGGTTACTGAATTAACTGAAAATATCTCTTTGTAGCCCTGGTACCCACATTCATTACAGGATCACATTGTTTACTAATACAGTCGAAGGTATCCGCGGGTTTCGCCCATAACGAGTTTCGCCCAAGAAGCGTTTCGCCCATAACGAGAATGGTTTCGCCCAGGCATAAATTCGATTCGTGCGGCGTGCGGATCTTAACTTCCGTGTACAAAAGATTTGCAACGATGATATGTTCCACGCGCAAGTGTTTTCAAAAGCGTTTAATTTAATTCTCGAGAAGAAAAGTGATGCAAAAAAATCATAGCAATGCTTTTACGACAAACGGACGTCTCTGCAGTATTTCGTGCGCGAATTACCTTAACAATCCCCGCTCCACAGTGAAAGCTATAATTGACTTGTTCGTTTCAACAGTAACTTGTTCGTTTCAAAATTTCATGATCTCAGGTCATGTCACTTTTCTTCTTTCTGTGCATACAAACGTTTATAAGGTTGACGTTTTCCGAGTGAGAGTGTAGAAGTTTTACTTATGGGCGAAACCATTCTCGTTCTGGGCGAAACCATTCTCGTTCTGGGCGAAACGATATGTGCGAAACTCGTTATGGGCGAAACCCGCTATAACCCAGTCGAACCTGTCTTAACCCTTTACACCCTAGCATCAGTATCCATATTCTCCATACTGCTCTTCATACATTTCCTAAGATGCTGAAAAGGAGAATTTGTTTACCAATCAAAAGCTTCTTTCATTGGTGATCATTTCCTTTATTCTCATGACCAAAACGTGTGATTCAGGGGTGATACTGTAGGGAGAAATTTGATGCTAGTCACTCTTAAGGTTTAAAGGGTTAAGCAGTCAACCAGGGGGAATGACCACTTAATACAGGTTGACCGCGTAATACAGGTTCCACAGAATAGGAGTATTATATATAAAAACCATAAGAGATGCCATGTTTTGCCATAATTGACCATAAGCTTCAAGCTTGGTTAAAAAATACTGCTTGCTTAGGGTTAGGTAGATGAAGAGATAAAGAGATAAAGGTGGATTTAATTTTACTTAAAAGATTATTCTTAGTTCTATTAGAGTGGATACACTTCAAGTGACCATACTATACAGGTGGAAAACAATACAAACAGGCTGTTGGGACTTAGTAAAGGGTGACCACAACCGCTTTATAGAGGTGACTGCTCAATAGAGTGTAAATTACAGTGATAAAGGGGAAGCAATTGGTGGACTTTGAAAATGTACCACTTAATGCAGGGTGACTGCTTAATACAGAGGTGTTTAAAACAGGTTTGACTGTATACATTACTGTTTAGGCAGGAGATTAATAGAGAAAAATTTTCTTTACCTCCAACCTGCTTCTGCATGGTTGTATCATTGAAAATATAATTGATGGCAGAAAGTAGATTTAATGCCCCACATTTTGATGAGTGTCACAACAACACTACATCTGGACAATAGGAACAGTAACAATTAAATTCTGTACACAGTCCTATGTGAATATCTTCAATTCTCACACATTAGCTCTGATTTCTTTTAGGTTGTAGGAATAGGAAATGATGGCGTAGGGAAGACCTGCCTTGTCAAGAACTTTTGTGAGAAAAAGGTATATCAACAAGTTTCCTTGTTTGCAGAAGAACTGCACTAACTTAAACTTCCAGGGAAGACAAAATTGGTTCTTATCCAAGGAAAATCATCTTGTTTGAGCTAGTTGGGGGTTTGAGTTGACTGACTTGGGTTAATGAGGTTCTGCTTTATATAATCACGTTCTGTAAAACCATTTACAATATATGATAAACTATACATCTTTATAATTTTATTCAGTTTTCATTTGATGGAAAAACATGTGCACAACAGGAAAAACTACAAACTTTGTGTTCATGAACAGCAGCTTCAAAACTGATCTCAGTAAGAATCCTTTCACTTCTGTTTCCTCTCTGTAGTTTTCAAAAAGTTACCACCCAACTGTAGGAGTTGATTATGGTGAGTTAAAACTCCTTCTTAACCCAGTCTTTTTGGCTTGTTTATTTATTTATTAATGATATTCAGACAGTGTGGCCCAGTTCAGCTGTATAAACAATAACTAGAATGTCTAGTAAAGGCAGCACATTCTTCTCAGTTACTTCAAGACCCTGAGTGTTGGTCTGCTGTGGGACTTGAATTCTTGATTTGAGCTAGTATGAGCTATATTTCACCAAGCGTGGTTGTATCATAATGAGCATATGATCTTCATATTTTTTATAATTGTCTAGGCTTCAAGCTGCACAAAATCAACAACGTTGACTGTAAGTAAACCAACTCTATTGTGTTTCTGATATCTCACAGTGTCAATTACATGAAAATATATGTCTCTTGGCCAAGTGGTTTTCTGAGCCACATTGCCTCTTGATGGAAATTGGGATGAGAAATCTTTTTCAACTCCAAAGTTGAGTGTGTGGGCAAAACCAAAGCAAAAACAATTCATTAGAAATAAACATAAAACTGATCTTTTGTATTAATGGTTGAGTATAAAGGAAAAAAGTGAGTGCTTTCCCTCAGTTCTCCTTAAATTCAAAGTTTTATAAATAGCCCAGATTGAAATAATTTGCTGTATCTTACGGTGCAACCCTTAACCTTCTACACCCTAACATCAGTATGCATATTCTCCACACTTTCCTCTAGACATTTCCTAAGGTGCTGACCTGGAGAATTTGTTGAACACTAGGAGCCTCTTTAGTTGGATATCTTTCCTTTATTCTCTTGACCCTAGTGTGTGATTCAGAGGTGATATTGTAAGGAGAAATTAGATACTAGTCACTCTTAGGGTTTAAAGGGTTCAAAGCTTTCACTTTAAGATTAATGTGATAGAAAGATATTCAGTAGCAGAATATAACTGGAGACAGTAAAATGACCCTTCTGCTTCTATGAGTGCATGTGCTTTGCAATGACAATTTCCTACCATAGACTTCTTTGAATGAAAAAAAGAAAGAACATGATACCACTTTTTAAAATTTTTGCATTATTTAGTAAATATATCTTTTAAACATGGACTGCTCTTAATAAGTTACCTGTGGTCTCTCCTTTTTTCAGACAGAATTAACTTCTGGGATTTTGGAGGTCATTCAGATTATGATGAAATTAGAGTAGAACTGTATGGCCAAACACAGGTTTGTCTATTGTTTCTTAATGGCTTTTTTCTGACCTCAGTTCAAGAAAAATCAATATAAATGTAATTGGTACTGATTTTTAGGCCTGTATTCTGGTGTTTGATGTTACAAACAAGCTGTCGTTTGACTCTCTGGACTATTGGATGCAGGAGTTTACCAGTAATGGGGGCAAACAAGCAATAGTAGCTGTGGTGGCTAACAAGGTAAAACATTGATTCTTATGTACATTTATTATTTATTTATTTGCCATAAAACATTTACTACAATAAACAAGTTATCCATCAATAATTACAGGATTATAACTTAATACACTTATATACAAATTTTTCAACAACTAAAAAGGAATTTAGTGACATAGCAAGGAAGCCAAATAGATACAGTGGATGGAAAGAACACATATCAGGGGACAGAAATTTTGATACGAATAGTATTCTATAGATTGTGAATTTTTCAAGCAATATCATAAAGCTAGAATATCTGTGGGTAAGGTGAGATCTCTGGACAGGGAGCTCCAAACCATCAGATCTTGGTGAAGGATTGTAAACTAGTGCAGTTTCTGTCATTTTGTGTATTGTATTTTATTACGAACTTAATGATGAGTAGAAAAGAGAGTATTTAATTTTCTGAAGCTTGCTACAGTTTTATTATGCACTCATTGAGGAATTACTACTCCTCAAGAGGTGATTGGAGAAAGACTATCTTTTGTATTTTCTCTTTAGTACCTGCTGTTTAATGGGCTTTGTGTTTAACACTTTCACACCCAAGATCATTAGTAATTCTTCTCATTCTTCTTCTTCTTCTGAGAATTTGGCATTAGATCAACTAATAATCCCCTAATTGATATTTTTCCCTTATCCTCAGCACTTTCCTACTTGATATTGTTAGTAATGTTATTCTGTGGAGAAATTCTGTCTCAGTTAATTATGAGAGTTGACCCATTGACCCCTACAAGTAATTAGTATATAATTTTTCCTTACAACATTACCACTGAAGGACACACTGGGTCACAATACTCAAGGAAATGATCACCAACTAAAGAAACTTTCGATTATCAAACAAATTCTCTTCTCAATCTCCTTTGAAAGTGTAGAGAACAGCATGGAGAATATGCATAGTGTTGTAAACATGAGGTCCTTGCAGTGTTCTCATCAGTTACTGAGAGATGTTTGTTTTCTATCACAGACTGATCTTTCCTCGAAAAGAGTTATAAGTAGCAAAGATGGGCAGAGATGGGCCAAGTCACGTGACTTACGGTTTGTATACATCTTAATTGATATTTTATTTTAATTTTTTTTCATGATTGATGAATTACAGATATCTCACATAAGTTACTGAAACAAAAAGTCACATTTTTTTCACCATCTCAGTTTATCAACACCATAAAAAAATTAACCACACAAACCTTTATTTCCTGTTTAAAAAGAAAAAAACAGAGGCTGTTGTTCAATGCCTTAACATTTGTCCTCTGTTAAGAAGATTTCTTTCTCCCTTTAGTATTACCCCTGAATCAAACAAAAAGGTCATGAAAATAAAGGAAATGATGGCAAACTCAAGAGGCTCCTGCTTGTTAGACAAATTCTCCCTATTAATACAATAAAAAAATATTTAAAACAGTATGGAGAACTTGCATACTGATGTCAGGGTGTGCAGTATTTAAGGCATTTGGTCAAAGTATGACAATCCTATTTTTCAGGTATTATGAAACATCTGCAGCCACAGGCCAAGGTGTTCAGGATATGTTTAGTGGAGTGCTAGCAGCAGTAGCAGAAGGGAAGCTAGTGAAGGCCAAGCCAGTTGTTAGTGCTGAGCAAAGTTCAAGTAAACATAAATAAAACAAATCAACAAGAATGAGTTCTGTAAATAACATATTTATTTGTTTAACACTATAGTACTACATCTCATTGTATTGTCACTATAAAACCTGCTCTAAAATGACAACAAAACCTTTGAACAAAAACTACTCAGAAACTTCACACCCTTTAAAGCTTAATTTTTACAGTTGTTTCTGTTGAGAAATATTTGTAGGAAGGTCTTCAGCATGATATGATGTGCTATGTACATTAACTGGGAAGAGTTCAAATACATCAAATAATAACAAAAAATTTAAATCATCTTAGCCTATAAGTACAGCAATGTAGTTTTTGTTTTCCTTTTTGGACTTAATATCTCATTAACATTGTTTGACAGATAAACTGTTGCTAAAAAGTAGAGGACTAACATGGTTTGGTTTCTTTGATTACTAAACAGAGGTATTAGTCTGTGAATGGATTAAAAGCATGATTTCCTACAAACCATGATTTATATTCAGGCATGTACAATAAATACTGTGTCTGTGGCTGTCTGTTGAGCCTTGCCCCCAAATGAGAAATCAAAATGATGAAAATAACAAATCATTTCCACTGCCTATCACAAATTTCATTTGACTTCTTACATTAAACAACATTTCACAAGTCCATCTACTACTATCCAGCAGAACAGGAGCAACTTATCGTTTCATAGTAAAAATTATTTTTGTTAGAGATAATCTCATAGCTATGGAGGAGATAAAGAGTGTTCATTGCTATCTTGTCTGTGTTTCCTCTTTCTCTTTTTAGTCCTGGGTTCATAAGCATCACTCTCAGTTTGCTTTCTCTTCTTTCTACTCTTTTTACTCTTCTTTCTTTGCTGCACAATTTTTTTTGGTAGAAAGAGAAAAAGAAACATTTTTTAAATGTAAATACCTCAAGGCACTTGTGATTACAATTCTCTAGAAAAACTACAGGAGGTGATCAAAATTACAGCCAAACCTGCATTAAGCTGCACCTTAATTAGGCATCACCCTGTGTATTATGAAGTTGTTTTTCAAACTCCTGGTCACCCTGCTAATCCCTATGGATGATCACTTACCACTGTGTGACAGTTGCAACTGTAATTTGTGCTGTTTAAACTTCTCCTTACAATATCCATACATTATCCAGCAAACAGATAATAAGAATACACAAACTTATCAGCCAGAGGAAAGAGTTGACAATTCAGATCATGGGAGTGAAAGAGTTTACCAGTGGCACAATTATTTATCTGTGATTATGTCTCTTCAATCTTTCTTTAACCGTTTAACTCCCACAAGTGACCAAGACAAAATAACTCGTTACAATATCAACACAATGTCGACCAGATAAGTGATGAGAATGAAGAAAAATTTCGATTTGGGGATAATTAGTTGATCCAATACTAAATTATCTGAACTAACATTATAAGAATTGTATGGTTGACAGTAAGGAGAATTACACATTTGATCTGGGAGTTAAAGGGTTAATACATTTTTACAAATTTTGTTTAAAAAAAATTGGAGAGGTGTTGGCGTGAAAGTTAAACCAGTGAGCTGTCCTTATCTCACAGACTTCCTCTCTTTCCCAAAATGTAATGGTTACCATAACTTGAAGGACAGACCTTATATTCCTCCTCTGATTCACTGTTATCAGAAGTTGACATTGATGAGGAAGATGAAGAAGGACGCTTAAACCAAAGCAAGAAAAGAAGCTTTCTTTAGTTGAGAGGAAATATTTTCAATTGTTAATTATCATAATAAAATGTCATGTCAAATGTAAGGTCATCATGTTTCCTTTTAACTACAAAAAATGCAAACATAGCCCTCTTTTTTGTGTGTCCCAAACCCTGGGGGTACTTTGGTCACTTTTTGGTGGCTATGTACCACTGGCCTCTGAGAACACATACCCCATTATAGTTTATTCTGTGGCCAATTATAGACCCCATCTGGTGCCATTTTGCACAACCACAACCACAACCCCTCCTCCCTTGTGCTAAAATCATCAGGTCACCTCCTTGACTGTTAAGCCTCCAATTTGGTTCACACAAGGAAGGGAAAAAAGTAAAGGTGCTAAGAGTTTAAAGAGCCAAATAACCAACTGAAAGTAATTGTTCTTACCTAATTCTCTTAGAGCACAAATAAGTGTTGACAAATCATTTTGTCTACAGACTATCAGAAACAATAGCTCACCCTCTTTCTGCGTTTGCTTGACTTCTTCTTCTGAAAATGTATATTAAAATCTATGAACTGATGCCTACGAGCCTTGGCTTATAAAAGTTTGTTTTATGTTGTCATTTAATTGCAGGGGCTCATATCCAAGGGGGCTTACAACCAGATTTGAAAAAGGGCTTTTAAACAAGCCACAGAGTGCTGATAAAAACAGCATTTTCTGGTTTATATCAAAGCTTTAAAATGTCATAACAAATAGAATTAATTTTATTACATTCTAAACAGAATTAATATTAACAACACAAAAAAAACTAGAAAAGCTAGAGGAAGACTTACATCGTGGGGGAGGGGGGTAGGGACATATAGTCGGATGTAATTTTTTCTTACAGGTAAATGGGCCTATAATCAGCCCAGGGGACTGATTGGTGGGAGGGGGGACTTAAGATCAGATATCATATATAAACACAGGTAGATGGACTCACAACCAGGGGACTGACAGGCAGGGAGTGGGGGAGACTTATAATTGCATTTAATTATTTTTTTTCACACGTAGATGGGCCTATAACCTGGGGACTGAAAAGTGGGGGGACTCATGGTGGGATGTGATTTTTTTTTACAGATAGCTGGGCCCATAACTGGGAGGCTGATAGGTGGGGGGCAGAACTTAAGATCAGATGTGATACTTTTTTTACAGGTAAATGTACTTATAGCAGGAGGACTGATAAGTGGAGGGGGGGGGAACGTCAAATCAGATTGGCCTATAACTGGGGGATTGATAAGTGCAGGGGGCAGGGGAACTTAGGATCTAATGTAATTTTTTTTATAGGTAGATGGGCCTATAACCAGGGAACAGAAGTAGAAGTTAGCGGTATTTTATTTTTGTTTAGACTGGTTAAGACATATTATAAAAGCTTCAATTGTTAGAATGCTAAACATTGTGTACAAACCTCTTTTCTTCTAGTCTTGGAAGAACCTTCTGAACTGCCTAACAGCTTTTCTCTGTTTTTCTTTAGCTCATTTCTAAATTTCTGAGAATCAGTAATAAACAAGGATTTTAATAGACTCAAATATATTATTACATTTGAAATGCTTCAGGGCAGATAAAAAGTAATTTTGTTATGTTTCAAAATGCCATACCTGGTTTAGATGTTCCTCATAAGCTGCTAGAGTCTCTGAACCTGTCTTCTTTTTGTTAATCATTTCTTTAACCTCTTCCCTGCATTTTATTAAAGTTGCACAAACATGAGTATAAATGTTGTTCAAGACAAAATTATCACATTTAGAAAGTAAATGTGTTTGCATTAATTTAGAGTGGTTCTGTGATACAAAAGGAAATCTTTTCAACGCAAAGACCCATAAAACAAAAACATCAATGACATGCATATTGTAATACAGTCAAACCTTGATCACACTGACCTGGACTATCCTGGCACATTTTTTTTTTTTAATCATCGGATTTTTCCATTATCTGGATTTTTTCATTATCAGGATTTTCCCTGTATCACAATGTTCCCTTTATCTGGATTTCTCTATCCTCATGATTTTTCCCTTTTGCAAAAAGAGTTTACATCAACAAGATGTCACTTACAATGTTGGTCGATTTCTGTTTAGGTAATCTCTCACTGTTGGTCCAGAAGACACTGGCCCTCTTGCTCGTGCCATAGCAATGGGATTCATGCATGCCTAGTAAATAATAACATCATTTATTCAGCACCTAATAAAAAATTGGTTTGAATTATCAAAGAAGTAAAGATAGTAAGCCAGTTTTTGTTCAACTTATTATGGGATTAAGAAAAGTGAGGTCAAGAGTTCAAGAACTTGTGAAAACATCCACCTAAAGAATTTTCTAGTTAAACATATTGTAAATGATAAGTAACTGAAGAAGACATGCTATTAATGAGACCAGTTATCTATCTGTTTCTGTTTAAAAAAATATATAATAATTTGTAATTTAAGCAGTCAAATTAACATTTCATTCCTATAGTTATTAGCTGCCTGAGTTGTAATTTAATGACAATATTCATTTGATACTTTGTGGAAAATCTGGTTGACACGAAGAAGGGAAAAAACACGTTAGTTTTTCACGCGAGTCTGATATCACCAACCAGCTGGTAACTGCTGCATTTTCATTTGTAACAGTTCAAATGACACCGTAGCGTTAACCAAATATTCGATTTACTCGACAGAATGGGCTTAATTTTTTGTTTGCTTCTTCTAGGTTCAAAAATCACATATAATTGACTGCCTGTAAAATTTTGAGAAAATGCATTAGTCAAATTTCAGTTCAATTTGAAACAAAATAATTGAAAAGATAGACAACAGTCCTGATACAAATCGAAGTGATAACATCCCCGTTCAAACGGACGTGGTTGTCCAGTAGTTCATTAGATACCGTGTCGGTATTTCCACAACTTTTCATGAATATCGAAAGAATCGATACTTGCCAGCTGGTAAACAGACACAAGCATGATCTACAAAAAAAGGAAGTAAACTTTCATGTCTTCCAGCCGTCAAAGTAACATACTCAACCTTACCACTCTTTTGTCTCTTTTTCCCATTTCGTTTCCACAACAAGGAAGCAAGACCACCAGTGTTTCTGCAGACGAAACTTTCGGTTGGAATCCGTTTCACTCTACATAACCAGATCAGCCCTCTAAATAGAAACCGCTGGAAGTGTCGCTAGAAGTATCACCAGAAACTCTTGCTTCCAGTCTTTCTCAATTCTTGTTTGGCCGATCTCGAATAAAAATCATACATTCTTTATCTTGAGTGTTTGACTGATCATCGAATGCTTTTCAAACCGTACCTTCTCAGTTCTAACACTAGCCTGCCGTCAAAAGTTTTCTACTGTTTTAACCAAACATGCTGACGGAAGCGAAAAAAAAAGTAGATAAAGGGTGAAGTACAACCAAACCTAAAGGGCCTAGGGCCTAGAGCGTGTTTCCTTAAAAAAAAGTCACTGAGATAAATACTGGTTCAGAAGTTTGCTTTTACATGTCTGAACTGTGTACATAAGTATTAAAATTTTATATTCAACTGGACATGCGACTGGACATTCTGAATGAGTACCAAGTCCGGTTAACGAATCTTTTTATAAAAAAAATTGTTCTGTTTGATGTAGAAAGAAAGAAAGTTGTCCTCCTGGTTGCCGTGTGAACTAATCCTAAGAACCAAAATTTTCTAGACTAACACTAAAGCTATTTAATTCGACCCCCGAGGATTTGACCCAGTGCGGAGAGGTGGCCATGTTTACATGTATTTTTCATTGAGATGTCCATACGTTGTATCGAAAATTCAGCGATCTGTGAAATCTGTGAAAATGGTTAATGAGTTAGTGTCAGTAAGAATCAAACCCTTCATCCTTTTATGAACTTGCACTTCGCTTTCTGTAACATTTCTAATGTTTTTTCTTTTTTTAACTTAATCTTCCTTTGTTTTGATCTTGGTTTTGTTTTAGAAAAAACAATGGTTCGTTCCCTCGCCTTAAACCTCTTAAGTTGTCTATCAGTTGTTACACGCGTTACGAAGTCATTAAAAATTGAAAGTTATTAAGCATGAAACGTCCAATCAAAACAATGTCGAAGTCAATCCGAGGCTAAATCTTTGTTTGTGCCATGACATCGCACACTGACAATAACTTTTCTGTGACTGAAATTTAATTCATTCAGTACTAGAAGGCAGAAGGTCTTGAAAATCGAACTGAAAAATGCTATCTGAAAATGACGGTGATTGCCAAGAAAGGATAAGCCGACGCGTCGAATTTAAGACAAGCTACAGTGTTGAAAGTTTAACATCAGGAAGTAGCGACGGAGAATCCTTTTCACCGCGTTTGCCTCATGTAAGGAGAAGGGACAGTCTGTTACAAAGAACAAAATCCTTCAGTCAGATCATCCACGAAATGGGCTCAAGCACAAAGAAGTTAGAAGAAGAAATGTATGGACTTCTACGCGATATGGTAAGCTTCTACTTCAATAAAAACCTCTTTTGTTGCCATATTCGACCTTCTTGTACCAAAACATAGCGTTATGTCTTTGATAATCGCTGCGCTTAGAGGCGAATCTCGCGTTAGATTGTTACCAGAAAGAATTTTTCTTCTCCACTTCTATTTTCGGAATGATTTTGACTAGTGGTTAGTTATGGCATAAAGCTTCTCGAATGTGATGCGGCGGTATCACACAAAGGATGCTTTGCGTAACACTGGTGATAAGAAGCGTTTTGTTTGACAAAAGCCCTCGTGTTTAATTATTACAGCAGCCATTGTGCAAACATCGACAACACTAACCAATTCCATTTCCCATAACATATTAGAGTCGTATGCAGATTTACAAAAAAATTCATGCAGATATATTCAATTTAATTTACTTTAATTTTTTTGGATCAGTCCAGAATCAAAGAAATTACGAGGAATCTCAATGTTTAGATTAGTGTTCTTGTCAGAATTAAGGTTTAATTTCCACCTGCTTATCACTTACAGCCCCTGGGAATCTTCTGTTTAAGTCTTCAGCTCGCGAACACTAAGATATGATTTATTGTGTTCAACTTGTATCATCCTGTTTAATGAAAGAATGTAAGTATGACTGGTAAATGACGGCGAGATTTTACTGCTTAATAACTTTTAAAATTTAAGTTATTATGATAAGTTGTTAGTTCTATTTATTTTTTAAGTTGATTGGTTTCGTCTCCCATTTGCAAACGTTTTTCAACTCTCGACAATTTTCACTTTGCTCAGTGCAGTGTATAGTAAAACAAAAGAGCTTAATGTTCTCAAGAATAAATGTTTTGGGCCCAACTCAGACTCCTTTTTGGCTCGAGCCGCTATGTATCAACCACATCTTGTAATTGATTCCTGTTTAGTACTAGTAAAAGGTAGCATACTAGGTGTTCTAAATCTTCACTTGGTTTGTGTCACAGGATACCCTTCGCAATCAGAACCTCAGTACTGGCCGGCGGCTTCAACGTCTACAGAGAGTGTCGGGAGCGATGAAAGAACAACTACAGGCCTTCAGTCCTGTGCGGTCAGCAGCGAGTCATCGACATCTTAATCACACGAACATTATGACCATGAATGAAAAGAGAAATTGTTACTCAATAGAAAATCTGCCCACAGAATCAACTTGAGTCCGAAATAAGGGAAATTGGCTATTGTAAACATCAATTTTATGGATCAGCTGGCTTTGTTAAAAGAATCAGTAACACAGGATTCCAATAAAAACAGATGTAGACAGTCATCTAGTCAGTAGACTGTTTTCGTGTCCATCTTTGAGGTAAATTCAATCCGAGAAAGGAGTCATAGTTTTATTAAGTTTTGATAAAAGTAAATGAGGGGACTTTCCGTGGTCTTCTATCTGTAGTTATTGAATCGAGTCAAGAAGTTATCTACTTGTAATTGTTTAACTGGAGTATTTACTGATTAAAGTGAAGTGTGACTATAGCCTGGCGAGAGATTGTAAGATCATTCTCTGCGGCACCACTGTCCTGGTTAGTGTTGGTAGCAACATTCACATTCAAAGGGCCCGGTGGCTTCTGGGACAATTGTTGCCCTCTGGGGTGACCGCATGTTGTGTGGGACACCCCACTGAGCGAGAGTTTGAAGAGTGTCCTACTTGCTGTGCGTGATAGAGAGTGTTATGTTCTCCAGATCATGGCTAACCGCACGCTAAGAGTAAAAAAGCGTGACTAGCAGCACTTGAGATGTGACGTAAGCACTTGAATGGGTTACGCGCATCGAAAGCTCATTTCCCGTTTTCTAAAATATTCTTATAACTCACTAACAAGAACATTTGAGGCTACTTCAGAAAGAGGAAGCATACATCACGCTGTCTAGATCTTCAATCCCCTATCTATAATACAAACGAGCCAAAAAGCTAATCAGCACATCGTCGGAGCCTTTGAATTATAGGATGCTAAGTAAAATCTCGTTGATATTGTTAGACAATACAAGCCGCCTTGTTCACCCACTTTTAAAAAATTCGGACATTAAGCCTTACCAATATCATTACTGACGTTTCGAACCCCTCCTATCGCTCTGACGAAGGGCTCGAAACGTCAGCTTTTAAACTCTTTACGGCAGCCAATTTACGATATCAACTCAGTTGATAATACTAAATTACCCTGTTATACTCTCTCACCGACGCAGCACCACAGTTTCTTTAAAAACTTACCCCCCCAGTATCATTACCGACTGTCAGCTCCAGTAAAATCTTTAGAGAATTTTTCATTCAATGAATGTCATAGCTTTTCACTAGTTCATCGAAAGAAAAAATAGATTCAAACCTCCTTTTTCTAAAAACAATATAGCATTTTGCACTCTAGAAAGTTGTTGACCTTTGTTTGCTGAACACAAATGAATTTCCTGTCAGATCTGTGTTTTTTTCTTCACCCAAGCAGAAAAGCTTACATTAGCTTCTCAAGAGATGTCTCTTGAAGAAAAAAAAAGAGAAAGTTTATCGGCCTGATTATTATATTTATTTTGACTTGAGAAAGTTATTCTCTCGCATAATATTCCTAAATTAATTGTTAAAAGAACTATCGAAACTGTTGAAATTGAAATTGATTACAAATCAAACATTTCAATCAAACGCACTTGATATGGTTCAGCAAGAGAGAATCAAGTTTGATTCTTCAGCGTTTACATTATTTTGTACACGCTCGCATTCAAAACAAGCATGGTTTGTTCTTTTTTATGAGTAACGTACACCTTTTTCCTTCCTCTCAAGAGTTTTAGGGTGCGTCAAACCTTATAATTAGCATGTGAAACTGCTGGGCAATAACTATATTAGCTGAAGCAGTCTTTCATGTTCACAGGCGTGTTATTAAGGCTGCCCTCGGGGACAATTTAAGTGTTATTAATCATACGATCTCGTGACACATAACTAGTAGATATATCGCCACAAACCAGGCCGTAGATCACTCTTACGTGGCCACAGATTCCTTGCGGATAATTTGGCGATGAAGGGTGAGACTTGTTTGACAAGTTCCTTTAAACAAATATGTTTTGAATATTTCTGACTTGGTCAACAGATAGCAGGGAAACTTCATTTTCCTATGGCTGAGAATTTCAGCACTAACCTCGTATTTGTCTTCTACAGAGTACAATTTTGTTGAGTCAGATGATGACTCAGGTTTCAAAGATGATTCAAGCGTCGCATTCTCAGTGGAAAGCGGCCAGTCAGGGCGAGTTGCCACTTACAAAACTAAATCTTGGAACTGCTTCGCCACAAAAAAACAGGAAGCTAAAGTAAAACAAGAACAGGAAGAAAATGGCACCGGGTATGACAACCCACGAAAACAAAACTTCTTTAAAAGAGCAACCAGGAAGATCTTTGGCAAGACCAGGCGGATGTTTAATAAGAAAAATCAAGATAACAAAATGAATACCACAGTGAAAACAGAAAAGAAACTGAAAGAAAATTATACGGAACAGGTGGCCATCATAATACCGTCAGACAGCTGTGCGAGTGTGAATGAGGAGCCAGCACCTTACCCTCAAAATGTCAACTTCATTCGAGCAGAGAAGATGCGATGCTCGATTCGAGAATCCCGCGGCTTGAACCCGCGGGAAGCTTTGCGGCTTCGCGAGAGACAAACTATGCTTCGAGTTCTGTTTGATTTTCAAGCATGTGATGACGATGATATTTCCGTGATGAGAGGAGAACTTGTTCAAGTACTCAACAAAGATGATAAGGAGTGGTGGTGGGTTGAAAATGAACATCGACAGAGAGGATTTGTGCCGCGGAACTTTCTTTGGCCCTGTGGCTGTTACGGTAAGACAACATCTTTTATATAGAACTAACATAACTTAACTAAGTTTCTCCTTTTGAAGAAACAGTACATAAATGGCTACTTTTTTCAAGTAATTTTCTTGTATGAGTTGGCATATTTACAAAAACATCGGTATAATAAAGTCAATATATATCAGCGATGCTTAAAAGTAAAAAATCATCCAAAAATGTGCCAAAACAAGGTTGTCAAAATTGCTAACAGATTATTGGACACCTTTTTGTTTTCGTTCATTCAGTAGAAGGATAATCCAGGTCGAGAATTTATTTTTCTGAGGGAAAAAAGAACAGAATTGACTCTGTTGATCTTTGGTTTTGTTATCAGCAAGAGAAATCTTTATTGCTAAAGCTTTATTACCTGCGACACACATTACCCGGGAGATGTGCTTGAGATAGCACACCAATGAATAAATGAATACGTTGAGTCCGATATCACTTCGGAATTGTTTGAAACTCGCTCAGTCGCTTAAACAAAGAAGAATAGAGATGAGTGGTTGGAAATGGAAATTAAAATTTATTCAGGTTCATGGCACTTGACATGCACTCTGTTGATATTTTTGAAATGTCATGCTTAATGTGGGAAACTGAAATGGAATTAAAATGCCACTAAGTTACAACCGAGTATCAATCATTGACATTTCTTAACGACTATTATTTTTACCTCATTAGTATCTTATTCCCGCGTTCAATTCCATCATAAGAATGCTTTTATAGTATTTGCCCATTATGACACATATTTATATTGAGAGATCAGTGAGAGTATTATCACATCGTAAAATACAGGCACGAACCTTGCATTGGGGGCACTCCTCTGTGGTCGGGTGGGACATAAATACTTCGTAGAAAATATTCTTAAAGCTAACTTCATTGATTCAATATTTGAAAGTAGATTTTATGGTATATAAGATCATTATAAGACAAATTGAGGGAAAGTTATCGCTCTCCTAATATAGGAAAAGTGATATTGCTTCTTAGATCATTTTCAGGATTGATGACGACTCTTCGCTTATCTCACAATGTTCTTGTATTGTGAACGGCTATTAACGTTAAAACGCTAAGCATCATTCACAAATGTAAAATTCGAGACACAAAGACTAAATGTAGTGTCGTTATTTTGAGGGAAGGGGTGGGTTTGCTTTTTGTTGAGGTATTGGTAACTAATATGAAGATGAGATCTGGCGCAAAGTGTTACCGTGCGCCAGTGGGCACGAGGAGGGTTAAAACTTGTCATAGCTAACTCTCTATCTTTAGGTGCCTATGTTAATTTAATTGCCTTTTAGTTAATTAACGTTTGATTTGTGATATAAATGGTTGAACAGCTACAGAGTTTTCAAATGCCTTTTTTTCTGCTGTAGTGTGTCAACAGTTTATTTTGGACAGAGTGACGAATGTGGGCCCAGTCCTCAGCGACCAGAACATTGAACAACAACGGTTCCAAGCAGCTGATCAATTCATCAGGGAGGAATCGTTTGGCGAAAGAACACGGCTCATTGGAAACAAAAGATACACGAGTACATGGTGCTGAAGACCTGGTCATGTAAACCTGGAAAATCTCCGCAAGAGATTTAAAACAACACCTGATTGAAAGTGTTGGGCTGAAAAACGCTAATGACACAACTTTTTTCGCTTTGTTGCTGTTCTGCCGAAAACACACTCGAATAATTTTGAATTTTATTCATGTAATCTGTTTTATGGAAAGTGGGTGAATGAGTGAGATTAAGTTAAAAGTGGGCAGCTGGCATAAGAAGCCGTTAGTTTTTCATCTGGTCAAATGTTGTTTGTAAAAAGTCATAAAATCATGTTTTGAGAGGTTACTTAAATAAATGCAATTTTGAGACATTATTTCGAGAAAAGTGTGATAGAAATCAATGCAATTTTGTTTAAATGTTAATCTCTATAAAGAGGGAATTTCCCACTATATTTCTGATATTTGTCATGTGGCCAGTCCTAAGGTAGGTTGAAATACGAAATTTGTCAAGTTTTGTATTTTTGAGAGGCGTATGTAACTGAAAGCGCCTTTCCACCAGTCTGAGTCAGGTTTTAGAATAACGTGAATGTACCGTTCGTCGATATTCTCATATCCTATAAGCAGGCCCTCGTTTTTTCTTCGACTTGTCTCAAATCTGCCCGCGCGCGGAAAAACTCGTGTAATGAAGTGAGTTGTTACCTTAACCTACACCGTTTGAAAGCGTAACTTTTGAGGGCTATTGCAATAGATATTGAAAAATTGGAAGGTTTTTCCTCCTCCAAATGTATAAGAAATGACGGCCTAACGATTTAAGATTCGGGATGAAATAAATAGCTTATAAATAGCTTCTCATTCGGAGCACCCATGATACCTATGAAGGACCGAGATTTTGTATATTTTTAAGTATCATTATACTGTACGTAAATTGCTAGATTAGTTTGTAACTTTTATTTGTCAAAGAACCTTATTTTATTGTCTTGTACTGAATTAAAATACAGTAGGGTGATTTTACAATTTATTGTGTTTATTATTTCACATTTTATTAGTTAATTGTAGGTCCGCATCAGCCTCATGGCTGCCACTTTTGTAACCTGCATCACTAAATAAAATGACTGATTGATTGATTAATGAAGAAAGGATGCTAGAGCCTCTTTCTTGGTATTTCGTGACTGTCTATCATGTAGCATAAATCGAAAATACTGGGCGTGTTCATGTGATCACGTGACATTCGCGGTTATTGTAATCGCTTTGCCTGCAGATTTCTAGTTGCGTTGTATTGATTCGACTCAAAACCTTTTTCTCTTGGTTGACATGTCGAAAGGACCAGCAGTTGGAATCGATCTTGGTACCACGTATTCTTGTGTTGGAGTTTTTCAACATGGGAAAGTGGAAATTATCGCAAATGATCAGGGAAATAGAACAACACCAAGCTATGTAGCGTTTACTGAAACGGAACGCCTGATTGGAGATGCTGCAAAAAATCAAGTCGCAATGAATCCCTCAAACACGATTTTTGGTGAGAATTCAAAACATATCCATTCTTTATAATCGAAGAGCGATGGCTGAATGTGTGCCCACGTTCCTTTGCAGATGCTAAGCGATTGATAGGTCGACGATTTGACGATCCTTCGGCGCAGGCAGATATGAAACATTGGCCCTTCCAGGTGAAAAGATGTTGGCTTTTTCGGAATTTGTTGAGTCTTGATTGAAGTCTCAGATTTTAATTGAACATCTTATTAAAAACTGATATGATTATTGTACAAAGTGATACCATTCTTTCTTAACTGTCAGTCAAAAGAAACGTTACCTTTATCTAAGTAACTTACTTTCGTTTTCTAGATCATTAATGACTCTGGGAGACCTAAAATACAAGTGGAATATAAAGGAGAAACTAAAACATTCTACGCTGAGGAGGTATTTAAGAGATTAATTAGTTTCATCGAGAAAAATATTATTTTCTGGAATACGAACTCATTATATCAATAGCCCCAGCCATGCCTGCTAGTCATACCTCCCAAATTTTACTTCACAACCAGTAACCGTCGATGAATTATTGATCTGCAATGACTCAGCCATGATTGCAACAATTCACTAAGATTTTGTAACTAACATCTGTAACAAATTACTTAAAATCAGATATTAGATAGATGGGTCAAGCTTCTAAAACCATGATAGGTTTTCCCTGCAACATCAGAAGTTATTGCCCCCGCAGGGTTTTTGGCCCCAAAGGGCCAAAAACCCGAGGAGGCACCTTAGGACTCCCCGTGTAATATAGAGGAAGACGGGAGAAGAGAGAATGTGGGTATTTTCAGTAGATCATAACCAGAAAAAATCTCGATTTGATCGCTTGCACGGCCGCAAGGTATCAACGTTTTTCCCGCAAATGGTCATGGGCTGCCAGTAAAAATACACGCGCGCGAGGACTTTTAGAATCGGCCTCTTTGACACGAGATTTGTCCTAGTATAGAGGAAGACTGGAGAAGAGAGAATGTAGGCCCTCTTAAGGTATAATTTTGTGTCTAATAACTATATAATAATAAATTGTTCTTCAATGCTGTCTATAAATTGTTCTCCAATGCCACCTATAACATTCCAATGTTAAAACTCACCCAAGTCCCTACATTCTGCTTCTTCTTGATCGTGAAGAACAAACAAATCCTAAGTTAAACCACACAGCAAAAAAAAAAAAAAAAAAAACCCCAAGCACTTCCCAAAACTACATTTTGTACACTTGTAGTATTTTGAGATCCAAAATTACTAACACCAAAGTACTGAGCCACAATTCCGTAACAGCATAACAGAAAAATTACACAACTGTAAACAACAAGCCCAACTCAAAAAAAAAAAAAGAAAATGGTACTGTAGGGCGGGGGCAGCTCTAGTGAGAACTATAACTAGTGTAATATTTTTAGGGCCAAGTAATCCTACTCCTTGTTTTGGACGGTTACCTCCAAACTTTTTATCAAGATTTATTGGGTATTCTTTAACTACCAACAGAACCCTCCTTTTATCATTTGTCAATTTCTTGTTTACAGATTTCCTCTATGGTGTTGACAAAAATGAAGGAAACAGCTCAGGCATATCTTGGAAAAACTATCACAGATGCTGTGGTGACTGTGCCAGCGTATTTCAATGATTCTCAGCGCCAGGCTACAAAAGACGCAGGTTGGTTTAAGTGATACAAATAATGGGAGATTTTACAAAATATAGTAATGATTTAACCTTTTAACTCTGAGTAGTGATTTACCTGTAACTTCTCTCTATGATATCCATACATTATCAAGCAAACAGGTAATTAGAATACTTTAAATTATCAGGTAGAATTTGGTATTTTGATTTAATGCTAAATTCCCATTTATTAATTTATAAATGTGTAATGAAGTGTGTTGTACCTAGAGGGGAGAATGAACAATCAGATCTTGGCAATTAAGCCTGAATAACAGGTCCAAACAAAAAACTTAACTGAGGTGGCTTTTGTTGGTTATTTTCAGGTAGAGTGTGAAGTAATAAAGTATATAAAGTTATATGATATGATGAGCACACTTGTGTTTAATGTGTTATCTGAACCTTGTTCTACTTTGCTCATCCTGTGCAAGTAAATGTGAAATTTTAATATGGAAAAATTCCAAAGTTAATTTGGAAAATTATGATGAATGTAATTTACAATGAACTCACGATGAACCTAATTTGTGCTTTAATGTTCTTTCTAAGGTGTGATTGCTGGCTTAAATGTCTTGCGTATTATCAATGAGCCAACTGCTGCTGCCATTGCATATGGTCTGGACAAGAAAGTTGGTTCTGAACGCAACGTCCTTATCTTTGATCTTGGTGGTGGTACATTTGATGTCTCCATTTTGAGCATTGAAGATGGTATATTTGAAGTCAAATCTACAGCTGGAAACACTCACCTTGGGGGTGAAGACTTCGACAACAATGTTGTTGATTTTTTTGTGGATAATTTCAGAAGAAAGTACAAGAAAGATCTTTCGACCAATAAACGTGCTCTGCGTCGCTTGAGGACAGCCTGTGAACGTGCCAAGAGGACCCTCTCCTCCAGCAGCCAAAGTAGTATTGAGATTGATTCCTTGTATGAGGGAATTGATTTTTATACCTCACTTACTCGTGCCAAGTTTGAAGAATTGAACAGAGATTTATTTGACAAAACCAAAGAGCCTGTTGAGAAAGCTCTAGGTGATGCTGGATTGTCCAAGAACCAGGTTCATGAGGTTGTGTTGGTTGGAGGATCAACTCGCATCCCAAAGATTCAAGAGAAGCTGCAGGATTTTTTTGATGGCAAAGAACTCAACAAAAGCATCAATCCAGATGAAGCTGTAGCCTATGGTGCTGCAGTTCAAGCTGCAATTCTGAGTGGTGACAAGAGTAGTGAAGTTCAGGATTTGTTGCTTCTGGATGTAGCACCATTGTCACTTGGAATTGAGACTGCAGGAGGAGTTATGACAGTTCTTATCAAGCGCAACACAACCATACCCACCAAGAAGACAGAATCCTTCACTACCTATTCAGACAATCAAACCAGTGTCCTAATCCAGGTAAGCAGTGGTGTCAGGGAAGAAAAATCAAAGAAAAGTGTAACTGTGCTCTTAGAATTCAGCTGTTGCCCTTAACTCATTAAATCCTAACATTAGTATCTATATTCTCCAAACTCTTCTCTAGACATTTCATTTTGTACCTGACAAGAAGAATTTGTTTAACAGTCAAAGCTTCTTAGGTTGGAAATCACCTCATATTCTGAGATGACATTGAGGCTTTATATTTGTACCTCCTTTTAGAGTGAGACAGTTCCTCTTTTAATTAATCAAAAGAAATACAAACCAGAAACAAATCAATAAAAGAGCTCATAGAGCAGTTGTAGTAAGTCTTAGTTCCTTGTTTCAAATTCAGCCCAGAAATAAATATCAAAAGAGCATAAAGAGTAGTTGTAATAAGTTTAAGTTCCCTGTTTCAAGTTCAAGGAATTACTCAGTGTCTTTGCTAAGGGAATGCCATTGATCATGCCATTAGTAAAGTAGTCCCACATATTTACAGTACACCATAGGAAAGAACCTAACAGGGGCTGGTTTCCTTTCTGTTGTTAAAGGTCTTTGAAGGAGAGAGAGGAGTGACATCAGGCAACAATCTGCTTGGAAAATTTGAGCTGTCTGGCATTCCACCAGCCCCACGAGGAGTTCCACAGATTGAAGTGACTTATGACATTGATGCAAATGGAATCTTGAATGTTTCAGCTGTTGACAAGAGCACTGGTCGTGAGAATAAGATCACCATCACCAACGACAAAGGCAGATTGTCCAAGGATGATATTGATCGCATGGTGCGTGAAGCTGAGAAGTACAAAGCTGAAGATGATTTGCAACGTGACAAAGTCCAGGCCAAGAACTCACTGGAGAGTTATGCATACCATATGAAGAGCACAGTGGAAGATGAAAAGGTGTGAACTTACTATGATTTTCAGTTGAGTCAGTGGTGAGATGGAAATTTGGCAACATGTATCGACATTAAAATTGTGTTGTTGCCAAAGGCAATTGGTTCCATTTCCATCAGGTTCAATATGTCATTTGACTTCTTTTGGGGTTTTCACGTTTGATGGTTGGTGGCACACAGCTCTTGAGATTCATTTACCACTGCAAGTAAGGAGGGTTGTCCATGAAAACTCAGTTATTTAATAGTCAAAAGACTTATCACCAATTTTTTTCTGGGCTTCACTCAACTGAAAATTTACCTGAGTAAAATTAATGTAGTATGCATCAACACTTAAGTGTGTACTGATATACTACTTGATCTCAAACACATCATTGGTCTTGTGTCATTTAAAAAATATAGGCATCTGCAGCATGCAAGAATTGTTTTTTTAGCTTGATATGTCAAGATAGAACAATTATTGTTCTTAATGTTTTCATAACTTTCAAAAGAACAAAAATCTTGCATTACTTTACTTTAAGAGAAAAAACACAATTTATCTAAACTTGCACAGGTATTTTGTGGTCTCATGTCTCTTTTATCCAAATACTTCTGAGAAAAAATAAAATGTATCAGTGCCTTGCTTACTGTAGTCTCCTTTGCAGCAGTTGTTTGGTCTTGTCACACAATGCCCTCTATTCCTCATTTATGAGAGAGCCATTGTGTGACGAGACCAAGTAACAGTTGTTAAAGAGACTATGCTTACAGTCCTTCCTCTAACAGAAAGAAAATCAATATTATTCATCAACAGTTAGTCACCACAAAAATATAATTCCACATAATTTTACTGAGAAAAGCTGACTGAAACTGTTGTATCTCCAACAGACCCTAACCAAAGATATATTGCAATCTTGTATAAGGGAAAACGCACTGAGCAGGAGGAAAAGATAATATTTCAAAAAGGGCTCCTTGAATGGTTGCTGCCTTTCTGGACTTTGCTCTGTGTGTGTGAAATAAGTGACAAAATGCAGGTTGTTTACAAGGAATTGACAAACAATTGGATCATTTTTGTTGAAAATATCAGTTGAAGTCTGAGATTTTTCCTTTTTAAGTTATTAATGTTTTTTATTTATAATTATTTCTTCAGGTGCGAGATAAGATCTCTGAAGATGACAGGAAAACAATTGTCGACAAGTGCAATGAAACTATTAGCTGGCTTGAAAGCAACCCTGATGCAAGTAAAGATGAATATGATAAGCGACAAAAAGAATTAGAGAGCATTTGTAATCCAGTGATTACAAAGTTATACCAGGGTTCTGGAGGTGCCCCTCCTCCAGGGGCAGGAGGCTTTCCTCAGGGGGGTGGGGCTCCTACCTCTGACTCGGCTAGTTCTGGAGGACCAACCATTGAAGAAGTTGACTGAGAAAAATGTTGCCCCAGGAAGGAGATTTGTTCACTGAACTTTTTGAGATTAAATTGAGTTATTCAGTGTTTCCCGTATGCTTTAAGGTAAAGAGAGCTCAGATTGTTTGAATTTTAATGTGGTGAAGCTCCAAGAGTAATGCATGAAAAAAAGCGGAAAAAGCATTCCTTGAAAACTAGATCAATCCTGTCTCATTTGTACACAAGTTTTGAAAACACCTTGTTTTGATCTCTGGTGGCTTAGTTAGGTATTGTAGCTTCTCTATTTGTTAAGGGCCATGACTGAAAACTTTTTGGCCTCAGAGTTAAAGTGCCATTCACTCTGAGTTAGGACTGAGTTCCTCTGCTTAGCAGGAGCAATTTTGATATGGATTTCTGAAAGTTAATTTCACAAGTTTGTAGTGTGTATTTTGTTAAACTGAGTAAGAGGGCGAGAGTTTGTCAGGTGTTTTGTTAGAAAAACACCTTAAGTATTCTGACAAATATTAAAACAAGATATCCAGCAAAGAAAAGAAATGGCTCATTCATAACATGCCTTACTTTGTGTTCATGTTTGTTTGTTGTGTGAGGGAGAAGGGGGTGGTGGTGGGGATAGAGATTTTACTTTGGGAGGGTCACAATCATCTAGCTTTGGTAAATGTTGTCTTCCATTTGATTTATTTTTGCATTCAATTTTAACAAAGATGAACCCTTAGTCACCAAAGAATGTATTCCATACCATAAATTGTACTTTTAAGGGTTTTTTTTCTCTCAAGGGATTTACACTGTTGATTTGGTTGTACGTGATCCCCACATACGTGCTATTCCAGCAGTCCAGTTGTTCCCCTGTTCCAACCTTTCCTGAATATTCAATTATTTCTCCCAAACTCCGTCTTAGCAAAGTAGTATTTAGTTTACCTAAAACTGAGACAACACCTAGTCACGTTTTGGAGCTGGAAGTCGACTTCTTTTTGTGCTGATGCACCTCTAGTACAGCTCATAATTTGGCAGAGAACATAGGTGGCAATGATTCCCGAAAATTATGCGTGCCTCTTTATTGGTAAGTTTTACTTTGTTCGACCTAGCCTAGTGACCGTTATTTAAACTTGTGCTGTTACTCGATTGTTGTACGAAACTAGTATGTGACTGATAAACTAGTGACTATCGAAGACTTCATTCATTCTGTAAAGTCGTCGAATCCCGACTTAGATTACTGTTTAACAATCTTTAAGATCATCCATGAACCAAACAGTCGAATTGTTTTAAATCTGAACTACGACGTAGTAGTTTTTTTTCTGTAGTTTTTTTTTCTCGAGACGTGAGCTTGGGCCGCCTGTGATCTGAAAACCCTTATGCACGAAGTACGCTCCAAAGTTGCTGTTGGGAATGGGCTTGATAATTTTTGAATTACAGAGTAGTCACTGTCGTAAGATTTTCGTAAGTTTGAGCTTATTTGTCTGAAAGCTTGGCCATTTTTGTTTTAACTTAAAAAAGAGTGAATGTCTTAGTAGGTACACCGAACAACATACGCGCACGACAACGCAAATTTCGAAATCTCATTCAACACGATGAACAATCTTTCCGATGCGCTTTTGTTAAAATTGTAAAATTTGACATAACAAGAATCACCTCTGCAAATTTGTTTGTTATGTTCCCTTAAAATGAAAATTACAAATTCAATGACACGAGGAATTAATACTAGCAGCTTGGGTAAGTACCCTTATATTTTTGGGCTTTCAAATTTTACTCCAGCAGTTTGTCGTTCCAGCAGTTCAGTTGTTCCACCGTTCAAACCTTTCCGGAATATTCAATTATCTTACCCAGTCCCCCTCTTAACGAAACAGCTTTTAGTTTCACTAAAACTGAGACAACACCTAGTCACGTTTTGGAGCTGAAAGTCGACTTCTATTTGTGCTGATTCACCTTTAGTACAGCTCATAATTTGGTGTGAAGGGTAGATGGTAGTGCAATGACTCCCGAAAACTATGCGTGCCTCTTTATTGGTAAGTTCTACTTTGTTCGACCTCGCTTTGACCGTCGTTTAAACTCTGGCCCGGGATCCGATTATTCAGCGAAACTAGTATGTGATTCCTAAACTAGTGACCTTCAAAGACTTCTTTAATTCCGTAGAGTCATCGAATCCCGACTCAGATGACTGTTAAAAACTCTTTAAGGTCATCCATGAAACAAACAGTCGAGTTGTTTTAAATCTGAAAACCCTTATAATAATTTACCTTGCAAAGTTGCAATTAGGGATAGGCTTGATAATTTTCGACTTATAGAGTAATTACTGTGGTAAGGTTAAGCTTATTTGTATGAAAGCTTGGCTCATTTTTTGTTTTAACCTTAGAAGAGTAAATGTCCTAGCAGATACACCGAACAATACTCGCGCACGACGACGTAAATTTTGAAATCTTACTCACCACGATTTACAATCTTTCCCATGCAATATTTCCGCTTATGTCAAAATTATCAAATTTGACATAACAAGCAATATTTCTGAAAATTTTTCGCTTGTTGCGTTTTCCTGAAAATGAAAATCACAAACTTAACGACACAAGGAATTAATACTAGCACCTTGGGTAAGTACCCTAAGATTTTTTGGTCCCTCAAAATTTATTAATGTCAAGCCTTTATCATATGATACCAAAGACTAACTAACGGCTGGCGTGTGTCTGACTAAATAAAACATCAAGGTCTTGTTTTAGTTAGATACTCTATTTGCTCAGTCAAGCATCAACCGTCAGTAAGTCCCACATCATTAAAAAGCGAAAATTCTTGTAAGTACACTTACTACCATTCCTGAATAAATGCAGCCTCAAACGAGTACTCTTGATTTGGTAATCTTTGAAAAATTTTAAAGAAGTTGTTGTTCACTCGACTGAGTTGTGACAGTTTCTCCAAAGTCCATTAAAAAGAGACCTGCATCTGAGAGTAACAAGATTGTTCAGTACTTACCACAAGTAAATGCTGCATATAAATTTTAACAATAAATTTTGTCAGGTGTCATTTCAGCAAGCATACTGTATTTGTGCATTCAAGAGCTTCTTTTAGAAGCATGTGGGATCAATTGTGAAGGCCAGTCCTGACTAATTGCCTCATCTATGATTCCCTAAATATTGCAATAAGGAGATTTAAGTTCCATAGAAGGGACTTTTGTGGATTTTGTTTCTTGGGATTTTCACTGTTTGTCTAGTTGTACTCCACATACCTATTATCCTTTCCAGCAGTTCAGCTGTTTCACCACTCCAGCCTTTCCTGAATATTTGTGTACTCTACTCAATATCACTCGTATACAAAGCTTTACTTGTTGCCCTAAAACTGAGACTGGTAGTGTAACTGAAAAAATAACATGGTATGTTCTTGTCCTAAATAGCCCTGAAGTCTTAAGCTTGGATAAAGAGGTTTTAAACAACAAAATAGATTTGTGGCTGGTATGGCAATGTTGAATAATAATTCTTGAGATGTTTGTGCCAGAAAATGTTTAATGTTTTGTTGTAGTTCCAGCCTACAGGTAATGCAGAACAGTTAACCCTATAACTTCCATGAGTGATCAAGACAGAATTTCTCCTTACTATATCACTACAATATCAAGTAGACAAGAGATAAGAATAAAGGAAACTATAAATTAGGGGATTTTTAGTTGATCCAATACCAAATTATAAAAACTAATAATATGAGAATTGCATGGCAGTGAGTAAGGGGAATTACTGATGAGATCTTGGGAATGAAAGGGTTTGTCCCGCATGCAGCAATACATGACTGAGGTATAATAGGAAAGACAAAAGTATCTTGAATATCATTGTCTTTTTCTATTTTTTTCTTCAGATGCAACATGGAAAGACATCATAGCTGCTTTCCGTTGTTCAGCTGTCAACAACAGCTCTCAAGAGAGAAAGCTTATTCAAGGCAAACTTGAAAAACTGTTTGGTGGCTCAGAACAATGGCTTGCATGCCTTTCAATTCGAACTGCTTTTGATGCATTCTTAACTGTTATGAATTTTCCTCATGGATCAGAAGTAATTTTCACTGCCATAAATATTCCAGATATGGTATCAGTAGTTGAAAGGCATGGCCTTAAGGTTGTACCAGTGGATTTAGATCTTGATTCACTAGCCCCCAAACCTGAACTTGTTGAACTTGCTGTAACAGATAAAACAGTGGCAATTTTGGCAGCTCACTTGTATGGGAAGTGGATCAATTTAGACAAAGTGTTCCAAGTGGCACATTCACATGGACTATATGTATTGGAAGATTGTGCTGAATCATTTCAAGGCCTGGGAAGAAAAGGTCACAAACTGTCTGATCTGACATTTTTCAGTTTTGGTTCAATCAAACATTACACCTCTTTTGGCGGGGCCATGGTCAGGGTGAAAAACTCACAGATTCTTTCAAAAATGAGAGCAAAGATACATGAATACCCAGTCCAAAACCAGTGGACCTACTTTAAGAAACTTTCTTGTTACTCTCTGTTAATGGCAGTTGCATTAAACAATTCACTGTCCAATTGGTTCATCGTCAATTTGTTTCATCTAATGGGTTTCAAGTACAAGGAATATTTCATTTCCCTGCTGCGAGCATTTCCTGGTGGTATAAGTGTGGACAAACTTCGTCTTCAACCATCTGCTATGCTTTTGGAATTCATGTTATACCGGCTGAGTAGAGTGAAAAGTAAAGACTTTCGTATGATCAAGTTAAAAGGAGATTTTGTGAGCAGTAATCTGCCAAGTAATGTGTTTGTACCTGGTCAAAGAGCAGACATAAAAAGTTATTGGTTGTTTCCCATGATAGTGGTGAGTATGCAATGTTATGACGTGTCAGACCCCTTCCCTCTTCCTTTCTCACTTGGATTTAACCCTTTTCACCCTAAGATCAGTATGCACATTCTCCATACTGTTCTCTACATACATTTTGTAGGGTGTTGACAAGGAAAATGTGTCTCACAATCAGAGCTTCTTTTGTTGGTGATCATTTACTTATTCTCCTGACCTAAATGTATGATTCAGGGGTAATTGTGTAAGGAGGATTTATATGCTTGTCACTCTGGAAATTTTAGTAAAGCAGAAGCAGCATTTTCTGATATTACAGAAGGAAAACTAAGTTGACCATCAGCTTTAAACAGGAGAATTTGCTTCTAATTGAAAAAAAAAGGTTTACAAAAAGGTTGTCAATTCTGATGATTCAACTGAACCTTTTCTCCTCTGGGATCTGAATTTCAATTCTCGACACTGTCTATCACACAGTTTTTATTACTTTTGCACTGGAAATTTGTTATTTTAGCAAACAATATCATACAGTTGATATTTTTCTTTACATCTCACTGCTGCAAATTGTATTGATATAGAAATAAAAAATTATTCTCTTCATTCCTGAGAGTGAAGGGGTTAAGTGGCTAATAAATAGGAAAAGTACAGCCTGCCTGCCTGCCTGCAGAATGTAAACTTAGCCTGTCATTGTTTTTTCTCTTTACATCCTTACATCAATATCCATATTTTCCATACTCTTCTCTAGATATTTTCTTTGTTACTGACAAGGAGAATTTGTCATCAACTCAAAGTTTCTTAGATTGGTGGCCATGTTTTCATTCTAACTCCAAGGAGACATTACTAGTGTATGCTGGTCACAGTTAGGGTTTGAAGGGTTAAAAGTTATTCAGAGAAACTAAATTCAAAAACATAATGCAAAATGTAAAGCAGTCCTTATCTGATTTTTTTTTTAAGGATGACCCAGATGAAGTTGTTACTGCACTTGAGAAGGAAGGTGTTGAGGCATACAGAGGCGCAACGCAACTTTCCACTGTTTACAGAACAAAGCCTACTGCAGCAGACCAAAAAGACAAGGCTAAGATCAGGCAGGAAAATCAAACGGAAAAGCTCCTCTATTCTTTCTCAACATCTCAACCAGAAGTAGCTGCTGGTTCTGGTTCATCTAAAGGAAATGCTGCCAGCAGATACACTACAGAATTCATTTGCTCTGCACCAGTCAACACTGCAACCACAAAACACACCTTTAGCAAAGAAAAAGATGATGTGCTCTTTCCTCACAATGCCAAATACCTGATTGATCATGTGGTGTACCTGCCAGTGCACAAGAGAGTTTCATTTTGGCATCTTGAGCATATATGTAATTCTGTGGAGAAAGTTATGAAAAACCGAGTAGGGGTCAAAATTGCTAATACCAGCAATGTGTTATTTAAGTCCAAGTTGTAGATTTCAGAAAATTTTATTTTATTATTTGAAGATGTACTATATTTCCTTGAATAAGGGCCCATGCTCTACTATTAGCCCTTTGCCCTGAATAAGTGCCCCCCCCCCTCCTGCTCCCTTGAAAGAGTTGGTATTTGTTTCATAATAGTTATTGTTTTTATGCAGAGGAGTAAACTTAAACATGAATCAGAGATTGAGCTTTTTATCCATCATGAGATAGATAATTAGTATCAACAAAATCACTATTAATGAATTATCTGCTATTTTCCAAGGTTTCTTAAAAATTATATTCTTGGTAAAAAGTAAGAATTACAAAGGGAATAAACAAGGATTATTATAAGTTGTTGAGTAATCTATGCACCAGAGAGGAGAGACAAAAATGTCCTTTTTCTTATTATTGAAGTACCTCCTCAAAGTACAATGAATTAGTAAGTTTTAGTAATGTTTTCTTCATTGTTTTCCTTTTTTACATTCAGGTTCACAATCCAGTGTTTCCTTTCGTTTAAATATTTATTAGCAAAATGAATCTAATAAACAGAAATCTCAAAATGATTAAAAATAACAATTGCTGTGAAGCCTCAGTACTTTTTTTTGCTGTTTGTTGTGATCTCTTCTTGAATGTGACTTTTCCTTCATATCTTACTTTGAAACTTTAGTAGCATCTTTTGTGCTCCTCAAAATTGAATTTTGGCAGCCATTTTGGTAGCCAGTAATTAGTGCTATAGTCACCTGGCAGGAGGTGAGAGATGATGCAATCTTCAACCAATACGAACACAAGAATCACTGTAATCACTTGGGCAATTATGTTAATATTGTATAACTATTTTCTGAACAAATTCAGGTTGTTTTTGTGTAATTGCCAGTTACAATAAGAATACTATTAACAGAACAAAGTGCGTGAACATCACCACAGAAAGTTCCTGGAATGAACAGAAGTTTACAAAATGCTGAGGGGGGGGGAAAGCAAGGCTCTAAGACCCTGCAGGGGAGCATGTGGGAAAGGATTGCAGCCCAGGTAACAAAAAAGTCTAAGTTACAATGCTCCACATTTATTATAAATACAAGAAATTCATACAAGATTGCATCTCAACATTTGGAAAGATACAAGGGAAAGGAAATAATCCTAGCACTCAGATTTGTACTGGGGGTGCCATATGTACAGTTATTATTGTTAATAAAAAGTAAAAGACACTCTGAAGACAAAATTATAAATACAGCCTAGTTTAAAATGTACATCAAAATGGTCTAGAGACACTCGAGGACATGTTTTTGCTGACTGATTTTCTTCCAATGTACAGGATTAAATTTATTTCACAATCTCCCCACACACTATTGGTGTGATCCACCTGTTATCTAGTTGATTTGTTTGCCCTGTTAGGTGGTAGAGCTATCACTCTGCTCCGCAATGTCAAGTTAACCTCTCCACAGTTTGCTTCTGTTAGCAAGTTTAAAATGGAATTTTCAAGAACAGATTCCACCAATGACTCAAACTCTGGCAATCTGAAACACAAAGAGCGGTTATAAAGTGTTCAGTAAAGTTTGTCTTTTAGTTAAAAATGTGTGTTATCTTAGGGCACAGGGGGAGATCTGGAGAAGGGTAGCAGAGTGTGCACATCCCCTCCTCCCCCCGAGATGAATTGCAGCCTTCTAATACGATTAGTATTCTGTAAAGAAATTGTTTATTTCATTTGTCAGATATCTCATTCCTTAGTGGAAGCACGCCCCTTCTAAAAAAAAGAAAAATCCTGGATCCGCCATAAATTTTAGAGGAACTAAATGCAAAAAAACTATTTGTGTGAGGGAACAATTGTTTAAACAAGAGTGATTGTAATTTTCTTGCTGCTAAAATGAACCACAACAAATGATATTCACCTTGAGGATGACAACAAAGGTAACTGTTGTCAAAGTGTCATAAACATAGATGAGTACACAAAATAAAAAGAATAAAGTATCAGTTTTGTTCAAATGAGAACTGAGCTCTTGGGTGTGATTTCATAAAAAACTGCAGTAATGAGGGCATACTTTGTCAGGCTGTGATTGCAAAAAAGAAGAACAGTAATGACAAACCTTCGCACTGCCTGTCTTTGTACAGTGCTACTTTCATGATCTCGGTCAGCATCTGTCAATCTATCAGCTATGGACAGCGATGACTCTGAATTATGCTGTATAATCTGATGAGTTCTACTCATAACTCTCTCCTCTGTATTTTGATCCACAACAGCCTGTCATAGCACACAAATACAGCAGTTGGTATAATCTGTCTACATGTAAAGTCACCTTCATTGGTGGCTTCATTTATTTCAAGCAACTGTTTATCAGCACCAAAATAAACTGACCGTGTGTTCTTATTTCCAGCTGACTATAATGTCATTATAACAAAAATTGTTTTCCACATGTTACCTGTCTGTTGAAGGGAATTTGTTCCAGGTCACCTCCAAACTCACCATCCACAAGAGATTGGTCAGAACTTTGACTACTGGCTGAGGAGGGCCTGGAGCTGGCGGTGTATTGGGTTTCACAAAGCTGTCTGAAGTAGGGCACAGGTTCCTGGTTGATCTCATTCATCCTCTGATAGAAATTGTCATCATCAAGAAGACCCCTTGAGGAACACACACCCACAAAAAAAAAATAAAGCTTTAATACATACTCTTTAAAAGAGGCTGACATACAATGTACCTAAATATGCACTACATTACCATATAAAAACCCTTCAATCTAAAAATGGATTAAACAATATTGCTATTAATAACATTATTTAAGGGAGCCCTGATTGAAAAGATTGCACATGTGAGATTTTCTCATACATATCACATACTGATTTGACAGCATTAGAAGTATATATGTATGCAGCATTCCTTTGTATGGCTTATCCCTTCAACTCTTAAGATCTGATTGTTAATTCTGCCCACCAACTGCTACACATTTCCTTGTGAATTTACCATGAGAATCTGGTGCTAGATCAATACAACAACTTCTACCCCACTCCTGATAAGTTTGCCTTTCTTATTACCTGTTTGCTGGATAATGTATGGATATAATAAGGTGAAATTACATGTTAATCACTTCTGGGAGTTAAAAGGGTTAATCATTGAGCAAACAATTAAAAAAGGAGCCTTTACCTGAATATAACAGAGAGTACATCCTGGATAATCCCTATCTCATGTCTGGAGCAGGAAACTAAAGCAGACAGCTCTTCTCTCTCTTTGTCACCAGTCCCTTGTGATAATACATAATGTCTGCAAAGATTTAAGTCACTCTAATGAAATCAACATTTCATGTGCTTAATAAGAGACCCCACAAATAACAGCTTCAACATCTACCTTGATTTTCTGTATCAATTTACATGCCACATCAACCACTACCCTCAACCATCAACTAATTACTCCCTCTGACACTTTCCAAAAAGCAGGAGTCATTCTCTTCTTTTCTTTCTCTCTCTCTCTCTCTCTCCCTTTCTCTCTCTCTCTCTCTCTCTCTCTTCTTATTCATCATTTCATTTCTCTTCCTCTATCATCGTCCTTGGTGATCAACAAGCCTTCCTCAGACTGTCTCTCATGTACATGACTATGAATATCTGCAGCCTTTTTCTAGATAGTGTAACTCTACAACACAAATACAGCTACTCACTGGTCAATCATAAATTTGTTGATTGCTGATGGGAAGTTGCTGTAATACTCTCCAATTGCATGAGTCCTTGCAGTGATTCCCAGATGGAGAAGGAAAGAGTCTGGAGGTACAGGTTGGGGGGGTGTTTCTTGTCGATCACAGTTGCTTGTTTTTTTTCTTTTCGTTTCTTTGGGTGAACCAATTGGTGGCAAAGCCTGATATTTTTTCAAATCACCTTCAGAATGAGACACAGGTTGGTGAGGGTGGCTGATGGATTTAAGGTGTGGTCCAGAATGAGGTCTCTTTATATTATCTTCAGTTATTGTAAAAGTGTACTGTTTCTCTTCCTTCATGTTGGTCCAGTCAATCAGGAGCTGGTTGTACTCTGCCATCTCAGTTTCATCTACAATCTAAAATTCCAAAGACCTTAATTGTCAACTAAATAAATGAAAGAGCTTGGATTAAACAATAGCGAAGTAAAAACTGACAAACCTCGCATATTATATCCATATCATAAAGTGATGGTGTGCCACAGGAGAAGAAAGAGACCTAGAAGGTTTAAAGAACAATTAAGCTGAGCCTTGCTTCCTTTGAAAATACGACACAAATACCAAAGAGAGGTCCATACAATAAAATGTAATTCAGTGTATAATTGAAAGACTTAATATAATGAGGCTTATACCTTAAGCAATACATTCTGCTGTGGTTTGAGGAAGCCATGATCAGGTTCTATCATTACCACCTAAGATAAAATTAATTACAAGTTGAGATCAACAGAACCAGAGACAAACTGAACCTCAATCACCTAAACATACAAGATAATGGTAAGTTGAGGAATTTCAATTCAGTATCGAAAGTAATCTGACATAACATTGGCTTTGCTTTACTTCACTCTGTGATTGGTCCAGAAAAGTTGTGCCACCATCTCAACCAATCAGATACAAAACTAAAACCAATCACAACTTGGTTGCTCACATTTCCCCATGCTTGTGACAGTTTGGTGGTTCTAATACTGTCTCATTGTTCTCATTCGCTGTAAAGATATTTTCTTTTTTCTCCTGATTGGCCACTGCAATTGCTTTGGTTCTAGATTTATGACAATTGAAAGGCGCTCTCTAAGAAATACAATTTTTATCAATTAGAAACTGATTGCTTTTGTTTGTTTAGTACCTGGTCTAAAGCTGATACCCATCTGAAGGATATGATATGGTCCTGTGATGTGTTTGTTAGAAAAAACATGCAACGAGACATGGTGTAAAGAGGAACATCACCAAATGGAATGCACTCTACTGACAAATAGGCCAGCTGAAAAAACACAAGTCAAAGTCATTAAATATGATAATACACCTCAATTAATACATAAAAAGTTCATAACTTTATTTTTACCACTTTTGAATTTAAATTCTTGTTAACTCTGAAAGACTGAAGTCAGAGTGAATCATCCGACATTGAAAGCCAATCAAAGAACCAGCATGTCAAGTAATGATGTCTTTTGATTGACTTGAGACCAATTATGGCTTAAAGCTTGAGGCATAGTACTAGCTGTGGCAAAGACAGTTAAGAATTAACAAGAGGATGGCCTGTAATTTGGTGTTGGCAGTAGCAACACCTTAGCTGAGGTGATACCAACCTGTTTAGGCACCTGGACAACCTGCTTGTCAGGGACTGTGTTACTGGCAACATCCCTGATAGGAAGAGTCTCTCCCATGATACGTTGGTCATATCCCACTCCAGTGAATGTTACCAGAACTGTCTCACCACCAATAATACGCACTGGTATATCAACCTACATGTTGAAGACACACCATTTAATAAGTCTGCATTGTAAGTAATGGACCAGAGAATCTAAGATTAAAAAATTATATAAAATTAACCAGCCAGTAGACCCAGCAGGCCCCTTTTATTAGGAAGAGCTTTAAAGCACAAACATTTCTTAGAAAAAATTTTAGGCCTTGGGAAACTCAAGCCAGTGAGTGGTCTGTAAGGGTCTAGCACTGATAATTAGTACCAGACCCCAGTGCTCAAACCTTCTCCCTGCCTCCAGTCACTGGTCCAAAATCTTCCTCCAGGGAGAGAAATGCTTGTCTTGAAGGGGTAATCAGAATCTACACACAGGCTACCATGAATGACAACTTACCATGTAAGTCCTGGCCTCCAATGGAGCAAACTGCCAGTAAATCAGAGCAGCACACCCTGGGGGAATCTCCCCTGATGGATTCAGACATTCAAAGATGCGGCAGCCATAGTTTTGCTTTGAACAAACAAAACATGAAGTCATTAAAAGTTAAAAAAATGTTGGCAACATACCAGAGACTTGATTGGCTGAAATTGATGTCATAAAAAAGAGCCCAAGGTGGGTACCTAGGTCAATTTTTGTTGGGTATGTGCCACTGGCCTCTTAGAACCCCAAGCTACCCCATTATAGTTTATTCTCTGGCTAATTATAGACTCCATCGTCAGTTTTGGACAAAACATTTTTTCAATCCCAACTTAGTCACTTTCTGTTTGTGCATCTACTTTATCAAGCCTTTTAAGTTGTTCATCCAAAAACAAATAAGCACAATTTTGTCAAACTGAATTTCTAGAATACTTTTCACCTACAGTACAAACATTCTGATACATTTGTTAACTGTAAATACTTGTAAATTTAATGTACCATTTTTAAATGCCTATTTACTTGAATTTTCTTAGCCTAAAAATCCAGAAAATGTGTGACCCCACTCAAGTAACTATATTTAAATGGCAACCCCATTAGTCAATCAAGCTGAGAAAGTTTGATCTCATCCAGTGGCACATCTCCATAAGCCTATTATCAGCAGCACATCTCCATAAGCCTATTATTAGGAAGTAACCCCCTCTTCCCTCGGAAAAGGGTGCCTCGGTGAAAGGAGCACAGTGATCATAGTGATAAAGTAATACTAAGTTGTCAAACAAAAAACTTAGGATCCTTGTGTGTGGCTTTTTTTGGATAATAAATAAATGTAATAAGTCAAGTAATGCATCCATAGTTCATTCTGTCAATATCTCAAAATCAAATGACGATAATGAATCCTGCTGAATTAACTGAATGCAAACATTAAGACTTACAGCCTGAACTTGTGCAAGAGGCTCCATATCCAGCTCATACTTTACAACTCTGGATCCTCCATTGTACAGTTCATAGACTTGTACTGGTGGTGATGTCCCTCCAACAGGGACTGGCTCAAAAAGGTGCCTTGTACTGGCAAAGTGAACATAGTAACTGTCAGGGTCCACAGTCACACCAATGAAGTTCAGCTGGGCAAGTAAGCAAATAAACAAAGTTATAAGACAAAAATTATAGTGGACTGTGACAAATTAAATGAGATTTTTGTTTCAGATTTAGACTTATTTAAGTGAAACAAAGTTACTTCCATGTAAATTTAAAGACATTTGTCATTTCTTCAACTCTGCCTGACTTGAGGTGAATTTCTACTGAAATTTACACAAGGAGTATATTCATTTAATTTGTAGTAATATATATCATACCAGGATTTCTCTTCCTCTCATCACCTTGAACAAGACAGGAAGCTTGTTGGTGCCAATGAATGAGTGGCTGCAAGCGTGATGAAACCAAAGAATTGATAATCTGACAAAAGGAGAATCAGACATGTGTATGGCTCATGGGCCCATGGCTGTTTTATTTAGTGATGAACAAAATAAATATATGGGAAAGTTTTCCTGCATAAACAGTGGTGTAAATTGTGACACTGTATTTTATACATACCTGTATGTAAGAGTAACAGTGTGACACTCTCCAGCCAACAACTTTCCTCTTCTAGGTTCAATGCTGAACAATTTATTATCCATGACCTGCATCTAAAGGAGTATACAATTCTTAACAAATGTTAAACACAATTAAAATTCCAAACTAAAGTATGTAAAACTCATGTCCAGGTTCCCAGTTTTTGTACTCTTACCTCATGCAGTTCATCTTCATCATACTCTCCTGTTTCTGCCCAGTATTCTAACTCAAGCTGAAGATCACTTGGATACAAGAATGCCCTGCAAGGTAAAAAATTCTCTGTCATCAGTTCTTGGGGATTCAATACAACTTCTAATAGAAGTGACCTGATTTGACTTGGGGGATTCATTGACATGATTAGCCATCAAATATATTAAGTTATGAAGTTTACTATAAAAGCTGTCTTACAACAGTTTAAGCAGTGCAGCCACATAACTGTATCTTTTATCATTTGATTTAAATTTTATAAGCTGAATATAAACTGAATGCAAACTGCAAAATCTGTAAATTAAAAGAATATCTTCATTTTCAAATTGAAGTAATTCATCAGAAATGACAATCTTGGTATTAAAATGGATTGAAAAGGGCAACCTATCATTACCTACAGATAGAAACTGACCAATCACACTTGATTCTTATTCCCAGTATATTATAACATCAAGGCTTAATTGACTTATCAGTTTATGTGAACTGGACTTATAACATGTGACTGCTGACAGCAACTCTCCTTTTGAATCTGATGACTTCTGCCTAGGTTGTCAAAATGTCAGTCATTACTACCAACAACAGTCCTTCTCAGGACTACTCTCACTTAGATGATCAGACTACATGATCACTTGGTATTATCAGGAGTTATAATTACCATTCAGCAGGAACTGTGCCTGTGTTTTGTAGGTTTAGATGCACCACACATGGATCTCCATTCAAAGGTGCAGCTCCAAAGTTTAAGTCCATAATCGCTCGTGTATTGACAGGGACTCGGCGCCTGGTACTGTGTAAATTTGGATCACTTTATTTTAATATTCATCAGCATGATTTGTGATTGAGTTAATTATTACTGACAGTCTGAGATGTAACTTACCTGTGCCTTGTGACTGCAGCATAAAGGAGTTCTGATGGAGACGGATCTGCCTCCAAACATTCATTGAGACTGCAAGTTAAAACAGTAAAGTTTTGACAAACACAGTAAAATGACACAACATTGATTCAAAATAATTAGTTTTGATAAGATATTATAAGTAACATTGTATTTAATCTTATTTTTGTTGACAAATACTCAATGACACCATCCCATTATACAAAAACAGAAGAGTTTTCAATTTCAATTATTCCCTGCTAATAAATTGACTGAAGAATTTTAGATAACTTGACTTGCTGCCTCAAGAGCATCAAAGACCTGACAAAGACATTTAAACATTAGAATCTTTAGAGGATCCTGAAGGAATCTCTACAAGGTCTTCAAAGATCTCTTACCAGTGAGAAGACACTGAAGACTTCCTTAAGATTCTTGAGGAAATAATAAACACACTTCAAAGACCTTGCCAAGATCCTCACAAAGATTTTTGTATAGACCCTCACAAGGATCCTGCAAGGATCCTTCAAGATCTTCAAAGATTTCACCTGGGATAATTATGAATAACCATTTAAGTCTACCTGTCAAGTGATAGGAGATTCCATATCTGCACTTTGCTGTAAGCTTTGCCACTCCCCAGACAACGTACATCAGTCACAGACAGAGTAGGATACACTCCCTGACACTGCAGTTCAGCTAGTTGTCTTTTGGGGCAAGTCATCAGAGGTTTTCCACCATCTGCCAGAGGAAAATCAACATTTGAATTGGATGTGTCTGCTGTTAACACTCAATTGCAAAAATGTTGACACCTAAAAAGAATTTTCAATAAACAAAGACACCCTACAGCTTTATGTGTCTACAAGGTAACTAACATATGTTGCAAATGGTGAAAGATGGAGACTATCCAAGCTTTCCTAAAAAGGAAACTAGGAACATTGTGAAAAAAGATTTTACATGGATTGAATAATAAGAAAAGTAAATGAATGATTATGTGTCTGTGCAAACAATTCTCATGAAGCTAAGTCTCATTGTTTGTGGATCATGCTATTCAGGTGTCAATATTATTAGTAATCAAGAGTAAAATAAAATAACTAAAAAAGGAAATGTAAGGGTGTACCTGCCAAGTCAACAATATAATTTTGAGTGAGTCAGTGAAAAAAAAATTTTAACATACCACAAATTGAGAGAAGTTCATAAAAGAGTTTGAACTTGTAGGAAACACGGCGTGAAGGATAAGCAGTTGCTGTTATTTTCTGGGAAGTTCTTGCTGGAATAATCCCATTTTGATTGCTTATTTCCATTGCTGCAGTACACAAGAGAACAGTTAAAAACACTTCCATCAAACCAAGTATACTTCTCTCCAGATATTTTTATGCAGTACCAGGTAAAATAACATAAAACTTAAAACAAAAAAACCGAAAAAAAACCAGATATGACGAACTTACCCAATACATCTCTTGCAATCTGTTCATCATCATAGGGTCCCAATATCTCCTGGTCAATAAGTAGGTTATAGTGGAGACTGCAGTCACTATTATTATGGATTGTTAGCTCTTGAGATGCAGAGCTTCCCACAACAATGTCCCCAAAAGTCATAGCCTCCTCTAGACACTTTAAGATGAAAAGAATAAATTAATGCTCATATATATGTAGAAATAAATAAAAGGAATGATGCCAATTGGAAAGACATCCAGTGGAAAATATATATGTTGACTTGGCCCTTTAACTCTGCACACAAGTGATTACCTGCTCCCTATGATATCCACACATTATCCAATCAAAGGGTAATAGAAGGGCTCAAAATTATCAGGTAAAAGTTATCTTGATCTAGCACTAAACTCCTGTTAATTAATTGACAAATGTCTAGCCCCTAGAGGGGAGAATTAACAATCTGATCTTGGGAGTTACATGGTTAAATGCTTACCACAATTTCCCCAAGAGATCCTTCACCAATAACTCTCACTAGATAGGACTTATCTTCTTGTGCTCTAGAGGTAAAAGACAACCCAAGTCAACTACTTGGCTTTGAATAATTTTCTGCTTTAGACAACAGTTAAAATGATGAAGAGTTCTCTCATTCTCTGTATGTAGCCCTGCTACATTCTCAGTAAAAACCAAAACTACTCCACAAAAAGGTTGCATTATAATTGAATTAGCTTTATCTAATTGATTTAGAGAAACATTATGATGACCAAATGATGATCAGGTTCCAGCTGACGTTTTATGAACTCCTTACTGTTGCTGGGATTCTGGTTGCAATCCTTTCACAGAGAGTTTTGTCTTGATCACATATTTTTCTTCTTCATGAGGTTTAAAGCTAAAAGTGTGAGCCTATGAGAAAAAAAGGAGTTGTTTACAACACATTGCTTATGACAGCTTCACATTAAATTCTGCAAAAGATGATAAAACTGATAGAGGATAAGACATGTAGATAAGACCAAAATTGTTTTGTCTTACTAGTAACACTGTGATAATTTACAGGGATCTTGGAAGACAATTAACAAAAAAAAAATCATTGAAACACACTGCTCATGCCCACCTGAGTTTCATTGGGTAGAATGACTCCATCAGAGGGATCAATGCTAAGACTTTTAAAATGAGGTCCAGGGATCTTCCATGAAAACCTGATAAGCAAAATTAGGCTTGTTGATGTTATAATGTAATTATCAATCTTATACAAACACATTGCTGGACTCTCATTCTAAGAAAAAAGATAGATTTTATTTCTATTAATGAGAAAAAGGTGGGATTTAGTTTGACATTTAAAAAGGTAAAAAAAAAACATAATTGAACAAACCTCAGTGGAATCCTGGAGGTATTCTTTACTTCAAACAGCCTTGTTGATGCTGTACCCAAACAAGTTGGTTTGAAATAAACAGTTCCCTGTAAAACCCAAAAAAGTTACTGTCAGATGAAATAATCATGGAAAGTCACTAGACAGATTCAATCAGAAATCACCTGATTTTCAAACTTTTCACACTTACGAAAACAACAAAGATACTTAAATTAAGATTTCATTCATAGCAGTAACTGATGTGTAAAATCTGATCAGTAAATCTCCTATAGCCAAAAAAACAAGCTGCTTACAATGACTAAACATAGAAATATGAACCCATGAAAATAAAGGATTAGTGGTTTAATAACAAATATAATTATATGAGCATAACCTGATTATTGAGTTTTAGAGATGGAATCTCTGCTGATCCAACAAGGTTGATTTCCTGTTTAAACAAAATTGTAAAGTACTCAGTATAAACTATCACATATTATACATTACAAAATAAATGTACTTGCCAAAAAAATTTGGATTTAATTTTATGAACAAAAATTCATATCTATAAGTATGATACAATGTGATGAAAACTCATTTCACTTAATTTACAAAAAAAGTTAAAATAACCTGAGTAAACTTGTTTGCATCATTCAGCTTACAATTGACTGTGCACCTAAAGGCTTTTGCTTCTGTTGGTGCCATTTTGAAAATAATCAACTGGAAAAAAAAAGAGAGAAGGTTTGAAGTATTTAGAAAGTTAATCATCCATGGTCTAAATAAACAAGTTGACTGCAGATCATTAATGAATGATGGGGCAAGCTTCTAAAGAAACTGTCAGAGGTGCTGCATTGGTGAGGGGTGTTACAAGATTATTTGGTTTAACCAGATGACAGAGTAGATAAATAATGTGAACTGGCCACCCAAAAGTGTTCCCAATACTGACATTTCAAGCCTAAGCCCTTCATCTGAACAAATCATTATTAACCATCATTAAAACACAATTCTAACCTGATATTTATCAGTAAGCAATCCAGTTCTAGGTCTACATGTAAACTCTCTGAAAAAAGGAACCAGAAACACTTACAGTTAGCTCAGCATGAGAGATTTAAAACCAGAATTTATAATTAAGTTTGTTCAACTTTAATCACAATTATTAATATTATTATTATTATAAATACCACTAAAAGCTCTTAGGAGTTTCAGCCTTAAATTTATAGAACTTATTCTGCTCAATTTTCAATAAACAGGTTCACTTTCCCCTTTGATATAATTGTCAAATGCATATTTAAAAGGAAAAATCTATTGATCATTAATATTTGAATGTCATAAGCTGAGTATTTTGTTCACAACAGCCTGCAAATTAAACATAGGCCAGTTTGATTTGAGTACCAAATACTAAACTACTTACTAACCTTGCTTGCTTGAGCCACACTGCGGAACATTGGCCCCCTGTTGTTTTTGTACAGACTTTGCAATGCACTTGGTCCACACTACCACAACCTCAGGCCAATATTCCACAGTAATAACCTCACACTTGGTTAGTAAAAAGTTATTTTTTAACTTATCATGTATTATTAGGGTTAATTTTTTTTAAAGGGTTGCACTTCTATTTGCCTTTTACAGACCGCTATAACTTTTTACTCCTCTAGTTTCACCCACACTTGGTCTTTGATCTTTTGTGGAAAAGTAAAAGTAACATTACAATTTATTTTGTCATTACCCTGATGGATCATCATCAAATGCAAAATGGATTGGATTCTGCCCATTGTTGCTCAACAGCAATGTTCTGTATGACATGCCATCCACAGTGGTAGCTGGAAAGACCTAAACATTGGAAAAAAGGAATGAGTTACGAATCAAGTTTAGAAAGAAAAAGATAAAACAGCAACATTCTAATAGGAGTAGGGTAGGGTAGAATCTTCCTCATTCACACCAGCAAAACATGCTTTGTTAAATCAGGTTGAACTGAACAAAAATAAGGAACAGAAAGCTGAAAAACTAAATTTTAAAGAGGGTTCAAGTAATCACTAACTTTTAATTTCATTGTGCTAAATTTGAGGTCACCAAACATCAGTTTGAGCAGTTTAAATGGAGAAAACATTTTGACAAAACAGCTTAAAAGCCATTAGCTTTAGTTTACATTCCCTTATTATCTCATACCAGCTGTTTTACATCCCACTGACTTCTGGGGATAAATGTTTCAGTCCCCATTGCAAATGTGTGTCCTAAAAATAATTTTAAAAAAAAACTTTTTTCAGTGAAACAAGGAACACAGATTCATTGATGTTTCCTCAACAAAAATTCTAGAAATAACATTAAAACACATATATAAGAACTCATTAAAGTGTATGGCAACAAAAACAGAACTAAAGCACCATATCCTTGAATCTGACCACAAACAGAGTTCAGTTCATTACTAATTACTAATTAAAGTTACGTTCAGCACAAACCTGTAGCACTGAGTGAAAGGCACCAGGGAGGGCACAAAGTGGTATCCTCAACCAGGCGATAATCTCTCATACTCTGTACCATGATAGAAATAACATGATATAAATTTCATCTAACTATCACTGTGTGACACAATAAGATCAATCTATCAAACATTGTCAAAAATGTACTTCAATGGATAAGCAAAAAATTATACTTAAAAAAAATTAATGACATCATCAGAACTCTTAATTAATGACAAAGAGTAAGATTTTCCACAGAAGAGTGTTCAATTGTGATGCCATGGGCATCACCATCTGGGAAGGGGGGGGGGGTAAAGAGCATTCTCCTCCAGGAAATTGTGAAAAGAAATAGTTATTGCAGTAACTGTAACTAAGATGTGCATTCCTTCATTCTGAGCTATATCTTCCACTGTTGTATTTGAAGCAAGCACAAAGGGAACAAAGAGTAAATTACATTTAAATGAAAATGAATTTCAAACAGCGATTTGCTATCTTGAACTCAATATTTTAAATCAGAAGCCTTAAATGCATGAGAAATATGTTTGTTATGAGCTTGGAAAAGAAACAATCAAGTTAGGGTTCCTAACAAATTCACAAGCTCTTGTAACAGAACCTCACCTTATAAAATGCATAACACTCCAGGTCAGCACTAAAAAACTGATTGGCAGCATTCTTTAAAAAAAATACAGTCATAAATCACACTGTAAACAGAATCACAGTAATAGAAAAAGGAACCATGTGAATGAAAAAGGCACTAACAATGAGTATTGAAAGTATCAATAACTTACTGGTCTAAATGTCACTCGGAATGATGCAGTTTTTAAGGGGAGGATGTCTGCTTCATCAGGGGAAACAGAAAATATCCCTTTTGTATCTATCAGACAGAAAGGAGCAAAATCATTAATTGAGTATAAATCACAATACCATTTGCAATAATTATAATTGGTCTTAAACTAGAAATGGGCAAACAACAATTTTTAATGACCAACAAATTACAATTTAAATTAACTATAACCACCTTTCATCCACATGCATGTGATTTTTCCCTTTGTGTGATTTGTGATGTTTACTGTCTGTAAGTAAAAATAGAAAAAAAAAGTGAAAACTTGAGCTCATAATCAAGGAAAATCAAAAAAGTGTTCTGAAACTATTTTACCTTCTGCTCCACAGCTTTAGGATCCAGCAGCTGCCCAAAGTCTGTGTGGTGAACATCTAAACTGACATGAGGAACAATGGCAGTCTGCAAATCATGAACATAGTGATTACATTAGAATCAAGCTTCAATTAGTAAATTTAAAAGGAAGAAAAACATGGACCTAAATAAACAAACTACTTACAGTTTCTCCAACTGATGCATGACAAAAGAACTCTTCCATAGGTGAAAGTTCATGAACTGATGGCAGTAATTCTCTAGAGGAAGTACTATGCTAAAAAGAGAATACATTGAATGTTGTAATTAAACTACATCCTTTATTTCCTAAAGGCAAAACTCAAAATGAAAGGGATGATGTAATATTATTATAATAATAAGCAGTATATGTTTTAGCTCTTAATCCCTGAGAGTGACTGACTTCTTCGTTCTCCTTACAGTATTACCATTAAAGAAAATTTACAGGGCATGAGAATAATGGAAATGATCACCAACCTAAGAAGCTCCTGATGGTCACATAAATTCTCTTTCTCATTACCACAGGAAATGTAAAAAAAACGGTGTGGAGAAAATGAAAACTTATTTTAGGGTGTAAAGGGTTAATGTCACATCAACCTTAACTCTCAGGGTACCAACCTCCAGTGCCATTAGAGCTCCTTCTTCATCAAGTTGAAGTTTGTTTGTTCTCAGATCTTCATTAAGTTGCTATAAATAAATAAACAAATTAAGCAGTTAGGTTATTTGATACATTAGATGTACATTTAGATTTTGTTGAGGGCTGTTCTAGGGCAAAAGCATTTTGAAATAACTTAAATTCAAATAATTATACATCATGTTGATCAAAATTTATCTCTAGATCTCTTTTAGCAGGAACACCACCACTTACCTCTGGTGAGATTTTTGAGAATCCACGTCCAACATGGATGTGATACCTGTCCAGATGTTTCTTCTGCAAAACAGCTGATAAACAGATCAATTTATCGTAAGTCATTTTTCTTGTTTCATGTAGTAATTGTTCAGTATCCCCACAAGCCCAATTGTTCATTTTATGTAAATATGATAAAAAAATGTAAGACTGAGTTTCACGCTTATTTAAAAGTAAAATGCATAAACACTAACCCATTCACTCCCAAGATCTCATCAGTAATTCTCCTTAGTGTGTGCCATAAAAATTCTCATGGAGCTTATTCTGAGAATTTGGTATTGGATCACCTAATAATCTCCTAATTGATATTTTTCTTTATTCTCATCACTTTTCCGCTTGATATTGTATTGATATTGTTGGGAGAATTTCTATCTTGGTCACTTACGGGAGTTAAAGAATTTCTAAATTATAAACATAGACACTGAATGTACCTGGTTTAACTTGTTCTGTATGACAAGTTCCAAACAAATCAACATACAATGGATCCTGAGAAAATCAGATGAACAAAACTTAATATAAAACACTTTTCAAGATTACAGTTTAGACAAACAGAAAAATATTACCAGCCTAATACTAACACTGACCTGGTTTTGCACTAGACAAGTTAGTCTCCTGTAGTAATTAATTGGATTTGTTGGAGAAAAGTGTATAATTATGACTTGAGAACTATTGCCAGGTAATAAACCACATGTTGCTTCCAGCTTGAAGACACTTTGATTGCAATCGATCATGAACTAAAACATATGTTACAACGATTATCATAAGTACAAATGAGTAACTTTTAAACTTAAGTTTATCTGTTGATATCAAGTTATCTCTAATATTTCTTTTCCAAAAAAATGCCATTAAGAAGAATGACACCTCTCTGAAAGGGGCACCTACAATTTATTTGTAAATCCCTTCAGTGGACACTTTCGGGCAACAAAAACAGGAAAACATCTTACAAAAAACCTGAGCTGATTTATTTCTTCATTCTAAAAAAAGAAGTATCTGTTCAATGTAAAACATGACAGTTACCTTGAAAATTTTAGTGACCTGTATCTAGTAGCAATAATTACAAAATACTGTATGGATTTCAAAGGCTTTAGGGACTCAGTACATATTTTTTGCTCATAATTAAGTATGAAATTGGACTTGATACTTTTTCTCTAATCTAAATGTGATGCCATTCCTTTAATCATCGAAGTTGTCAATCTCCCAGATATCATACACCACACTAACACCATTCAGTGCCCAAAGGAGCTGACCTTGCACAAGTAGAAAATAAAAATATTTCAGAAGGTCAAATAACCCTGTTTTTACAAAGAGCATCTGAGCAGTTACAAGTCTAATATTAACCTTTTGCAAATAATTGTTAAATATTGAGAGTTGTATTAATCTAAAAGTGTTTGACATCAATAATCCTTTAGAAGACAAAAATTTGCTTATTACATTACCTGAAAAGCTGCAGGAACATCTGAATTGTTAACAACCTTGAAACTTTTAGCTGAAAACTTGCCAGATTCTACAACTCCCATATCAAGATAGTCACAGTCAAGAACAACTTCAGGCCCTAACAAACAGAATTAAATACAAAATACTGATTTGCACTGGAAATTAATTGATTAGACGGCAAGGGTGGTTCATAATATAATGCTCATAGTTATTATGAGATTACAGCTGACCTAGAATGAGGGTCAGGAGAAAACTTGGGTAAATTTTTGCTGGATATGTGCCACTGGTCCCTCAGAATTCCTCACCCATAAAAGTTTATTCTGTGGTAAACTAAAGATCCCATCTTAGTCACTTTTGAACAAACATAATTTTTGCGATCCCAAGTGGAAGTCACTTTCAGTTCATGCATCTAAACACTGCACCCTTAAAAGGCCTTTTAAGTATATCATCCTAAAATAAATTGTAGTACCCCCCCCCCTTCATGCAGCGGACAATGTTAAAATTGACATGTCCCAGTATAAATTATTTCAATTAATAATTTTTTATTTCCAAGTTCAACTTCATGAACTATCAGAGCCTGTAAAAGCACTAAACATATCACTACCTTTGCCTATTCCTTTGCATTTAATAACAGAACAATTGGTAGCTCCAAGAGCTATAACTTCCAGATAATCCACTGAGTGAAAACCAGGATTCTGTGGAGTAAATGACACCTGAAAAAGAATAACGAGGAAGAAAAAATACATTTTACATAAAGATCACATACATGTGAGCCATTTGCAAGAGAAGTAATATACTCAAGTGAGGATACAAGAAGAATATAAAGAAAAATCTTCAGTTAAAAATTACTGTTAGCAAAGAACAAAGCAATTGAGTCCTTACTGGGTAATATAAATAAGCAGATTCACCTGCAACAAAAAATTACCTTAAGTTTGATGGTACTTTCTGCTGGGACAACACCATGATAATGTGAACATGAGAACACCATGTCCATATTGAAGGTAGAAGATGGTTGTAACACTTGGTATGGTGCATTAACCTATAAATTAAATTGAAAAGCTCCAATATAAAAAAATCAATGATAATATCCCTTGTATTTAAGGAACTGGTCAAGAAGAATAACTCTTACTGGAGAGAAGTTATGTAGCTCAATCCACTTGACAGCTGTTGTTTGAACAGGGACTTCACCAAAATTTAAATCTAATTCATCCTTGGTTGTGAACTCAGTAGAAGGAGTGTTCTTGGTCTGCCTGGATATGCTGGCTACAAGATGGGGAAATTTACCTGATGCAGGAGATGAAAAATAAGTTCAAAGGATGATAATGCAACCACTGATCAAGAAAACAATATGGCTTGGGGACATGCTGTGGCCTGATAGTTAAAATGCTGGACTACAGGTTGAGAGGGGTTCCAGACCTGGCTGGGTCAATGCTAGTTAGTGCACTGGACTGCAGGTTGAGAGGTCTGGGTTCAAGACCTGGCTGGTTCACCATGTTATGCAATTGAGCAAAACACTTTACTCCCACCATGCTTATCTCCATTCAGGAGTATAAATGGATGCTGACAATCGTCAGGGAGGTCTGATGAAATGCTGGGGAGTAACCTTGTGATGGACTAGCATCACATCCAGGGAGGAGTAGTAATACTCCTAACTGCTTAATGTAAAGGAAGGTAGGATAGGCTTCTGCTGGGTGTGCCACTTGGCTCAAGTACAGACTTACCTAACATAATAGACTAGAAATGTATGTTGATCAGTTTACCTATTCCTTCCAATCTGACATGCTTTGTAAAAGGAACTTTTTGTTCAGCACTATAAGAACACACTGCAGTGCCTTCATAAACCAACGCTGCCTACAAAATAATGATCAGTAAAGGTATCAATACAAGATTCTGAGAGAGTTAGGGCATTGGAATCATTCAAAACTCCACATTGTAATCACCCAATGCACACCATAGACATCTTGAAACATATACCTTTGGGCTAAATGTCGCTTTGATATTGCATGATGTTTGTGGTGACAGAGTACCACTTTCAGGAACAATTGAAAATGGCTCCAACACTTTCCAATGGAAATTTGTTACCAGTTCACTGAAAAACAGGCAAAGAGAAAGTACAGTTGCTTGTCATCAATAATATTCCATAAAACAGAGAAGTAGCTAAAAATTTTGTTTACATAGAAATATATATACACAACAGGTTAGTACTAAAAGCCTTGAGGATCTAATTCTTATACACTGTTATAAGCCTGAAAAAGGATTTTGATCAGCAAATGTTTTGCTTGTATCCAGTAGCTACATGTATATTTATCAAAAATACATATACCTGGTATTTGTGATTTGAAATACAACTTGCACACAGTCCTTTACAGCACACATGTTGAACTTAAGTGATTCTGGTACTGCTATATCTGCTTTTGGTAAGACTGCTTTCATAGGAACTGAAAAAATTCCCTCCTAAACAAACAACAGAGTAAAACACTGTAACATCAAAAAGCAAATTATAATAATCAAACAAATGCAGGACATCTTCGTAAGCAAATAGTTTTTCATTAGTTTGTCTTTGCATTAACTATTTATCATGCCAGTAACATCCAAGCTGGGACTCAATTCACAGTAACTTACATTTGTTTCAAATTCTATGCAATCTTCATAATGTCCCTACAAAATAATAATGACAGATCTTGTAAAAACAAAAATGAAGCAACTGTTTCAACTAAGCTCTACAGATATTAAATCAACTCGGATAGTTTAAGAATAACCACATCATATTATACCTTTTCAAGAGGTCTGAATGTGACAGGCAAAGTAAAGCTGGTTCCAGAGCTTAGCACAATTGGCTTAGGGTAAAGTGTTGTAAAAAATCTACTAGATGGAGACCTGGAAATAGAAATAATACAATGTGATAAGAGAGTAATTAATGAAGGAACTGTTGGCTCAACACAGAGACGTGCATATGCATAAACTTTTTCCACTTTTTTAATGCAAAGGGGAAAATGCTTAACTTACCCCCACGGCTAGACAAATAACAACTTTCTTTCCTTATTCAAAAAATTGTTCATGGTATTTATGTACTGATTAGTTGGAAGCTTCAACATCCTCTCCTCCGGCAACCAGTGGGAGTGAGAAATTTGAACCTTGTCTTGGTGGGGTGGGGTATTTCAACTATAATTGTCCAGTCCTTCCAGCCAAATACATGTCTTGGAAATCAGAGTTTTAAGGTAAAGAGTCTGTTGTTGCTAGCAAATTGCTTAGAAAAAAATTAACATCATAAAATGATACTTACAAGCTAATAATCCCACAGAAGTACAAAAAACTAATACATGCCTTTCCTAAATTCTAAAACAAATGTTGATCATACAAAGAATACTACAACAAATTTTGCTTGGGTAGGTCATTTGAAATCAACTCTGGCTTGGGAGTAGAGGGGGTGGAAAATGCTAAAAATCTAATTGAATCATTGCAGCATTTTAATTGAATAAGCTCTGAGGAGCAAAGTACTCACTTGTAGTGCAGCTTTTTAGTTTTAATCTGCACATTCTTAAGCACAATTTGCTGTGTGTACTCTCCACCAGGCTCCCATCCTTGCCATGTGATGCTGTTGGCAACCTCTATTCCAAAATGATTGACACTTCGTTCTGTTTGTACTGGCATGGTGAAAAATATAACACCCTGTAACTGAAAAAGAAGTTAAGTTTGGTTAGGTATTGTAGTATGACAGCAGGTGAGGAAAAATGCAACACTGCAAAGGGTCAAAGAATGATAAAAAGCAATCATACTAAATAATACTATAGCACAACACAACTACCAGGTGTTGGAGCAAGTTCTCACCATCATAGACATATGAATGTAATTTCTAGGAAATGCAACAAACAAACCTGGTGGCCCCACCATTATATAAACAAACTCATCTCATCATGACTTATATTTTCAATCAATTTGCACTTCAATCCAATCAAAGAAGCCTTTCTGGCCTGGATTGCGCATATTTGCAGTCCTACAGTAAGCTCCAGTTTCGGTAGCGAATAAGAGTATCTAGACATCGAGATCTGTGCATGCACCGAGGTGCACGATATACAATTTTCCACTTTGCATTGCTACTGCGCTGTATTCTTCCAAATGCAGGAGGCAATTTTCCCATCTCATCAGTTGAAGTTGTATTTGTACAGTTCTCACCAATCCTTGAAGGAATATTGTTCATCATTTCGTTAAACAGCATCATTGAATAAACTCACCGACTAAATTAGAAAACCATTACTCTCTGCATACAATAATCGATATTCTAGGCTGTTCTCGATGACAGTACACGAAAGATCAAATTCGCTCCAGATTTACAAAGATGGCGCCTACAAAGTTGTTGTTGAGAATCACCGTAGTTACGAAATTACCATATTTGGCATAACTCGCTCCAGGTCTCTTGCTACATTTGACCTCGGCCGCTAACATAAAAATATGGACTCATCATCAAAGGAGAGTATAGAGGATATCCCGTAAGTTTTTTCATTTTAGCGCTGATTTCTAGTAATATAGAAGAGGATTAAGGCAAATAATCTCAAATTGATGTCAATAGGACGGGATATCCAAATATACAACGAGTGTGGTTAACGTTTACGAAATGCTCAATTTTTGTAGTTCAGCATATTAAATCAGCTGTGATCTTTGCTTCTATTCTGTATTTTTTGCGATAGTTTGAATCACAGAGGTAAAATTGATGATCTCGTGTTGTTTTTCATCAGAGTGGCATTATTACTGACTGATCCTATGTTTTAATGCGATTTTAAAGCTTCTATATTGCGTTGTGCACAGATGTTGATGTTGTCAGCTGTACATCTATTCTCCAGTCATGCATATATTTAACGCGGTTTCCAGGAGTTATAAAAACAAGTTCAGACAAGCAGCTGATGAGTACCTTATATCAGTCACCTGATAACTTGATATCTTAATCGATTAATCCTGATGATTTTTAAGTCAAGATCTTAGAGTTGATACCCCTAACAAATATTAAAACATTTGTTTTTTTGCTTTAGAAAGTACTGGGAGTATATTCGAAACTAGATCAGAGGGACATTATTCTTTTATGGTATCTTCTCAATCATGAGCAGTCTTACTACACCTGTCTGAGCGACAGGAAAAAATTTCAAGTGAAAGAATTAACTCTCTTTTTTTGGTCTCAAACCTTAATTTTTTGGGTTTCCTTATTTTGTTGAATTTGTGCTTTTGCACCTATGATGCAATATAAGTAACGTTGTTTCCTGGGTAAGTGACAGCTTTTTAAAATTGAATACTGTCAATTTTTTTACATACTTTCTCTTTCCCCTCATCCTGATTTTCTGATCTTTCACATATGAAGTTTATGTTGTTCATAGCTACTTCCTGGTTTGGGGTCTTTGACCATTATTCATAGTGCTCTTGCTCAATCCAAACAGATTCTCTTAGAAAACTGAGATCTCCTTTAATGAGGTTTCTGATCTTTATAGTATGACCTTAAAGGTAAATTCTGATCTGTCAGATGGTACCACGCTAACCTGACAAGGAATGGTGCTGAGGTGTTGCTGCTTGCTTATGGCTGTGAAGGAAGCTATTTACTGAGACCAAGTAAAAACAACCCAGGGAACTACACTGTATCAGTCAAGTATGCTCTTAATTTGTAATGTCAATAGGTTTACCTAATGTGGCTGTTGTTCTTTTATTTTGTTTTCACAGGTTGTACAATTTTAGGCCCAGTCTTAATTAAGACACAATTTGATCTTGACAAATTATGGTGAATAATTGATGATTGTCTCTTTCTTTTAGGAGTGTTGATTCAGTAAGGCACTTTCCACTGGTTTATGATAACAGAAAGTTTGTCTTTGGAGTTGGAGAATTTTTTAATGTTGAGCAGCTACTGGAACATTTCCAGAATTTTCCAATCATTGCAGGAGATACAGGTTTGGTAATTTGTACACATCTCCATTTGAAATCGATCAGAAATTAAAATCTACTTTTGTCTGTTATTTAATTCTTTGGCATCCATGTGAAGCCTCTTTCAACTTCTTAATCTCTTATGTATAATTATTGAAAAAAGGTTGGGTTTTTGGAGCATTAAATTTCTTCCTGACTGTCTAATTTTTATCAAGTTGATATTTAGACTGAACAAACAAGCATACCTACTAACATTGCTTAATATTCAAAAGCTTTAAGGTGATACTACTGTTGGATTATGAAATCATAATAACAAAATAATGTAAACTGAATTGACCAGTATCTTGCTAATTTGATGATTGTCTATTACAAACAGGTCAAGCTGTTACACTTGCTTATCCATATCCTTCTACGGTTAAGGAGCCATCAGTATATGAGGACATCACTAGACATGTAGTGCGCGGGAGCTCCTTAAAGTGTCACACCTTTTCCAACCCAATTTCACCTGAAAAGGTATCATCAGACATGGATTGGTCGGTGAGTAAAAAACAGTATGAAATTAGCAGTAACTCAATGTTTAGAAATGATTTAACCCCTTAACCCCTTAGGATAGCTAGCAGGTAATATCAGATTTGAATATTAAGCCCTGAGAATAAAGGAAATGATAATCAATTATATTAGCTCTCAATGGTCAGACAAATTTTTCTTGTCAGCACCATAGGAAATATATAGAGGATAGAATGGAGAATATGCACACTGATGTTAGGGTAGAAAGGGTTATGGTCCAAGGTTTGCAGCAGTGTTCATGTAGAAAGTTAAGTATTAGAGTTTTCATTATTTTTTAATGGGATTGCTTTATCCAGTTATGTAGGGAAAAAAATTGTCAGTAAATTTTTTCATTGTGATTTGTAGGTTGCATCAAAGGAAGGATTTCTTACCAAAAGAGGAGCTGTTCATAAGGTAAACATTCTCATCATAGATTCATTTATTTGTTTTGAAATGTTTGATAGAAAAAAAAAATCACTCTTTTTTTGTTTCTTATGGAGGAAAGTCCATGAAAGTACCAAAGACTCAATAAATAAAATGTAAAAGTAAACATTCAAATTTATCTATCAATTCAGAAAAGTAGTCAAATCACACTATTTGATTAATGAAACCATGTTATTTTCTTGTAGAACTGGAAGAGACGGTGGTTTGTTACAATTAGATATATGCTTCAGTACTATAACCAACGAGGGGTAAGGGTTGTGTGCAGTAGCTATTATGCATGTTGTGGTATTGGTGCACATTGTTTAAAGTTTATGCTATTTTTGCAACTACTACTACTAGATATATTATCTGTTTAAACTCTCAAGGTGGTTACAGTAATTTAATACAGCTTAAATTTTTAATGTACAGTGTATGATTGCTCTTGCTAAAATTGGCACTCATTCTTGATCAACACACTTGAAAGGAATATCTAAATATAAACTTCAACTGCCTCTTTGCAGGATAAGAAACCTTTAAGAGTACTTGACCTCCGCCTAGCAGAAGAAGTCTTAAAAAATGACACATGTGGAAAGCCTAATGCCTTTAGGTAATTTGTTAAGAAGAGGAAATTGTAATGTTGATTACATGTATAGCACAGAAACCTATCCATCAGGTATTTTTTAGTTAACAAACCAGGATAGTCGATGTGGATTTGAGTATTAGTGGAGAGTCATACTGTTGGGGGTTAACCCTTTAACTTCCAAGATCTGATTGCTAATTCTCCCCTCCAGCTACCACACATTTCCTTGTAGATTAGTTACGAGAATTTGATTTGTTGATCAAGCTAGTTAACAACTTTTACCCTATTAGTTTGAGTATTCTCATCACCTGTTTGCTGGATTTGAAAGAAAGATTCTTTTCATAAATGAGCCTTGTTTACCCTGACCTGTTGTGCTTTAATTTGTTTTTTTATTTCATCTACCACTGATAAAAATTTGTGAATTTTTATTTTTTTAGCTTAGTTTTCCCAGACAGAACGTTTTTTCTTTATGCTGACTCTGTGCGGGAAATGGAAGAATGGATTGAATTGCTCAAATGGAAATTGGTAATTTTCTTTTGTGTGAAATGTGTTTGTTCTTCTGTTTGGTTATATTAATTACCTGATAAATTTAACAATTCTTATTACTTGTTTGCTGGGTAATGTGTGAATTTTAAAGGGAGGTCACATTTTATCCTCTTTGTGGAGTTAAACGGTTACTAGATACAGTCATTCTTAATTGTAAGATTGAGACTGCATCTGTAAAGTTACATGCAGCAGCAACCCTTATCGAATGTGATTACTTTCTGACCATTTTTTTATACAGAAAAGAACATTATTTTTAGCCAAGACCACATTTTGTAGAGTTGTATTGTTGTAGTTCATTTTGTTCCATTTGAGTGATAAATTGATGGTACAGAATTTGATAATACAATAATTTCAGCTTCTGTAGGGTTTCCTCATTGCACCCCTCAAAATTGCTAATATTACTTAACTGCTTTAAATTTGAATAAAAATGATAGTCACTGTGATCTCTGTCATCTTTGATATAATTATGAATTCTGTGGCCTCTGTAAACTTCCATCTTTTTATGTTATGTGGAAAAATAAATGTATGAATAATTTCAAATCATTCATTTTTCCTAACAGAATAAAGTGAAGCTAAAAACTCGCTGTGGTAAGTATTTTGTAGCAAGTGCCATGATAATGAAGATGTATCTTCTCTATGCCCAGGGCCTTGTACTGAATGTAAGCCTGCCGGGGGCAGTGTGGCTGTGTGGTGCAGTCGCTAGTCTTGTAATCTGGTGGTCTCAGGTTCAAACCCCCACCTTGCTACTCACTGGATTTATTTTCAGTTGTCCTGTATATGGCTAACTGGTCTGCATCCTGCCAACTGGGGTTCCTAAACACTATTTTGATGTTTATTTACTATGTTTATTTCCAATTTGTTTGAATCAATTTTTTTCTAACTTTGTAATTGCACTGAGACTTGTGAAATGAGTTATAAGAATGGCTTTGTTATTACTAGTATTGTTATTATTATCATTATTATTAGTTTCCCTAAAGTATACTCATCACACAATGTTTCTCTTTCTGTATGGTGTATTACACATTTTATGTTCATATTGTTCTCCACATACAAAGTTGTTATAATATTTCTTTTTTTGTTGTTTTCAGACACTTTATAAAAGTGAAAGGAGGTAATTAGCTAGCAGACATCAAAACACTTAGGAAGTTTAAAATATTCTGTACCTACTATAGCTAAGTTATTATGTAAATATTGTTCTCAGAGTTTTTTATATACTTTTGTAAACATTTAATACATTTACTTAAAAGTGATTTTGAAAAAAGTTAATATTTCCTATTTACACAGACATCTATTGATTAACTATCTGTTACACTTAAGTGCAGTTTTTACAATAAGAAAAAGAATGTTAAAATTTTAAAATAAATTCTAGAATACACTCTAAAATGTGGTTTAATGATGACAATAACATGGTGACATGATGATGGTTTGACTTTTCAAGGTAGATTATTGATCTTGTGGGGGCACTGATGTGCTGGGTACAAAAATCAGAGCCCTCTTTTAACCAGATTTTTATCATTCTTAGGGTTAAAGGGTTAATGCCATAAACTTCCAGTCTGTCTACTTACACCCAATGGTCACCATATCTTCATTATTTGCAGGGTGGGAAATTTTTTTATAGATTACTTGTATTTGCTTACTTAACTGTATGCTACAATCTGCAGGTATTGCCACATGTATTATAAAAATTATTGTTACTGTGTATATATACATATTTTAGAAAGATAATATATTAAACAGTTGTTTTGAAATCTGACTTGTGATAAGTCCCTCACTCTTATCCTTAAAGGTATGAATCTGTCTCATCACTATTTGTATATGTTGTGGTTCAATTTTATCCTTTGTTTAAATTTTATGTTCTTTTGATTTTGGGTATTGTTAAGTATAATAATGAGTTTGAAACAAAGGAAAATAAAATTTGAACCAAGGAGAAAATTGAACCACAACAATATTTATTTGGTCATTTGAAGAATTTGCTCCTCATAAGCTGTTTCTAAGCAATTCACTCAAGAGAAGCCTAGTGTGATTGGCCATTTCCTGTTTAGGACATTGACTGTCCCCCTGTCCCTATTGATGTTACCCTGCGATACTTCTCGACTACGACGACAACAATAAACAACTGTTATAGCATACAAACAACCTCTCATTATCTTGTTGCTGTTGGACGAGGATCTCGAGCCCCATTTGGGTAGTTCTCTTGGGATGCTTTCTCGGTCTAGTAGCAATGAGTAGGTTATAAATTTATCCAACTAACGTAATGCTAAATCCCTCGCAATGGAAAAAGAAAAAGTCGACAAATTAAGTACATTACATATTGGTCTCGAGCATCAATATAGGTAACTTATTTTCAGAAGTAGTACCAATCTCCAGTGTGTTCCAATTTGCATTATGTACTTCGGCTGACTTCCATATCCAGAATATATCCCCATGTGTCGGCACTCAGTGGTCCAAGGTGGTTAATATCACTAGGAAGTTCGTCGAGTGCTTTTGTTTGACTATATCTTCCCTCAAGCCATCGCTTTTTTACCAGATTTGTCCCGTAATTTCGGATGAAAATACTTCGCCACCACAAACCAGATTCAATGTCTTGCTTTATATCCTCTTGATTGAGAGAATAACATTTCCCCTTCCAAAGAAGATCGGAATTGTAAATAAAGTCGTACCAGTCTTTACAAGTCTGTGATGCTTGACAGAGACTGTGTGTATCCAAGAAAGAAAATATTGCTAAAATCATTTCAGGTGGAAGTGAATTAAAGTCGCACATCTTACAAATCTGACGCTTTTGATTTCTATGGAATCAGGTGTCGTGAAAGGCGCAAATCAAGGTGTATTTTAGAGATACCATGTTGTACATCGAAACGACTTCGATATTGTTTTGTTTCGCTTTGTTTACACGCGTACTCTTCCCTCAGCTGATCACTACAATAATAACAGCAGTTTCTTGGTCAGCGGTTTTTAAAAATAAAATTTTGGAATATTAGTAAATATGGAATGGACTACACAGCTCTGTGAACGGTAGAACTCATAGCGATCTAATTTTTTTTTCTTCAGTCTTTTTTATTATCAAAATTACCAGCTAATCATCTTCCCTGTAAAATAAGCTCCGGTTTGGATTCTGATGGGGACTATCTATTTAATAAAGTCTTTCGTGCTACTACCCACTAGGGCTAACACTAGTGGTCATCTTTTGATCTCTCAATGGAATTTACTTCAAGAGAAGAGCGCGGTCATTGGTCTTACGTGTTTGTTGGTATTTAAAAAGTATTTATCGAATTATTTTTGATATGATAGACCACCGGTAAGCGGTCACCGAACGGAGAAGCCTCGGTTTGGGTGTGAGGTCATCAGTCACGCAATGAGTTCAGCGGTAATTTTGGAAAATTGACACCAATATTAAATCAGTTGACGGTGATGAATATTCTGATATTCAACAAGAAAATCACTGTTTAAGTTAGAAAAAAAAATGAAATTAGACTCGTTAAAACCGTTGCTTAGTGGCCATTATATTTTGAATCCTATAGCATGCTTGTTATACGTGATATTACGGTGTTTGGAGCCGTTTTGCGGATGGCTTTTCCCTGGTGAGGAATGTCAAATCAGCTGGGTAAGTTGAAGACTCTAAGGATATTACTAACACTTTTTCATACTCGCGCATGTTTTCGTTCTCAAGCCTGTTTGATTAAATCTACCTCGGTTCTTAGCAATTCAATCTATGTGTTTACTATAAACTCATTCATGACACAGAATAAACGTATAATGGTGGAAATAAAATTTTCGTATTCACGCCTTAGCCTGTGTATCGTGTCTTATAATCACCATCTTTTTTTCAGTGGTAGTATTTCAGCGTTAGTAACGTCCCTTAATTCCTGAAATAGAATTCATAATTTTTTTATCGTCAAATTGATGGGAAAGAGAGTGTAGGAAATTAAATCAGGGTGTTAAGATCCTTACCAACAGTTTCAATACGTTTTTCAAGATCGTGTAGGGGTACAAAGAGGGGGGGGGGTCGGATCTCTCTTCTTGTTTGTGAGGTTTCAGGGAAATCTTGAGGTTTTCAAGAAATGAAAGAAAAATTTATGGGTTACATATACTTCTAGAAGCAAATCGCACCTCACTCTGGTTCATAAATTTACAAATCATGCTCACCAATCAATTCGGTCTTAATCACTCATCACATATAAACTCTTTGCCATCCTCATTAGTTTCTGTTTACAAGGGAAGTATCAATGTGACCATGTATCAAGCATTTAATGGAGAATTTAAAGAAATCATACAGTATTCATATTAATTTTAATAATGTTCTAATGCTTATTGTTACAAGTGTTGATTTGATCAGCAAACTATAAAATTGAAGTTAACAAGATGTTCCTTCTATAGCGAGACTTTGAGCTGTTGTCTTTTCTTGTGATTGTCCTCGCAGTTAAAAACAGAAAGTGGAAGCCAGGTATTTAAACTCTCAGTATAGATAAACTTAAATCAAGGGTAAAAATCCTTGCCTAAAAGCTCATTGGCAAACACATTGCCCAATTGCAAAATCGTTCCCCTATAGGCTCATCCCTACTACAAGTTTATCATGTGGATGCAAAAAGCTTGCCATAAAGCCTCTCAACTTTTTGAATTTTACCTATGAGAAAAAAGTTTTTTCTGTCAGGAAATCATGATATGGACATGAAAACTTTTAGCTGCAACCCAGATTTATGCAACTTGTCAAGAAACTTTTTTTCTGTTTTCTCTCCTCCTTTTTCTGGATCTGACCCTAAATTTAGATATATACATTTTTTAAAAGCATTCAGTAGTGGTGCAGTGTCTGTTTATAGGAGTTTTCAGTTTTGTTTTGTTTATTTTTTTTTCAGCCTCTTGGCAAGAGATAGCATCAATGGTGTTCTTGTTTAGCAAAATTGCAAACTTTGTTCTTTTTGCAAGGTCAGATCTTAGGCTTGGTCTCATTTACCTGATAATTTGCATTGGTGAGTGACTTGAGGTGCACTTCTGTTTCTTTTTTAAAAATTAAGAGTGTATATTGTCATATTTAAGTGGACTTAGCATTAGACTTATACATTTTTATTAAAAAACATCTCAGGTAAATTCTCATGTGAGCACAACAGGTTGTACAATTAAGGTATTCAAGTTATTAAACAAATGAAATGAATCAAGACTAGTTGTTAAGTTGTAATACTAACATTCTAGCCAAACTGATTTAATGGTTGTTACCAATGGTTATAGTTAAATGAAAAGCCCTAACAAAGCAATAAAGATTAAAAGACTTCAAGGGTTTTGACTAAAAATAATTGATGCCTATCGTTAGTTTTCACATTCTTTTTCTTCATCCTCAGTTTTGTTTTTGTTATTTCCTGAGCCATCATACAGTGGACCTGATGAAGTATTCTTCTTCAGAGGACCAGCACTTGATGTAAGCTTTCTTGAAATATAAGCTTCACCTAACCTTATAACATGGCAAATTAAGTGAATAACATCTTAAAAGATTATTATGAATGATCACAATGATTAATTTAGTTGTTCTTGTTAACTACATGAGGATCAGATATTTTTGTTTACTTCAGGATGCCTTACGTGATAACCCTTCTGTCACATGGTTGGTAGAATTTTATGCCCCCTGGTGCCCTCCCTGTGTCAGATTTGCTCCAACATTTGCTGAACTATCACTCAGGTAAATATTCAATGTATTCCTGATACCAGGCAGGAGTAGTAATCTAATAAAGGTTTTTTTGGGAATTTAAGAAAATTTTCATGATTTAAGATTGAGATGTGTCTTAAACAAAGACTGAGAATCTTGATATATGTAGGTTCAGTTTGGGTAAAGATAGTTTTACAAATCAGAATTTTGGCCTTAATTGCCATCAGGTAGAAGGCACTGTTAACTTGATTATAAAAAGGGTTTGATTAATGTTTTTAATTGTAATTTTCTTTTTTTTAACTCCATTAGCAGTTCATGTAAAAAGAATAATCAACCAGATAATAATCTTGGATATTGATATTTATGACAATCATTCTTACCTTCAGTAAAAGCAACCTTTTTTTTCTTTGTCAATTAAGATACAATCACAGTCATCTAAGGTTTGGAAAATTAGATGTTGGAAAATATCCAATTGTAGCAGAAAAGTGAGTAGAATGATGAGAGATTGATGAAAAAGTTGCTTAAATCATAGTAACAACAGTTTGAGGATTGATTAAAACACTGCCAGTAAATGAATTTCTTCTTACTGTTTCTTTATTATCTGAATCAGCCACAAAGATTCCATATTTTGGGTAGGGGTAAATTAATTTATCACTGACCAACTTTTTTGAGCTGCACTATCATAACATTATTAGTCATGAAATCATAAGCAAACTTGAAAACCCTGCAAGTTTTTCTTCTGATGACAAAGTGGAGAAAATGTATTGGTACCTCAACTAGGAATATTCCATTTCTAGTTCTTTTTATATTGGAAAGGATGTCAGTAGTAGTTACTTTTGGGGCCTAGTATTTAGCATCTAACGATAAGACACACCAGTTTAAATGAAGTTTTTAATTTTTTCCTTTCAAGACACAGGGTAGATGGATCTGCCATTTCTAAACAGCTTCCAAGTTTAATTCTCTTTGAAGGTGGAAAGGAGACAAAAAGAAGGCCATTGGTGGACAGGAGAGGTGTTATAACTCCTTACACCTTCACTGAGGTAGGTTATGATCACTGAACAGAATACTATAGAGCTTCATATTGCTTGTCAGAGTCTGTTAACCCTTTCTCTCCCAAGATCTCATTGAAAGTTCTCTTTTCTGTCAGCTATACAATTATTTTGTTGTTCCTTGGGAGAATTTGGTGTTGGATCAACTTAAAATCCCTGAATTGATAGTTTTCTTTATTCTTGTCTGCTTGATATTGTAAGGAAAAATTCTGTCTTGGTCACTCATTGGAGTTAGAGGGTTAACCCTTTCTCTCCCAATATCTCTTTGGTAATTCTCCATACTGTCTTCCATACAATTCTAATAATGTTGGTTGAGAGAATTTGGTATTAGATAAACTAATGATCTCCTGATTTATGTCCATAATGTTTGCTTTGTAAAATGTATTCTATATACAAGGCTAAAAAATTAAAATGTTTAAACCAAACGTTTTCGGCTGTTTGCCATCATCAGGGTTGATTTATATTTTTTTATTAATTCTAATTCCTTGTCTGCTTGATTTTGCATTGATATTGTAGGGAGAAATTCTCTCTTGGTCACTCATGGATGTTAACTCTATTGTAAGGGTGACTAGCATTTAATTTCTCTTTACAGTATCACCCCTGAATCAAACATTAAGGTTATGAGAATAAAGGAAATTATCATCAACCAAACAAGCTTTTGATTTTCAAGCAAATCCTCCTTGTTAGTGCCCAAGGAAATGTATAGAGAACAGTAAGGAGAATATGCACACTGATGTTATGGTGCTAAGCATTAAATAGTTGACCTTTGATAAGAGGACGATTCACAGAGCAGACCAAAAATATTGATTTTATGCATTGCTTAACAGGTCAACATTGAACGAGATTTCAAATTAACAGAACTTAAGAAATCTGCTGAGGACAGGCAAAAACTGGAAGAGAAGAACTCAAAGAAGAACAAAAATAAGGAAGATTAACTAACAAGAGAGGAATTGAATAATTTACAATTTTATTAACAAGCAGCACATTAATGGAGGAGACATTGGGTCTTGCTTCTGGTTATACCGCTGGCGTATGATCAAAGAAAAAGGAAATGGTTTTGCTCGTTAGAACCGTACTAAGAGTGCAGAGAAAAGAAAAAGAATGACAGACTCTTCTTATTTCCCTCACACCTCTGCTGCTAATTCTTAAAAATGTTTGTGTCAATCTTTTTATTAGTTAGTGCTCTCAATGGAGTAACTTATAGCTTAATTACGCTGAGTAGGACCGAGATTTTTCCGTATTTGAAATAGCAATCTGTCATCGCTACACTTGAATGCTGTTGTTCTTGGAGGTGCATTTCTAATTACGTACTGCAGAGTTAAAAAAATCGTTGCTTCTCGAACATTGTGTAAACCCCAAACGAGCTTCATTTGGCTCATTTCTATCGGGAGGGGAATTAGACAGTAGGAGGGAAGGGAGGGAGGAGTGAAATAACTCGGTATAGGGGAGGGGTGGGTCAACACAGTGTAAAGGATAAAGGGATGAAACTCTTTAATGGTCAGTTCATAAGGGATGAGAGTCTTACGTTCGGCCTAACCTCGTGCGTCGCTGTAACACATTTCGACAGCAAAGAAACCATAAAATGACATAACGGAGAAATAGCTTTTGGTCCAAGGACCGAGATGCCGTAGGTTGGTTATATTAAAGTCGTCGTCCACCGTTGGCGACCCTCTACGTCTCTCCTTTAGGAACACGCTAAAAAGAACCATTTGAATGTCATTTCGCGGTCAGATTAACCTTTTAAACGACAACACAAGAACAAAGAGTCGTAAATTTTTAACCTGTTAAGGAAATGAAGGTTTCGTTTTTCGTTTAGGGTGTCTTTTTGAGAAAATCTGAACAATTTTTCGCACTAATTTGTTGTGTCTTTCAAGTAAGCCGCTTTGCAACAGTGTTTACACAGTGAAACCGACAAAATGCTAAATCCTCTGTAGATTGCGCTAGATTCTTTTTGATGATATGTTGACACAGCTTTACATTACATGAACCAAAGTTTGTAATTCTTTCATTAACATCATGTGTGGTTTTTTCACATAAATCGTTTTTGAAAGAGATTTTTTCCTGGTTAGTAGTGCAAGCTCTCTTCTCAAAGCCATACACAAACTTAAGAAACATAATATTTGCCTGTAGTCAATATCTTTGAACAGATTTGACTAAGGCTTAGGGTTTTTTCATGTGGAAATATCTCAAGACAGCCCATGAGGTTTAAAGACCAAAATCGAGACAGCTATTAAAATTATCATTCCAGTTGTGGAGGAGTTAGATTGACATTTCAGGGATGAAGTCGAAATGAATTAACCAACTGTCGGTGTGGCACCTACATGACAATAGCGCGAGAGAAATCATTTGAAGCCCTGAATAAACAAAACTTGCAGGTCGAGGTTGTCTTTCCATGACTAACACCAAGCGATCGAGTCTTTAAGGGTTCACCCCTTCTCTGTATTATTGCTATCGAAACTTCTTCAGTGGAAGCTTCCTTCCTTTAAAGTCCCTGGAGACCTCACAATGCGCAAGTGTATTGTGATCGTTCCATGATAACTGCAATTAATTGATTGTGAAAGGTATGTAATGTGTTGTGTAGAAAACAGCTAATTACTCCAACAGTTTGTTTTTGCGCTGGCGAAATTCCGCCCACCACAATGAACAAGTTACGCATTTCCGACAAATGCTGACATGGCGGTGATTGGGAATAGAAAGAACGTTAGCGCGCGACAAAATGTATCGACGACCAAACATTATTTGGGTGATTTAAACTTAGAGTTAGTTTTGCCTCTCGGCTTTCCACCATTTTCTTTTAACCAGCATGATTCTTTTAAAGCGTCTCCGATAATGGCAATTAAATCGATATAATTTCACCTTTCGTGTGAAATATTTTTAAAGCGTGTTTTTTAATAAACGCTTTGAACCTAGAACAGATTTGTTACCCAAAGCAAATTGGGCAAAGATTCATTCTATTACACATTTTAATAAAGCCTTATTTAATAAGAACGGAACAATGAACTCGGTTGACTTTAATTCGAGCGCAGTCTGTAAAAGGTCCCATAAATTGTTTGGAGTGCTGAAGACGTTGCGTCATTTTAAGGCCTAGTTGATTTTGGTGGGTTGTGCGATTTAATCACTTTTTGAATACAGGTTTTATTAGCTGGTTTTAATGACACTCTCGTAAACTGTTGACACCTGCTTAATTCCAATTCCACCTTTTTATTCGGTATTTAGGAAAAGACACCTCGTCCATTGAGTTTTAAGATAAAAAACGTGTGCTTCTTCGGGAGAAACGGGAAGGATTTAGAACGAGTTAGGTTGGAAAACCTGCGGCCACTCAACCAAGCGATGAAGATGAGATTTCTTTGGCTCTGCTTTATTTGTTTAAGTTTCTCCAACCTAAGCGAGTCAGTTTGGTGGTAAGTGAGCAATTGATCCTTTAACTCGTTTTTGTCGAGTCTTCGCAGCCTGCTTTTCCAAATGCCTTCTACGAAATGTCTCTTAACTCGACTGATTTTTTTTCTTGGGCTTTCTCCAGGACCTTAGGAACACATACCACACTGTCAACGGATCCAGCGAAGAAAGCAGCTCTCCTGTGCTTCACAACTCCTCAGCTTAACACAAAACAACGAGATATTTGCCGGAGACACCCAACTCTAATGGCAAGTGTGGCCAAGGGAGCCAGAGAAGCGGTTGAAGAATGTCAGATTCAGTTTCAGCACAGGCGATGGAATTGTTCGTCTGTTCCTGACTCTGGAACACTGTTCGACCCGATCTTAAAGCGAGGTAAGCGAGGTCTGCTTTGAGCCGTGAGCATTACATATGTCTCACTTAAAGGTGACAGCTTCAAGATCTGTTTACTTAAACCCAAAGGGTTCGTTTTCTTAGGATAGAGATTATTTGTCAGGGACAGAATTGTAAGTCTACTTTAAAGCATACTTGTTTTTCTTCGAAAGTTGCAGCATTTATCGACGGTTAAGTTGGGTTCGTGTTTGTCGGCTCTCATAGGAAACATTCTAATAACTTTATACCGTATTCATGGGCGCTACGCTTGTGATCTTAACTTTCTTTTGTTCTGAGAAAATGAGACATTGACCACTTTATTGATTGTTTACAAAAGGAAGATTCCTTGTTTCTTAGCAGTCTTTAAGGCAGTTCACGACACACATTTTGTGGTTGTGATTCTCTCTGACTCTTTTTAAAACCTAAGGACGTGATCTTATTGTTAGAGACATAAGGGATAAAAAGATGTGTTTTGTTAACCCCCTTTGAAGTTCTAAAAACCGAAATCTACTAAGAAAAACAACTTCTAGAAGTAATGCAAAAAAAGCCAAAAGTTCAGTGTCGTGACAAAATTGGTTCTAATTTTATTAAAGACAGACTCAAGTGTACTTGGACACTGAGCTCTGAATCTTACACAGAAAAATTGTTCAATCTGAACTGTCTTCGGTTTCACTTTGCCAGCGTAAGGTAAAATCATTAACACGTAATTCTGTATCCAACTGTACTGACGAAGATATTCCGTTTACTAAAGTTCAATGTGCAGTGCAGGAATCATATCTCATTATTTAAACCATGATAATATTCCGCCATAACATTTTACCTGGCGTTGTTTTAACTTTTTCAATTTTTACTTGGAGACTTTCCCTTTTTTCAACTCTGTGTGCAAAATTCGTTCGACTTCAAGTAAGGTCGTTGGAGGGAAGCAATAGTAAATACCTACTGCACAGATCCTAGAAAGGGGAAGAATGACTACGATTCCCGTGAGACAATCTCAATGTCATAAGCCAGAATGACACACAGCTATAACTCAGTTTCGTGATACTCAGTCGTGTCTGTACAGAAACTACAGACACCATGCTCAATGGATGCGGTTAGTGTCTTAAGCCTTGTTTCCTGAATGGAAATGACCGAACTACGATGTATTTCCTTCATATAAATTTGCAGTATAATCACTATTTAGGCAGATGTTTTGACGTCAAAAGTTGGAAAAACATTTTTAAAGAGACCCTAGAAAAGACAACTATTACAGCGGATTGAAAAGAACTTTAAGGCAGCAATGTATTTTCTTCAGTTGAATAACTTTTTCATAATTTGTCTAAGGAAATCGGTTGAACAGCGACAAAACAGCCATGATATAATTTGATCGCTTTACAATTGCACCCGTTGTGCTGTCGGCAAATTTCAGTTTAGGTCTCTGAAATTCTCTTTTTTTAAACTCTCTGAGTTTTTCATTTAACTACAGCTTTAGAAGGGCTGATTAGGTTCTGCTAGAGCGCTACCCTTCTTTTTCTTGCTGATGTCTAGCACGGAGAATTGTTTCTCCCCATTGAAGGTGACAATGACGAACATCCTATTGCGGAAATGCACCCTCTTTGCGTTCGTTTGATGAACACCACAAAATTAATTTATAGATTTATTTAAATTTTAACTCCTTCCAGAAACTGTTTATTCCGGATCTGTCAGTGTTCCGAGCATATTCTGGTGATACTTACAGTTTAAACCCCCAGATTTAGACTAAACATAACACACTGGAAGATGTCATGGTAATGTGGCTTTCATCAGAGTGGGGGCCTGTGGGGGGAAAGAGATTTTTCAGGGGGAACAGAGGGAGGATCAGTCGTGGCAAACAGAGTTTAAGGCATATAAAAGGAGTACTGTAGAAAATTGACTGCCAATGAGGGGGGAAGGGGGGTCGTAAGAATATTACAGAGCCCTATGGGGGGATCAGTTTAATTTTACCGTCAGACAACCAAACTCCTCTGACCTCCCCCACCCCAATCAATAATGGTTCCTTAATTAACTTCTCGTGCACATCTCATGTGCACAGCTGAATCATCAATGTCCGTGGCTGTGGTTAAACCACAGGTAGCCCAAGCTCACGTCTCGAGAAAAAGCCAACGATTAATTCATGAACGCGTCACACGTAGTGTGACTCGGTGTTAGGTTACGAGAGGAACCGTTGAAAACTTGAACACGTTATAAGGAATAGTATGGCGAATGAAATATGGTCGATTTACAACAATAAATATTTCGAAATGTGAATATTTTGCACGTAAAATCAGTAATGCTTACATCCTGTGAGTCCGATGTAGTTTCCGGCGATTTCTGTTGTTTTAAGCTTGCTTTACCATCACTGTTGTCAAAAGACATAAATTTTTATGTATTTTGACATAACAGCGATGGTAAAGCAAGCCTAAAACGGAAGAAGTCGCCAGAAACTTCAACGGACAGACAGGATGTTAGTAAGTGTTATTGATTTTACGTGTGAAATATTCATATTTCGAAATATTTATCGTTGTAAATCGATCACATTTTGTTCCCAATACTATTTCTTATAGCGTGTTCAAATTTTCAACGGTTCCTTTCGTAAGTTAACACCGAGTCTCACAACGCGTGACGCGTTCATGAATAATTGTTGGCTTTCACTCGAGACGTGAGCTTGGGTTGCCTGTGGTTAAACAAACTCGGGTGGGCACAAGAAAGTTATTCACGCAGTGTAACTCTTAGAGCGGAAATAAAAAAAATTTCTTGATCGTTACTTGATTCTGTCAACACTGTATTAGTTCATTTATCATCTGCACACTAAGGGGAACGGAAGAAAAAACCTGAAAGGAACATTAAACAGCTGAGGCAGGATAAAATCTTAATCATGACATACGGTATTGTCTTGAATTTTTTCACTTTCTCTTGTTTGGAAAATAACATTGAAAACGTTTCGTTTATTATTACTTGACAAAAATTCATCTAAGAGTTCGTCGATATCAAAATGTCTTATAAAAACCAACAGATTAAATTCAACAATTCTTCCTTGGACCAATACCAGCAGTTAGTCTTAATTTGTTTTCTGTATTTGTCTCCCAAAATCGTGAAAAAGTAATAGTTTGTGGAAAAAATTTCTGTGAATATCTGAGATTCAAAATAGAATCAACTCCCTTACATATATGCAGCTGCTACTGTTGGAATCATTCTTTCAGATATGGGTATAAAAATGCCATTGCACTCGACTGAGACAGTTTAAAGACCTTTAAAAAGAGCAGCACATGGCACCGAGTACTTCACAATGTATTTGCTAACGCCCACGACATACTCCCCTTCCCTCCCCTCCCCCCGAAAAATGAAACACTAATCACATATATACATCTAAGATTTTGCCATGAATTGTGGGACCTGAAATATTTCTTTAATAAATTGTTAAAAATCCTTCTCGTGATTATCGTTGTTACATTTGAATAATACTCACTATATTTAAGATATTGCATGGCATAGTGCCAACGTAGTAAACAATTCAATTTTAAAAAGCAATTCATTGTTTGTACAATTTTTTTTAAAACTTTGGAATTGTGATTTGTTAGCCTTTCTTTATGAGTTATTTTAATGAGACTTTGTGCAGTCTAGTTGAATATGTTACGAGAACCTACGCGGTATGAATTTCTATCATTATGACTATTAGTATTGCCATTTTTATTCAACCCTGAGCGCAGAACTTTTTTTCACCGCTAGTATTTGTCCAAAATAAATGCAGTTGTACATAAAGTGATTATCTTTTTCATAGCCATGTAAATATCTCCTTATTTTCTTCTTAGCCAGTCGCGAATCAGCCTTTCTATACGCCATCACAGCAGCAGGAGTCGCCCATGCTGTCACGGCTTCATGTAGTGCTGGGAATACCCAGAGTTGCGATTGTGACCGATCACCGAGTGGTCCCACCCAGAAGGGCTGGACATGGGCAGGCTGCAGCAGTAACATCAAGTTTGGAAGCTGGTTTTCAGAACAGTTTACTGACGCGCGGTCGAAAGGCAATAGTCCAAGGGCTGTCATGAACAGACATAACAGCAAGGCCGGACGAAAGGTTACATTTCTTGTCTTTTAACCCTTTCATTCCCAGAAATTATTAACATGTAACTTCTCCCTATAATATCCATACATTATCCAGCGAACAGGTAATAAGAATACTCAGACTTATCAAGTTGAAGTTGTTATCTCGATCTAACACCAAATTCTTGTAGCTCATGACAAGGAAATGTTTAGTAACTAGAAATGAGAATTAACATTCAGATCTTGGGAGATAAACTGAGAAGAAATAATGACCTCCTAAAGGTTTGTTTCTCAATTATAAAGTTAAAACTGTTCAGTATTGAGATTAAAATGGCTGATTGGTGCGCTTTACTTTATATATATTTTTATTCCTAAGGCCCTTTCAAAACTAGTCTGGAAGAAATGCAAGTGCCATGGTTTATCCGGTTCGTGCTCAATGAAAACATGCTGGATGCAACAACCCTCATTTCGGGAAGTTGGGGATCATCTTAGACAGAAATTTGACAGAGCAGCAGAGATGACAATCAAACTGAACAGAAGAGGAAAAGAACGTTTGAAGCCTAAGAACACTCGCTTGAAGAAACTCTCGGACTCCGATTTGATATATTACCAATCGTCGCCAAATTACTGTGACGCAGATGTCAACGAGGGAACTCCAGGAACTTCGGGAAGAGCGTGCAATATTTCGTCAAATGGAATCGATGGGTGCGAGCTTTTGTGCTGTGGGCGTGGTCATAATATTCAACAGGACAAAGTTGTTAGAAATTGTAATTGTATATTTCTATGGTGCTGTCAGGTAAAATGTCAAAAGTGTCGAGAGATTGTTAACATCTACACCTGTAAATAAGTTACACCGGGCTTACTGCTTAGTACAAAACTAGCGTAGATTCTTCTAGCTTTATTTCATTTTTATATACATAGATATTTTGAGGAACGACTTAGTGGAATGTGATGTATGTTCGTGGGTATAAAAAAAAAAGAAAGAGTTTGTTCGTCTCTTTACAAAGGGGCGATAATCGTTGATTTTTCCTTTTCCTGCCAAATAACGGTATGCATCGCATATAATAATAATAATAGTCATAATTATGTTCTTCATGTAGAGAAAATAATCGAAGTGTTCTTGTAAATTGATCGTGACACGACATGCGTGCCGCACCTTATGAAGTGCAAGATGGAATAAATGTCTTTGTCTGGAGAGTTTTCCGCGATTCACAACGCATCCATGAGGTAAAGGGGACAACACAAATTGTATCACTGCTCATAGAAAGTAAAATCAAATCAAACTGAGGGGTTAAGCAATATCCTTGTGGGTTCGATGTGGTTCTTGAAGGTGCGTGAACAATAGACAACGGATAATCTCTCCTTTTCTGGCGAAGTCCGTCGCGCGAGTCAAATAACAAAGGAAAAGCACTCAAAAAGTGCATATGGTTATTGGTAGTTATGAATGAGTACGTTAGGTAACCTTTTAGGCGTGTTTTTGTATGTTTCACGGGTCAGCAGTCTCCCTCGCAAATGAATATTCGACGATAAATGTAAGTGAGGGTATTCTTGCAAGGTTAGTATGGATTTTGTAAGGGAAAGTATCTGACATTTGTAGACTTCACACTAAACTATTTTTATGCAATGGTGTTGCTAGAAAATAAAATGCAAATCATAATGGGATTAAACTCGAGGAAGGAAACTCGAAATCTTTTTTCTTAAAAAAATTGGTAATTCATGGGACAATATTAATTATTTTTGTCAAAACTTTTATTGTAACCGTAAAAGTAGTCTCCTTCACTGATTTTTTTTAATCGTGCGACGAACATCACCAAAAAGGAGGGAATACTTGTAGTTTAGCCAGGGAACAGTTTACATCAGTGAAGTCTGCCGGTGGTTTTATTTAAAGAAAACATAGAGGTTCGCAAACGTTCATATGGGTTGGTAAGATATAATTACAGGCCTACAGCGGTCAGCGGTTGGGCGGAAAATCAATTGCATATAGCAATGAGATTACAGTGGCACTTGCATGTAGATATTGTAATATAGCGTTTTAAGGATATCTGTTTAAAATAAAGATAAGTTTGGGTAAAAACAAAAATTTTGTTTCCCAGGCCTCTGCCGGAAGTACATACTTCTTACAAACCTCGTTTCTCGGTTCATACTGTAAGTTATGGGTTTATACAACCTCGTCTTTCCTTTTGGTCGATGGCCCAGGCGCGCGGGGCATGAAAGCGAGCAGAAAACGCGATATTCCATGAAACTCCCAGTTAGTGCCATGTAATTTCTCATCAACTTTATATTTCACCCTCATCTTTCAGTCGTGCCAGGAAAAGGCTGTGACTAAAAGTAGGACGGGGACGTGGGACGCGGGGACTCGGGGACGCGCGGGGACTTGAGGACGTGATAAACAAACAACACCTGAATTTGTAAAGTATGATTTTCGGTGGTCTCGAGGAAGGTGTAATATGCTGGAGAGCTTGTCGGGTGACTCTACATCGAAGGCGTTCGTCGAAGGCAAGAGTACACGGTAATTTTGGTCGGCGGGGAAATAATAAAACCTGCGAATTTTGCGAAAGCCCGTGAAAGGATGACATCTAAAAACTGAAGGCAATTTTTTAATAAGACACTAGAATGCGTAATGATGGCGGCGACCAATCAATCTTCTTTAAACAAATCGTAGACTGACTTCCTTAAGGAAAACCTTGAAAATTGTACTGTTGAAAACCGGTACTTCCTGGGTTATTTCGATGGAAAGAGATGAGTTCGAGGATATGCTCGAGAGTTTTCTTCTTAGTAGTTCCACATGCTTTGTAAAGGAGGCCTTGCACTCAAAGGACTTAAATCACAAGAGGTTTTCGAAAAATGGTGGGCAGTTTCTTTTATTTTTAACTGAATTTTTGCTTTTATCAATTTAGTGTGGGCCTCGTAGAGACTCGATCTTTTGAAAGCAATTTTGTAAAAACTTACGCAATGCAAAAGTGCAATGGAAAAGTGTTGAAATATTTAAAGGTATTTCATATAAAGGAAAGCACTTGGAAAATACTCTAAGTGCGTAATCCAGGATACCGAAATACTTTTTCAAATTATGCATTTGCAGCGTCTCCCGTCTTTGAACACAATGGTGGTAATGTACAGATCCAATTTTTCGGCAAACCGTTTACCATCTAAGCAATGAAACTCGGCATTGCCTCCACACACCAACAAAGATGAGAATTCCTTTTGAAAACAGTGTTTGAAATATAATAAAACGCACCAGTAGCATTCGATTTTTGCATAACCCGCGAAACTGTTTTAATTTTCTTAGGTATTTTAGTGGAGGAATCCATCGAACTTTTCGCATATTGAGGAAACAAAATCGGGAAGGTAATTTACATCCATTTACTTCAGAATTCCCCATAAACGTAGGTTGTATACAATTCCTGAAATTCCCGTTCGTTATTTCACGAATCATTTGACGTTTCAGTGTTGACAAATTTTTCTTTTACGTAAGTAAAAAACATTGAACTTCTCTCAACGGACTCAACGCAGCAAGGAGAATCTTTCTCATAATTTACTTTTTAAGAGACGAAGTTACCGTCTAAAAATTCAAACGTTACTGTTAGGCTTATTGGCGCATTGATAACCTAGTAAATAGCTCAAACATACTGAAAAAATTTTTTATCTGTTTTTGTATATCTTTATCTGTGAGCCACATGTGACTAAACAAAAACAGAGAAGTGTAGTTTGATGGCTTGTTTTCATGAATCTAGGATTTCGGGAATCGCTATAAACTACACGATCACGCATTAAGTAATATTTCTTCTTCTAATGATTGATACCAGAAGAAAATAGTAACGGTGTCATGCTATTTTATGTGTCCGTTATAAAAATATTTGTTTTCGCTTTTAGCTCACGGGTAAAAATCCCGTGAAAATTGTTCAAAAGAAATATACCACAGTAGTTATTTTATGACAACCACAAAATACTCAAAACAAAATCAAGAAACTGCTGCAGGACCTCAAGGCTCCTTTGTTCAGGACGATCTTGTACATCTCAGGTTTGAACTTTTCGTGGGAACATGTGCTAAAGCCTACATAACCTATTTTAAATTTAATCGCTGAACTATAAACTTGTGTGTTCGACCCTCGACGAACGCCTCCGATATAGCGTCACCCGAGCTTATCAGTAGTAGCCGATGATTTCCAGCGTCCATGGTTCGGCCGGATATGTTTTCTTGCCTGCTTGACTGTGAGAACTCTGAGTACAGAATAGTTTCAACGCAGGGGGTTTTAAACATCGTGAGCAGCCATGGAGGACTTTCCTGGTAAGTAACTGTTTTTTCTTCCTTATTCTTTTTTAGCAAGGATAAGGCACGGATGTTTCAAGACCCCCTGTGTTGAAACTATTCTGTACCCAGAGTTCTCACGGTCAAATAAGCAAGCAAAAATGTCCGGCCGAACCATGGACGCTGAAAACCATCGGCTACTACTAACAAGCTCTCCAGCATAAAATAGCTTTCATGAGACCACCGAAAATTATACTCTACAAATTCAGCACAAATGTTAGGTGTTGTTTGTTTATCACGTCCCCGAGTCCCACGTCCCCGAGTCCCACGTCCCCGAGTCCCACGTCCCCGAGTCCCACGTCCCCGAGTCCCACGTCCCCGAGTCCCACGTCCCCGAGTCCCACGTCCCCGAGCCCCACGTCCCCGAGCCCCACGTCCCCGAGCCCCACGTCCCCGAGTCCCGAGTCCCGAGTCCCGAGTCCCACGTCCCCGTCCCACTTTTAGTCACAGCCCCAGGAAAAGTCTGCCACGACTTTTTCCGGCACCACTTTCTGATGCACCACTTTTTTCCGTTAGGCAGAATGAAATGTGCGCACACATCTCGGTATCCCAAGATGACGGACGAAGCTGGTATGATACTGTTTACTTACTGCTTTTTTTAGCCACAGATCTTTTTCCCTGTTAGTATATTCAAGTTTTTTTTTTTCGTTTTTATGGATTTTTTAAATTTGCGAAGGAACGGGCTGGTTCCCGACACCTTTCGCCAGTTTTTCATCAGTGGTTTTTATTGCTTTTATATCTTAACGTAGAGGCACGTAGCGAGTGTTTTCATCTGACGCCTGAATGAACCTGACACAAGAAAGAGAAGTACCAAGAGAAAAGAAAAACCAGGAAAAAGTCGAGAAGAAAAATCGAACTCGAGAGAAAAAAAAATCGAGCGCGAGAAAAAAAAAATTGAGCACGCGAAAAAAAAATCGAGCGCGAGAAAAAAAAATCGAGCACGCGAAAAAAAAATCGAGCGCGCGAAAAAAAAAAATCGAACGCGAATTTCGCGAGGCACAAATTGGGCTCCGTAAAGGTACAACGTTTCTTTGTGGTCTCCGTCCCTCAGCGCAATCAGCCTTTGACCAAACTGTTTGCCCAACGAGCCAATTATTCATTAGTTTGATTAACTGAGCAGTCTAAGATACCGCATTCCAAACCAGATTCCATCATTTCGTATTTTAATGCACCCAGTCTACACGCAGCCAGCTCTTGGAGATGTCAGCTTAAAGATGGTGGAGAGAACGATACCAGTGGTGGACTTTGCTGTGATGGGTTTAAATCGTGAAAAGCCTCCAACACTCAACGAAGAATCCGTGAGGGTACTGGCAGATCAAATTCACAAAGCGTTTAGTACAATTGGCTTCGTGTATTTAACAAATCATGGAATATCTGAGAAGGAGGTAGGTAATCACAAAATGGTTTGCATATGCCTTGTAAAAATAATTGTAACAAGACGCCTAAAGGCGTTTCCGTGAGATGCGTTGGCTACTGAACGTAGCATTGAAAGGAATTGTGCAGTTACTGTAAACTACCACGACTAGTCAGATAGATCAGCCGGAGAAATCACTGCAGGAAATTTAAGTGTTAAAAAGATTGTGACATGGCTATTTTTGTAATTGACTGAAAATAGCGAAGAGTGGCAGCTCTAAAACCTTTGGATTTTTCTGAAAAAAACTGCAACTCCACCTACTGATTTCCTCGTCTCATCGCCTGTTTCATCCCTCCTAAGAGCAACAGCCCGGTTAAAACAATTTCCATCTCCGCTGTTGTTTATCAAAAACGTCAGTAAGTTCGTAAACAGGCTATATACTCTTTCATACTAGTAAAAGACTGTACTAAGTTATTTCCAAGAGATTTGTAGTTAATTTTGTGATATTTTAAGACCACTGCGCGATGTCAATTCCAAAATCACCTTACGTAAGGTGAGAGGTTAATCGGTAGATTTTATTTCATATTTCATGGTTCATTAATCACACAAAAACGTACGCTTCCCTCGGAAAAAACGCAGCCTCAATTAATGAATATGGAATAAGGAAAAACAACACACACAAAAAAGAAATCGAATAAAGCACCACAACATGTCAAATAAATTCGACTATCTCCTTTATCTAATCAAAGTATACTTATAGCCATTTCGTGCTTTAAGTACTTAATCTACAGATGAAACATGGTTGTGAACTTCTAATTATTGGTCTTGCAGCAATGTAAGGTTGCTCTACATTATGGTAAACATCCAACTCCGCAGAATAATTAACGTACAAATAGAACACAAAAACAGCACAAAATAGCATCCTGCATTTTTTGAATTTCCATTTGCAAAATTTCTTCAAATCAGCCGCTGGAATCCAAATCTTACTTTGCCTGCACAGTAGCTCAATATATATTTGCTTGTAATGTCATGACCTTTGTTTACTTGGTTTTCTCCAGCTTTTATAAGATAAGTTTTCTGCCTTGGAACAAAAATACCTCAGAACCACACTCAATGTGACTGCTCTTTTTTTGACTGTGTGAAATAAGGTATACAGAAACAAATTCCACAGGTTCTGTTTTGTCAGTAAAGCAAAGGATTATTTTTGTGTGCTTCTGATCAATCCAACTGCCAATGTTTACATAACATAAAAATCAATAAAGATTTTATGTGTTCCTATTGGCTAGCTTTTCAATTTGTTCATGAAATGAAACAGAAACCCAGCTGGATTTTTACCCTAGTATGCCACAGGCATCCCACAGAATGAGTAGAGAAAAACAACTTATCAGATATTTTAAAAGTGAGGTATCCCAAGTTTCAGACTTCATTTCTTTTTAATAGTCTAACAACTTAAGAACAAATTACATAACATTGTACAAAGTTGTCATGTGAATTATTTTTTTGAAACATTCATGTTCTGTTTTGATCGGAGATATATATGCTAGATTGCAGAAGTTCGCCAGGCAGGAGGTGGATTTTTCAATCTCTCAACTCAGGTGAAAAAGCCTTTCATTCGACCTACTGATGGTAGAAACTTTGGCTGGGTTTCACTTGAGAGGGAAAGGTAATGAAAATGGTAATGGTGATTTAAATATATTGAATGTAAAAGTTTTATGGTTGAATTGCCTAGGGAGGGGGTGACTTCCTATTAATTTGCAGCTGGATGAGGTTGCTTTTTTCACGACTGGGTGGACTTTAGTGAGGTTACCTTTTTTACTAGAAAGGGGTCACATGTTTTCAGAATATTGGGGGTAAGAAAATAATGGTATACAGTCAGTTTAATAAATTTGTGAACTCATTTTAGAATGAGTTACTTTATAGACTTTATAAGGTAATGCATAAACAGGAAACCAACTAAGTTTGGATTGAAAGTTACATTTGCCCTAAAGTGACTGAGATGGGGTCTTTAATTAGCCACAGATTAAACTATAATGGGGTAGGGGTCCTAAGAGGCCAGTGGTACATACCCAACAAAAATTGACCCAATTAAACCCCCCCTCCCTCTCCTAGGCTGATTTACAGTTTGAAATAAGTGATTAGAGTGTAGGATTGTGTAGGTTTTCTTCTTTTAGACAGGAGGGGTCTCTCATTGGATTGATTAATGCATGTATTTTATGTTAAGTAAACTTTCATATGTTGTTATTGAATATTATTCCAGGTGGGGGCAATTAAAACAGAAGCTGTTTTGATTTAAAACAAGTTATCCTTGCAACTGTCAATTATCTAGTTTAGTGGTTAATTCCCTGTTTTTGATGTAAACCAATAATCAATTTTTCCTAACAGCTTGAATCCTTCTCGACCTGGTGACTTAAAGGAAGCATTTAATGTTTGTGAGCTTCATGATGAAACACAGGTCAGTGATACTACTGACAGAAATATGTATCAATAATTTAAGTTACCACCTGACGTTTTAGACTGACAGCTTTTCTGACAAAACCTTGTGATGAATGACTTTTTAATGTTGGAAATTCTTGCTCTGAATAAAAGAATGCATTTAATCTCATGTGGTGCTACATCAGTGGGGGAGCACAAAAGGATACTTTTATTAGTATTATCTACCAAGTTGATAATGTAAATTGGCCACTGGAAAGAGTTTAAAAGCTGAAATTTTGAGCATTAGCCCTTTGTCCCATCACTCCAAGGAAGAGCTACACTTGAATTGTCAGCTTATAAAGCCTTTATGGTGGCCAATTTGCATTGTCAACTCAGTTGATAATACCAAATTACCATGTTAATTGAATATTTGATATTTTTAGAAGTGGCCTGATGAAGAGGTACCAGAATTTAAGCCTGTGGTGACTTCATTTTTCAACAAATGCAAAGATCTAGCATTTAGAATTCTGGATGTTATTGGTATTGGACTCAATTTACAAGTATGTATTTAAAATATATAAACATATATTATATATATGCTGACATTTTTAAGTTGACATTTCGAGTATTAGCACTTCATCAGAGTGATTGGATGAAGGACTAACACTTGAAATTTCAGATTTTAAACTCTTTCTGGTGGCAATTTGTATATGTATATATATGTTTATGTACATATATATATATACAAGTTCAAGAATTAAAGAGGATGCATCGATTCTCTGTATATAGTTTTCTTAGTTCAGATAAAGTGCCATCTTAATTAGCTTCGGTGGAAATCGAAAGTGAATATAGTTATTTATATTTGTAATCAGGCAGTCCCTTACAGAGAGAGGTCTGGGTCAAGTCATGTAGTTTCACCATAATCAATGAATAACATGGAGTTTCCTTTTTTCCCTACACAATTTAAAAAGTACAACTTTTCACTGTAAATATGGTACTGGCTGCTGTACAGGATTAGGAAGATGCTGGAGAAACAGACCCAATGTTATTAATTGTAACTGTAGTCTCTCAGTACATTTACAACTCACAGCATTATAACCAGGCATTACAATGACATATCCAGAGTAACAATAATTGTAGTGAACTTAATTATGCCAGCTGCCCATCACAAAAAACCTTATTGTTGGGGAAAACCTGAATCCTCTTCCACATACAGTCAGGCAAGACCCGAAGGAGAGAGGTTGCTGAACTATAAAATGTTTTGAAGCTACAGACTCCAATGGAATGAATTTTTTAAAAAAGAACTCAATAGATGAACATGAGGCAGAATGATTTCCCACAATGAAATCTTGCAGAATGTACCCTTGTCTATGTTGCTCTAGCAACTGTTGGTTTCAGTGTAACATGAAAAGGTTAATTTGCAGCTATTCTGTGAACCACAGCAAAAAGCAAAATGTTTCTTGTCTTATCAGCTGTGCATGATCATTATGTTTGTTAAGATGTAAAAACCACTAGAGAAATACTTGTCCAAATATTTTCTGGCAGATATCAGCGTTTGTCAACTCTCTTGATTTGTGTTATTTGTTCATAGTGCATCTTTCAGATCAGATCCTTTATTTAGGTGGGTCATTTTTTTTATTCTTGCTTCATTCTTTCCTTTAAAGGATCCACACTGGTTGTCGCAAGTACATGGTGCCATAGGTACCTTGGATAATGCAACTGCCTTACGGCTATTACACTACCCACCCCTCCCTGACAAGTATAACATCAAGCCTGGACAAGTGCGCTGTGGGGAGCATAGTGATTATGGCTCAATTACACTGCTTTTTCAAGATGAGATCGGTGGATTAGAGGTATGAGTTAGCAGGGGGAATTCTGTTAAGGATTTAAAAATGGGAAGATTCACAATTAGATAATGACTTGTGTTGAGATTCAGAAATTGCATTTGCCCAAATTGACTAAGATGGGGTCCATAGTTGAGTATATAGAATGGGGTAGGGTTTCTTAGAGTGCAACATCACATACCCAGCAAATATCGACCTGAGAAAAAATGACAGAAGAAACTCTTTCAACTTCTATGTTTCCATAATTTGTCACATCAGGTGCTCCCAGTAGATGGAGAATACACTCCGGCTGTACCTATTCCTAAAACAGTGCTGGTTAATATTGGAGATCTCATGCAAAGATGGACAGCTGACAAATTGATCTCCACTGTAAGTGGAAACACACCTCCTAATTTTAAAAAATGTTAAGTATCAAGAACCACAAGAAAAGGCAAGGTGAAGTTAAGCAGAAAATTTAAAGCTATCTTGTTATGTGCACAGAATAGCAGTTAAAACTATTTCAGATGCACCTTGCTGTATAGCAAGAATAATTTGTTACAAGGTATTATGATTCATTCTCCCAAGTGCAACTCTCTCAAGGACCCCTTATGTTTTGTTTTGCTCAATTCTTATTACCTGCTTTTCTTCCCCAAACTATTTGAGTTGGTGGTAGTCAGAGAAGAATTACACCATTGCAAGCTGTGATTACTATCACTAGAAATACTAATAGCGCAACATTTGTCAATAAATTGTGTCCTTGATGGTTTTCAGAAACATAGAGTACTTATACCAGAAGAAGAAGTGAAGCAGAGAATTGTACGCCGTTCTTTAGCTTTCTTTGTTCACCCTGATAATGAAGTCATGATCGAGTGTCTTGATGGATCAAATAAACATCCTCCAATCACATCGATGGGATATCTACAACAGAGATTTGCTGCAACTTATTAACTTAGTCACAAAAAATAACTCAAGGGAATTTGTAGGTTCATTAGAAGCAGCTCAGGGTTGAAACCATGATTATAATAATTAGAGGTATCATGACACATACCCTGATGAAAAATATGGATCCAGAAAAATTCTGCTATACAAGTAAACTAAGTGTTTCTTTTTTTTTTTAATCGATGATTTTGATTGCAACATTACTTTTTATTATTGAATTACCTTTTAGTATCAAGTTCAATTTTAGAAAGGGTTGTTCCAAGTTAAATTTATCAACACTGTTACTTATGTGAGGATCAAACCCTTTGACTTACAAACTATCAAAGCTGTTGTCACTAAAACAAAGTACTCATGACAACTTAGTTGTACATTCCTTTCAAGAGTCATCCTTATTTACGGATGGAAGGAAAAAACGGAAACAAAGGAGATACAACAGCTTAATTCTGTTGATTACAAACCAACCCTCGTTACACCAAGAACAAACATGAGTAAATTTCGGAGATGCCTAATGGAAGGAATTTAGATCATTTTTTAGGGAAAAAGGTTCCCAGTCCTTTCTATACCAGAAATACACAAGTTCAAAACATTTTAAGAAACTCCCTAAAATAGCCAATGTTATAATGTCTCTGTTTTTGTTATTGAAGCAATGTCCAAAAAAACTCCCCACACTTTGAATTCTTAAATTAAAGATAAACCTCATCACAGTGGTAAACAAACCCATGACCATGCATATTAGTTTATGTTAAGAAATTTGTTTTTTGTGCCATTTGGTTATCCATCTTTGAATACACAATCTCAAAATAATATGTTTTCAAAAATAAATGTTTACATGTAAAGATGGCATAATGCCTCATTCACACCAACAAAAATCAGTCCTAGAAAACTGCGAGAGGGAATTATATATTGATAGTAATTATTTTATCACCAACTTTCAATTGCTAACTTTGATGTTGACAAACACCAGTTTTTCAAAATGATGTTTAGAGGCTGGGGTTATTTTAAGAAAAAAAATTCAAACTTTTTTACAAAACAACTTTGAATCTTATTTCAGTCTTGGTGTGAATGGGGTAGGCATCTGATAAAAGTAATTGTCTGAGACAGAAAAAACCACATAAACATACACCTTACAATTCTTAATTCCTCATAATAACACTTTTCTCCCTCTGTTAAATCATTCTGTCTTTAGCATGATAAATATTACTGTTCCCAAGGAGTTAAATACACAGAAACCAAGCACAAACTATTCTTCATTTCTTTTCAAACAGTTACTCACCTAGTTACCTAATTACATACAATGGATAAAATCCCTGTATTAATGATATTTATCCATTATAAGTGTTTTTCCAAGGTTTGACTGACATCTCTTTTCTTCTTGAAGCAACTATTTGAGTAATGTTATCACTTAATTGTTGATATTGTAAATTTTTAATTTTAATCACTGATTTATTGTTAACTATCATAGCACAATAAATATGTGATGAAACTCTAGTTACTGATATTTATATAATATTAAATTAAGCCAAGAAGAATTGAGATGCTCAATTATAAACTAATAGCTGTAAAGATTTCCCTTCATCAATGTCCCTATGCCTAGACAAAAACTTTATTAAAAAACAAAACAAAAATAGTATTCACCAAATCTTAGAATAATGAATATTTAATGTTTCCCTTGATATTTAGTTTCATTTACACTAATAACTCTTGATGGTGAATTAAATGTTTTAAGCATTCATTGAAATTCAGATGTCAATTTGTTCTTCAAAGATGATTAGTACAATAATATTCTGCCATAATATAAAAGGATGAACCTTTGTAAGTGCCCAACCCCCCCCAAAAAAAAAAAGTGTATCTGAAGAAAAGTATGTGATACACCAGCTTCTAATTTAATTGCAACCAAGATCAATTGTTATAACTCAAGTTACTATCTTGATCAAATTCTTGATCAAATTACAGTTTGTAGCACTTAATCTGACTTTCAACAATACTATCCTGTCTGGTATTTGCATCTTTTAAAAAAATTTAGCAGTTGTTAGTAACAATTATGGTATAACCTATAACATAACTGAGTTCCAAATATTAGTCATGTGTTTGACACAAGCTTGTAACTAAAAGGATGTATAAATAAGAGGACTTTGCGCATCCACCGGCGATCATCACATCACTGCTCACCAGATGTGACTATCTAACATGAAAAAGGACTTGACACATTTGACAGCACTTTTAACAGCACTGTTGGTTAGAACTGCGATTGAAATTTAATATAATGAAACAGGCATCCCAAAATTTCTAACAGGATTCTTCTGAGGGAATAATTGTGTCACTTAAAAGTAGAGGAAATGACTGAAGTTCTTTTTTTTTTTTTAAACCGAAAAATAAAAAAATAAATAAAATAGTGTGTTGAAGTCCCTTTACATGAAAGAAAGAAAGAAAAAAAAAAACAATACATGTTACAATGATTAAATCATAGCTAACCCAGTTGTAAAACTATGATATCAGCTGGGGTTGTATTTGTAAGAAAATGTCATAAAATGGCAGCAAACCTACTCGTCCATCATCACTTATCTCTTTAGAAAGGACACCAAGGCTAGAGCAATTTTAACCGAGTGGCAAAAGTAATCTGGAATTGCTTTGTCTTCCCTTTACTTTGCTCTCAGATTGATCCAGAAAATGCACACAACTCTTAATCAATCAGACATAGAATAAAAATGTAGAACTAAGAACAATAATTGTTCTTATTGTGACTTGAGCATTCACATTTTCCTATGCTTTAAGCAGTTTTCTTGTTTTTCACTTTGAGTTTTCATTGGAAAATGTAAATTTTGTTCAGATTGGTCCCTGAAATTACTTACTAGGTTTTGCTTTTTTGACACAGTTGAAAACAGCTCTAAAATAAATTTGCTAATCTCTTTTCTTTTAAAGCCATCATTGCCGGCCAATTTTTTACTTTACCTTATTGTTGCTTCCATGACAATGTTATTGTTTCTTTTTTTGAAACTAGAGAATTCTAAGTCTAGGAAAAGTACAAATGAAAACTATTGCCACAAGATGTGCTGTTAAAGAACAAATAAAACATCTGTGGACATTTCATGTTCTTCTGTCAAAGGACTTTGTAAATGCACATAATTAATATATAAATTAAAAGCAACTTAGGTTCCAAGATGGCTGATCTTAACCCTTTGACTCCCTAAACTCTCATATATGACCAAGACAGGTTTTCTCCTTACATTATCAATGCAATATCAAGCAGATGAGTGATGGGAATAAAGAAAAATGTCAATTAGAGCATTACTAGTTCATCTAACACCAAATTCTCCAAACTAGCATTAGAAGGATTGTAAGGCAGACAGTAAGGAGAGTTAGTCAGATGAGATTATGGAGGTGAAAAGGTTAAATGTGTAGCAAGTGTAATCATAGAACTGAAAATGCATATGATAAGAATTGTATGCCAGATGCTAAGGAGAATCACCACTGAGATCTTGGGAGTGAAAGGGTTCAAGATATTTAACAAGTATTGTGCTATTCCACTTGTTTAAGACAAGAGGAAACCCTTTGGACTAAAAATTTCATATTTTAAGCAAAAAACAAATGTTGGTCATGTTATAGATGTTCCAACATGTTAGAAACCACAACTAATTTCATTAACTAACACTGAATCATTCCACATCCAAAGAATCATAATTAATATAAAAAAGTAAAACATTCCTAATTTTTTTTTGTTATTTGATTTTTGTTAGCAGCCTTATGTTTTCAAAGGTATTTCTTTTGTATCAATTGCATTTGACTGAAGTTAACAAAAAAATTAACTATTGGGTAAAATTGGCTTCCCTTTGCCAAAATATGTATTTGTGTGACTGTTTTTCACTCTTCTGTCAAAAACTGTCACAAAGTCAAGGGTATTTACAAGATGCAAACAAGTTATTTGTAAATTTTGTCACAAGCACTACACTCTTAGTAAATGTTGGCTGTAAAATGAAGGTCATGCAATACATGATTATTTTTTTATGGCAGAAAAACTATCATTAGTAATGATAATAATAGTCCCTTAGTCAGATGAAGAGAGTAGACCATGTGTAAGCCTGGTCAGTCACCTCTGAGGCTCTCCGCCTTTGTAGAAATTTCTTTTCTAAGAGCTCTCTGGTGCATTCCTTTTCTTTGGATAGATTGCTGTCATAGCATTTGGCAAAGATTTCTGAAGTCCTGTGGAAAATCCAACCACTTGCTTTTCCTGGAAGGTACACATGAAAGGCAATAGCATAACCTAGGGTCACTTGGTACTTAGAGAAATTAAAATATTAAGGGAAAAATGAAAAAAATATATTCAAACATAAATAAATGCATAACCATGTATAAATATCCAATGTAATGAAACATTCGCAACCCCCAATGTATTCAAGGCTTGTATCTCAACTAATCCCCCTGTGTGACTCTTTTCAGGCACCCTGCCAGACTATTCCCTTTCAAAATGAAGTTCTCACTTTCTGTTTACTGTACACAGAGAATTTGACTTACCTTTGAGGTTGTAATACATAACACATCTTCAATATGAACAAAAACCCCATAGTTTGGTGGACAGGAGAAATAATGAACTCCATCCAAGGATCCACTATGATTTCCAACTAAGATCAAGAAAAGGGTCAGACAATGAAATTTGAGCAGCACTACTGGGAAAAAAGAACCACAAAAAACTGCCACATGAACTTTTATTAATTATTCCTGTTATTTATAGCTTTAAATCTTACCTGGTGAATCTAAGTGGAGTCCAATGCAAGATTCTTCCCCATTAACAGGACCAATGTATTTCACTGTACCTAGAAATAAAAGTACATGCAATTAGTTGCCTAACAAATGATAGCAAAATGTAACTTGGCAATAGTATCAGCCATGAATTTTCTATCATTGTTTATGATCTAGGAGACTAAATACATACCAGTAAGATGACTTCGTACAACAACATGATCACCAATACTTGGCAAAATCTCTGATCTTAGAATAAAGGAAACCAAAATTGAGACTCTATAACTTACATCACAATGATCCTAAACAACAAAATGAAGTAATTTTAGGGGACAGTCATTAATTGTTGCTTGACTGAGGCTGGGGGACTTTGGGGGTGGGTGGGAGTAGTTTTTGGGAGGAATGGAGGGGATCACTCACCCCCAACAGAGTATAAAGGGAGAGCTATAGTAAATTGACTGACAAGTAATGTTTCTTTTTGAAAATACAACTTAATATTTCAAACAAACAACTTATTTAACACAATCAACAACAGCACCACCAAAACCAACAGCAAACAATACTTATAATTAATGGCAATCACTCATACTTATGAGATTTCTTGTCTGTGTGTCCATCTAATGTTACTCTGCTTTCTTCGGCAAGGGCTCTGACACACCCTTGACATTTACATTGGGAATACATTTCATTTGGTCTGATGGGTTGATGCTGTGCACCAAACAACAAATAGATTAGAAATAATTCAGATCATCAGTAATTACCAAGAGCTGGCAATGCTGAATCATCAGTAATTACCAAGAGTCAGCAATGCTGAATCATCAGTAATTACCAGGAGCTGGCAATGCTGAATCATCAGTAATTATCAAAAGCCAGCAATGCTGAGTAATATTATTTTAATCTTGTAATACCTTGTACTTGAAGCTTCAATATCTTAAATATACAATACAGTAACAAACTCCTTTTCATACTTGACACATGAGTTTCAAATTACACTCACAAAACTTGCATAACACCACAATCTGTCAGGGAACAAATTAGTATCTGCCTTTCCTGAATGAGCCATCACAATTTTACCAATTAACTAAATTTTACTTTATTAATTTGTAATTTTTTGTGTATGGCAGCAAAATTGGTTAGGTGATGTAGTGAACTATGTGCTGTAAACTTGAATGTAGGAAATTAACTCAGCATGTAGGAAACCAGCATAAATCAGGTAAAATCTCAGTACAAAAAAGGATCAAAAGAGACAAGAACACTTACACATGACCCTTTTGGTGGAGAAGAAAGTGATTTGAATCCTATCCTTCTTTGTTGATTAACTAACCTATGGAATGAGGAACAAGTAACATCAAGTTGATATCAAATCAAACTGACTGATGTGGGAACCAACACTGAGTCAAAAGAGAAGAAAATGAAATAAACTTCTCTCCATAGATCTCAAATGAAGAGGGAAAATCTCCACCATACAGTGCCACTCACATCTTTTTATTACAGTCCACTAATTGACTTGGACTTTTTGCCTGTGGAATATGTGGCAACTCCACTTGGTGGTCTGCTGAATCCTGCAAATAAATGATAAAAGTAAACACTAGTAATTCATTGACAGCAGTCAGAATGCCATCTGGAGAAACAATTCTTAAGAAGAGAATGTAAAAGGGAACACAGTGCTAATTATACTCACTGTTGGTCTTTTGGCCGCAGACATTGGCACACTGTAAATCAGTAAAAACAAATTTCCATTAGGAAAAACCATTACTCTTCTTCTGGCTAAGAACTAGTTTAATTGAGATCACATTTTCAAAGTTGTATTTGTCCTTTTGTTTTTAAAAGCTGTAGTAAACTTGAAGGCCAGAACAAAGAAACCAATGTGACTTACGTATTTGTGCTCCTTTTTTGATGGTCTTGTTGACTCCCGGCTTTTGATACACTTTTCTGGCTTCCAACAATCATCTGTACAGAGCATACATGTGTAAAACAGATTACCATGAAATAGTAACACATTGGTATTACAGGTAACTACATTTTCTTGGTCCATATAGTAAGTTAAGAAATCTATTTTTTTCTGCCTGGATTTATGGCTTGCATGTTTGGCACTGGAGCCATAAATTCAAGCTGAAAAAATCTTCGTCTGTAACTTAAAGTTCAGACTCGAACCTGGTTAGTAAGAGGTATTTTTATCCAATTAAAATCATTCTAGAAATGAAAAGCTAGTGAATAACATGCTTATTAAAAGGAAACTCTACCCAATGGTTTGACCCCTTCACATTAAGTTTCTCTTATAATCTGAGTTTGTGATGTACTTGTAAGTTGGGTTCCCCGTTCATTTGTTTTTCACGTGCTTAAATCATGTGACCTCAGTGACTCAGAATGTTTTTTGTAATGGTGGTTATTTGGTTGTGTTGTTATCAATACAAACATTGTTATTTGCATGCTATTGCACCACATGTTCAATTGAAGTTATGAGGTCTACAGCAATAAACCACAGGCAGACAACCCTGTGGGTTTGAGGCTGTGTGATTAAAGAAGAAATTCAGTGAAGTTCTGGAGGCTTTTGGCCCAGAACGGTCCAGAACTTGCACCCCTGTGTTTTTCCTTTGCCTTTGGAGGGGCATCAGTGCACAGTGGCAAATTAACCGTCCCAAAACCCCTGAAATCACTCAAGACAACACAGAAAAACAAAGGTTATTGAACTTTATTTATCTGACTGCCATTAAGTGGATTTTGGGGATGAAATGTTACAATTTGTGGTATTAAAGAAACATTTCTCAGGATCACTTGCATCTTACCAAGATCAACCATTGCAAATAACAAACAATGTAAGAGTTTGACTAGCATATCAAATAGCTGATGTCACCCTGCCTCAAACCCACAGGGTTGTCTGCCTGTGAATAAACTTGGAGAAATTTACATCTGAGGAGTTTTGTTCCTTTGGTCCTTATAGTACCCATCCCTCAACCCAATAGGCCATCAAATTTACATCTATCATTAATAATTTAATTATTTATCTTTACTCTTTTTAACTTACTGGAAGTATAGTTTGTTTCTTCCTCAGTTCCTAAAAGGAAACATATTTGTTGTATTGTTACAATACTGTTACATAATTTGAATTAACAAATTCATTAATTTGGGAAATTTAGACAGGCTAGCCCTATTCATCTTCAAAGTTGGTTTAAAAGCTACACTCCCTACTCTTTGCACAAAGTGCCTGGGTTCTTTAACATTCTCTGTTAACCAGCACTGAGAAGAAGCAGGAGACAGGGCCAAGGTTTACTATCCTTATCTGAGAAGACTACAATGTCTAACCATTTCCAGAAGTCATAGCAAAGGCAGCACATTCAAGATCCTGAGTGTTGGTATAGCCTGGGGCTTGAAGCCCTTGACCTTCCCCATCGCAGTCTAGCATTCCACAACATGAGCTAACCAAGCAGGGCCAACATAAATCAATCACAAGATTATACCACAAAACTATTCACAAATTGACTGTTTACTATCCCAAAGGTTATTATTGTTAGCTAATAATACTACGACACTCTAAGAGAGAAATTGGTGCACAAGTTGTATTTACCTCCATTTCTGTTCTCATAGAATGCAACTGCTTCTTGAGTCTAATGTTTTCTTTTTCTTAAAAAAATGAAATAAAAGAAAACAATGATAACCATTTAATTACAAATTCAACAAGCCATAGCCTTATTGAGCGCTTAGCCATTATCATATGGAGCATGGAGCAAGCTGATGACAGATGGCAGGGAATCAGTGAAGGATGAAATCAGAATCAACTTTCAAGAACAGATTGCATAATGGTAAGCTTTATGTTATCCATTCAAGGTATCTGCAGACATTGTGCATCAATAAAACAGGGCAGAGCCCTCAAGTTGATTTGCTGCCAAAGATTGAGATTTTGAGCACATAACCATTGATTGCGATGCCACAGAGGGGAAAGGGGAGGAGGGGGGGGGGGGGGGGGAGGGGGGGGGGGGGGAGGAGGAGGAGGGGAGGAGGAGGGGTGAAGAGGCACACCCCAGTGGAAAATTGTGAATGATAGAAAAGCTAAGATATGTATTCCCTTATTCTGAGCATTTTGTGGAGATAGTCCATGTTACCGGTCCTCTCTTGCTATGGACTTCTCTGTTCAGATTAATTTCATACCTGCATCTGAAGAAACTTCTGTCTGACAAGCAGTAGTGTTTGAATTCTTTATCAGAACCTCCTTTAGCAATGGACTAGTACTGCGGTCTGTCAAGATTGGCTGAACTTGGGTTGTCTACAAACGAAATTATACAGTGAAATACAGCCACCTAGACTGACCAATCATAGCATGCAAACCAAGCGAGATAGAAGACCTCATCAATTATTGACTGATGTATGATGTGAAGTCTCACTGACTTGTCATCTTGAGCAAGCAATGATCACCACTTTTATACTTGTCCTGATAAGTTGCTTTTAAGTTAAGATAATCCCCCTTCCCTTCTAGCAAGTAGTTTACCAGCCACCTGGAGAATTCATACAGTATGTATTGTTTGCATCTGTGATGATACTCACAACAGACACACAGCAACCTGGAATCTGTTTGCTAAACAAAATGTTTTGATCACAATAGTTTATATCAGCACAGTTTTTAAAAGGTAATCAAATGCTCAACATATAATAGAACTATCTATGTTTGTTGCATTGAATCTACTTGTTTCTCTTCTGAATTCTCCAGTTTATTTTTGTACATGTCTAGCTTTATAACTTGGATTTAGCTCATATTAAATTTTTTTTCCTTTCATGACTTTGGAGCACATTATATCTCACCTTAGTTTGTGTTGGGTGTTGATTCTGCGACTTGCTTGATGTAGTAGAACTTATTGATGAAGATCCAATGCACCCACTTCCCTTAGAACCATCTTTATCTCTCATTTTCAGTACTATAACTTGATGTTCAAGTCTGCAAACAATTTTTTTTATGATAGGCTGAACTGTACACACATTTTGATTGTTTCTTACTTATGATCTATTGGAGGACAGACTCATAGATGACATCAACATTAACAAAATTTTGTTTTTTTGTCACATAAATCAAATAGACTTCATGTTGCTGTGAGTCTGTAAAATAACAGATCATAGAAGATATCAGTGAGAACATCAGTGACACACTTGGCTGGGCCTCATGTGCCACTATTTTGTTCTTGCACACAAATGCCTGGTTTAATCAAGAGTCCTGTACAAAAGCTGTATCTTTCCAAGCAATCAAAAGGACTTTAAGTATTTGTGCCTTGCTACAGACATGAAGCTAAGATGATGTTAATTATATCAATCCAGTAGTAAGCCATACAGTAAGTTTTGGGGCAGGGTTTTCCCCATTTTCTCACAACAAAATTGTCAAAACTACAAAAATAATTAAACATTTGACATGAAAACATTTTTTTTTGGTTTCATGCTATCTAATGACATATTGTATTTGTTTTGTGGTCTAATATATCACACCTGTGACTCAAGAGTGAAACACATGGTAATTTTTTCTTCTTGGGGTGGCTGCTTATCTGCTGTGATTATTTGCTTCAATACACCTTATTTACTGGAAGTTCTAGTGACACTTTGATGACTCCTGAGCATGTTGAAGCATCAAACATGTAGCTCAGGTATGTATTGTTTCTGAGTAAAGACAGAGAAACTGTCTCAGTCAAGCTCTTTGGGGATTTTTGGAAAGGTAAGGAAAGAGATAAAGTGTGCATGGTCATTAATTCAAATGCTAACGTTTTTTTCTAATCCCATAAAATATACAAGGGTGAGCTTCGACCGGAATGTTTCCTTTTGACCAGACGGAGCCTACAGCTCTAACACAACTGGATGATTCCTTCACCTGTAAACCTTTGTGACAGTGTTCTGTGCACTAAACTCATCAATATCTGTCTAAAGTACACTATTTTCATTCATTTTGGTTGTGCTATATCTTTATCACTCTGAAAATGTATTTGCAGGTTTGTTTTTACGCTTCTACCTGTTGTATGATTTTTGTGAATCACGTTTTGGGTTTTAGGGGATCAATGGTTCAAAGTTCATTATTGGTTTCAATTTTTGGATCACTTTGGCAGCTTTGTAATTGTGTTTAGCACATAAATTGCTGTAATATCAATAGTTGTGTTTGGGACATGAAATTTAAATAACTAGCCCTGACATTCTTTTTTGTGCAAGACAATTTTTTTTTGTGCAAGACATTTTTTTTTCCCTGCAGGAAGTGATTAGGCAGGGGGAGTGTCTCATGAGAAAAGTGTCATAGTCTACAGTTTAAGTCCAATTATCACCATCGTCTGCTGTTTTTTTAATAACTACAAGTATGATTACATTATTTTGTGGTAAGAGAAGCTTGCCTGAACAGTGGATACTTGTATGTACAATTATAATATCCCGTCTTGTGAATAGAATATTTATTACTTGTTATAGTCATTTCAGAGATGTTTTAAGAACACTGAAATATGAACCAAGAACTATTAGGGGCATAACCCTCAACTATTTCTGGCATGTTTTAAGAAAAATAGAACCACCTTATAATGAAACCTATTAACAGTGGTTCATTTAGCGTTGCAGGAACACATTCACAACGGAAAATTCACATGAAACAAAAGATACCAACTCGCACAATCTGAAAACAAAAAACTTGCCTGAGATCTAGTCTGACTTCGTTTGTTGTAGTTACCTAACTGTTCTGCAGTTAACAAGATAACCTTAAAACATGCCTTTTTTTATTCAATGCTGGAGCAATCAATGCTAATTTATCAGGTCCCATGGAATGAAACTGTTGCATAATTACAGCCTACAGTTTGGAGTTCTTTTTTATTAGAACATGAAGAAGAAAACATTCCCAATCTTTTTTAGAGGTTGAAAGTTGTAACTTTACCCAACTGAACTTTTCAAGACTGGGACACTTCTGATAAGAGAACCTAAAAAATGAGGTGAATTTAAATAAGGACAAAGTTCACTGGGTAAATAGTTACAGGGTTGTAAATAAAAAATAACAATGGCCCAAACGACCTGGAAAAAAAACAGGATATTTTTTCCTACAATTAAATAGGATTCCAACAATAAATCTACTTTAAAAGAGAATAGAATAACCACTTAGTGGAGAGACCTATCTGTTTGGAATTTCATTTCAATGTCCTTTCAGAAGTAGAGTGTAACCTAGTATCTCCAAAGTATTTCTACTGGTATGTGTGCTTTCAATGATCTGTCATTTTGGTGTGCATTTGTCTCTAAAGCTGATTTCCAATAGAATGTGGCTTTCTACAACATTTATAAAAATGCTTTATCAAAGAAAATCAGCTGATCACACTGAAATTTTACTGCTTTCTTGTAAAAAAAATTGGAAAATTTAATCTCTGATAGCACAGCCTGATATTATTGGAATAAATATTTTTTTTCACTGCCTTTCAGGTAAAAAATTCCAAATATTAACATGAAGCAGAAACAATAATCTTAGTATTATGATGAATAATTTTGACTGGAATTAAATCTATTTTTATTCTCAACATTTTTTAATGTAAAAAAGACTTTTAGAAGGACTAGACATAAAAAAGTGTTACTTTGGGCAATGATAGTCTATCCCTGCGGGATAGTATCTCCCCTGAGCTCATCAGCAGATAAAGTAGTTTACTTTTATAAACAATCAAGGTAGTAGTTTAAAATTTTCAATGAGAATAAATTGAACTCCAGATTTGAAAAAAAGAGAGAAACATTCAGAAAAGATGAGATTATAGCGCCATGATCAAGTGTGGATTTGATCTAGACTTCTAAGTACAATTTGGAAAAAAACAATCCATTTATTGAACTTGCACAAGCATATCACATTTCGTTACCTGAAGTAAACAAGTTCATTTTTGACAAAGGGCAATCTTGAACTCATGAAGAGCATGCAGAGAAAAAAAATAAGGTTTGGACATTTTTTATCAACGTGGTGGTTAAAATCACGGTTCCCTATCGCTGTAATTCACGTTCGCCTCCCAGTCTCGACGATTCTTTATCAAAAAGGCGAATTTGTGACCAGCCGTGGCATTTGTGATTTGAGTTAGCAAGGGAAAAATACGTCCGCATTTTGATATTGCGTATAGTTTATGGATCATCTCAACACGCACACGAAAAAAGCTTTTCAGAAATCAAAAGCCTTTGATCCCACAATGGAGTCTGTTCTCGGCAGATTGAGGTCACGTACGGAGCAAATGCTTGCAATCAGTCAAATACAAGAAAGTCTAAACAACATTCAGCGATTCCCATTGTTTGCCGTGGAAAGTAATTTCCGGAATATTCTACAAAGGATCATTCGCAACATTTCACACGAAATTGTTTATGATGCTGGACACTGAGTAATTGGAAAAACAATTTTCACCTCCGGCTAATTTTCTTTTCAGGGTCAATTTTGATTATGGATATCCAATATTGATGGATGCATACCGCTTTCAACGTAAGCATTTCCATGACCTTTTGTCCTCCAACCTTCGACATCAATGGATTCCACTCACACAAAAGAAACTTGAAACTATTAAAAATATCCCTTTCCTGAGACGCACAAAATCGTTTGCATGCATCAAAAGTCATGAACGGAGAACCTTCCCTTGCACTTTCAATAAGTTCTCAGTAAACGTCCACGAGGGAATTTTAACTTACAACACAAAAGCAGAACAAAACACCTTTTAATTAACCAGTTGACGAGGTAAAACGCTGGAATCACAACACCCGATTGAAGTGCTTTAACAATGGCCAGTAGAAACTTATTGTTCTTGCATAAGAAAGCGGAACGACTTTTATCGCTGAAACATTAAAATAGGCCTTTCTTGCCCATACTGCAGCTTTCATTCGCAGGGAATCGTCGAAGCAGATATTGCTACCCGATTACATTGAGTAAACATCGGGTTAATTGCATATTTATGTGGAACTAATAACCTCTTGAAGATTTCTTCTTTACAAATACAATCCATTTCCCTCTAGTTTCTCAGGAAATACAGTATAACTCCCTTCGTAATCGTTAAATAAGACCTACAACGGGAATTTCAGCTGTGTCAAAATAGAAAACTCTAAGCTTCAGCAATTAAAAAGCTAGCAAGTTGGAAAGTGGTGTACACATTTAGAGCTCGCTACAGGGCTTTCTACAAAACGTGCAGAAACTCATCGATGCTCAAGGGTTTTTGTAAGATTAATGGCAAAACCAAGAAGCTCTTAAAAAGTTTTAATAATTCTTATGCCAACTAAAACATAATATAAATGATCGTACCTGCTGATGTCGTCCAAAAGTTTAGCGACTTCTGTGCAAAGGGAAATTGCTCCCTTCATCCTGTGCTTTTTCGCCGTTGCGTTCAATACAATTTCCACAGCCTGCCTTACAGTTTCTCTGTTCCCTTTGAAGTGCTGAGCGGCGTTTCCTTTAAAATAAAAAATAATTTCGTAGATGAAGTTTTTCTAAAGTTTTGCGACTCTCAGTCAATATCTAAATGATTTCCGCCCCCAAGTTTGTATAATTTCGCTCACCTACTAAACTTTGCTCGTCAACTGAGAAAGACATGGCCTCCATTGGAGAATCATTCGTCAACTTCGGATTTGAGAGAAGACAATCTGTGCGATGGATCCTCCTAGAATTTCTTCGTGAATAACCACTGCCTCCGCTTTCACTGCTCGTGGAATCAGTCATGTCACCAGCATATGCCATGTACTAGTCGCTTGCCAAATTCAGTACGTGACTTTTCAAAGGCTTGTCATTCGAGTCGTGCATATTCATAACAGGTTTAACACAAAATCCTCACGATATAGCTACAAGAAGTTTTGTCAAAAATCATGTATCACCTATGGAAAAGAAATCAAAGGGACTTATTATTACTCTGGTTATCGTTCCCTGAAGCAAATTGCACGCTGCCCACTTCCGAGTCAGGATTTCTTTTTAACTGGGCGCATTGGGGGCTTTATTTGGAGAACAATACTGTATGAGCCCGCGGTACAAACCGTAATCTACACTCGTCCACTCGTCCTGTAGAAACTCGAAATGGCGGGTAAGTCGTGAAAAAATCCAGATATTTGAAGCTTAAAGCTAAATTTGCCATCAATTTGATTAAAGAACTTGTTGTTAATGAAATTAAGGAGTTTATTCTGGAAAGAAATCGCCAATTTTGGAAATAAATTCAAGCTCAGTTTAATGGTATGGCTGGCAACTGTGAACCAAATACTGTCTTCATAGTCTTTGAGAGAATATTGAAATCAATATTTTCATTCAATTTGGCGGCCAATGATTGTTGTATGAATTGAGTGTAGTATATTTTTAATGACTGTCTTCAAAGAAACCAAATCAATACGATGAATATGAATCTTGTACGCGGTTGTAATCACTAAAATAATTTGCTCATAATCTGAACCCGTGTACACTAAAGAGTCATTCACGCTTGAATCAAACATCGGTAGCACCAAATAGAATTAAATGTGGTCGAAGATTTTTTTTAAATACCATTACTGAGGTGACAGAGACATAACCAGTTCTGGACGGTTTAAATTTGTCGTCAATAGTACTATGGTAGTCCTAATTGTATCCATTTACAATAGTGAAAGTTTATATATCTATGTGGTTTAAGTGTAAGATGAGCAGCATTTTAATATGGAAACGTGTTTGACATGGTTGAAGAATTAAGCTCTATGCAATGTTGGGTTGAAGGTACCTCTGTAGAAAATTATTGAAGTAAACGTTCCTGAGCTAAAGTGATCAATGTTATGTTTCTCCCCCCATTAATATATACTGTGCTATATTGTAAAATTTACTATTAGTTGTGATCGATTCATGGAAAATTTCATTGTTGGTTTAGGTAATTGGAAATGACTATGTATTAAAATCTTGGTAGATAACTTTGCCACGGGTTAACTAGAAAACAGCAAATTCTTAAATTACCTATCAAGTTTCTGAGTAGCTGAAATCATGCAGCATGATTGATCTATTCTACAAATCACATCTGATTTACTTATAATGCTTATAGCAACTAATATAAAAATCAAAGCAGGGCATTGCTTCAGGTGGGTGGTTGATGAGGTTCTGGGAGTATTTCAGGAGTCACAAAATCACAGAAAACTAACGCGTCGGTAATTTGTTGACAAACAATGATAACTACTACTCACCCTAAATTCCACCAAGATACAACCAAAATTTGCTATAATATATTGATCTTGTTTGTGCTTTTGGTTATGCATAAATCAAAGAATTGCAAAATGTTTAGATCATGCTAAAAGCAAGGAACCTCTCTGAAGGAAAAGCACACCAATCTTGCCTTTGATACGTATATGGTGATGTAAAAATGATGCTAAGAGGTCCGATTTCAAGAACAATAGGAGATAACAAACATTGATAAATGTTGCAACCAAGATCAAAAGAGCATGAAATTGTGCAATCAAAGTAGTTGATAATTGGCATATTCAAAAATAGGTCCTCTGGCTTGTATCCATAACAGTGATGGTAGGAATAGAATAAGACTTGAAATTGCAGCTCTAAAATCTGCATCAATTGCAAATGGATACTTTTTGTTATGTATAACGTCTTATTGCACTAATGTCCCAAAGGAAAAGAGGATTTTTGTCTTCCAAGTATATAGGAACATGTAGGAAGCATGTGGTTAGCACATTCCTGACTTGAGCCATGTAATCTTGTTAAGAAGTTTACGCATTTGTGTATACAGCTATTTGTTAATTTATTTCACTATTGAACCTGAAGTAACAAATCTCTAAGACGCCAAGACTGAAATGTATTCTTAATGACTTAGGAATGAAATGTTTTGACAGTTCCTTGGCACAGGTTTATATCATAGTGGTGCATAAAATGCATGCCGAGTTGAACATTTCAAGACTTAAACAACTTACAGTCATCTAGGTGTGTTATACATGAACAGTAATGGTAATTTAATTCTCAAATTTGATGTATTTATAACATTTGATTTAAGTTTATGTGTTACTTTTTATTCCATTTGTTTCTTGGAGTCACAGAATATCAGTAAGGTCATCGCTTTTCTTCGCATGTCTCAACTGGATTGAGTTGCACGATAAACTGTTGGCAATTTGTCGGTGACTATCTCTTACCTCTCCTACCTGCTTATGATTTATGTTTTAAAATTTTTTCCTATATTTGGACTTTTCTGGTTGCCCTTTAACTTCTCACTTAGACCTCTGTAACTAATCCACCAGTAATAGGAGAACATTGATTTAAACAGATTTTGGTAATTACGTCTAATGCATTAAATGGGAGTGACCAGGATCAAATGACACAAATTTTGTAAAAGATGGTAAACACTCTTTAATTGAATGCTTGTTGAGTGATATGATGCAAATTTGGAACATTTTTACTTCTGATCTTGCTATGAAGCTACATTTCAGGAGAAGGACACTGTTAGGAGGGTTCTTCTTTCCAGTGGAGGAAATTTATTTCATAAAAAATTATGATCAGGGAAATGTGTTACTAACCAAACTTGTTTCATTTGTTAGATTCAGCTAATTTATCAAAATCAGCCTTGAAGAACAAGAAAAGGGCAGAGAAACGATCAAAAGCTCGAATAGACCAGATTAAAGAAAATGGTGGCATTCTAGAAGCAATGCAAATGAAGGATCCGGTCGATCTTTTGAGAGAACAACTGCAGGAAGCAAAGAACAACAAGGTATAAAATGTGAAGACATTATGATGTACCCAGGGTTGTCAGGCTATGTGTAGGCAAGGGCTCTGGCATCCGTCGAAATTACAAATAGCTGGGGCAATTTTTAGAGTCGATGATGATATGTGCCAGTTGCTAGCTTATTTTGACAACCCCGTACAACCATTCTCTTTGGGATATTCTTGGAAATATTTTTGGTACAGACAAAACAAAAATTTGGATCTCAAAATTATCAGTGGCAAAGAAAAGAATTCTTTCTTTGGTTATCACAGCACCAAATGACAAGAGAGCTGATTCCCCATGACTTCTGAAATGTGTTATCTAAGCTGGGTAAAGTTCATGAGTGGGGTTAATTTGGAGGGGCTAGAAGCTAGCAACTGAGTATGTTAATAAAAGTAATAACATGATTTCAAGTGCAATTTGGGTGTTAATAAGCATAGGTAAATTTTCTAAGACTACAAAATTACACGAGTCCTCAGGGCAAGTGCAATTTGTAGTCTTTGAAGTATTTAGAAATGCTTATTACACCAAATTGCACGAGAAATCATGTTGTTACTTGTTAATAATGTACATCAAAAAGCATGACAAAGTCAAGACAGACATAAATTTTGATGTATGTACCATTTATAATATGCACTCGTGTTACAACTTTGCACTCATGTTATGCAAGAAAGCACTAGTTTTCAGCCAATCAGAAGTCCATAATTTTTTCATGTCTATTTTAAGCAAATTGACACTGTTTAGCTGGACAAAACAAAAATGAAAGTTTAGAGCTATGGTGATAATACATTACGTTCTTCAACACAATACAACTACCAAGGAATTTCCAATCCTTACTTAGCGTAGCGACTCCGTTTCAAACATTTTGTCGTGGATTAGCTAGTGACCCTAAAAGCCTGTCAGGCATTACTGTGTAAACATGAAAGGAATCCAACACAATTCTTTCATGATCCACTTACATAAAATGACCTTCGTGACTAAAAACAAAATCAATAGTGCATAAATGTGTGTCATCTTTTGACTTTTGTTGGAGGTCAAAGGAGAGTTTGTATAGTTCATGCAATTAATTTGATCTCTTGACTTAACCACTACAAGTAAAAAATATCCTAAAGTGGGAGGTTAAGTCTTCTTCCTCTAAAATTCTTAGAGTGGCCATGTGCCTGCTTGGCTAATATTGTACTTGTCAAATACTGTTCTTGTTGAACTAGCACCTTTTAAAATAAGTGAAAATTGTTTAACCAGAAGCTTACGAAAAATTTACCAAGAAATAAGCCTCTTCCGATTTACTGATGTTTAGTCCAAAATGAAAGGATTTTAATTAGATTCTTAAATAACCTTGGACTGATTGGATGAAGTAGATCTTGCTCTCTTTTAATTAGTTAAAGATAGACTCTGTTGACCATTGTTATCTCACGGAATTTTTTATGGAAACATAGAATGCTTGAACCAATTTGTACCTTCTTACATTCGAAATGTGTTTTTCTTCTATAGCCAGCATCTTTTTTTTAAAGAAAAAATTGATTTCAAGCTTGGATTTGATGTCTTCAGGAAAAAGTGAAACCTTCACAGTTATTGAATATGTGATTCCTCTAAACATTTGATGATACTAATGTAGACGTAGAAATTGCGATGATTACTAACTACCACAATTTTTTAAGGTTTTCATTTGTGGTCTAGAAAGTTATAACACATCATACTTCGGATTGGAAGAGAATGGTTCTATAAACAACTCTCCTTGAATAGAACAATCTTTAGGTCTTTAGGTGTGTCCAAAGACCACTTAGTTTGCTTGAAATCTAAGTTAGAAAAACTTGGGTTCTAGAAATCTGAAAAAAGGCAAATACTTGTCTTATGTAATCAGGCTGTTGATTCTGGTCTTATGTAATCAGGCTGTTGATTCCTTACATAGAAAACATCGGCAATCAAGGGAAAAATTGGTCCTTACATGAAACAATCAAACCACCGCCCTGAGTGTATTTCGCCAATTTGTTTGTCAACTGAAATGTATCATGTTTTACTTACATAGGATCATAAACTTGCAGCCAGGTTACGTCAACAGTTGTGGATAGCCCAGGACAGTGCAGCTGGTGTCAGGTGAGATGCGAATGGATACTTAAATGAAGAGTGTTGACTTCATACTGTGAGCATACCTGAAAAACTGCACGCTTACAGATACGCTTTCTACGGGATCACCCGTAGTTGAACCCGATCCTGTCAGATAAATACTCACGTTACACTTACAATGATTGACGGGTTCATATTTTATTTTTACCTGATTTTGAAAGGAGAAGGCGATATATGAACACATCTATTTGCCTTGGTGTTTAGCCTGAAACAACCCTTCACCCATACCCTGATAACTGCGATCATAAAATGACAGCTTATGTGGGTAAGGGTTATTCAGGGCTAATAGTGTGTGTTTGTAGTTTGGTTTGTGAAATTTTTATGAAACAATTCTTGTGGAATTCTTCAGACAGATAATACTCATAGATGAAAGATCTTCAGTTTTTTTGCTTCTATTAATAAAGGAGGACGACCGGGCGTGCTCGCGTGAACAGTTCGCTTTTTTAAATTCCAGATTGATTTGAACTTGGCCTAAAAATGTGATGTAATTATATCCCATCCTCCAGTAAGTTCTTAGTCATTATTAGGTATCACCTCGCATGATGCAGACAGACTTCTCTTCAGAGATTCAATCAAATAATAGCATTTTCCGAAGTATGAAATCTGTAATTGCATTAAGTGGCTGTAGGTTTCGTTTATGTCGAGTACTTTTCGTTTTCTTCCCCTCTACGTGAAGGCATGCGTTGTCTAGAACTTTATTTATAGGCAACCGAGGCTAGTTTTTACATCTCAGCTGGAGGTATCAATCTATCTTTAGTCACGAACAAGTCTAGCCATTCACTACACGAAAAAACGGGAAAAAGACAGAAGTAGTGGCACAGGAATATCAATATTTCCTTCCAATTTTTTTTATCTACTTTAGTAAGTTATGCCTGCCCCTTCACTGTTCAACAAGTATAAAGCGATTGAAAACAGTTCATTCTGCCATGGCTTGACAGTGAAAGAACAAATAAACAAAGTAAGCGGCATTCAGATGATTCGTGTCTGATATAACGTTGAACTATTATTGTTTCAAGTATTGAGTATATCCGGCTTCCAACATGCAACCATTCGCGTTTCTACCCGAGCTAACTTCATGTCTACTTTGTTGTTTTCTATGTTGCCTTGTCGTTATCGTTTTGCTTCTCTATTTGCACATTACGTGTACTGGTTAAGTGTTTTTTATTTCAGCAGATGTTATCATTATTTGATCTTTTACTAGGCAGATGATTCTCGCAATTCAATCGGTCAAAGTTCAAAGTTAATGCTTGTCTCTGCAGCGTGTGAACAAAAGCGAGCAGTGTTGGAGTTTGGTAGATAATCTATGTGCCTTTTGTGTTTCATTCACTCTTCATCAATCTAAAGGTTTTGAATTTTAAAAAACTTCATGGTTTCTACTTTTTCGTTCGACCTAAAGTCATCGTTTATATGATCAGCGTGCCTAAAAAGGTTATCTCAGCTTCTGATATCATGCCCTACCTAGAGTAATAAGTTTATCTTTCGAAAAATCGCTCTAAACGAGATATAAAAAACACCCTGCTGTTTAAAATTCTGCTCACGGTTTTCTGAGATTCCCTTCAGCATGCAACTTTCCTCAAAGATTTCAGTGGCTTTATTTTTCAACCGCCGCGTGATGTAAAGTTTTCTTTTGCCTGATGATTGGTTTGATTGACATAAACACGTGGTTCGAATCTTTGGGAATCAGGAATGTGCCTTGTTCAGCAAAATGGACTGACACGTCCGTTGTGGAATAGTTTTAAAATGCTGATCAAATCTTGTCTTTTTTCAGACAGAATGCGTCGGACATGAGAACTAAACACACGAGCATTAGAGGGATTTTTAAGTTTTACGAAAGCTTAACCTCTCAAAGCCATTTAAGGAATGTCCCTGTCTTTTTTGACATGTGGTTCATTAGTTGTCCAAGTTCTGTGTACGTGACCGGCCCGACCACAGACTTGGAGAGAAAATACTATTTTTTTCGGCGCGGGTAAGGGGTTGTTTGGGCCGGGTGTTTGCCTTCATCTTAATGGCATGCATTGGCTTATAATTTTCATGATTTTTCTCCTTGTTTTAAACAACACGATGAATTTCAATCCCTGTTTGATTGTTTGATTTGCTCTAAATGATATAAAAGAAGATGGCATTTTCTCTGATGCACAATACAAAATTACGTGTTGTACAAGTAAATATTCGGGACCTTAAGCAAACCACGAAGGCGGCGGCAACGAGGTCGTGGCAAAACAAGAGGTCTAAAGAACATAACAATAGCACAGCACGTGCGTTTTCAAACTTTGTACATTTCTTAGCCTTCTTCAGCAAAACAACAACTTGAATTCACAAGAATTTGCGTAGCCCGACTGCAAGTTGTTATGTAAGTTTCCATTTGCTATCGTAACTTATGCTGAAACAGAGCTGTGGCGAAGTAAGAGACGATAAACACATTCAACCATTCGCGAAATTCAAACTTTAGTTACAAATTTATTTTTGAACCGACGTCTTCCTCAGCGTTACCGTCCAGACTTCCTTAGTGTAACACAACATCGTGTTTATCCCTCTTGTTATTTAGGTATTTTAGATATTACAATTTATCAGAACACACAGATTTTGTTGTCTTGGTTCGTCGGCACCAGATTCACCACCGATCTATCGTAAGTTTGATACAACTTTACACTCGTGAAATTTTCAATGCTCTTTACTTCGAATAAACTCTTTTAAAAAGAATTTTTTTGTGGAAAGAGCTCCTTTGTATTTTAGCGCCTGGGAAGGTTATTCACATAATTTTTTTTCTTTATAAAATGGTCGATAAGTCTGAAAATAACGTTTAGTAATAAGCAACAGCCAACAACGATGGGTAAATATTTCTGTTAGTAATATGGGCACAACTCACTCCCTAAACAAATATTGCACAAATCAGAAATAGAAAGGCCAAAATTTCGCATCAGCAGCCCGTCTTTTCACTGTACCATAAATATTTCTTAGAGTTATTAGTTATTCTCGAATCAATGTGGTAGCATTTTCATGACGATTTCTGAAGCAAGCTAATGAGGAAAATTTAGAAAATAACCTTAAACCTGGGGCAAGGAACATGACATCTGAGAAATATGAATGATGTGGGGCGAGCTAAAATTGAAACATGATGAGAGGTCAAAAAAAATGTGGAACTTACCTGTGTGTAGCTCATGTAGTTCTGAGCACGTTTTCGTTCAAGAGTTGTTTTGTACGAGACTCTTGTCACAAGAAAATACGCTGATCCGGATTTTTGTCGTCACAAATGACGAAGTCATCAAATTCCGTTCATACGTAAGTCTTCACTCATGGGTGATACCCCTCACAAGGGGTCGGGTGGAGAAGGGAGGTGCCTCTTTGAAATTGAACAGGACATTTATTGATCAACTAGGCAACAAGACGCGAGGTAGTTGTTTCGCACTGGTGAGATATTTGTGCCGATAACATTTGTTTTGAAACTTTTTGTTAGGGACCGAAACCAGGTCTAAAACACCACAATAAATCGTTCAGTTTTCTGTACTAATGATTGTTAGAGTTACAGAGTTATGTTTCAAATCAGTGATTCTTTTAGACTGAGCACGTGCGCAGTCTCAAGATGATTTGTGATTTCGTTCACGTGACGTATATTGCATCGCGTGTCGAAGGGTTGGAAATTTGCAACCCTGCTGCACGCAATGAAATCATCAGGAAATTAACCAAACCACGATATCGACAGGTGTGCAACACAATAAACAAGTGGCTGATGAAACACATTTCCGAGCTATGTTTTCAAGGAAATTAAAAAAAAAGGCGGCCTGTGTCTTGTAGATTCACCTATGTACAGATTGATACGATTTACGGTGGTTTCGCCCCATTGCAAGTTATCTTTTACCATCTTTGGGAGATTCCCCCATAACGTAAAACAAGTTCGCCCTCTCTTAAACAGTTGGCCCCCAAATCTTTCGACTCGTTTTCTTACCAGAGAACGTATTCATTTCCTGTTGAAATCGTGACATGTTTCGACCAACATGACATGACATGACATGACATGTTTTGACCGACATTTCACTTCACAGCGAAACCAGAGCAAAGTTCGATCAACATGCAAATTCCTAACCGTGTTAACTGACGCATGATAAGAAACGAGTTGAATGATTTGGGAGCAAACCCGTTTGACGTTGGGGGATAACTAGCCAGGGTGGTTCGGAGAGAACTTGTTATGGGGCGAAACATATAGTTATCATTGACACTAGTTCGATAAATATGTGGCGAAAGGTTGTGATTGCCTTTAAGTCCAACCCTCTTTTTCGCTTTTTGTGTTTCTATGTTCAGCATGAAGGAGTTTGAGATGCTAGGAGCTGATACTTCAACGTGCTTTGAAACAAAATTTGTCCAAGAAACAAAATCGGTCTCTGAATCACCGCCTTCAGTCTTAGAAACCAGCGGTCTTACCCCCACAGAGAAAAGACTACGAACTCTGAAGAAAAAACTGCAGCAAATAGAATCAATAAAAGAAAAAAGAGAAAAGGGAGAGGTTTTGGAGACAACACAGGTTAGTTGTTCGTCGCCAGTTCACCAAATGTTTCCATACAAAGTGGATTATGGTGAAACTAATTTCAGATTATATACCAGTGATTATTAATTGCCTGAAGAGGGGGGGGGGGGAATGAGGGAAGAGAGGGAGGGGGAAAGAGGAAGATTTTGGGTGATCACATGACATTCAGGGTGAACGGAGAGGGGATCAGTAGTCGCCAACAGAGTGTAAAAGGAGAAATATAGAAAATTGACTGCCAATGACGGGGAGACCATAAAAATATTACAGAGCCTTACGGTGGATCAGGCGAGCGACAAATAACCAGCATTTCCTTTGTGAGTTTGTTGGAGTCAGTTGTATTTTAAGAACTCCTTGCGGCCGCCCTCTTTTATGGCGTACTTTTCACGTCTGTTTTAAACACGATTTCCATTACTGTTTCATTTTTTGTTTACAGCTCGACAAGATCGCAAAAGAACAAGAAATTCTTGACGAACTCAGAGAAATTGAGTCGCTTTTGACAGGTAGCTAGTGAAACTCGCATAGTTATTCATAGACTTTGAATAAATATTTTATTGATTATAAATTGAATAATTCTATCAAATCGTACTCTTGACTCGTGGCTAATATTGTGGTTGAAATGAGAAGCTGGGAAGCTCTGTTTTTGCTACGTTTTTTCGACTAGCGTGTTATGCATGAACTGAGAATTTTTTTACTGATCATCACTTGAGGCCTTTTTACCCTACTACTCATCGAGAGATTTTTTCGTGGGGGAGAAGGGGTCTACTTGAGATAAGTTTTTTTCAATGGGGAAGTGGGTGTGGGAGCAGTTGTGGCATTGCACGAGGTAATTGTACTAAACCGTTACTTAACCTCACTCGTGCATCAAGTAAGGCTTAAAACTAAGGGAAAGTGACGATAAAATCGACACACAATGAAGCAGAAAAACAAACAGATCTCAGATGTCCTCTGTAAAGTTTTTTAAATGTCTCCTCATTTTTTCGGTTTAATCAAATAAAATGTGGTGATCGATTGTTTTTTCCGTCTGGTTGTTAAAAGCTACTCGAGTTTAATACTGTTTACGTGTAACCAACACTACAAATAGAACGTAAGTAGATTAGTAGAAGAGGTAGTACTTTGAAAAGCGGTATCAGTCTCAATGTTTGTCTATTGCCTCTTTGTTGTCGCGTATGATTGTGGAAGATGCACAGAAGCTTTGATTGTCTGCTTGCCTGTAAAGTATCTTATAGTGAAGGAAACGGCAATTATTTTGCAACCAATCAATTGTACGACAGTCAGTTTGGCTTTCATAAGTGAATGTACCATTGTGCAGAATTGTTGAAGTACATTGTCAAGATTTTTTTATCGTAAAGCTCTTTTGATCTTTCTGGCATCTAAAAATGTTAAGTCCTTATCAAACTTAAAATAGCCTTTCTGGTTAGTGGAGACAGAAACATGAAAAATAAAATCGTGGTTTGTCTTTTTCCTTAATTCTGTTAGCTACGAGCCTTACTTTGTGGCGCAAATGTTATCTCTATTTACTTTTCATCGCAGACTCATGAGGTCCTGCCTCTTGCTGGAGTTAAGAGGTCAACGTTTTGCTACAGGGAAACATTCATAAATACATATTACGGTATAGTTTGAAATATAACACGCACGAATATTTTGCTATTTTAAGATAGGGACGATGGACAAAATGTCCGCGCATGCTTGATGTTAAACCATTTTGGCTTCTAGTTTTCGATACACATTTTGCATGAGGTGCATGAAAAAGATGAAAGAAACACAATCCAAACCATTTAATTGTTCGTCATGATGAAACAAATATGTTTCAGGAAGAGTTCGGCGCTTAATGAGTTAGTCAGTCGGCGCCTAAAGGACCTAAGCAATTTTTTAATCGTTTAATCCTTTGAGTTTGGGCATTCTGTTTCTTTGCTTACCTTCCGTGTTTTTTCCCTGTTCGGTAGTGTATCATCGGCTTATACTTTGCGTGTTCTCCTGTCCTAATATGGTAAAATGGCGCATTAGTGGAATAATAATATGAAAATAATGTATTACTCATAAAGACGCAGTTGCCTTGTTCTTTTATCTCGTTATCTATCAGCCTCGCATTGTGTCCACAACAATCAGGTGCAGTGAAGAGTCGAGAAGCGCCTTTTGCTGGGAAAATTCCCTTCGCGTACAGTTAATAGTCGGCTCCTTCACTCGCGAAATGAAATATACTTATTAGTCAATATTTCATCACAAATTCGTATTGCCAATCGATTAATACGCTCGCGAATGAATTTCGAACGAGTTCTATCTCTCCGTTTGACTTGTTTTTGTATCTCAGCAAATGTTCTAACGTAGCTGAAGACGAGATTAGCATGACTGACAGAGGAACTGAAAGAAAGCTTTGGTTTGATAGCGTGCCATATACACAACGGATATATGATATGTACATAGTTATGACTCGATACTTGAACATACTAATATACATAGGGACTAAGAGTAAAAATTCTGTTTGTAAGAAATCTGCTTGTTCACCCGGAAAAGTGGCCAAAACTGATTTGGCACGGCCACCTGCACTAGTCTGCCAGGTGAAATCAGTCAGTCAGTGTGGGAGTGTTTTGATGACCTGGGTTTAGACAAAAACTGCAATGATACAGCACTCAAATGCGTTTCGCTGACAAGACTCAGACATTCGATAAGACTTGAGCTCCGTCTACTATCCTCTGGCTCTTGAGCGGCGAGTCCTTCGAGCCCGCAAAAAAATTCACGTTATCAACCTGTGCAAAAAAAAAAAGAGTGGAGCGGAGAGGGCACCTACCACTGAACTTCGCTTAGGAGAAGACTGACGAAAGAAGGGTTCACCTCTCTGTGGAAATGCTGGTTTGAAGTCATGTGATCTAAGGTTTTTTTTGTGAATGATTTTGATGTGGTATTTTCAAGCGTCGGTGTAAACTATTGGATAACCTATGACTAACGAAACCCGCAAAGGATAGGTAAGTATTTCTTAACATCACCTTTATTTGAGAGGGTCAAAGGAAAGGGAAAAAAAACAAAAAGGTCAATCGGATAATGTTACATGCTCGCCGATCGCAAAGGTCGCCAGGCAATTTTAGGTCTTGACATGGGAATACCGTGTTAAATCTAAGGAAAAGGTTGGGGTCTGGCACCTGCGTGTCAAGAGGTTCACCAATTACAAGAGTCAGCCACTTAAGGCAAATGTGTCACTACACTTGATCTTCTGAGAAATTGGGAGAGAGGAACAGTTCTCTGCTCTCAAAGAAGGTGTATGATGCAAGCAAGTCAGAGAAAAGCACCGTAAAATCGAGATTACGGAACAGGATGCTCTCTTTGAATCATTTCTGCTAGATATGAAAAGAAGCAAACAAACAAAGGATATTTTGCTGAGCCTAAATGGAAAAGACTGGCTTAAAAAATAAAATTTATTAGCACCTAAAACTATTCGAGTATCGAATGGGGAATACACATTACGATTGAGCAATGACAGATACACCGCAATTATTGATCATTTTCATCGGGGTTGATCCCAACCGGCATGAACAATACAGGCAATCATATTACCTAATCTAACCAAGACTAATCCGGAAGGGCGTTTTTCAATGAACTCGTAAGATGATTAATTTTCACCAGAAAAAAGGGATTCAGTCCGAAATATTTAAAAAGGAGGTGGAGTAACAAGCTTAACGGTTAAACTGTACGGGCCAAAATACGTAAGTGAAACCTGTCTCGCGTGACTCTTTGTCAGTTTTTAAAATAGCACGCGAACATTCCATCTCCTTGAACAGGCTGCGGATGATTTGTCCCCTAGAGGATATGTCATGAAGGAGTAAGTGTTCTCTCTCAACATCTCAGACCATATCAGCATCTGGCTGGCCTCCATCGGGACAACACTGCATGCACGTGTAGGCCTTTTGTCAACACACGGAAGGTTGAAGCACGTTATTAACAGCTATTGAGCAACTCGCTCATCTTTCCAGTGTTGACGTTGTTTGAAAAGCTGTTCAAACTTTCTAATGTAGTAAGGCAGTTCAAGCGGAATATCGTCCACCCTTTAACCCTTGAGGGTGACTAGCATCTAATTTCTCCCAACAGTATAACCCTTGTATCACACAGTAAAGTCATGAGAATATAGGAAATGATCCCCAACCAAATATTCTCTTAATTGATGAACAAATTCTCATTGTCAGCACCTTAGGAAATGAAGAGAAAACAGTATGGAGAGTGTGCATTCTGATGTTGGGGTGTAAAGGGTTAATTATCCGATTACTTTGATGTCTCTTGAGTATCTAACAAGTTGTAAATCTTTGTATTGTTTGTTTGCGGTAAGTAACACCAGCATTCGATGAGCCAGCGGGGGTATCATAAGTAAAGTGTTTTTCTGTTGACAGAACGCGAAATGTGGAGTCTGAGTTCTGCTCAGTCTCCTCGGTGCGCGCATATCACGTGAGTTCGTGTGGCAAAAGAAGAAAGAAAAAGCTTTTTTTTGAAACCATCTCACCTTGAGATTCCATGTAACACACGTTAACCACATGAGTTTAGAAGAAGACTGGAGACGAGTGACGTTAAGTTTTTGTAACTAACGCTAACACCTTAATTAAAAGTACTTGTTTCCAGACTGCCCGTGAAGGAACATGGACACAAATACGTGATAAGCCTTCTTAAAAAAAAATAATAAATAAAAAAATCAAAGTGCTTTGTGAGCAAACTCGTGAATTGACACATGATTTTTTGGATTATGTTTAATGTTATCTGGTTTAGGGAATTTTGTGGTTGATTGTCATATCTAGAGTACGAGCAGTAGTTCAGTGTTCGCTAATGTAGCAAAGAAACAAAGTAACGTCGGGATAAGAAGGCATTACAATTGAAATGACCATGCTATTGCATTTGACAAGGGTGGATGATGTCATGTGTTTTAAACGTATATCATTTCTGTTTCTGGTTCAAAAGAAAAGGTTGGAAGTAAATGTGGGTGAAAAGTGAGATTTACTGTCTATCATTGTGAATATTAGAAAATCAAGGCAATACTTTCTTAATGAAAACATTAACGATTCCCTCTTTATCAAATGAGACAAACGGGAACGAGTTTTGAGTGATATAACTAAGCCAAGACTGCCACCGTCATTTTGGATCTCCGCCTGGGTAGATTTTAGTCACGTGCTAGACAACGTATAATCAATAACAAGATAGAATTTCATTTCAGGCCTATTTATCAATTTTGTGGTGTATAACTTTCGCACTTTAGTACGTAATATGTATTTTGAATCTTCAAATTGTCTTGAAACTTAAAAGAAAATTGTTCTTTAAAAATTCACTGAAAATCGGTAGCTAAAATTGTTTGTTTAGGTGTTATTTGATTTTCGTGTTAACTTTTAATTTCGTTAGTCGCCGGCATCTGCTATTGTTTCTCACAGGAAAAACATACGATACGAAACGTAATGATCGATTCTGTCCTCAATCTCACGCCGTAACAGAAAAAGCTTTTGAACATCTGTAAACTCCGAGAGCTTCGCAGTAAGTGATATTTTCAATGAATCTTCGGATTGTTTTCAAGTTCAAGGATTGTAAATTACAATTTTATGAAAAACGAAGGTTTTTCTGTTATTTCAGTGTGAATCCTTGCATGCCTGCCAATCGCTGGCGCCGCTTGTTGAAACTAAAACGAAAAAAAAAATTATTTTAAGATTATCATTGGCTTCTTTGTCACCCCACCACTATTCTTAGTAACAAAGGTCGCCATTTCGTTTGTTTATTGCTCGCCAAAAACTATCAAATGCATTCAAAAGCCTAAAATCGAAAAAAAGCTTACAGGAATCGACCAATCGAGCGAGTGAACGAGTGCCATTCCCCACATCGTATCTACAACTCGCTCTTGCGCATGCGCGCAATTCACGAGTTAAAAAAGAGGAAATTAAAAAATTGTACAAATTGATTTTTTATTTTCGTGAATATGTTTGCGACACTGGTCTTTCAAATGTCAGACGTTTTGGTGTTCTAAATCGAACTTCCAAGCTAATCAGTGTACATAAACAAGAATTATAATCCAGAAAATATTTTCGTTCGCGCGCGAGTGATATAAATGCGTCACGCGATTGAATATACTCCAGCAAACACAGAAAAATACACCTCAAGTGATATTCGTCAGCATTAGAGCATTGAATCAATTGCGATGAAGGTGATCCCTGTTTAAGTCAATAATGGTTGAGGGAGAGTTTCGTGCGCTGTGAAAAAATACTCAAAGGGAAACAAACGCAATAGCCTCCATTTGGCTTCAAAATATGCTAGAACATTTGTCCTTGGACACACTTTATTCCTCGCAACTCGCAATTTTCTTCGAGCTTTGCTCTCGCGAAATTTTTCACAGAGAGGTCCACGGACGAATTCCGAGAACGTTTCCGCACCAAATGAAGGTTATTGTTTATATATGCATCAATGTAACGGGCCAATCGAATGCCGCCGAGACACATAAATGGAGGTCACGGGTTACAAAATTCCTGTCCAGTGAATTGTAACTTACACCTACCCTTCAAATGATTCTAAAGGCAGATATAAATACAGACCAGTGGTGAGGTTCTTCTATGGATACATACTGTACGAACGGCATGTGCTATGTCTGGTTAAATAAGTGTTCAGTAACTTTAAAAAAACAAAACCATCGAACAAAATAAGCCAAGCTAAGAAGTAGCTATATGTCCCCTGGGTTTGCCTCTGAGCAGACAGGTTTCGTCAGCTCTCGTGTTTTCTTTTGTTATACCACGGGTCTGAAAAACAATGAAAACATAGAAATAAAAACGGTATCAATAGAGATAACGATTAATCTTCTCGCCAGGCTCAGCACTCTCTTCGCGTTTTCGCACCACAAATTAGTTGATTCATCACCAACCTGTCTCTTCACATTGTCGACCAGTGAATCCAAAGACACATGCGCAGACACCTGGGCGAACGCACTGGCCCTCGTTCAAACATGGCTGATTACAAATAGCTGCCAATTTGAGGGATAAAAACGTCAGACCTGTAGCTAGCTCAAACTAACTAAAGTGAGATTGGTTATCAGTTATTGTGTACCTTTTTCACACTGGACGCCAGTGTATCCAGAAGGACAGGTACAATGGTTCGGACGAGCACACCTGTGGAAAAGAATCTGTTAAACATATCTACGAGTTTTGTTCACCGCAATAAAATTGCATGGTACTCACTCCGTGGCTTGTGTTCACGTGCTAGGCATTTTAGAGGATCAGACATTAATTTTGTAAGGTATGCCGCTGCCTTCATGGCAATAAGTAATCAGTTATAAAGTCGTCAATATGTTTTTCAGCCCCTGGAAGTAACGCAGCGGTCAAATGTCTGCGCATGTACGAACGTTGTAATGACTAAATGGTGTGATTTCAGGCCGTCAGAGCGGAGTAGTCTCACAAAACAATCACACAAGCCACTAAGTGAGTAAGTGTCTTACTTGCGCATAACTTTTTCGGTGGAGCTCAATACTGAATGGTGAAACAGGAGTATACCTATACTTGAATAAGCTATGTGCTCGAAAAGCCTAGAGTTTTCCTCTTCCCTATTTTTGTTGCCTTCAACAGATTTTTCACAACGTTTAAATTTTCTTTCGCTTATTTTGCGAGACAGCAGTAGTTTCACATTTTTCCTGAGAAATTTTGCGCGGGAGATTGGCGTGTGGGCGTCCAAAATTGAATCTCTTGCGCGTGCCCTACGTTTGACCGGTGTGTTCCTGGAAGTGCGCATTGCGGATTTTTTTGGATAGGAATACATACTTTCCTCCATTCAGACAAGGGAGATGGCATACTGGCATCTGGCAGCGATTTCCTTTCCAGGCAGCAGGACACATGCAGACATTTGGTCGAACACAGTCTCCGCCATTAATACACGGAGGTCTACACAGAGGGTATTGGCATTGTTCGCCCATGTATTCCGCTGGACATTTACAGACATCACGGGCAACACACAAGCCCCCATTTTGACAACTAGGAGTACAAGGGGCTGTGCAAGTAAAATGATAAATACAGGAAATGAAATAAGTTAATAATTGACGAATGGAACGCCTAATTTTTTTCCTTCGATAAAAAACAATTTTCATATAAACTACGGTGTTATACAAGGATTTCCAGCTCTGAGAAAAGCCGTAAGAAGAGAGGTGAGAAAATACGATATTTTTCGTGTCTTTGATATCACCAATCAGCTGCTGACACGTCACTCACCCTTCGTGCAACTCGATCAGGTTGATGAATGAACGGTAAAGTCTTCACCATTCTCAATCCAAGGTTGTTTGTCGAAATTTTCTCGGATCATGGCTGCTAAAACACCGAAAACCCCGTATTGCTTACAGACAGTTATGTTTAAACTTTTCTAAAAGGGGAAGAAAAAAGAATGCGAAAAGAAAAATCGAAAGTTACGAATTCAGTGGCTTTGGTAATGGCATCTCTCGCCGCTGAAAACGAAAATCGACTGCTGGAAGATTAGCCACTGGCCGAATTTGACCGTGTACCTGAAAGATTTCTTCTGTCCGTAAGTACAAAGTTAATAACAGGGAATTTTGTATATTGAAAATTACGCCCATTGTTGTTTCAGTAACGATTTTGTAAAATTAATGAAAACTTATGTAGGGATTCCCTTTGAGAAACTACGAACTTGTAGTTGTGTTTCTTTTACAGAGAAAAACAATTTTACCAATTTCACATCTTTGTCCCGAGTATCCCGGCATGCACTGGCAAACATAGGGTCCACGACACCGTCCACCGTTCAAACACGTAACCAGGCAGCTTTTTTTCTCGCATCGCGGGCCTGTAAATCCATGTGGACAGCGGCATTTTCCCGGGCCGATACAATTTCCGTCATTCCTGCAAGGGGGCCGACACACAGGCGACAAGCAGGCGGGTCCCTCAAAACCCTCTGCGCAAACGCATAAGTTTGGCATAATGCAGGTACCGCCATTATAACAACCAGCTCGACAAAATGGTGTTTGGCAGCCAACGCCTTGGTAGCCTCTCGGACACCTGGAAAAATGAAATCATCGACGTTGGGTGATAAGGAGTACACCGCTGATTCACGTGAACCGAATTTACGATCACCTCGGTTAAAGCCCAATTGTGTTTGACAATGCATTATGACAAAATATTTTTGGAAGAGCAAGTTCCGTTAGGGAACGAATTTCCATATTTCATAGTTTTGGAACAAGTCACCAAATTCATTAACGGTCAAAGTTGTTTCCGCCACTTGTGGCACAGTTTTACCAGCTCATAGCTAAATTACCTTACCTGCAACCAAAATGTCCAATGCACTCCATTCCATAAGGGCAGGGAACAGGGCACAAAGAAGTGCACGTGATTCCATTTCCCTTGTAGCCTGTAGGACAAGGACCACAACGAAACCCCTTAGGGGAGCCCTTCTCCTGGATGCACTGAGCCAGGCGATGGCATGGATTAGATGAGCAGGCATCTATCTCTGACAGAAAAAAATAATATACTTATGTATCCCAGAGTTCCTTTCAAACTGTGCTGGGTATCGCACGTTTGTCCATTTGCAAAACATCTCTGTACGACGGTTTTCAAATGAATGACAAGTATTATCGTTCTCGCAAGAGCACAATTTTCACATTAGTTTTTTTTAAGTAAAGATTTCCTCTACAAACCCTAAGTGTCTTACCGCGTTTGGTATTTTAAATCAGAATCTAAACATTTGAGTAACAAACATACCAGTACAAAGAACACCATTTCCTGTAAACCCACGCGGGCAATTTCCACATTTGTAACTCTGACCTCTTTGGACACACGGTACGTCTCTAAAGCAGTTTAACTTTTTGCAAGGGTGAGTCATCTTCTCACAACGTAAACCATCGCCATTGAAACCAGCAGGGCACGAGCCACAACTGTAGTTCCCGGGATAATTTGTGCACTGGACACCAACAAAACAGGGAGCCTCTAAGCACTCGTTGATGTCTGTCTCGCAGTATTTCCCACGAAATCCCAGCAGGCATTGACATGAATATTGAACACCATGCGCTATACACTTCCCATGCTTACAGTTGTTATCGGAACAAGGGTTCATCTTCACTTGGCAAAGTTCACCAGTGTATCCCTTGTTACAGGTACATTTGACGGATTGGTTCGCAAGTGAACATCGGCCGTGTTTACAAGGACTTAATTGACACGGATCAATCTTATTCTCACAATAACGACCTGTGTAGTTCTCTGGGCACGCACAAGTGAACGAATTGCCTGTAGGAAAACAATTACCACGTTTACAGGGTCGAGATTGGCAGGTTTCAATTTTATCGCAAAGACGTCCACGGTAACCAGGATAACAACTGCACCGAAAAGACATCCCCAAGTTAATGCATGCGCCATGTTTACATGGCTGTGACTGACACATGTTGATTTTCTTATCGCACTTTTTACCTGTGTAGCCCAGTTCGCACCGACACGAAAACCACGAAGAGTATCTATGCAAACACGTGCCGTGTTTACAAGGGTTTGGCTTACATGGGTTCACCTTTTGGTGACAGAACTTTCCAGAATAGCTTCGTTTACAATAACATTGAAACGTTTTCCCTCTGTCGACACAAATTCCGTGCTTACACGGATTCAAACTACAGTTAGTAATCTTAGTTTGACAAACGTTTCCGGTGTATCCTTCGAAACAAGAACATTTGAATGATGTCCCGTTTTGATGACAACTTCCATTTTTACATGGATTTGGCCGACACATCTCTACTGCTTGATCACATAACTTTCCTTTGTAACCCTGGTGACACAAACACTTAAAAGACGCATTGCTGGAAATACACGAACCATTTACACATGGCCCAGTAAGGCAGTGATTGATCTTCGTATCACAGAGAACGCCTTGATATCCATCAAAGCATGTACAACGAAAACCACTTTCATTTTCTGTTTTGCATAATCCGTGCCTGCAAGGATTGGTAGTGCACGGATCGATAACTGATTGACAGTATTGCCCAGTAAAACCTTCACGACACAAGCAATAAAATGACGGAACACTCCTTTTCAGCGCTTGGACACTAACACATTTGCCATTATCGCAAGGATTCTTATCACATGGGTCGAAGACGATCTTTTCATCACAGAGGGTTCCGCCAAAGCCATAATGACAGTCGCATTTAAAAGAACCTTTCACGATGATACAATTTCCGTTAAGACAAGGATTAGGCTGGCATACATCAACAGTGGCATTGCAAGTGTCGCCACTGAAACCCGGTGGACACTTGCATAAATATGTGCCCTGATCATCGACACACTGTCCATGGTTGCAAGGATTGCTTAGGCAGTGGTCTGCGGTCTCGTTGCAGAATCTTCCTTTGTAACCTTGGTGACACAGACAGTGATACCCATCTGATTTTCTTGAGCAATTCCCGTTAACGCAGAGATTTGGAACACATGGATCACTAATGTGGCAACGTTTTCCACACGAATTGTTCAAACATGAAGTGGAATTATGATCGTCATAGAGAGATGGTGGATCAAAACAGGAACCTATCTTAATATCACAGAGAGAGCCAGTGTATCCCGAGTTGCACACACATTTGGTTTGCCCTTCTTTATCAACACAAGAACCGTTTTTACAGGACATCAAAGCACAGCCTCCTAGCTGTGGTACCTCGCATAATTTTCCTGTGAATCCCTCCTCGCACATGCAAACGTGGTTACCACTTCGAGTAACGCATTTTCCGTGACTGCACAAGCAACTCTGAATACTTGTTGCACAATATGGTCCGGTGAAACCTTCGTCACAGAAGCAACTAAAGTGTGTGCCATTAGTGATGCAACTTCCGTTGTTGCAGGGATTTGAATGACAAGGGTTGACTGGCACGGAGCATTGAACACCAGCGTATCCCGGAGGACATTGACATCGAAACGTCCTTCCAAGTTGAACACAGATTCCAGTTCCACAAGGGTTAAAAATGCAAGGATCTTCAGGAATATCACAATTTTCACCAGTAAATCCCTCATCGCAGAAACAGAAATATCTCCCCATGGTTGTATCTAAGCAAACACCATGCGCACAAGAAGAGGCATTGCACTTGCCATGTTGACATGCTATGTCGGTCCATACCTGCTGGCTATTTATCGGCGAACACCACTTGCAAGGATCATGAGGACTAGATTCACCTTTTGTGTAACAACGTCCATCAATATGGCATGTTTCACTCTAAATATAAAATCAAGAAACAATTTACGTTACTCTCACAGCTTCTTTCCTGTGTTTATTTCAATCACTAGTTGTATCTGAGTTAGATATTTTTATTGCTGGTTTTGACTTGCCTTTTGTATTAAGGTTCGTAACATGCCACAGCATTCAAAATCTATAGTTTCTCTCGTTATTAACTGCGGCTATTAAGTGGTACTCAACTTAAACCTAAACAAAAGTTCTCTAAACAGAGACAAAGACTTGATTTTTCGATTATGAAGTTTTCCGAAATCGCCGTAAATGTCTGAAGAAACTCACTTTTAAGAGAAAAAATGTTGTTTATACTTACCAACCTTAATTTCACAGCCCATGTTCCGAGTGGTACATTTAAGACAACCTCCATCAAAGATAAAGAGGGGAACGGGTTGGCTCCATAACCTACCATCATTACTCACACGTACTTGGTACCTTGTAAATGCCTTGTCTGTGTCATGTGATCTTGGCATTTCGCAGGTGACACCACGGAAGCTCTCATATGTGGCCTTGGACAGGAAGGTCTGAGTTTCAAATGTGGCATCCTTGATAACACGAGAGGAAATGAGAAAAGAAAGAGGGGCTACATCACTTAAGTACAGGTGCAATATATGAATACAACTTCCCACCGGTTATCTAGTTAATGCTGGTACATTTATAAGCGGTCCTAAATCAATACTAACTTCAGGTTATGCTGGAATGATTGTGGCTTATTAGAAGCATATATTTACCTTGACTTCTAGGAAGGAGCACATCAGTTCCCTTGAGTTGTGAAAACCTTCACCAACCAGCCTGACTTGCTTGCAGTGAAACGCCTTTATATCACATGTTCCACCATTGTGTACACTGATGAGTTGAGGTGGACTTCGGGAAGGAACAGAGCAATCATCGCTTGTGTAACCTAATAAAGGAAAACGTCGGGGTGAACATAACACCAACAATATATAACAGTGTTGATCTCTTGCGATCATTTTAACTCTTAATTAACGTAGTAACTTTCCGTTATGCCAGATAACATATCGGGCATCAACGGAGGTTCTCCCTTTAGGTGTCCAGTGAAGTACCACGCGCGAGAGGCTGTTCCTTCCACAGGACATGTCTGATCCATGTCCACCGCCTCCTGAGGAATGGTTCCCATATGTTCCTGTTGTCACTGAGCAAGAAATTAGTCGTTGGAGATGCCGTTACTTAATTAACGTGGAAACATCTAAGGATTCTTAAAACACTGGAATACCTCGCCGACATTTACAAGCTCCATTGATACACCTTCCTCGATCACTACACAGTCGCGGGCACATAACGTTTTTTATCCTTTTGGGGGGTGTCAGCCCTTCAGCTAAGAAAGACCTCTCCCACAGAGAGGTGTCTTTAAGAAGTGTTTCTTCACACGTGTCTTGTAACATTGAAGCTACTCCCCAGGCCATTCCTGTCACACCTGTGAACTAAAACCATACTAGCGTAAGAAGATTAGAAGCGTCAAACAAGCTTTTATTTACAACTCACACTTTAATGGACACAAGTAGAAGCATTAGTTTAAAAATAAAGAGATTGAGAAGGGTCAGGAAAACATGAAGGAAAGCACATGCAGATAGGAGTGTATACAAACACATCAACATACAAAGCAGACACAGTCACTAGCAAAGAAAGAAAAAGACAATGGCAGTACCCTAGTGTCTCTTATGCAAATCCTCTGTAGTTGATCGACAATTCGCTGACCAACTAAATGAATACAAGCTTTTCCCAGCGGGGTGTCAGTCAGCAGCCTCTTGCAGTAGCTAACCACAGCCAAGACAGCTAAAAAGGTGTCAGGTTTTCCTTCATCTGACAAGTTCAACTGGTTTGTCAGATGGTATCGAAGATAGTGATCGCCCTTTGACTGGTTGCTTCTACGCTCAAGAACGCGGCCAGTTTGTAGCGCGAGAACTCGTTTGGTGATGTCTCTTTCACGGAATAGTACTGGCCATATCACATGCTGGTGTCTTCTACATTTAGCCTCACAGGAAGCACATTTTTTTTTCTTTTCAATATTGCTGTTTAAGGTGCACAAACAGAAGGGCTTTTCTGTCGGGTGGAGTCGGTAATGTACTGGTTTATAATTAAATAAACTATGGTCGTCAAGTATCCTGTCAAAACGAAATATCGATGTTGTAATGATGGGTTGGTTTGTCTAAACTATTAAACCTTTACCATCCATGAGTGATTCTCCTCGCTATACAACATCAGTACAATATCAAGCAGACAAGTAATGAGAATAAAGAAAAATGTCAATTAGGGAATCAATAATTGATCCAATACCAGACTCTCTGAGCTAACTTCATAAGAATTATGTAACAGACAGTAAGGAAAATTACGGATGAGATCTTATGAGTGAAAGGGTTAAGAGTTAAACTGAACTTTTAACAGAAACGCATGTGAGTGATTAAGATTTCAATTAGCCGTGGAGGGGGGAAGAGTAGGGACAGGGCGGTTTTTACCTCCACTGTTGTGTGTCATTCAACTCAGGTGGTAAACCTTCGTTTGCTGTTTGAAGAGAACTGCCGACCTCACCGAGGCTACATAAACCTGTCACTTGATTGAGATCTCGTCCAGATGATTGTATTTGTAAATTCAATCCCCAATTAAACACGTCCACCCGAACATAAACTCCTGAAGGAAAATACACCTACAAAGGAAGAAACAGATCAAAGTTACTGGTAACAGAAAATGGTGTCTCAGAAACTTCCATTTTCTTCAAGCGACGAAAACCTAATTAGGTGAAGTCTGTGCTCGAGCCAAGTGGCCCACCCAGCCGGTACCTATCCCGGTTTCCTTAGAATGAAACGACCGGGTTATCACTCCTACCCCCTGGACTGGATGTAAATCCATTGCAAGCTCACTCCCACCTTCCAGCATTACATCAGGCTTTCCTGACAGTTTGCCGGTACCCATTTATACTCCAGGGGGAAGGCACTGGGGGAGTGAACTGTCAAGTCTCGATCCCAGACCTCTTGACCAGGCGTCCAGCCACTAATTACCACCGCGTCTCCTACAAGGAAAATCCAATTAGAAGAAGAAAACATTCGTCGCTTCACGACTTTTTTTTGGTCCCAATTGTTGGTGTTCATGCACCCACCGTGTACCGTTTTCCAGTTATAGCCTCTGTTATCCGTACTCCTTTTGCAAGAGGTAGCCTGGACCTAATAGATATTTGGACACTGGTCTCCTTAAATCTTCCATGGCACATATCGATCTCGATTACGTCATCCCCATCTCTTGCAGCGACTCCACATGCGCAAAATCCCCGGTTTCTAGACCTGCTACAAGCCCAAAGTCGCGTGTGAACCTGTAATGGATTGAACAAACAAAGACATGATACTTGTGCACAGGACCTTCTAAGAAGAGTAAGAGGGGAATGGTATAAAGCTGCACCTAAATATTCCACTACAACGACTACTGCAAACCTCAAACGGCCTAGTTGAACTTTTATACAGCAGAAATGTCGTCGCTCCGGCTGAAATCCGGTAATACCTGTCAGTGAGTTAGCAAATAGGAAATACTCATAAGTCGAAAAAGCCTTTGTATGAGAGTAAGGCACAAAACTATTCACACGTTTTAATGCTGTTTATTTTGCCTACGATGTATTCAATATTTACTGAATCTACTTCTTAATTTGATTTTCTGCCTATTTAATGAAGTAAACAAAGAAGCCTAGATCAGTAACGAAACGGAAAAACGATACAAATCGCTCTTTACTTCAGAAGCGACCTACTCTAGCGAAAACTACCTTCACTGATGAGCTGTTACCTGCCGGTGAGTGTCCTCATATGAGACTCCGTGAATAGGTAACATCGTGGGGTTTTCACATCCTTCGAAAGAACCTGTTAAAAAAGAAATGCCAGGACAAAACCTGAATGACATACGACCTTGATTACGAAAGAAATGCTTTCCATTAAACAAATATTTATATATATACGTACACATATACATAGATATATATATAAATATTATGAGAGGAAAAAAGGACGCAACTACATTTCCCGACAAGCCTGTTTCGTGAATCGCTTCACTCTTCAGGGGTTTAAACCATTAAACCCCTGAAGAGTGAAGCGATTCACGAAACAGGCTTGTCGGGAAATATAGTTGCGTCCTTTTTTCCTCTCATAATATTTATTCTGCTCTGCTTCAACGTATTGAGCACTGTTCCACGCACTGTTCCACTTCTCAATATACACACACACACACACACACACACATATATATATATATATACACACAAATATAGCATTTGCATCTGAAATGTAATGCTTACAAAAACATCAGCTGGATCGTAAGATTTCCAAAGCAGCGACTGGCTCCGTGCAGGCTCCGTTATAATACGTGTCCTGCGGTCTCCGTCATTAACGTAGTCTGAAACAGCAACAAACCGAACAACCTTGCGCCCACAGTCACGGCGAGAGCAGGGTTGCGGTTTCAGTATCACTTCACAGGTGGATAGGGCTATATCTGAAGTTAATAACGTCTGTAGATGGTCTACTGAGTAGAGACAACAAAGCAGACAGACTAGTTAGCTACACCTAGGCATCGATGTTTCTTTCACGCGGGAACTGACACAACGTGAAACGTGTGCACATTAAAAGGACTCTTGTCCGTAGTAGTGATTAAGGTTTCGATAGACCTAGCGGAAGTCATCATCAGAGTCAAGTGAAGATTTGCTGACAGTCGAGTGCTTTAACTCCGGTTCGTGTGAACTGATTGGTCAGTTTAGCCATGATATTAATGGCAGTAAGACCCACGTGGCGTAAGGTAGTCATGATTGAAGGAGGTACGTTTCTGAAGAAACTGTGTTGCTGCGTCGGTGGGAGAGTATAACAGGGTAATTTGGTGTTATCAACTGATTTGGTAACGTAAATTGGCCACCTTTAAGAGTTTCAAAGCTGACGTTTCGAGCGTTAGCCCCTCGTCATTCGCACTGACCAAGGAGCTAACGTTCGAAACGTCAGCTTTGAAACTCTAAACGGTGGTTAATTTACGTTATTAGCTCTGTTGATAATACCAAATTACCCTGTCGTGATTAGTCGGTTTCGACCCATCGATAATGTTTAGTCGTCTTGTTTGGTTAGTTTGTGGTACAAATGTCGTGAATAAGTCGTTTGTAGGTTGCCATTTTTTGTAAACTATCATAGTTGTATGCTTCATACCTACTGGTACTAAGAGCATTGATATCCGTATCGTGCAGTTGGGGTGGTCCGGCTGACAGATAAGGGGCACTGTTAGTCTCAAAACGAATTCCCTGATTTTATGGTCCTCTGAGGTAACAAGAGACGAAGGTTCAACCTGTCAGAAATGATGATATCATTTGGTTACTGCTGGGCACGAGGTAGAGAGGAAGCTGAAATGGTGGCAGTGACATGCTCTATGCTCGAGCTAAATGGCCCATCCAGCCGGAGCTTATCCAGGTTTTCTTTCCATGAAGCGACTAGGGGTATCCATATCCAAACCCCCCCCCCCTCCCCTAACCACAAACTTACCCTCCATCAGTGCTGGGAGAATATCATAACAATAACAAGCAAATCGAAAAGTAGATATTTTGGTATTCGCGCCGCTAATTTTGAGCAGGTAAACTAAAGCAAAGAAGAGTTGACATTTGTTTTACATTTTTAAAAGGTCTATTTTTTATGCCCAACCGAGCGCCTTGAAAAGATGTCACTTCCTCTTTGGTTATGACTTTTACTATAACTGGCGTAAAGGGACTACAAAGCTTTACAAAGCTTTACAAAGCTTTACAAAGGGCTCAAAGACCTAGTTTCACTCTTCACGTCTAAGTCAATGATGAGGGGAAGAGTGAGACTTGCCTTAATTCCAACGAAGAAATCATCGCTGGAGAAAGTAGGACTTGTTCGTTCTGGACTCTCTAAGAAAAACGCCATCACTTCACAAATGATCTGAGGAAAACAAACAATACTCATGACCTTCAACAACAATAACCACGAATTCATCTTATTATCAACATCGAGCAGCACTCACTCTGTCGCCGAGGTAAAACTCAGCTGACTTGGTGCTAATCACCACCGCGGTCTCTTCTGTCCTGTTGGATAGCAGTACCAATTTCCCAGGCTTTCCACCCAAGAAGCTTATGAGTTTATACCATGTGACTTTGTACCCAACTCGATAGGGTCCTGGAGCTAAGATGTCGTACGTACATAGAAGATGGATTGATTCACCTGCCAGGATGTTATCCGGGGGGACTACTGGTGTGATCTGTGGGGGACCATTCAAAATGGGATATTGTTCGCGAACTGTGAAGAGATATTTAAGGTGATAGTATTTGGTGAAGATTAGTTTATTGACTGTGTTGTAAAAAAATTACTACTTAGCTTCTTAAAGTTCCTACAGCGGCCACTGTCGAGATATCACATAGCTTACTCCTGTTGTATACCAAATTGATGTGGTCTCTCGTCTAACCTGCAGTTGACATATTACTTACCTCTACATTTTGGTGCATATCCTATCTTACCGGGTCCACAAGGAACTTTGTCGGCTGAAAAAAAAATTCTACAATTACTTTCTTATGTATATTTTTGGCTTTTCGTTTTTCAAGTCAACCAGCCAACGGAAAAGGAACCAAAGAGGAGTTCTACTAGTTAGACATCGTGCTGTGTCACTGGGTGAGTGCACAGCCGAGCTGAAATAATTTTGGCTTTTTTAGGGAATATATGAGGTAGTGGGTGCACCCTGTTTGGTCCGAAGGTGTGTTTAAACGAGAGTATGTAAACACAATGGTGAAGTTTTAGTTTCACGGATGTTTTTAGGAATGTCTAATAAAAGCAGAGATGTCTTTCATGTGTTTACATAGCCTCATGGAAACACTCGCGAGGTTGGCAGATTACGAGACAGTCATAACAACCCAAGACACTTCACTGAGTTTAGTTTGAAAAAGAAACCTACAATTATACTTGTACCAAGGTGGAGTTGCTTGCCTGACAAATTTTAATCACCTTCTTTAGCGCAGTAAGCCGAACAATCGTCCGTCCTCTTTAAATGATAAACTAAGAAGCCACCACAGTGAATCACGTGAACAGGTAACCGCCACAAGCAACAAAACCTGTCCACTCCCTCCCATGCTACGCATGCGCTGCCATTCTTCTCCTCTCCAAACTCGGGATGTCCCGCGGGTTGCAACCAAATCTGAGCATGCGTACCACACGAACCAATCTCAGGGCAGCTTGTAGGAATTTCGGCGGGAATCCCATCAAGCTCCAACTTGTACCAAGCCTCCTCTAACTTGTTATCACACAGGGGGAGCACTGAGTCCACTTGATTGGACTGTGCACGTGCAGGAATGTCGAGAATTTTGTGACCTGATGGGTGACACTGTGGTTTGTCTACGGCATAAATGAAGACGACAATTTACTGTGATGTAGAAATGACGTCGCTGAGGAGCGAGCGTAAATACTAATATCTCAGTCACCTCTTCTAAGCTGTCGCTATCAAAGAAACCTGCATCTTTGCAAATGTTTCAAACGGACGAAAAAGAGCGTAGCAGTCAAGATATCGGTGAAAAAAAAATGTTTCAGTCAAGTTGATGGGTCTAGTATTGAGTATTAATCGAGTTTCCTGGTGTGAGGTCAGTAATCACATAGAAACTACAACAACAACCACAACAACACCAGATAAGAAGACATTTGACCTTACAGAGTAAATTGCTCATTCTTTCACTGATATGATCATTTCAGTTCACAGATCATCGTGATGATAAGATAAGACATGTCTAAACAACGGAAATTCAATAAAGTCGTTTCCGATGAAATCTTCCGTATGAGCTCCGGGCATGCGCCTTGGCGTTCACGTTTTTCCCTATTTAAATACACACGGCTGCACATGCACGGAAAAAATTATCAAGCTTCGGAATAAAATTTAGGGGAGTTGGTCCGGAGCTACAAACCAAGTCGTCGAACGAAAGTTAAATCAGTTTTGTAGAGGAATATCTAAACAAGGAATGATTATGGGGATGGATCAGCTCTTTTACACAGAGCGACAAATCGCGGGTTTCGTTCATGATACGTTATACCATTGGTACCTTATGGTTCATGTAACATTTCTGACCACAATATCCACACAATGGATGAAAGGTAGTGATAATAAAAACTATCACCCCGATAAAATGAACTACTATCGTAGGAAATTCTCCTTAATCAACGAGAAGAAATAAGTCAAGATGCAAAGGAAAGTTTGTATTCCTCCAAGGAAGAAACAGAAATCGGGGGGGGGGGGAAGGGAATTTGGGTCAATTTTTGCTGCGTTTGTGCCTTTGGCCTCCCAGAACCCCTACCCCATAACTGAAGCCAGTTATAGACCCCATCGTAGTCTTTTGAGCAACTGTAATTTTCGCACTCCCAAGTTAGTCACTTTCTGGTTATGCATTTACCATATGAAGCCTTTTAAAAAGGAAAGCACGACTTGAAATACGGTAACAATCTTTCACGCGCGAAATCACGAAAATGTGCAACCTCTTTCTAGTAACCCTATTGAAAATGCAATTCCACTATAGTCAATCCAGTTGTGAAAATACGACCCCAATCAGAGGCACATTCCCATTGGCTTATAAGGAAGTACTCCTCTCCTCCCCCCCCCGGGATATAAAGCAACCTGGTTATTCATTACTCTTTGTTGATATAACGATAATAATCTTTCTCCCACCTCCAACTGTGAAGAGTTTTTCAATCCATTGAAGCACTTCATGGTCAATTCTTGAAAATAACGCGACGTCCCTAGTAGTGGAAGAGCAAGTCGGTCCGTACGTGTAAACACCAACTACAGCCCAATGACCGTCCTGCTTGATAACAACCGGGCTTCCTTGATCAGTTGAACACATTCCTTTAGTTCCAGCTACAGCACACCACGATTTATCTAACAGTTTTCCCTTGCTCCTGTCTCTGAAACTCCGATGACAATCCCGGCCAGGAGTTAACAAAACATCACTTTGAACGAGCGTTTTAAACTGGGAACTTCGCCCAGATAAGTGACCCCAGCCCGTAATCTTTCCGAGTAGACGGCGCGAGACGTTGTTGGTCTCAAAATCTGGCAGTTTCGCGTGTGATACGGGAAGATCATCAGGCAGCATAACTTTGCGTGCAAGATACAGTAGACCGAAGTTACCAGTTGAAGCTGAAGCATTATACTTAGGATATACAAGCGCTCTCAGTACCGGTGCTGTGTCTTCGCCTCGTGCTTGAAGATCGACATGATGATTGCCAACTCTGATGAACACTGTCGAGTGATCGCTATCCACATTGTGTTTTGAGTTCAATTTCGCTTTCACGAGTTTAGTACACAAGGCTGATGATAAAATCCATTGCTCCTGAATTAAAACTCCGCTACAGTTCACAGAACTCACGAACACATGCCAAGGAAATCTTTCTCTCAAGGGATAATGCGTTTGCTTGCGTGTATTGAATGAATGGCCATAGTGTACATCGTAAGATGATGTTAACGGTAGAAAACAAAGAGCCCAAAAGATGTTAAAGGCAGCCATTATACATGGTATCTCTGTATACGTGTTCCGCTTCCGACGTTATGCTGACAGTTTATGCCCTCAATGGTTTTGTTATTTACCACACGGGGTAATCGGTAAATATTTGTAGGTCGTCACCGGCTATTCCGCTAATCGGCTCTCATTACCAAAATAACAGCTCTTTACAGAAGCTCACACTTACTTGATGGTTTGCAAAGTGATATGTTTCCTGGCGGCAGATCAAATAAATATGTTGAACATTTGCTTGCCATTAAAATTTATCACTAATAACAGAAAAGTATTCTTGGAAAATTTGCTCTCTCGGATATTTCCGCAATCGACGGAGAGTTTAAAGTTTCAAACTCAAAATTCTTACATTAAATCCGTGTCATTTTTTGACCACGAAACACTACGAAGGGTCACGAAAGGTGAAAAACTCCTTGTCACGTATTTTTATGTCACACACAGAAATAACTCAAGTGAGAAGACTTTCCTCACTCCTATGACACGACAAAAAAAAAAAAATATAAATAATAGTTGACTCACACGAAAATTTACTGAACAGCCCAAAGATTATACCAACAAGGTTTACGATGGTACAAAGTGTAAAGGTGTGTGGGCTCTGAATGTCCTGAAGTAAATTCAATCTCTGTTACAAATAACTTGAGACACAACGGGAAGAAGTCTTCAAGATAGTTAAAGAAAACAAACATCAGAAGGGAAACCATCTTAGTGTTTTAATCGAGAGATAAGGTCACCGGCCATGAGCGCATTGAAACGACAGCAAATTGAAGAAAGAAAAGCACAATAGGATGGTTCTGTTTGCTTCAGGTTACGAAGACTTCTTCACAGGGGTAAGGCGTGGTTGACTTTTATCATGGATCATTATGCCACTCTTTTATTGATTGAGATCGATCAATTTCTTCAAAGGCTTTTTTTTGTGGGGAAGATAGTATTAAAAATGGTCAGGTTTTGCGCGAAAGGAAAATTCACTTGAATTTTGAGGTAATATGACTGTTTTGACAACAAAAGTTAACAAGCAGGAAGGCGTTGAAGCGTGGTGTACATTGCATGACACGCACTCGGATTTCCGTCTCCATTCAAGATAGCATTTCAGTATATGATACCCAAGAAGTCTCGACATTTAAACTCTGAAAGTACCTCTGAGATAAAATTTTTCATGTTTCGTCACGCAAATTACTTTTCTGATTTCTAGCGGTCACATTTATCGACGGGAGGGAGGGGGGGAATTTTTGTTGTCACATAAAAATTTACCCGATACCCCCATGTAAGACTCTCCCCTTCCCACAGTTATAATTCTTATAATTCCCCCCTCCTTTAGGGGTTATGTGCAAATACTAATATTAAAAATCTATACAGGTAATTACAATATAATTTTAGATAAAAATGTTTGACATTAAGCAAAGCGGGGTTGTTCAAAGCTGGGTTAAGGAGAAGAAAGGGTGAATGGGATAAAAGAAATACTCAATTTTCTCTATTCCCACTTTTCTATCTGGTTGCGACGACTGATCCCCCACCCTAGGCTCCGTTGTTCTGCGTGTTATACATCAGTATCGCTAAAGGGCTGAGGGGAGAGGTTGGAGGATTTTGGTTGTGTCACAGAATAAAATTTACCCGATCCCCCTCTAGGGTCCTGAAGTATTTTATTGATCCCCCCTTATTGACCTTCCATACAAGAATTGACTCCCTCCGTTCCCCCTGAAAACCGTGTGATTTCACCCCAAAATCCTTCCCCCCCTGCCACCCCTGGTGATAAATAAACACCGGTTTACATATATTCTAGGGTGATCAGATAAAGAAGCGAATTTTCCTCACAGGATTCAGAGGCAGGAGCTCCTGTCAGTGACCAGGAAGAACCGTCTAATGTCTCATTCGTTTCCCTTTTTCATTTCATTCTGGAAAAAAGTGCGTAAAATTTCTTGAACGAGTATTCAATCAAATTGTTTAAATGATTAAGGCGAAAGAAATATTTACTGCGGTGTTACCTAAGTTCAGCCACGACTTTACAGACTATTGATGACTTAATATTGGCTGCATCTGATCTATTTTCACAGCGAGTGCACTTTTCTCCTAGTCTCTTCTGTTTTGACGTTCATCTCTCTTCCATTTCTTGTATACTTCAAACTGATTTCATCAACTCAGTCGATAACGTAAATTACCCACCGGAGAGAGTTTCCAAAGCTGACGTTTCCAGCGTTAGCCCTTCGTCAGAGCGAACGGAAGATTTGTAGGTAGTGTCTGATTATATGCAGGAAAATGGAGCTACGCTGGGAACATGGTAACTTGGTGTAACGTGTAATATTGTTGAGATGAATTTCCGAAAAAAACCCTAGAACTAAAAAGTTTGTGCATTTAAACATTCACAACCAACAATTCCCCAGTTTGCTCTGACGAAGGGCAAAAGCTTGAGACGTCAGCCTTAGAAACTTTTTACGGTGGACAATTTACACCAACAACTCAGTTGATTAAACCAAGTTATCATTGCGTGACACGCAGCCAGAGGCGGGTCTCATTTAATCTTCTATCAGGCTACAATACATTTGGAAGAAAATACAAAAGTTTGGTTTGTTTGTAAAACTAGTGTGGTCATTCCACTGAATGTGAATGTTTTAAAATTTATCCACCGTCACAATTGTATAATTTCAAGCCTATTGTTGTCATAAAATTCCCACAAGCGCGTAACCAGGTAACTATTATTTGCGATGAATGCGTCAGAGCAATGCTGGTACATACGTAGTTATAACCTGCACAGTTTGAGAGGTTCCATGTTAAACTTTAATTGGTTGAAACAAGACAAAGACGTTCCTATGGAAACTCTTTTTAATGGACAGTTCGACTCCCCCTTTCACTTCTAACGAAAGCCGTTACTCTCGTCGGAAGGTCTAATCGAGCACCAGATTTTTAACCGAGTTTTCGCTGTGGTAAATCATTCGTCATCATGGTAAGTAAATGCAAATAATATTTAAAGTACCGATCCATATGTTACGACTTTCTTCAGCTGAAGTAAAATTGTGAAAATTCAAAACTGGTGGTAGCTTTCATTCCAAAGTGTCGATTTTCATCTGTGATCTTACTTTAGAGGTTTTTCTTCATTTTTAGATTAATTCTAGACAGTATTCATCGGCCAAGTCGAGTTAAGAAACCGTACGTGTTGTTTATTTATAGCGTGAATGTATTTCTGTCCACGTTGGCCAAGCCGGAGTTCAGATCGGTAACGCGTGCTGGGAGTTGTACTGTTTGGAACATGGAATTCAGCCTGATGGCCAAATGCCTAGCGACAAAACCATCGGCGGAGGAGACGACTCCTTCAACACTTTTTTCAGCGAAACAGGAGCAGGGAAACACGTTCCTCGTGCTGTGTTCATCGACTTAGAACCAACCGTTGTCGGTAAGATCAGTCAAACCTGTCCTTTTCAAAATTAATTGTTTTTTTGTGACATAAACACAAAATTTTATATTGCCTCATCAGCGACTTACATCGTTACTAAACTTTCCGCAATGTAATCGAGGAGTGTGCTCTTGACATCGCGTAACTCGAGGGGATATTTTTAGAATTGTTTAATTTTGTCCTTGAAGACATTTTGGTTCAAATCGGATGTTTGAATTTAAGTTAAATCCACCTCTTATGTTCCGTTTGAACCTGGGCATTATTCTTATTGCGACTTAATGTGGTAAAATTGATCTTCTTCAGGGCACTTTACGAGTTAACTTTGTTGCTTCACAAACAGATCTCACGACACTTTAGGCTACGGGGAAACTTAGGACAAAAACATAGAAATACAGACCTACTATCGCGAAAAATAAAACAAACTAAACAGGCAAAGAATTGAATTCTTGGAAATGTGCATCCAATTTGAAATTTTTAGAACGAATTTCCATATTTTAATTACAAATAACTGGATTCGATAAATATGATTAGAGGCTAACTAAAATTTCATGTTTAAGATGAGGTTCGCACTGGTACCTACAGACAGCTGTTTCACCCTGAACAGTTGATCACTGGCAAAGAAGATGCTGCCAATAACTACGCTCGTGGTCACTACACTGTCGGGAAAGAAATAATTGATCTTGTTCTGGACAGGATCAGAAAACTGGTTAGCTCCCCTTAATATGCTAGTTACATTTGCTTTCTTTACACTACTAATTGACTCTAGTGTGATCTCTCATATCGGAAGCTTAAACCTTTGTTTTGAATTTCTTCTCAGGCTGATCAGTGTACTGGTTTGCAAGGTTTCCTTATTTTCCATTCCTTTGGTGGTGGTACTGGCTCTGGATTTACTTCTCTGCTCATGGAGCGTCTGTCAGTTGACTATGGCAAGAAATCCAAGCTGGAATTTGCAATCTACCCTGCACCACAGATTGCTACAGCTGTTGTAGAGCCCTACAACTCCATCCTGACAACTCACACCACTTTGGAGCACTCTGACTGTGCCTTCATGGTTGACAATGAAGCCATCTATGACATCTGTCGCCGCAACCTGGATATTGAGAGACCCACTTACACCAACCTGAACAGACTGATTGGTCAGATTGTGTCATCAATCACTGCTTCACTGCGCTTTGATGGTGCCTTGAATGTTGATTTGACAGAGTTTCAGGTATTTATTAGATGAAGAGTACTTTTTAAACTTGGTGAATCAGCATACTTCTGATGCAAGTTGACGAATTTTTTCCAGTAGATAACCAGTTTGCTCTTGTGTTTGTAGACCAACTTGGTACCATACCCCCGTATCCACTTTCCTCTGGCCACCTATGCCCCAGTGATCTCAGCAGAGAAAGCTTATCATGAGCAGTTGAGTGTTGCTGAAATCACCAATGCCTGCTTTGAGCCAGCTAATCAGATGGTTAAATGTGACCCACGTCATGGGAAATACATGGCCTGTTGTTTGCTGTACCGTGGTGATGTGGTACCAAAAGATGTAAATGCTGCTATTGCAACAATCAAGACCAAGAGGACCATTCAGTTTGTGGACTGGTGTCCAACTGGCTTCAAGGTTTGTGTTTGAGTTGTTTAAAATTTCAAGGAAGGATCATCATATTTTACCTGAGTCAACTACAGAAAGTCTCACGTAGCTTTTTTTCCAAGGGAAACTGCTTCTAATGGTGATTTTATTAATACTGTAATTCCTATGCCCTATGGCAGGCTGTCCTGGTAAAATAATTGTTGTTTATTGTGAGAAATTCCCTTTTTAACCCTGTGGAGAGTCACTATAGTTTGAAGTAGGGGACTTATTTTCATGTTCATATCCTTAAAAAACTTCAACTGGTCATTATTTATGTGTATAGAAAAGGTAAGAAGCCCAAAAACTTTTTTGTTGAAGGGGGTTGGAGTATACAATGGTACAAAACACATACTTGTGGAAAGTATGGCTGGTGGAATGGGTCTAAAGAGTTGTGCCAAATTGAATGGCTCACTTTTGACCCTTTAACTCCCTGAAGTGATCAACCTGAGACTTCTCCCTATATTATCCTTGCATTATCCAGCAAACAGGTATTGAGAATATTCAAACTTATCAAGTAAAAGTTGTTGACTTGATCTGACACAAAATTCTCCTAAATTAATTTATAGGGAAGTGGGTTGCTGGTAGAAGGAAGAATTAACAATCAGATCTTGGGAGTTAAAGGGTTAAATGGTGCACTAAATTGAAAGACTCACTCTTGAATGGCTCACCAGATTGAATAGCTCATTCTTGAATGGCTCATCAGATTTAATAGCTCACTGTTGAATGGCTCATCAAATTCCATGGCTCACTGTTGAATGGCTCACCAGATTGAAGAGCTCACTATTGAATGGCTCACACTTCGCAACACTCCACCAATCTCGCCTGCAAGAGGCTGGCATCAAGTATACACCACGCTTTCTGCCCAGCATTCAGTGAGCTGTGAGCCATTCAATAATGAGCCATCCAATTTGGTAGAGAGTGACTTGGTAGTGAGCTATTCAAATTGGTGAGCAATTTAATATCAAGCCATTCAATTTGGCACTACTAATTTTTATACAATCCACTCGCCATTGGAAATTTGTTTGTAAATATGTGGGTGTAAGTCTTTCCAGTCAGAATTCAATGAAAACCCTTGTATGCAGAAAAGATAACCCTGCTAACATTAAATTTTGAATTGCTTTTTTAGGTTGGCATCAACTATCAGCCTCCTACAGTTGTTCCTGGTGGTGACCTGGCCAAAGTTCAGCGTGCTGTCTGTATGTTGAGTAACACCACAGCTATTGCAGAGGCCTGGGCACGTTTAGATCATAAGTTTGATCTGATGTATGCCAAACGTGCGTTTGTCCACTGGTATGTGGGTGAGGGTATGGAGGAAGGAGAGTTCTCTGAGGCTCGTGAAGATTTGGCTGCATTGGAGAAGGACTATGAGGAAGTTGGAGTGGATTCTGTTGATGCAGAAGGGGAGGAAGAAGGAGATGAATATTAGTCATTTTTCATCTCAGTAAAAAGGACAAAAACTAAAAAACTTTTTAGGACTTTCATTGTATATTTTATGATCTTTAAAATACACTTTGACTTGCCCTCCTTAGCACCCTGTCCCTAGTTGTTGTGTCATATATGGATTATTTTCAACTGTTTTAATGATGGCCTAGTTCCGGACATCATCTTGTCTTCCTCTGAATTATAGAAGTGTCATTCAAAAGATAAACAAAGAAAAATCGTGCCAGGAAAGAAATAGAGGAAAGTGAATGACTCAGAGAACCAAACAATTGCACAAGGCGGAAAGAATCTTTGAAAGCAGCGCGCGCGCGCGAGCGAGACGTCACGCGTGTAAAAAAACATTGGAGGGCCTTGTCCAGAGTTCCTGCCGAAAATAGTATTCGAGCAGTTCCCTAGATGGACAGATCCCTTTTTTTTTGTGTTGTGCATCACATATAAATGAATCAAAGAAACCTACGACCAACTTATGGATAAAGTAATCCTGAAATGACACATGTTTGTCAACTTTTTACAGTGGTCCAGTAGCATGTAAAGTTGCTCTCTCCTCCAGAGCTAATGCGCTTGCTTTGCTGCACCCACATTACGTGCAACATTACAATGCATCACGTTAAGGACTTTTTGCACGTTCCAGCGAACATACATATCGGAAGCTCACTCGCTAATATTAAAACCTAAAGTGATTCAATCCTCTCCATATAGCAAATGTCGGAGGAGTGTTATTATGGAAAATTTTGCTCACTTTCCGATCGACCATAAGTCCTTTTAAATGGCCATGTCTATAACACGAAAAACCAAAATTTGCTTCGGTGTGCTCTTGGTTACTCCAAATCTTTCTGGAGATGTGTTACATAACAGGAGAAGATAAATTATTTTTATCAAAACTTGCGTTGTAAAATCAAAGATGCTGAAAGAAATCCATAAAAGGCCTAGGGTTTTTTCGGTATTACTTTGTAACTTTGCTCCAGAGATATTTAGAATGTTGGTAACGATCCAACTCCGCAGAATAATAAAGATATACCTCGGGCAGTCTACAAAATCAGTACGAAAGAAAATCCTGCGTTTATCATATTTCTGTTAAAAAAATAAATCAAATTTAGACGCTGCGATTCAAATCTTTCTTTGCCTGCGCGATCCAATTTCCTCGGTATTTCCAGTCCATTGTCACGTTTCGCCGCACAGTCGCTCAATAAATATTTGCGTTTTAAAACGATGATATTTGTTTACTAGTTTTTCTCCCTCCTACATCTCTTAACAAACCCAAACCTCTAAAGTTTTCTGCCTCGGGAGATACGCATTTTAGGAACTTGTCATTATCAGGCCTGTGCGGAAAGATCAAAGCCCCCCACCCCTCCAAACTGTGTAAATAGCAAGCGAACCCTTTTCTTTATTCAATAGTTATGAACCCCCCCCTCCCCCTCACCTCATATTTCCTTATAGGGGCAAATACATATACCAGCATTATTAACTAATGAAAGTGATGTTTTGTTAGAAAACATTTCTTGATTTTGGAAAAGTGATAGATTCTACAAATTATGGTGAACACAAATATATTACTATTGTATTTGTGACTTTGTCCCGGAGAAATTACAATTATAGCCATGCAGAAAAAGCTATTTTCCAGTGATTTTCCTACAGTTGTAAAAGGACTACTTTCTTGTTGTGATATCATGTTTTAATATTGCTTTCATGACGGAGCGGGGGGAGGGCACGGCTACGCATGGGCTGAGTATGTCTGCATCTTAATGAGTGAGTGTGTGACCAACTTGCATAGTACTTCGGGCATCCACAAGTGAAAATGCGTCATTCTTATTTCAAATTGCATGATGTGGTTCATATATACTTTCATGGTTGACTGAACAAGTAAGCAGTCATAAATAATGCAGGCAAAAATCAAGTGAATCCCTTGAGACCTTCGTATCCCTGGTTAATGCGGCTAAATCTGTCAATACAGGAAAGGTGGGGCTCATTGAAACTGAAAGATACAGGTTTTTGATTGGACCTTTCGTATGACGGAGTAGATTGCCATGCCAACTGCGGTTTCTTGGAGTACCTGCTTTTTAGGAGCGCGCAAATCAAGGATTGGCATATTGTACCGTTTCTTTCTTCTATCGAAAGCCGTTGCCTTTCCGAAAGAAGTTTCAAGCGCTTTATACAGTATTTTCCTGCCTGAAATCTAACACTACATCAACATGGTAAGCATGAATCTACTGACTGAGATTTTGCGGAGATTTCGAAGACATTCTATTTAATTACATTGGATTTCAAAGTAATTTATCACGTTCTTTCTCGAAGTTTCGATTCGATTCTTTGAACCAGTCAGTTCTTCGGGTTCCACCTTTCACTTCATTTACTGTTTTTGAGTTTAACTTGAGACATTTAACATTTAATTCTCCTCGATGCTTCTTGTAACGTACATAGCGTGAATGTATTTCTGTCCACGTTGGCCAAGCCGGAGTTCAGATCGGTAACGCGTGCTGGGAGTTGTACTGTTTGGAACATGGAATTCAGCCTGATGGCCAAATGCCTAGCGACAAAACCATCGGCGGAGGAGACGACTCCTTCAACACGTTTTTCAGCGAAACAGGAGCAGGAAAACACGTTCCCCGCGCTGTGTTCGTTGATTTGGAACCAACCGTCGTCGGTAAGTTTACTAATATGTCTGAAGTGTTCCTCCTACAAGTTGCAATTTCGCAGTTATCAAACGTCGAAAAAATTATTTAGCATTTTCATTTTATCAGAAGCGTCATATACAGTGCATAAACTGTGGTAAAAGCGAAGCATTCAAAGATATCCGCCCAAATTACCTCCCGCCGAGGAGTTAAACGCGGCCCGAATTATTAAGTATCAGATTAGACTTGCCGTGTCTGTATCCTCACTTAACTTTCTTCTTTGGAACTTCTGTTTCGCGTGCTCCTATGTTTTATTACTCTTGATCCTAAAAACTGAGCCTTCTCTTGAGACGAATATTGATTAGAACAGCGAGACGGAGAGTATTGTGCTTGGCAACAACTGTAAACAGAGTGTACCATGCCTCATCAAAAGACACGAACAAAAGTTGAAAGAAAATAGATGTTAAGATTCGTTGGTTAAATTTTCCTTCCCATGTAGGAAAACGTATACAGAGAAAGTGAAAATGTTGGCCTTGTTCGTCTGAAATACGTTTATGTTGATGGAGTTGTCACTCGTCAGTCTGATTTTGAAGAAGGGTATATTTCTACGAACACTGGCGGTGGTGGTGTTACAAGATAATTTAGGTATTAACCGAGTTGAAAATGCTATTTGGTCACCGAAAAAAGTTGCTAAAGCTGACATTTCGAGCGTTAGCCCTTCGTCAGAGCAAATCAAAGGCGAACTAAAGGCTATCATTTGAAAGATAAATTTAAGAAACTTTTAAGAGTGGTCAATTTACTTTATCAACTCCACTGATCAAACCCAATGATCATGTCAAAGTTCTCACGAAGTATTTGCTGTTTCAGATGAAGTTCGTACTGGTACCTACAGACAGCTGTTTCACCCTGAACAGCTGATCACTGGCAAAGAAGATGCTGCTAACAACTATGCTCGCGGTCACTACACTGTTGGGAAAGAAATGATTGATCTTGTTCTGGACAGGATTAGGAAGTTGGTAAGCCACCTATGTCTCTTTCTCAATCAAGTGGTGTCTGACATGATACTGTCTAAACTAGGGTACAAAAATTAAACAGATACCAAATTTTCCTCTTTGATATAAAATCCCAGAATGTTAAAACAAATATTTATGCTTTGAATTCCCCCTTAGGCTGATCAGTGTACTGGTTTGCAAGGTTTCCTTATTTTCCATTCCTTTGGTGGTGGTACTGGCTCTGGATTTACTTCTCTGCTCATGGAGCGTCTGTCAGTTGACTATGGCAAGAAATCCAAGCTGGAATTTTCTATCTACCCAGCACCACAAATTGCTACAGCTGTTGTAGAGCCCTACAACTCTATCCTGACAACTCACACCACTTTGGAGCACTCTGACTGTGCCTTCATGGTTGACAATGAAGCCATCTATGACATCTGTCGCCGCAACCTGGATATTGAGAGACCCACTTACACCAACCTGAACAGACTGATTGGTCAGATTGTGTCGTCAATCACTGCTTCACTGCGCTTTGATGGTGCCTTGAATGTTGATTTGACTGAGTTTCAGGTATTTATTAGATGAAGAGTACTTTTTAAACTTGGTGAATCAGCATACTTCTGATGCAAGTTGAAGAATTTTTTTCTAGTAGATAACCAGTTTGCTCTTGTGTTTGTAGACCAACTTGGTACCATACCCCCGTATCCACTTTCCTCTGGCCACCTATGCCCCAGTGATCTCAGCAGAGAAAGCTTATCATGAGCAGTTGAGTGTTGCTGAAATCACAAACGCCTGCTTTGAGCCAGCTAATCAGATGGTTAAATGTGACCCACGTCATGGGAAATACATGGCCTGTTGTTTGCTGTACCGTGGTGATGTGGTACCCAAAGATGTAAATGCTGCCATTGCAACAATCAAGACCAAGAGGACCATTCAGTTTGTGGACTGGTGTCCAACTGGCTTCAAGGTTTGTAATTTGGATAAGAAAGCTATTTTAGATGTTCCCAAAAATTAAGTCAAATTTATGGCTTGTCAGAATTTTAACTTTAGAGAAGTTGTACATATATTGAAAACTTTTGAATTACTTTTTTAGGTTGGCATTAACTATCAGCCTCCCACAGTTGTTCCTGGTGGTGACCTGGCCAAAGTTCAGCGTGCTGTTTGTATGTTGAGTAATACCACAGCTATCGCAGAGGCCTGGGCCCGTCTGGATCATAAGTTTGATCTGATGTATGCCAAACGTGCATTTGTCCACTGGTATGTGGGTGAGGGTATGGAGGAAGGAGAGTTCTCTGAGGCACGTGAAGATTTGGCTGCATTGGAGAAGGACTACGAGGAAGTTGGAGTGGATTCTGTTGATGCAGAAGGGGAGGAAGAAGGAGAGGAATACTAGTCATGGGACAGTTTGTCATCTTGTCTGTTTAAGTTTTGGAAGAGCAATAAAGAAATTTTGCTTGGAAAATGGTGTCTTATGACTAATTTCTAAATCAACTTTATTGTCAGGTTTTGTTTGATTTTTTCAACCATTCCCCGTTGAACAAAGTACTATTCAATGAAGCAACACTGCCAAAACATAGTTCTCTTTACCTTGTAATAATATACAGGCTCGTGCAATTTTGTTAGTCTTTGAAAAAATTTACTCGTGCTTATTTATTCCAAATTGCACTCGAAATCATGTGATTACCTATACAAATAAACATCACACTTTCCATGCTCGCGGACGCTTTTTTTAGCACTCGATTTATTTGTGACATGCATGTTTGTGTGCCGTTTGGGGTTGTGTCCTCGTGTACCGGTACACAAAGGAACGAAACATTAACGAACTGCGTCACAACTCCATGTATGGATATGAAAACAATAGGAATTCCCCCGTGTACCGGTACACCAGGACAACCCCCCGTTTGGAATAAGCCGATCAGTTCACTTGCTTTAGTTACATGGCATTTTCCAAAGAGTCGTGGGAAATCCTGGAATTTTCACAGCTCAAAAGTGTGCGAACCCTTAAAGAGCTAGGAAAGACTTGGTAATTATTTATACCCCCTACAGTTGAAATACCATAGCCCCATGGTTTAATATCCTTTTTTTGTTGTTGTTCAAATTCTAGCCTGAATTATAGCGAAAGCTTATAGGCCGCACTTTACCAGGAACGTCTAAGAGACAGTTTAGTATTAATCGACAAATTCTCAACATTGCGATTTTAATTTCTGTACTACTGCGGAAACGTAATCAGTAAACGAAAATTGTCATCTAGGCGATAAAAACCTAACATTAATTGTTAATTTAAAGAGTTGCAAAAAATAATAATAAATAAAAAAAATTAAACAACGGTCAAAATTTAACAGTTTTCTAAACTCAGAAGTGTTGAGTTTTGCGTTATTTGAACTCATTCCCCAAATTATCAGAGTTGTGTATGTCACGTTGTCACGATCTAAGTCGAGCATCACATCATTGTCTGGCTGTCACGATATTCCGTGGATTGGATTGGCATCCGCTGTATCGTGGGATTCTGAGTTTCCATCTCTTGCTTTCGGCACCTGCGGCACGAGCAGAACCCAAACCAATCTTTCCTAAAATTGGGTATGTAACAAGCAAAAATTAATGGATTGAAAAGTGAATTTACAAACTTCATCAGTTCCGTGATGATTGTAAGGACCAGAACAATATCGGGGTGCACTTCAGCCAGGACGTTAAAGGATCGAAGCATGGAGATGAATACAGAAGGGCCCCAACAGATGACCACGCCCATAGAAAGTGCACTCAGCATGCGTGTGACTTTTCTCTTCGCGTTGGCAGTCTCCTTACTGATGGTACCATTTTTTACATCTTTCTTGAGATAAACGAACGTCACGACAAACAGGAAAACCATGACAACCAGAGGAACAGTAAAAGCCAGCAGAAAATACAGGGTAGTAGAAAGCTGCCCGCTCCAATTCCGATACAAATCGCACAGTTTGGGAACGCTACAGTTTTTTAGCTCCTCTGTTAAATTTTGATCAGCCTCTGGTATCTGCGTATAGAGGATACTCTGTGCGCTGTACATTAACGGTCCACTACAGACAACAGCGTACAGCCAAACGACGAAAACCACAACAAAGGGCGTACGGCGTGACATGAGACCTTTTAAAGGGTATGCCGCGTCACGATACACATCAACAGAAATCACTAGAAGCGAAACAAAAAAAGCCGCACCACAAGCGGAGGAGAAGAAATGTAGTAGCTTGCATGGAATAGTCCCCTCCTCTACGCTAAATACTGTGCTCAAATATATCAAGGGTCCCACGGTTAGCAACCGAAATATCAAATCTGCTACAGACAGATGAAATACAAAAAAGTTTGACAAGTTCTTTAGCACACACTTGTTTTTCAGCATGGCTCCGCAGACTGTAGCGTTGATAACGATTCCGATGAAAATCAGAAAGAAAACTGTTGCTTCAGATGCCTTGGCAATTTGTTTAGCCGTTACACACGTCATCTTGAGGATGTCGGCTTTGTCATTTCCTAAAGTCTGCATGGTGTCTGTCTTTCTTGGTTTTAGAGATATCTCAGTTTCCTTTTAACTTCTTTCGCTGAAACCGAAAAAAAAAAAAAAAAAAAAAAAAAAGATTAAATAAGTATAAAACGTTGGTGCATATCAATTAAAAACAGGAGCCTATCGGGCTCTCAAGATTTTATGAAGGGCTTTGACCTTTCCCTTACGAATAAATCGCGGTGGAAGCCGTCAACTTAATTTGATAGTTGCCTTAGAAAACCTTGCGAGACAAAAACTGTGTCAAACTTTTTAATGTATTTCAAAGGTCTTATTCGTCGTTTCGAAATCATCTTCTGATTGGTTTAAAATCATCTGGTGGTCCGAGGTTTTTCTCGTGACCTTGCATCTGACAGTATGGTATTAAGATTATTTGACCATCATATCATGTAACGTTCACAAAAGTTCCCTCCACCATTCATTGTTGCTGCGAAGCAAGCAAGGTTCCATTGACCTTTCGGTTGCGCCACAGGCATGGCATGTTCTTGTTTATAAACGATTTCGTCTTGTTTACCTCTCTATCTTTGGTATAAGGACTTTCATGGAAAAAATGCAGAGGCCTGTACTCGACAACTGCATCGAGTAATAGGTAATACAAATAGTGATGGGCAATGAAACAATGTTTTTTTTTTCAATGAGCAAGGTTTATGGGCTGTCGATAAATGGCCTGTTCGTTCGTGATATTTTTCTCATAATTCCTTGATGACGTTATGGAAGATGAGATAAATGATGTATTCCACGACTTCCGTCAAAGAAAATCTAAGGTCGCCTAAACAGGAATTAATATACGCACTCAATCAGTTTTTAAACAACTCACAAACCTGTTTCCTCAAGGTACGTGCGCCAAAAGTGGACAGTCCCTTGAGAGGAACTTATAATACACGAGTTGAGCGAGTGGAGTTCGCTGAAGACTTTCGATAGACTGCTATTTACAGACGGTCAACCTAGCTCAGTTATTGCGAAACCGAGTGACATTACAGAATGCGCAGCAATTTGACACCGTTTTGTGGTGGCTGTCAATTATGGCATATGATATCAGCATATAGAACGTTTTCACTGTAACGCAACGAAAATATAAATATTCAGTATAAATATAAATATTCAATAAATGAGGTCAAGCAGATGTAATGTTATACATTACATTATATGTGGTGCACCAACATGGCGGCCGGAAGATAGTATAAATATCTGGAACTTACTTTTGCAATCTAGTCGAATGATTATCTGAAATAAACAAACAGACATTTAAAAAAAGCATTTTTCCTAACTCTTTAATTCCTAAAAAGGCTAAAAACCAGAAGATAAATGTATATTTTTTCACAAACACGATCGGAGCTGCATGTCACTTACCGCCACAACTCTGAGCTTCAAACTGCGCTGGTTTCCTAACCAAGCACGGAATAAGCTGAAAATTTTATCACAAGTATTAATTTAGACCCTCTTATACCCGATGAGGATAAAAGGTCTCGTGGCTCTCTAGTTTTGGATTTCGGAATTTGATGCGTTACGTGAAAATGATCTACAGACTTGACTTGAAATAAATACTACAGTCGAACCTGTTTTGAGTGGTCACGCAAGGGTAAAGGTCTTAAAAAGTAAAGACAGGAAATGAAAGAATAACGTCATCCGATGACAAAACCGTCAGTCTGTCAAAGACAGTCTGTCTGTACTTCCTATGAAGGAAGGGAGATTGGTGGGACTCGAAGAAGGTGAAACTCACGAAAGAGAGAGCTTCCTCCTTTGAAATATTGTGCATTGAAATGCTCGTTGGAAGTGTATTAATTCTGTAGCTAACATCATTTGAAGCCCCCGCATGAACTTCTTCCTTCCGCCTGATTTGCTAGAAGGCTCTCAATTGCGCTGCGACACAAGCGGCGAGGCTCACGTGTTTCGAGCCGGCGAGAGATGCTAGCGCGCGGGAGGTCTGCGAGGGGTCTCGCACGAAAATGACCCAGACCCCTTCATTGATCTCTCACCCGCCTCTGCTGCGACACTAATGAGAAACTGAACGCTGGGTTTCTTCCTTCCAAACTTCTCCTCCGTAATAACTTCTTCCAGCAGCGCTGTATGATCATAGCAGGTTTCCTAAGACACCAATATGTGATGAGACAGTTTGGCCCCTCGCTCAACGGAACGACTTTTTCTGTCGCCAAATTGTATCTCCTTGAATACGAAAACAACCGAAAACAGAGAGTTAGTGATTCACTCAGATGGTTTTTTTCTTTACCTTAAACTGATCTCGCTATTGACCAGAAAATGCCGAAATAAATCTTACTCAATATGACCTCTGGTGTAACCTTTTTACTGCATTTTGATGACGGTGAGCAATTTTTTTCCAACACAGCACGCGACAGGCTGCTAAGGAACCGAGTTCGCGCGAGCAAAAATGCCGCAAAAAAATAAAGCCCATGTGAACTGAATAACGGTTACCTTATTCGATATCTATGACAATTAACTGAAAAAGAAAGCGGAGGTACATCACCTCCGTTCGAGTGTTTATCGTAAAGGAAACCCTCGTTGTCTCCCTAGAAAATATGAACCTTAAGAAAATGACGATGCTGTTTCGTAATTCGGTGACATTATTTCTTTGATAATATTGCAAACTACTTAATTTTATATTCAACTTAATTACTATAAATATTTCAATGACGTGTCAATTACAATTCAGCTGTAGTGGATTCAGCTGGGATGACAATACTGCAATATCCCTGCAGTGAACCACCTCGGGTAACATTTGCCCAAGGAAGGCGAAGTTGAATGAAAACTTACAAGACACTGGGTTAGGTAAGCAGCATACGTATTTTAAAAGCTGATATATTCCCATCTTTGTAAATCTTTCTCGTCTTCCTTACTATTCCCTTTTGATGCAGTCTTAAACGTATGGTCGATGTGGAATGCACAGCCCAGCAGTTAAAATGGCTTATTATGATACTACAAAATAATTTTCCATTTCAAAAAATCTAAGTGTATCTATGGCTGTCAAGGAAGCCACTTCAACACCTTTATGTAGCTTCTTAACAGTTTTAAAAAAGAAGCTCGCTTATCTTAGTTGTGTTTACCAGAAAGAAAAACTTCCTAAAAGTGGTATTGTGACTGTTCAGGTAGAAACAGGTAATTTAGTGTTAACAACTGAGTTGAAAACGTAAATTGACCACCGTAAAGAGTTAAAAGGCTGGCGTTTCGAGCGTTAGCCTTTCGTCAGAGCGATTGACAAAGGGCTAACGCTCGAAACGTCAGCCTTTTAACTCTTTACGGTGGTCAATTTACGTTTTCAACTCAGTTGTTAACACTAAATTACCTGTTATGCTCTCCCACCGACGCAGTACCACAGTTTTTTTAGATACTCACCTCCTTTGTTCAGATAGAATACGTGCTTGGAGTAGGATGCAAGCTTATGGTCTCAAAGATAAGTTTGAACTTATTTCACAGATGAGATTGATTCAAAAGTATGCAAATGTGTATTGTTTATTCACAATAGTACATCGTGTGTTTCATATCTTTGTAACGTGGCTCGACCCAAAGGTGAGATATACTTAAAAGTAAGTCTACAAATACCAGGTAGGTCTTTTCACAAACATTTTTGTAGATCTAGAAGGTAATGAAATGATCAGAAATTTTCATTTTCTACTCAAACAAATGAAATGTTTGGTCTGACTGTTAAAAGACGCTTTAATTTCACAGCAAAAGTAATAGATATATTGAGAGGTTCTAAAAATAATTTTTTGTGATATTGGTCAAAATTTTTTTGCATTCTTTATAGGTATTCAGTCACTCTCGCGTGATATTTTTGGACAAGACAAGAGACAAAGTAGGCTGAAACACTTAATTTTCATTTCTTTCGGGGCATCTGAGTTCTCTTTCGAAAGTGGGAACATCACAGTTTTAATGGGACAAAATGCGATTAAATTTTCAGTGTAACCAATCAGTTCTAAAGATGATGTAGTTAACAAGGATATTCGAAGATCACTTTCACATTCAAGGATATTCGTATCCACCGATCTGAGAAATTTTCTGTCTAAAATAACATCCTTCTGCCACTATTTTCGTTAAAATCAGAATCTGCATTGCGGCGTCAACAAAATCTGGATCGAACCGGATCGGATCACGGATCACGGATCAAATGCTAAACCGCGTACAATCCGCAAACCGGAATGAGCAGCAAAACCGAAAAACCGAAGTTTTTTGGCAGAAAACCGATCTAAAAGCAGCCAAAACTGCAAAACCGAAAATCCCAATGCCTCCTTCCCGCTTGCCTTCATCCATGGCGGCACTGCACAACACTCCTCGATACAGCCGTGAAAGTGATTACATGGAGCCTTTTGGGCAAAAAAAACTTTCAAATGGGCCTACGCTCAATTATGTCAAGCAGACTTTATTTTGGCTTGTCACGTAAATTTTTTGAGTCCGATCCATGATCCGTGATCCGATCCGTGATCCATGATCCGGTACGGTCTGATCCAGATTTTGTCGACGCCGTCCGCAACATATAAGAGAAATTGGATTTGCTAAATATCAAGCTTAACTGTAACAAAGTTACAGTCGATCAAAATGATAAAATCACTGTAACTGACTAAAATGACTAATTGAATATTGGCCGTAAAATTCCTCGCTATCTCGTCAAACATTTGAGAATAATGCTCAAACTTGGTGGAAAGATGCGGATTCAAGTTAATAATTTGGCAGATAAGTTAATATGCAGTCTGCTGATGAAGTAATTTTCGTCGATGTGTGAACCTAGCACCTTCTACTACGGTCCTCCTAAAATAGAATCAAGGTTTTCAGTGCATTAGTTAAATCGAAACAGATGAAGAACAAAGGAAACAAGATCTAGCTGTAAGATATCTGGTATAGGTACTGAAACGTTATTTCACTCTCCTTTTCCCCTCAGCATTCGCCATGGGTTACGTGAAACAAAGAACGTCGCACCGAATGTATCTATTGGTTTTTATTTTAGCATTTGTATTTTCTCTATTTTCGGTTGTTTACGTTCATTACTATACTTTGGTTGTGCCGCTGAAACAAGGAAGTCCATCATTTGTCATCAAACAAGATGTAGATGCCTCGCGCAGCTACACAAGTGCAGCCAGCAGTGCAAGTCTCATGCATTCCATAGCAAACAAGAAGGAAAGTTTTCAGCGCAGCACAGATGATCTATCATATTCAGGGAAATCCATTCCTCTGATGGACTTCAAGGACTTACAAAAGAGAAAAAAACGATTTCTTTTATTGGTTACTGTTGGCAGTGCACCACAAAGATTCGACAGGAGGCAGGCAATAAGAGATACATGGTGGAAATTTTGTCACGAGAAAAAGGTGAGACACGGTTAATTCAAATACCATGAATAATCGATCAAACGCCGTCCTTAAATGAGCGCTTCACTTTAGAGGAAAAATGTAAAGGTTACGTCCCACCTTCAGAGGTTTAAAAAATCGATTTTTCTTTGATTTGACGTAACTGAATTCAAACATTTAATTTAATGTATCCATAAAATAGAAATTATTGAAATCTTTTAAAGCACTTGAGTTATTTAAAAAAACATATTTTCAACTAAAAGTTATTAAATTAGGAAGGTATCATAATCTCGAACCTAGACGAATCCCCTGGGGGAATTTTCGCCGCAACCTCTCATGCTGGGGTTCGTTTTCCGTGTTATTTCCATATTTTGTTTACATCGCGCACTTGACAAAATTCACATGTGGAAGCTCCTTGTTTATGAAAAAATCTTTGCTCATGGAAAAATAAAAAGCGGAAGAAAGTCCTCGGTAAAAAAAAGAAGAAAAATAAAAGAAGGCCCAGAGAGGAAGGAAAGAGTACCACTCTGTCAAGTAAGGAAAACATTCCTTTGTATTCCGTTGTGAAAGCGACTGGTACTGGCGGAGCGGGCATAGGGTAAAATATGGACTGGACTATTTTTTGGACCATTTTTTGGACCATTTTTTTGGACCATTTTTTGGACCATTTTTTTGTACTATTTTTTTGGACAATTTTGAAGGGGGGAGCACACCATTAGTACTGAGGGAGGGGTAGGATGAAGTCTATCAGTACTAAGGGAGGGGTGGGAGGGTGGAGTGTTATTACTTAAGGAGGGGTGTGAGACGGACTATTACTACGCAGGGAGGGATGGGAGGTGGTTGTAATAGGAAACACTGCTAGCTAATGAAGCTTTTACTCGATCGTACAAACAATTTTAATTGGTTTTTCGACTGAGTTTTTGTATGTCAAAATTTTAGCGCTGGGCCGCGGCGTTTCTTCATATTTTGTCATGCGAAAGCGAAACTGCCAAGTTAACACTGGACTTTAATTTGTATTGAAAATATCGCGTTTACGATCCTCCACTGTTGAATGATGCGTGCGCCTTTTAAGTCAACTTGTGCACCATCAGTTGCTTCAAATTTCCCTTTGTGTATACAGTATGTAATTACTAACTTTAACTATCTTCCTTTTGTCATTGATCTTATCAAACGAGATCACGGAATTTCCGGTCTTTAGCCCTTAACTTAGCAGCATTTAGAATTCACAAGCGCTATCGCAATTTTGAAGTTTATGCCTTTACTATTTAAAATCATGAGCGAACGATTTCGAAGAGGAATCCATGTTCTCGAATGGACCAAAAACACTGCTGTACTCTCAAAATGGGAAAGCGCAAATATCGATTTCATCTGTTTCGCAAACAAAGGAGATAATCACCTACACCGGAAATCGCGACCAGGTATTCCTCGCGACTCCCCTAGGTTTGTTTTCCAATTTGCCCAAGCCGCTGTCGATCAGTTCTTGCGTTAAAACCTATGAAACCTGCGAAGTGGAACTACTGTTGCTTGCCGATAATTTCCGTCGGCAAAACGTAGAAGTCCAGTGTTTCGTGGCAGTTTCGCTTCCGCATGACAAAAAAATGAAGAAACGCCGCGGCCAAGCGCTAAAATTTTAAGATACAAAAACTCAGTCGAAAAACCAATTAAAATTGTTTGTGCGATCGAGTTAAAGCTCCATTAACCAGTAGTGTTTACCATTACAACCACCTCTCACCCTTCCCTGCGTAGTAATTGTCCGTCTCACACCCCTCCCTGAGTAATAACACCCCACCTCCCACCCCTCCCTTAGTACTGATAGACTTCATCCTACCCCTCCCTCAGTACTAATGGTGTGCCCCCCCCCCTTCAAAATGGTCAAAAAAATGGTCCAAAAAATGGTCCAAAAAATGGTCCAGTCCATATAGCTCCACGCTGGCGTCCAGATTTCGAACAAAGAAGTCGCTGTCATACCAACATTTGCCATACACAATGTTAAAAACGAGGTTTTATTTTCTTTATGCAAGTACCAGCCTTGATACAAAAACATTAACAATCGCCTCGAATCGTAATTTTGAAAGCTGCCTGTCGATTTGTTGTCTCGCACCTCAGCACATTTTCCGTTTTTTTCATTTATGCCGCGGATTTTCTCCTTTGTCTTTGGCAACTTTGCTCATTGTTAAGTCGTCTTCTTCAACGCTCTATCGAGCGATCGAGATAAAAAAAAAACGTGTCTGCGAATGGTTACTTTTCGCGGGAAATCTTGATCCATCGTTATTAGCGCCTGGAGGTTCCGTTGTCCCATTGGTTTGCTGTTTCAGGAGGTGAGGTAATCTTCTGGTGTGGCGCGAGTTGTTTGCGAGCATTCAAGGAATAATGACAAACGAAAGTGTGTCAGGGAATTTTGATATTTGAAATTGTTGATTGATGCCTTGTGAATAAGACAGCCATTTTGTTCGTGCTGCGGCATCTGATACCCGATAAAGTCAATATTATATTATATTTTTATCGTAAACTACAGTCATTAAGCTTTCTTCTGATGTGTAGTTTGTTAGGATTTTAGTGAAAGTAGCGCGCGTACGAATTTTTTCTCGGACACCCGCGAAGGTGGGAAGTAACCTTAATAAACGCCGCCCTCGAATAAACGCCGCATCATCATGCGGCGTTTATTCGAATGATAGACTCAAAAAGCACACAGCGACAATTGCTACGATCGCAGTTGGAAATTTTGAGTAAACCAGACAAGTTCTCTTGAATGAACCAATTCTGATGTCGAGAAAGCAATCCGACATACGATCTTTATTCACTTTATGCATTGCAATAGTATTAACATGCAAATGATGAAATTGAGAGCAATATGAAAAATGACTTTTTAGACAAACACAAAAACATGTTTTTTTTTTCAAAAGTAAAATGGTCAGTTACCATACTACTGTTTGGATTTTAAATAAACGCAGCCCCTCGAGTAAACGCCGCATTCGAATCACGAAAAATTTAATAAACGCCGTGGCGTTTAATCGAATAAATACGGTTTTAAAATTTGTAAATGTTTCCAAAGACGATAGACTCTGACAATGGACAATGGACAGCCAAGGAGGCCTGGTCACTTAGAAACCTCCATCTGGTCCCACGCTTCCTTTGTTCCATTTCCATGTCCGCCTACCTCGTTAAGGCCCATGTCACTCTATGAAGCCTTATTTATTTTCTCGGTAGATCCCTTCCAGTTAATCATGTATTTGTAACTAGTTCTCCCTCCACCGCTTCTTTTAAAAGAAAGTTCCATCTCTTCCATGTCCGCAGTAATTCCTCGTTATGAGTGTGCGTGTGTGTGTGTGTACGTGTGCGCGGTCAAAGTAATTACCATAAGTCCATATTCAAATGTTAATATAAGATTAGTTATTTTAAGTGAGAAAGCCTTTTTATAAGCCTTTGGTTTCTTTCAGGTTTTCTCGCCATTTACCATCAATTTTCCATTTTTTTTTTTTCCATCTGTAAATGTTGTATATGGCAAAATAAATACTGTATCGTATGTAAAACTAGACTAGAACGGTACAGTACAGTAAAACCCCTTCACTTGATTCCGGTTACCTCGAACCCCCCGCAAACTCTTTAATCGCGTTTGATACGAAGGTGATAAAATTTATGGAAACGTAATACATTTCACTTAACTTCCTAAGCTAAACATAGCTCCGACATAACAAAGTAAATGTTCGAAAATGACTGTTGATTGTACAAGAATGGTAAAAACAAAATTCACACCAACCCCAATAACTCGAATTTCCGCTAACTCGAACCACTTTTCGTTTCTTTTGTGGATTCGAGTTGGTGGGGTTCTATTCTAAAATTAATTTGAGAGTGGAGACTCTGTCGCCTAATGTTGGCTGATTATTTCTCTTCAACAGGTCAAATGCGTCTTCTTTACAGACGGCATCACTAAGAACCAAACTCTCCTTACCCTTCTACTCCAGGAAAAAAACCGCTACAAAGATTTGGAGCTTCAACCGCTTCCATCTGGTGTTCAATTCGGGCAACGCTTTCTAAATTCCATCAAATGGGCCACGGCTAAGTTTGACTTTAAATATTTTCTCAAACTGGATGACGATTATTTTGTTTGTCTAAAAAGACTCCTATTTGAGCTTCCTTCGCGACCGAAGCGCAATCTTGTATGGGGAAGTTTTCATTGTGAGTTTGGAATTTCTTGGGCAGACGAAGCATTCGTAATATTCTCTGCTGACATGATCCGCAAATTCTTGATGCAAGATAAGAAAAAGATGCTTTGTCACCCATTTGCTGACCAACAGTTCAGTATTTGGATGAAACATATGACTAAGCTTTATTTCCATGACACAAGGCTTCACCATGACCCACCAGCTTCCTTTACGCCTGAATTTAAAGAAATGAAAAACCTATGTGACTCGTATATTGGAATACATGGTACATACGTAGAAGAGATGAGGAAGTTTGCGAAGGTTGCAAATGATGGCGCAAAAGAAACTGTAGAAACTGTCCCTAAATTTTCAAGCTTCTGCCCATTCAAAGACTTTGATTATCGAAAGTTTTCACCTAAGTATTATTTTCGTCCTAAACCTTGTATACAGAATCCCACTTGGAAGAATTCTACATTTACTGGTCGTGAAGACGAACACATACTGCGTCAGGATGATCTATAAGACGAAGAGCATCGACTACCGAGGTTTTATTTCTAAACGCCAGAGTTCCAAGTCTCAAGCACAGTTGATGAATATGTGATAATCTCAAAAAAAGGTTTAATTTATGAATTGCAAACCAGTTCTCAAGAATAGTTTAAAACGCTTATTCACAAGATGGTGTTAATAGCTTAAAAGAAGAGAAGGCCGTGATAGACCTATTTACCTAATAAATGTTATTTTGATAGATCGATTAATTTATATTTATTTTTTCCAATTTAAGAACCATTGTAGAATATAAGCTGGGCTAGTTACTTCAAAATTTTAAACTACCGTGTAAACAAAAATTTCTGTTCCCGTGCGCTGCGAAAAATATTCGCAGAGTAATTAATAGAATGGCCACTGTTTGTAACTAAAACGCGTTCGCTTATTTTTCCTTACACATAATCTCTTCCCATAGATTCGCTTTTGCAGAGGTGCGTATTTGCGCGAGGAAAGTTGGGGCAAGGGGTGAGGGGGTACTTGGATTATTTTGTGCCCGTGCCGCTAGCCCTTCTCAACATTATTGTTGTGATCCCAACTTAGTCACTCTCTTAAGCCTTTAAGGTAATTCATCTTAAAACAAACTGACGCATTTATTAAACTGAACACTCAATTTTTCATCTACAGTACAGAAATTTAGGTACATTTGAATCTTCCTAATTTTTAAATCCGTACTCACCCCTTACCCCTAAAGTCCTGAAAATGTGCAACCCTGTTGTAGTAACTCTAAGAAAATACAGTCTCATTATAGTCCATCCAGTCGCCAAAATGCGACCCCACCCAGTGGCACATTCCTATTAACCTATTGCTAGAAGTTACCCCCCCCCCCGACGTAATTGTTCTTCTCGGAGCAGATAATGTCTGCGTATAAATAGTAAAAACAATCTTCACAAACAGTTTACCACCAAAAAATTTTAAAACGGGAGGGGTTGATTTCAGGAAAATTGTAGACAAAAATATCAACAGTTTAATAAGGATCTGGAGAAGATCTGATGAACCAAAGATAGAATAAAGATAAAGTAATAAAAACAACGAATTTGTACTTGCCATTTGTACTTCGTCACGAACTGTATCTAACTTAACACGACAACTGAGTGATTAGTCTGAACTGAAAGTCAGAAATGCAACTGTGGACCGCTTAACCCTTCAACTCTCAAGATCTGATTGTTAATTCTCCCCTCCAGCTGCTACACATTTCCTTGTAAATTAGCTACGAGAATTTGATGTTAGATCGAGGTAACAACTTCTGCCTGATAAGTATGAGTATTCGCATTTTCTGTTTGCTGAATAATGAAGGGATATTACAGGGAGAAGTTACATGTTGATCATTTCTGGGATTAAAAGTGTAAACTACATAACATCACAGAAAAATATAATACAGCGAGTTTGGTTAGACATCAATACAACCCCTTCCTGACTCCTCTGATTAACACTGAATGGAAATTTCTAGGAGAAGCTGAATATCAAAAAGTTATATTAAAACAACATGCAAGCAACAGATCTCGAGATCGGCAAGAAGTAATGGAAACGCGTGTTTTTCTACCCTCAATAACAATTCGCGTAATTCTTAGGAAATAGGCAATAATATTTTTTAAGGAGGATGCCAAAAATTTCCTTGCAAAGTATCCTTGTATTCTGTTCTCTGTTCTGATACTTTTCCTTCTTCCAGCTTACTTGTCAGAGACATTATTCACATCTTGCAAAACTTTATTCTTCATGCGCCTGACCCAGACTCCTCTCAAATTTGTGCGCCTGCCACTATTTTAGATTTTACCCTTTCACGCACGTGAAACAGTTGGGTCGCAATTCGTCGTATTTTGTAATTTTCTTTGTTGTAAAATGCCTAAGAAAAAGACAGGGGCTCGAAAGAAAGCCGAAAAACAAAAAGAACGCCAGCGAGGAATAAGAGAAGGTCGTGATAGACCTATTACGGAATATTTTTGCAATGTGATAATGGTGGGTTTATGCCCTTCAGTTGAGGTCTGAAATTGTTTTACTATTGGGATACTAATTATTTGTTGTTATATTTTCATTTATTAACGAATCAACAGGAATGTGATAAGTGCAAAAGGTAAGGGTGATAGCTCTCAATTCGCTCAGAATATTATGGAAAGAAACATGCTTGTTATTGTGAAGAAATAATTGTAACGATAAACTGTTTAATACTGATTTCTTTTCATATGCGCATGGATAAAAACTATAAAATCTCTTTCTTTCCTTTTTTTATAGACGACAGAAAAATCGAGCTTTCTGTTATTTTTGCTCGTCAGTTCAGAAGTTACCTATCTGTGGAAACTGTGGTAAATTTAGCTTTGTACTGTAACAATTGATATTATTTTGAGGAGAGTATTTAAGCTGTCCTGAGGAGAAACAAGGAAACTGAAGTTTATTTTATTCTTCTGTGTTGTAGGAAAGACAAAATGTATGTCTAAGAGTGGAGACTGTGTTGTTAAACATGGAACAACTTTTACAACTGGCTTTGGGATGGTGGTGAGTGTTTTTTTATTTTTGCTGAAGAATTTTCAGCTTAAATACCAGCCCTTTTCACCCTTTGACCCCAAGATCTCATTGTTAATTCTCATTACTGGCTGCCATATAAGTCTTATGACATTACTTTGGAGAATTTGGTATTGGATCAACCCTATTGATACTTTTCTGTATTCTCATCACTTATCTGTTTGATATTGTATTAATATTGTTGTAGTCATTCATGAGAGTTAAAGAGTTAAAAACACTAAAATTTGTGTACTTTTAATTTTTTTAATTACAAATTGCAGCATGTAATTTTTGTGAGATATATTTTAAGGAATTTAAAGGTCAGCTGCAGTATCATAATTTATCACAATATTTCTTTACTCTGTTTGTAGGGAGCCATTTGTGATTTCTGTGAGGCTTTTATCTGCCACGGCAAAAAATGTTTAACCACTCATGCTTGTGAATGTGCCATTAGAGATGGTGAATGTATTGAGTGCGAACGAGGTGTCTGGGATCATGGTATGTGTTACATTGCAAAGAGTCATTAATCATGACTTCTTACCAACCAAGCCTTAGTACCTTAGTACTCTACTGGCAAATGTTGGCCTGTGATTGTGGCAGTACAGGGTAGTATGGATCCAGCGTAGTGAGGTCCATACAAAAAATGATGAAGTTTAAAGAGCATTTCATTTATCTCAAATATTAGAGGGAAAACTTTAAATCTGTCTTCTTGTGTGCAAGGTTTCTGGGAAATCTTGAGGCCTGAAAGAAAAAATTTATGGGTCATGTTAAATTTTAAGTGTCTCAGTTAACTTTGATGTTTATATTTATTTGAAATATTTGTTTCTCTCTTGTAAAGGGCTCAGAGGCTTGCAATAAGCACTATTTAAATTGTTAATTCATTGTTTTACTTATTTTATCGTGGGTCATTGCTCTTCTTGGTTCTCTGTAGCTGGAATAGTACCTAATCTTCAATTGCTCTTTTTCTTTTCAAGGTGGACGTGTTTTTGTGTGTTCTTACTGTGCATCATATTTGTGTGAAGATGACCAATTTGAGCATCAAGCCAAATGCCAAGTACTTGAGTCTGAGACATTAAAATGTAAGTTTTTAGATGAGTTGGCAAAATACAAGGATTTGTTTGGGAATAAACAGTTTCACTCTCAACTTAAAACATATGATCTTGTTTTGAATAAAAACAAGCTTACCTAGCTTAATTTTGTATTGTGTGAATTTTCTGGGCTGATTTAGTGTGGTTTTATTTTATCTGCCTTTCCCTCTGTACAATCCTTTTGTTTGGTTGGTATTATACAGAGTCCTGTCATGGGAAAGGATTATAAAGAGGAAAAAAGATGAACTAATTTAGACCAAAATTGGTCCTAAATCAGCCCAGAAAATTTCACATGATACAAAAAGCCAGGTAGGTTTGTTTTTATTCAAAACTAGTCGTGAAGTTTTAGGTTGGGAGTGTGCTATTAATTCCTCTAAAAATAAATTGTTATATTTTTGCCCATTGCACAACATAAACATTTAGTATTTGTACATTTAAGGAGGCTCACTGATTTTTTTTAACTCTGGGCTTCCTGTGGCATAGCTGGTATATAAAGGGTTGGTAGTGAGAGAAATCAGTTGGAGTATGAAGTAGAATCCAGGTAATCTGGCTTTGTGTTTCATTTCACATGCACCAGGTGGTTCCTGTAACAGATTAGGTCAATACTCATGCCTCAAGTGCAAGGTAAATTTTCTTTATTTTTCTATTGAAAACATGACATTTTACTTTTTCAGTGGAAAAATTTTGATCATCATTTTCCTCATAGAGTACATCTAGCTGCCATACAGGCTTTTTTTCTATTAAGCTGTCGATAATAAATAACTTTTTAAACAGTGTGTTAAACAAAGCTCATTCAATCTTTCCTTTTACTGACCTGGTTTGTCACCAAGAGCCTGCAGTCTTGTAGCTCAGTCTATGCAGCTTAGTGAGTTTGAATCCTTATATGGGACTCAAACGAATTAGCTGATGTACAAAGGACCCAATGACCCCTTCCCTCTCTGAAATAGTGTTGAACACCACTTGCAATTTATGTTGCTACTGAAAGTAACTAAACAGTGTCACAGCGTTCCGTGATCAAAACAGAAAAATCATCGATAAACAGAAATGCAAATACACTGTTGCTTCATTTTTTTTATTCACTAACCTGTGTCAGCGGGTTTGGGACCCCTCCCCTCCTCCGGTCCATTTCTGCCAGCGGATTTGGACCTCCCGGCCCAAAATGGACCCTGGCCTGAGTGAATGCTTTAAAATATCAAAATTCGTACAGGCATGTTACTGCGACGATCACGTCAAAAGAAAAGGAGTTAAATACGTTAGAGGACAGCCTATACCCTGTCCAAAATGTGGATACCAGACCAAAGAGACCAAAGATCTGAGCATGTCCAGTAAGTTAACATTTCCAATTCAAAATTCTTTGGCGTTTTCATGGCGTTGTACGTTCGTTGTTTCAGATCATCTCTTTACTTTTAATTTTAGCTCGTAACTACGCGTATTCTCGTCAACGAAATGATGTGAACGACGACGACGATGATGACTACGGGTCCAGCGGTTTCAGTTACGGGTCAAGTGGGTTCAGTTACGGGTCAGGCGGGTACGCTTACGGGACATCCCACTACGCAGATAATGAAGACGAAGATGAAGATGATAGTGATGAGGATGATGACGAGGAGGAAGAGGAGAAAGAAGAAATTGATGATGATGACGATGACAAAGAAGACAAACAGGATAGAAGTGACATGGACGACAAGTTGTCTGAATTAAAAGTTTCAGTGTCTTGACCAAACTCAAAGGTTTTCTTGGAATTGGACGACTCTTTATTATCTGCAGAAACTGGCGTTTATGCAAAGAATATTTTATTATTGCAGAAGAATAAAATAATGAATTAAATAACAGAGAAGAGTCAGTAGAATCGTACCGGTCAAAAGTTTGAAAATGAACTGACATTTGTAATGTTTGTCCTTGCACATGTAAGCATTGTAAAGACTTATAACGTTTTTGAATTAGCGCCTTGACTAGAGGGAAATTGCGCGAATTCTTGTCTCATTCGCATGTAAAATCTTTGATTACGTGAGGCCCAAAGACTGGCGCGTGATCCTCAGAACCAAAAAGGCAAAATAATCTCGCTTAAGTAAACAGCTCTACTTCCGCGCAGTGTTTCTCTCTCGACTTGCTGTTTCAGTTGCCGACAATTTAAACAGAAAGTTAATACTCAAGAGGAAGAAAATTGGAAAAGTCGATTGTTAATGAAAAATTTGACATGGTGCGATGACTTCCTTATAACATATTTTAACAGGGGCTCAACAAAGAAATGTATCTTTCTTTAATTGTTTTATTTTCGGAAAAAAAAAACTAAATCAAAACAAAAAAAAACATTTCAAAAGTGCAATAGCAATTTTCAAACTGGATACATGTGATTCGCAAATTAGCCCGCGGAAAACCTGAATTAGCAATCCGTGAAGTAGCCATATTATGTTCGTTCGACATCGGATTTTTACAGTTTACAACAATTTTATGTTTTCGTTCAAAACATTTAGATCGTGAGTTCCAAAAGATAGGCAATGTGTTTGATTGGTAACACTGTATGCCTCTGCTAAGATACGTGACAAAATTTTAAATCAGTTTTTGTGTTGAAAATAAATAATCGATTTCATTCAAATAACAATGAAAAGCAAGTTTGTCGGCTGTAGTACATTTGATTGTCATTCTTAGTTTTATTTATTAACGATTTTACAAGGTTACTTTAACACATTCATTTCACTTTTATCGCAACAGAATTTTTAATGTTTACGTAAAGCGAAGAAATAAATCTAAACTGTGCCACAAGCTTTCTGGATGATACTTCTCATTCCGAAAATACACCTTGTCAGTGGTCTTAAAGAGTTAAATGAATTGGTAATGTATGAAATCATTCACGGGTTCAATTTTTGTATTCTTTGTGTTGGCGTGGTCGACATCTCTTAGTTTCCTACAATGAATCTGTTTGACACTTTGACAGGCGGCGACAAAAGAAACCCAGACTGAATGACTGAAAATTGTTACGAATCTAAACAGAGGTACAGATGTCACAAAGTCAACAGTGGAAGGTCAACAGACGCATAGGTTACTAAAGATTTGATCAACGCAAATAATGAACAGAGGAAAGCTTTGATCACGTCCCTTTTCCCCTCTAATTTTGTCCTGTTTTTTCTTTTTAATTAGCGGTGTCGTATAAAAACAGGTTTATTCGTATTAACCGAGGGGATTTGTTCTCACCTGAAAGTGTTGACAGCTTTCATCACTTGACCCGCTTTAAGACGTCACAGGGATTGCTCAATAACAGGCTTGATACAGTGTTACAAATTTATTTTGAACACGGCATGGACTGTAACAAAGCTAATTACAGCAGATACTTTCAAACTGTAACCTCCATGGATAAGAACAGTACCTCGGCCCCTGGACTCGGGTCACAAGCTCGTCTTCTTGAAGGTTTTGGTTTATCAATCGTTCTCTTGGTCTCGCTGGTGTTAAATCTCTCCGTTTGTGCGATTATCTGGCGAACAAAATCACTACGTGAGAAGGCGACTAATACATTTGTGGCAAACCTGTGCATCGCTAATTTGTTACTGACTGCCTGTGTGATTCCGTTTAGCTTGGTGACCATCGTTGAAGATGAACATGCATCTTATTCAAAACTTTTTTGCCAGGTAGGACTGTCAATATTATTGGAATCAATTTGAATTTTAACATGTTTCAATGTAATAGTTTTCACGAGGCATTGCAGTTCTGTTGCGAAACGCTTTTAATATTTAACAAGGTTACCACACGAGAGATCAGTAATCAGTTAACTTAAGTTTTTTTCTTAGTGCAAATCGCTGCAAAATATATTTTTTTAACTATTTGAATGCAGTGTTGCCGCAAATGCTTTTATAACTCGAATATTGAATGAACTAATTTTGTATGTGGCAACCAAGTTTTTTCTCCTCGTCCTTACGGTGTTAGTAGTAAGTGATGGGCGAGCCATTGTAAACTGGAAATTTAGCGTACCTTAGCCGACCAATTGTTGCTGAACAGGTAAAACTGTATTTTACAGTTTACACCACACACAAACAAACAAACAAAGATAAACAAACAAACAAAAACCGCAACTATGGTAAGACTTCGAAAAAAGTGACAGTGCGTAACACAAAGGACCATGTCTACTAGAAGCTCGTATTTGGGACCATCTTAGCTGGCAACAATACAACCTGCGTCTCTCTGCACCCTCTATCTTCTTGACTGTTTCCCAACTGAAATTCTACATCAATTATGGTCGAACAAGATTCCTTCTTTCCAAAATCAATTTTAGTTATTGTTAGTATGTTTTTTGGGGATGATGCTTGACTTGAAAATTGTACTGAATCTGCTTATATTTACGCAGCACACGAAAAGTAAAACTTCCTCAACACTTTGTAACCTAACATCAGTATGCATATTCTCCATTCATTTCATAAGGTGCTGACAAGGAGAATTTGTGTAACAATCGAGAGTTTCTTTAGTTGGTGATACACTTCCTTTATTCTCATGACCCTTACACTTGATTCAAGGGTGACTCTGTAAGGAGAAATTTTAAGCCAATCATTCTTGGGTGTCAGAGGTTAAGGCAACGGTGTACACAGGAATACTGTATTTGATCAATAAAATCAATTTTCTTTGTATGTATAATTTTTCTTGTAACAGATGCTTCCTCTATTTTCAGGCAAATGGTTTCATAAGTGTTGTGTCGAGTGTTGCGATTGTCATGACTCTTTGTTGTATAAGTCTTGATCGATACATTGCAGTTACCAGGCCAACACGTTACAAGATCATTGTCACGGTCAAACGTGCGTGGTATACTTTGCTAGTGGTCTGGGGACAAGGACTCTTGTACGCCACGTTTCCCATATTTGGTTGGTCCAGGTACGAGTATCATCCGGGGACTTTACACTGTTCACCAGTATGGACATCAGAGTGTTCCCTGTACATCTATCTGGCAGTGGTGGGATTTGGAATTCCAATGACTGTCATGGTGTTCACGTACATTCGTATTTTCTTCGTCATACGTAGACACGCGCGCAAGGTTTCCACTGTCAAGCGAACGCGACCAAAGGTTAAAAACAATAATTGCAAACTGATTTCTGTGAAACAAAGAGGGAGTGTACAGCCACACTCGACTCAAAATTCATCGAATGAGGACAAGTCCTCGAGTACGGCCGACAAGCTAAACTCTTCAGCTGCAAATGAGCAAATGTTATGTAGCTCTACGGCAAACCTTTCAGAGTTAGACAGCTGTGCCAAGCAATTTGAACTGAATGCGAAAACTGGCGTGGTCAGTGGTTTATATTTGCAAGAAGGCGAAAAAGTACTCTTCGCTACTGAACTGCCGTCTGTTAACACTTGTGACCATGGAGCGCAGTCAAACAGCAGCAACGAGCCTTCAGATGTCCAGCGGAGCAAACGTAGTTTAATTCACGTTACAAACACGCTCAGAAAATTCTGGCCGCGAAAACACAGGCGCAACCAACGACCGTTATCCAGAGAATTCAAAGTAGCAAAGACTGGTGTGCTGCTGTTGTTTATTTTCATTGTCTTGTGGTTACCTTACATGGTCGTGCATATCTGTTCCTCCGGAGTAAAAGCTCCACCAACTGTGTTTCGATTGACAATGTGGCTTGTGTTCATGAACGGGGTTTTGAATCCTATAGCTTATGCGTTGGGCAATTCGACGGTGAAAATGAAGTTTCAACAGATGTTCGCCACGGTTTTTTCTCTGTGCTGCAAGTGTAGGAGGACTGTAGAACAGCGAGCGACTCCTCGCATGTCAGAAAGAGTCTGAATATTTTTCTCCACGTTCAAACATATTTGCTTGGACAAACGTTTATCGGCATCGAAGGTATAGTCACAAAGACACGTCTTGAAGAGGGGCGATGAACATCTCTCCACCGCCAATATTTCCTCTCACGCTTTCTCTACCCTCCTGTCCCAGCTTATCTTTCCCCTTCTTATCGCTTTCCACCCCCCCCCCCCAGCTACAATCTGTTCAGGAATTCTGAACAATTTAATTTTATTCGACTGAACTGAAGGAGTCTTTTAAATTTCTGAAAAACGGCTTTATTGCCAACATGATTGATAGGAGACCCAAATGCTTAGCTGAGCTAACGTAATACACGAATTACTTTCAAATGACTTAACTACAGTTGCCAGGCAATTGGAAAAAGATATGACCTATATTAACTGTGTTTGTTAGGGTGCAGTATTCTATAGCTTAGCCACAAAAAACTACTGTACTCCTGCTGTGACTTAAATGGAATTAATATAATTTAACAAATATGTAGGAAACATCTAGCCAATATTGTAGACAAAATAGTCTGTGACAACTTGGAGGACTCGTGTACAATCGAAAACAAAAATGCAAAGCATTTGAACATAATCACGGAGCGCAAGTATTTCCTTCGAGAGCTTCGTCGAGCACTGTCCAAAATAGTCACCTCGAACTTGACTGAAATCTTAATGTTAGTCAAATCCCATTTCTCTCAAATCCCCTAAGAACATTTGTAGTTTCAAATTCCACTTACGTTGTATCCTTCAGAGAGGAGAAAAAAATATAATGTACACATTAAGATAGTCAGAGTGATATGTTAAAAAAAAAAGATCCGTCGCGATTGAAACACGTAAAGCCAGCGGCTTCGTTTGTTGATTGTTCCGTTTTGACCTCACCTCCTCTTTGTAATTTACAAAGCATTGTTATCTTTGTATCATCCTAATAGAAAATTTTTAAATTTAACTGTGACTCAAAATTTAGTTATCAGTTGATTTACATATGAACACGCAGTTATCTATCTCTGAAAATACTATTTTTGTCTTAGTGCCTCACGCGTGATTTCTATATCAGTGACGCAAGCCACATAAGCTAATGCCTTTGGACATGTTTGCAGCAAAGTATAGCTACAACAGTTCTGAAGAGTAATTTTATTGTTGTCAAAATGCGCATAAATTATCCACACTAACTCTGAAAACACTATTTTATTTTCTAATTCAGCCGATGTTTTGATCTAAAGGGTCGACAAAATAAGCTACATTTCACCGTCCACTCTGAAAAACAAGGCGGCCGGCTATTCCGAATGCTTATAGCTCAATTTTCAGCATGGAGGCATAATGTTGGTGCTAAATTTTTATCACAGTCCGGTTTATTTAAAATCTTTTAGACATCTCTACCAGAACTCTACTTGTCCTACTTCCCATCGGCAAAGCAAGGAAGTCGAAGTTGTGCGTTATCGATATCTGTCTAGCCGTGGGAATTTAGAAATATTTGACCGACAAGTGTTTTTAAAATGAATAGATGCAAAAAAATCGAGGCGAATTAATGTACAGTTTTCACAAATGCAGTTATTTTTCATTGTTAAGATGAGGGAGGATCAAAAACTGGCCTATATAAAACACGATTTCCCCGTAAACTTCCTCCTCGGCAAAGACACTTGCCGGCACAATACACTAAAGTGATCACGTGACCTCTAATCCGCTTTTATTGCCGGCGAACCAGTGGCTTACTTTTGTATCAGTAATACTAACAGTACCAAGCTTTTACAATGGAAAAAAGTATAAACTCATTTCTCTATTTTAAAGTGTTTTTTTCACCTTCTCTGATTGTAAGGGAAAGACTATTATTGACTTAAACGCATCGCACAAATTCATTACCATTTCAAAATGTTACCGCTTTTGTTTTCTTTTCTAAAATGTAAACAATTGGCACTTTTACCAGTCTGAAAAAACAGGCCAAAAATAAGCCTCTAATAACTATGTTTGAATTACATTAAGTTTCATGTCATTGGCCGAGCAAGGTTGTTTTTCTCCTTTGCTGCAAAATGAGTATGTAAACTTTTCACGACTGTGTTATTGGCATCCTTTGCCAGCGGCTAATTAGACACTGAAATATTCAGATTAGAGATAGTGATTTCCTGAAGATTGTACACATTTGGCATAATGAGTGTTTCGTAATGACAAGTTGCTATTATCGGTAGCCAATCTTGAGCGTTCTTTTGAAAATTGTTACAACAAGACCATTGATCGGTGAATGATTCCTCCCGGAAACCTTCGAGTCATAAAACGATTTCTCTCGTTTAGCTACAGGAAATATCCTTTCAAGTGCTTGTTCAACAAAAACCGTCAATATTCAACAGTATTCTACGCCAAAACGAGCATTAGACATTTACAGTTGATTTTGGCCGACGAACTTTGTTTGCCGCACTCGCCGCCAAATGGCGGAGCTTACTGAGAAAGATGACCCCGTTACTTCGTCTATTTTACACTTCGTTCAAGAAGTCTTTCTCGTATTTTTCATAGCCGCAGCCATTGTACTTAACTTTTCTGTAGTTTATGTTATTTGCAGAAACAAACATCTCAGGAAGATCACCACTAATATATTCATTTTAAACCTGGTTGTGTCTAACGCGTTAATGGCAATATTTGTGATGCCACTGAGCTTGGTAACGTTTAAAAGATTGGGTTGGACCATTGATTCATCGCTTTGTAAGGTGAGAGGAATTTTTTTAAATTTTAATCAGCTTTTCACAGTTTCTTCGCTAACAAAATATTGAATAATGGAATTCCCAGTCGGAAAAAGAAGCACGTTTTTCATTATTTCAGTAGTTTACGTAACTGGGAAAACTTTGTTAATGTACCAGTCATGCCAAGCCAGCTGCAAGGCGTTCTTTTCTACCATTGTCAGTTCTGCTTGCGATGAGACCTACACGGGAAAAATCGCCTTCAGCAGTATGTTTGAAAACTGAATTGTAAACATCCTTTTGTTAGGGACTTGTATGATAACGAAAAGAATTCTTCTGCTTTGTTTAACTCTCTCATTTGCTTTGGTCTGTAGTTGTTATTTTGTACCCAAAAAGGAAATAGGTGACCATGGGTAGTGAAAAATTAAAGTTTGCAAATTAAAGCAGAGATGGTCTACCCGACTATAGAAATAGAGAAGTGCTAAAACTTTTCACACTTAAGAAATTAAACAGAAATTTGTCATAAATATTCAATCGCTTCACTGCCTGAAAATTATTTCACCAACATGCAAATTAAAAGAGAATTTTTTTTTCAGTTTTCTAACTGAGATTAGCCGTACAGATTTTGACGTCAAAGAAAAAAAAAAGAAGTAATCCAAAAAGATGTCTGCGGATTAGATACTAGTCATTTTAGTCAGTGCAAATAGGGAACTCGTTTATATTGTCATCCTATGTTCGTGACGAAAGTTTATCTCTGGATGAACAAACAAAATAGCGAAAAAATTCATTTTCAAGAAACGGAAATTTGAGCACCTAATGGTTTGAGAATTTACCTTATTCAAAAGCGGCGCTCACGAATTCCATGTTTTCGATTGTTAATGTGAGATAAAACACTTCATGACATATCAGGCGAAAGGAAATGGCTTAATCTTATTACTGATAACTTAAAATCGTTTTTGAAAATCCCGTAGGAGGCAGGTATTGCTTGATATCGAATCCTACGCATCGCTAGAGGTAAATATTCATATCGGGAGCAAAGAGGAAGGAAGAGAATCTCATCATCACATTTCCTTAACGAAAACGAGATTATACGGCTTTTGTTTTAACCAAAGATACGGATTCGAAGACCCTGATTGTTTCATGGCAACATAAAACTGTGCAAATTCCAATTCTATAGAGAATAAAATGAAGGGCCATTATGTGCCACTTTCTGAGTCTGTTCACCAAGGAGCTCCAGCGCGTAAGCTCTAGGAAATCCAACAAGCTGAAGAAATTTGTTTATCACACTTTGGCTATACGTCAGTCGATACGCAAAGTGTATTTTGCGCGAGCAATTACTTGCATTATGTAAAAATTCGAATGAAGTGAAGAGCGTCGAAAAAAATAAAATAAAATAAAATAAAAAACTGCACTGTTAGGCGCAGCTTGGTCTAAATACCGTTTTAATCATTTGCCTGTTAATTACAGATGAATGGAATTTCCAGTACTATGTTGTGCTTTGCATCCATCTCAACTCTATGCTGCATCAGTGCTGATCGATACTTAGCAGTGGTCAAACCAATGCGCTACAAGCATGTGCTAACCCCGAGGAGAGCGTTCTGCATGCTCATGCTGGTTTGGTTAGGGTCTCTGTCTCTCGCTTGTTTGCCACTGATCACTAACTACGAGTTTCACCCAGGAACGAACCACTGCTCTCCTGCATGGCATCGTAGCTGTGAATTATACGGATTCATGACTGTTTTAGCTCTCGGAATACCTTTAGTAACTCTTCTTTCCACTTATGGTATGATATACTCGTCTGTGCGTAAGCATGCAAAAAGAGTTTCTCATTGGAGGGTTTCAACCAGTGGCGCAAGTGGGCAGCGGGACAGCACGTGCGTACGAGAAGCTGAAATCACGGGACATGAAATAGACTCGTTTCTCTCTAATTCAGCGCTTGATGAGGAACATACAGAACGTAATTTGAGTAGATTCAAAAAGTATGTAGATCAGAACAATTCGGAAAAGTTCATTGCACCTTTACGAGATTTTGGATGCAAAGGAGAATCTTCTAAGTCAGAGATTCCAGACAGACATCAAGACAAAAAGTTTCGATCGTATTCCGCAGGATGCGAGCACGCTAGAACGGACGAGAATATTCCTCCTTTCTCCTTACGAATGAAGTTAGCTGAGGAAGCGGATAATGAGCCTGCGAGACCGCGATCGTGCTCTGTCAGCGTGAAATTTTCTGTCAGTGAGCTCGTACCAGGAACAGTTTCACCTTTTTTTTGCCCGCATGACCTGGAAGGAGAACAATTCCACAGATCGCTGAGGATGAGTAGTTATTGTATGCTGAAGGAAAAAAGCTTTACTTTTCCAGAGCCAAAGTCGTGTAGCTCTTTAGAATTGCGCCAGACCATTGATTCAATCAAGGAAGGAATGCCTTCTCATTCAATTAGTTTTACGGTAACCAGCGCTTCCACTCCTGCTGTAAGCCCTGACTTAAACATTCCAGTCCCATTTACTTTGAACAGAGTTATTTTGCCAGATCAGAGGTCTTCAGGAAACTATAATGAAACGTCACAGTTTTCAGATGAGTCGAAACAAGCGTGGAATTCAAAAACCAGTCCTAACCATCTTCAGTTACCGCCCACCCCCATGCCTATTTTTGTTAAACCTGTCAATCCGGATGAACCCGTCCATAGTAGGAAAGCAAGTTTACCAGAGCTGATCTCTCGGCCGAAATCTCGTTCGCGATCTCTCAGTTTTGGAACGTTGTATGACGCATCTGACAAGAACCCCACATTACTTAAAGCACCTACCACGCAGAAAATTAGTTCTCCCTTATTACGACTTCGTGCCATTTCAAAATTTAAAAGCAAACTTCGTGTTAGCGTCGTACCACGCGAGTACAAGGTGGCTAAAATCGGGTTCATTCTCGTGATGGTTTTTTTCTTATCTTGGGGTCCGTACATGATGGTGCATAACTGTCAGCCCTCCTCCAAGACCCCTCTGTGGGTGTACCGAATAGCCATGTGGTTGGTGTACTTGTCGTGTGTATTGAATCCTATTGTGTACGCATTATCAAGTAAACATATCAGAACAGCTTTTAGCAACCACATGAAGTGCTGTAAAAGGCTAAACGCTCGTATATCGATGCGTCGTGCGCGACCAAGAGCGGCAACAATAGCCTGAAAACAGTTTTACGCTTTCACATTAAATTGATGAGGACACTAATAGCTTTTCACATTCACTAACACCTACGCCCTTGAACAGGGGTAAGGGATGTTAGTAATGAGCGAGAGTAACACATGGATGAGACCAGGCAAAAGACGCGAAAATTGGCGTGTTCGCGTTGCATATTACTCATTGTTTTCATTCATGGACTTAATGTGACAAGAATGTCTGCTTCAAACGCTACTTTGGAATGTTTATTACAACACTGACAGAGAAGTCGGTAGAGAGTTGATTCAGAGTATTCTCTGTAATCTTTTTGCGGTGATCTTGAAATTGTGCAATTTAAGGTCTTTATAGATATAGTCTGCTTTGAGTGATCATATTTACTACGATGAAATAAAAAGCTACCATGAACAAGATAGGATAAGCAAAAATGTAAGGATACGAATACCCCAAAATTCTGCAGTTGAGAGATTTCTCTGTTTGTTGCCTGGTAAAATCTTTCACGTAAATAAGGGATGACAACCTATAAAATTAGAGGTTTTAACGATTTTAAACCAAATTTATTCGAAAGTAGCCAGCTTTGTCCATAAAGAACAAGCAGTTACTTCAGGAATGGTCTTCAAAAACGAGCAATAGTTAGTAGTTGTTCCTTGAGACATTCAGTTTCAGATATTTTATTGCTAAATCCTTGATACATGGTGCTATAAGTAAGCAAAACCGTTTCTACAACTTTTTCGTATCATTCCAAGCTTTAAAATCTCAACAAGTTCCTCTTTTTCAATAAAAAATTTACAAAAGCAGTGTAAGAATGTTTGAACCAATTTTACAAAGAGCTTACGATAACATGATCAGTACACATGTACTGCTTATAAAACCTTCTCATGTATAACTTGGTCTAAGTTTCCTTACATGAACTGGTTTTAAATGGCAACTTGGGCCAATTAACCCTTTGATATCCAGAAGTGACTAACACATAACTTCTCCCTAGGATATCAATTCATTATCCCGCAAACAGGTAATAATTTTACTCAAACTTGTCAGGTACAAGTTGTTATCTTGATCTGTAACCAAATTCTTCTGACTAATTTGCATGGAAATGTTTAGCAGCTAGAAGGGAGAATTTACAATCAGATCATGGGTTAAGAACTGGTCCACTTGAGCTCATTGACAATTACAGTTTTCAGAACACATAAACTATTTGGGTTTCTTCCTGCATAAATTGTTGAAGAGGTAGGTGGTCATCTAGATGAGAGAATTAACTACTTGATCATTCATGCATGTGTAGTGTTAGTGACTCCACAGAATTCACATACCTCCCTAAAGCCTAATAAAACACCACTTTTTCAAGAAGTACTTAAATTAATGTTCAATGTAAATCTCTCATGCTCAAGTCTAAATTTACCTTCTGCATCAAGAGAAAACCAGTGGTGTTATAATCATATGATATGTACAGTGCTTTGGTATCTCTCGTTGTGTTGTTTGAATTTATTGGCCAAAAGTTGGGTGATAGAAAGTTTTGGCATGCACTAAAAGTGCTTATGAGGTGGAAGAATGCCATCTGTGTTCTCACTTGATTCCTGATTTTCTCATGCTAAAGTGCACCAAGGATACTAGACTGTGAGCAGACCCTAATTATCAGCACTACAGGGCATTAGTTTTGCCACCAGTGGGAAGATTTGTGACCAGTTGCCAAAGTTAGGGAGAGGTTTACTGAGGGTCTGGCACTAATGATGAGTGCAAAACCCTTACAGACCTCTTGCAGGCTCCAGTTGCTTTAGGCCTCATGTTTATGAAGAAATGCTTCTGCTGAAGAACTGATAATAAGGAGTTGCCAGCAGGCTAGATAAACACTAGCTCTAGTCCTATCAATATTAATGAATCAAGTAATAGCAATGATTTGAAATGAAGAATATTTGCCAAAATGAAAAAAATGAAAAAAAAACCACAAATTTTCTACATGTTAGTACAATAGTCCAAATGATGCATTTTAGTCAAAAATGATGTCCAAATTGTATGAGGAGATAAAAACACTTTTTCATCTCATGGTTACTGTAACAACTACTTCATCTTTGTATTACTGGTATGTAGAATGATCACAACACACAAAGTGAACAATATAAACCATCCATGTGACAAACCATGAATATATCAAGTTTTCCTTGACATCAAGCTGCTCTGGTAACGGGAGAGAGGGGAATGGAACCAAGGTCTAAGTAACCGCTCACGTGGTACTCTGATTGATTTACTATTCACCATCTTTTGAGGTTCCACATTATTCAAACGTTCTGATGGAAAAAGAAACATTCAGGATCAGTTCTGATCATATATCAAGAAATGTAGTTGTAGGAGAGCAGAAGGAAAAAAGGAAAGTATTATCTGGTAGGTAACAGCTCCATTTCTGTATAAAAAAATAGCTCAGGCAAAATTTAGCATGAGAATTCTCTGTAGTGGAGATGATTATCTTATTTCCATTGCCTAATGAACCTCCTGTCAACAAAACCCTTTTAACTCTCTATAACCTAACATCAGTTTGCATATTCTCCTAACTGTCCTCTGTACATTTCCTAAGGTGCTGACAAGGAGAATTTGTTAAACAATCAAGAGCTACTTTAGTTGGTGATTATTTCCTCTACTCTTGTGACCTTCATGTCTGATTCAGGGTGATTTTGTAGCGATAAATTAGATGCTAGTAACTTTTAGGGGTTAAATGGTTGAACAAAAATCATTGCATAGTAGCATCAGTCACTTAGCAACCAACAACATTCTTCTTTAAGACTCTCATTACCTAGGAAATGGTACAACATTTCTCTATCAAACATATTCACTGAAGTCTTACATCCTAGCATATGGTTAGGAAATTGGACCCCTTGTACAGTGTGGGGCCTAGATTAGTTCTTGAACAAGAATTTTTTTTTGTCACAAACATTACAGAAAAGATCAATTCATCTCTCAGAATGAGTATGAAGTGATAAATATTTTTGATATAGAATTTGTGTTTGATCATGGTCAGTTATGGGGTAAGAGATTTTGAAAAACATATAACCCACCTCTATGAACCAAATAAATACTTGTGTCATGAGGACCATATGGATAATTTGCCAGCTTACAATTCTGAAAAAAAAGGGAGTTGAGCTTATTAACAGGACTAGGAGAAGCTATGCTAAATTAATAGTATGAAAGACTTTTCATATTTCTTGGAATTTATGAGTTAGGGAGATGTGGTGGGCTAATGGTTAGTGCCCTAAACACCAGGTTAAGAAGGTCTGAAACCTGGCTGCATGATTGGACCATGTTCTTGGTCAAGACACTTTTCCCTCACAGTGCCTCTTTCCACCCAGGATTATAAATAGGTAACATTGAATTATCAGGGAAGCCTGTTGAAATTCTGGGGGAGGGAACCTTGCAATGGACCAGCATCCCATCCAGGGGGAAGTAGTAATACCACTATTTGCTTCTTAGTAAGGAAAGGGGGATAAGTACCTGCTGGGTGGGCCACTTGGCTCATGTACAGACTTAACTTATTATGAGCCTAGGACAGCACTTTAAGGGATCTTACAAAAAAAAAAAAATCAGTTGAAATATGTGGAAACAAGGGGTTGTTGTTTATGGCTCCGCTGTAAGTTCCACAAGTTTGTTAGGTTTCAGCAAAGAATTCAAAGTGGTAGCAAAACCTTGAGCATTGCCATTTCAACCAGTGTAAATAGCAGCCTGCAGAGATTGCTTTGAATTTGATGATATTTCACACATACAATGCCATTTTTGCTTTAAACTCTGCACACTTCTGTAAATAAAGTAACAGTTTTGGAGGTTACCTTAACCATTATATAGAAGCTATAGAAACCCCTGATTTTTTGTACAACAACTGCAACAAGATATGCTTTACATAAAAAAGTAACTTACTTCCAGAATAAGATTTCTGTTCTGCATATCCTGTGTCCATTGTGGAACATACCTCTGTGGAATTTGAGGATGATAACGAGACCACACAGGTATGCTAAGTCCAAGCACACAAAAAAAATTGATTTCAATATTTAACCCATCTTTGGAAAGTGGCCCGATCTTAGTTTTCTTACGCTTCTAAAATCAGGTTAATTTCCTTTAGGAAAAGTCCTCTTGATCATTAGTTGACTTAACTTTACATTATGTTCATCTCATAGTGTATATTTAAGTAATTTGGCCCAAAAATGTCTAGTTCCTCACATGATTAGCTTAATTAAACTTCACTGAAAGACAGAAAAGTAGTTTTTCTTAGCTTAGAATATCGATTCAATTCAAACACAAACTTATTTTAAAATAAAATTTCCGACATATTTGAACTTTGTGCATGTCAATTAGGCACTGTCTTAAGCTTCTCTGATTACTTATAAAGTCCAGACTTCTTGCTCTTAATGATATATCAGTCTAATTTAAATTCTTCTTTTAGGTTGGAAGTTTATTAGAATGCCGTCACACAGACTGTGAAGACGTAAGAGACTTGATTCATGGAAGTTTCTGTCATCTTTTTAAGGTAAACTAGCTTGAAATTATGCACGCTAAAAGTATTTTAAGAGTTAATCTGCTCTGAATAACTTAGAGCATGAATGTTTGATCTTACAAAGGATTTGCTCAAACAAGCTGAGACTAGCTAAAATACTAGGATTGCTGTGTGAAATACACTGCAAAACTGGCACCCTTAAATTCTTTTTGTTTGTTACCTAGTGAAATCATTCTTGTAAACAAACGGCGAACGCTTGACAACCTACAGAAACTGCGCAAATCGAAGGTGACGACCTTCTTAATTTACCTGTGAGTTTGACTTTCAGTTGCCATTATCTATGTAGTGGTTCGCTCGGCTTTATGCGAGAACTTAGAACTATTCTAGAACGAATGTATTCACGCTCGCTTCGGCGTCAATGTTTGAAGGAAGCCACTGAAAATACTGTGACACAGCGCTGTAGAGGGACTGGGTATCAGCCTCAGTCCCATTCCTCCTTTACAAGTTAGGAAGATATATTACTCTTCATCACAAAAACATGGTTGGTTGGAATTTAACCTTTTTGTCAGCAGCACCGCTTGAGACCGAGGACGAAGAATAGGATAAAGACTTTTAGAGAAAGTAGCGTGACATTTTATGTAACCAGAAGTTTTTTTTTATTCATAGGTTGTTATGAGAATTTAATATTGTGCTATTTGTTGACGCCAAAGTACTCAGGGCGAGTGGGTTAGAATATACCACAAAAAGCCTTCAGGGAGCACTGAGAACTCAATTTAATATCACTTATGAGAATAGCTTCACGGCATTGAAATCACAGAATTTGTGCATTTCAATATGCTCCCATTATAACTGGGAAGTGTAGATACTCAATCCTAACACATTCGCACTTGGAAGTTGATGTTCACCCTAAGCGAGTTTTACGAAGCCTGATTTTTGCTAATCTTGTCCAGTTGATCTCTAATTTAGAGCTGGATTGTAGAACACACCGAAGCGAATTAGTCCAGATATTCCATTAGAAAAGCTTTCAGAAGAACGCAAAAACTTAATTTGAAATCATTAACTTGATACATACGTAGCAGATTCGTTTCAAAAAAAAGTTATCTCCTTGATCCATTGTGGGCAAAGATTACAGGGCAGAAATTTGCATTAATTTTTCCGCCCACAACAGATTTTAAGCGTAATTTGCGGGAAAATGATAACGTTGTTTTAATTTGCACTTCAATGACAACTGAGTTCGTTATACTTCTGATATTTGATATTTCTTCAGTCTTTTTGGACGTGAATCTTGTTACGAATACGGTAATCATCTAAGCAGTTTGTTGGTTTATTGCCTCGTGCACTGGTCTCACTCTTAAGTACCCTGTCAAAATAAATGCACGCAACTGTTTCAGGAGTGGTGGCCTTGGACTTACGTAACTGTTGAATAAATCTTCCGGTCCTCCGCTCTTTCAGTCGAGTCGATATCCATAATTATTTGCGAATCGACGGAAGCTCATGAATAATTGATCAAACACATTAGTTAAACTTGAGAGAGTGATTCATCCCAGTGTGATTATTCAGTTAAATATCCTAAGAAGACTTAACAGAGGTATAGCCATCCCGAAGTCGATTATGCTTTTTCACCAGATTGCGGTATAAGACCAGTTAATTGTGACCCAAACGATCAATTATCCGAAAACTTCTCAAGATTATTTAGGAAACCGATTGTGGTCCATTTTGAGAATCATTTAGCAGTCGTTAAAAAAGAGCTGTTTAAGTTGAGGTCCCAGTAAAACTGCAATGCACACAGTAAATATGTTAATAAAGCTTTTAACTCTTAAGCTTCTTACCTTGACCCTGCATGTTAAACCTATGAAGGTGACTGTTTGCTTCGTTCACAGTCGGAGCTTTGAACTCTGCCTCCCACATAGAAACTTTTCAAAACCTACCGAAATTAAGTATTAATAATGGATGAAATAAGTCCTCAATTCTTGATTCGTGAGGATTCATCTCTAAGTATCACTTAACTCAGACGCAAAACTCTTTTAAATAACTCTCTTCTAATGGCTCGTTTCTTTTAAAGTGCGCGATGATAAGTATCTCTATGCTATGGACACTCAGTGTACTATTTTATCGAGGAAACTACAACAGATGTTTTACTTCGTCTTCAAATCTATTTTTTCCGGTGTGTTAGGGGGTAAAAAGGTGTGTAAAACAGTCAGTTCATCGGTTGTTTTCGTTTTATTTGAGTTTTAGCCGTCAGGTCATTAGAGCGAGTTGTACTAGGGAATTTAAAAAGGTTGAGAATTGTGAGTTTCAAATTAAGTCGATGTTCATCGCAGGCCACTGACTCAACGTTTGGAGTCAACTATTTGTGGAAGTCAGACTGGTTGGAATATTTAACAGGCCTTTCATGGTCCTCGTAGACTTAATTGCTCCTTAGTTTAAATTTTACATTAACCATAGGAGCGGTTTCTTGTTTTGGACGTTTTGTTGGCCGGTTGCGTAGCTACCACCATCTTAAAAACTTAGCAGATGTACTGAGTCAGAAACAATGTTGAGCTTTCTTTTAAGCATAGAATCACAGCTCGGTGAAATTTATTTTTCTGTCTCTCGTTTGTTGTCATAAACAAGTTTTCAGTTAGTTTTAGTGTCCGAGTTTTTGAAACCACCTCGAAAGCAACGCAAGTTATTATTGAGTAATTTATACAACTTGTGGGAGATCTGGGTACGAAGATAGGCAGCCAGCTGATCATGCGGATCAACGAGCCTCTGGCCTTTAGTCTGTGCTTGGTTCAACCCGCTCAATATTTGTTTTTGTGCTAAGTTCCAAACAGTGCCCTGCACAGAGAATAATTGAGCAGCAACGTTTTACGGCGGAGGACTGAAGAACGAAAAGCGTTAAGTTTCCTCTTCTCTGTACAAACTCTCTGAAACGATTTAAGAATCAGTAGAAGAAGAGAAAGTAAGTAGGATGTTTATCTGTTTTGTTTTTTTTTCTTTACGCTATTGCCTCATCGTAATGGTTAAAAACATTTTGTGCCAACATTCGTTAAAGTACAAAAGCCCATTTGTCTGAAAGACGAGCTATGATGAAACCCGACGTAATAGCCGCGATCAAGCTCTACTCAACTGGTTCAGTCCAGATGTCTTAGTTCCGCGTTTTAGAAGATAAACGTTTTAATTTTAAGAAATGAATCTTTCGTTTTTTGGATCAACACCTTGGCATCTGGAATACAATAAGAACTAGTTTGTAATCTTAAAACTGCCAAAATTGATTTTGGAAGGTAAATTTCCATTTCAGACTCTGGTGAAATGTAAATAGCGGAACAGTCGAAATTAAAACTTGCAAATTTACAGCGGAGAAATTGCCTTGGGCGAAGAATAAGGTGTTTTCATGTTGGCATCCAATGAAAATTTTTTTTTATTTTCCGGTTCATTTATTGCATATGGGTCTATTACAAAAATGATAACAATCAGAAAAATTTAAAATTTTCTCTAAATCCCGATTTGAGACAAAGGTATCGGTTAGCGATGCAAAGGACTTTTACAAACTTATCGTAATGCAAGAAGTATTGAGACGGGATTTTGAAACTCCAGAGTAAACGTTCTTTATCGCATGCAAATTCTTACTGAAATATCATGTTGAAGTTCCACACATGTAAGTTTGTTCTGTCTCACCTTGTAATTTTCGTGGCACTTTGTAATGATCATCACACTATTTAATAAAATTGTCGCTCTTTGAGACGCATGTCACACTTTCTGATGAAATTGTCACACTTTGTAATGACACTTATTGCACCTTGTTTTCAACTTTGTATAAATGATCGAGGACACGTAGACCTAATGATATCTGTCATATCTGTCAATGAAAATAATGATTATTATTATAATTATGATAATGACGAGCATAAAATATTCAGATATTATAGATAACACGAACAGTGAAGAATGTGGTTTCGTGTGATAACTACAAACTTCATGCCGCAGGGACACCCTACTATTTCTTAGAATCAGATAATGTGCATGGCAGCTAATTTCCAATCCAAACTCCCGTTCCTGTGGACTTTCGCTATTATGGACACAAACTCGAGGTTTCTTGGTTGTCCCCTCAGTTGTATTTGACAACTGATTGATGTTATTATTGTTATTATTATCGTCATTTTTATACCAGTCACTTTTAAGATCGCTATCATTATCAATACCATTATTATTGTCATTATCACCATCATTAATGTTATTATTATTACTATTATTATTATTATCATGGACAAGGATCATGGTTATTATTGGGTCTACCTGCCCTCCGACGATCTATACCAAATTTATTACAAAGTGCAACAACTTTTTTTAATGCAAACTGCGACAATTTTTTTCTATTACAAAGTGAGACAGAGCGAGATGATTCATAACAAAGGGCGACAATTGTTACAAGTGCGATGAGTGTTAAAAAGTGCGACAGAACAAGGTTTCTCGTCACTTTAAGGTTCAATTTTGGTGTTCATATGCGCTTAAAAGAGGTTTTAAAGAAACATAAGTTCATTTAAACCTGAAAATATTCGAGGAAGTGTTTGTGATTCGGCCCAGTAGCCAATTACTTTAAGGATAGGTGTGTACTTTGTGTGAGGTCCGTATGACACAACTTTCTCTTGAAAAAGTTCTTTGATAAAGAGAACAGCTGGAGGTAATTTGAAATTTTGTTGAAACAGCCAATATGCTAATGAGGCTTATTAAACGGATCGGAGAAGCTGACTTAGTGCCACATTTAAACAGGTTTCTTGTTGTAAAGTATCCTTAATTGTTCTACGATTTTTCATGAAATGTAATCTCTTCATTTTAAGTATGCAGATGACGAGGATGCTATGTTTTGATTATCGATTTAAGTGAAATTTAGCATCCCTTCACCGCAGATGTTCTTGCCAACTTGAGAGACAGTCTATGTAAATACTTATTTTTCTGGGAAAATATAAACTGGCCCGCAATTAGTTAGACGACAATCAACTGAGCGCGCAGGCTCTAATTGTGCTTACCGAAAGAGTAAGTTATTTCCGCTGGAAAAGAGAAATTTTTTGTCGAGTATGAATAATATTAGTATCTCCAAATTAATTTATAATCTTGGGATATATACTTAAGGTGAACGAAAATTTAATCCTTTTTATTAGACTACGAAAAACTTTAAAATAGTGTGAATATCATCATCATTATTATTGCTGTACTGATTACTAGTAGAAATGTTGTTATTACCAGTACTTCTATTACCATGCAGCTACGTAAGCAAGACACACGTGAGCGCCTTTTAATTAATGTACTGTTGACATATCCCAGCTCTGATTTTCAAGTAAACGTTCCCAAAAGCTAGTTGTTGCTTTACCATGATAAACTTATTGATGTTTTAAAATTCAACAACTTTTCTTTCACCTTTTATACTTAAAAAAATTGTCAGTTTTAAAATTTAACAAGTTGCTGTTTAATTTGAAACTTTTATCGGCTTTTCAGAGACTATTTTACCAAGTGCATGCACAGGTAATGTAGTCCTTGAATATTGCGGCAAAGAAACATGATTATCTGAGCTCTTATCTGGCCCTGGGCACAAATTCGTCGCTCATTTAAGATTTACATTTGACTGCCCTTTTGATTGTTACAGCGGAGATTATTATACAGAAAGCCCGCCACAATCCGAATTCATAATCAGTTTAGAATTGTTATCAATGCGACTGAATAACCCCATTAGCGTACAAGGCGGCTTAACATATCGAGGTATGAGTATTTCAGAGGTAAATGAATCAGATCACAAACTTTGTTTTACATCAGGATGGTTCCCAAAACAGTGAATAACAGTGCTGATTAGTAAACAAATAATGCTATGTAAAGAATGTTCATGTACGGGTTTTTTCTTCGCCTTGGATTTCAGAACACCTGAGTTCCTCACCGACGCGTGGGCCTTTAGCAGCGGACCACAAACGGTGAGATTTTGAAACTTTTTCAAATATTAGGCTTCATACTTTTTATCTGAGCGAAAGTTAAATCATGTAAAGCTTGACACTTTCCTGTCATGTAATCTGATTTTAGTTTTTTGGTATTTTTTGATTGCGTACCATTAATAATGATTGTGGTACCGAGAAAAACCCACGTATAATATCACAAGTTAGATAAGGTTTCTTAGAAGTTGTGTTTTACATGCAAATGAGAATTTTTTCCTGTGAATTGGGATCACGCTGCCTATGCATCATTGGATTTTTTTCGTGTTTCGACTATTAAAAAAATCGAGAAATGAGAATAAACCCGAATATGAATAACAAGGACGGGAAAGGAAATTTATTAGAGAGCTAATTTATTTTTATGTTATTCGAGAAAGAGAAGTTTATAGCCTAGCTTTTGAGCAAGGTGGTATGACGAGGGAATCAACGTTGGCTCCTTAAAGTTTTTCAGGACATGTAACCGGCTGTTCTTTGTAAACGCTCGATCTCCATTTGAAATTTTTCGTTTATAATCATACTTACGTGTAAACTGTTGGAAAGTCATGAGTGGCCCTTGGACACGCTTTTTTAATACACGTGAGCTTTTAACTGTCTTTCTCGCCTACATAACCACTGGTAAAACACTGGTAATTAATGGAGACTAACTATAATCTTGTTGATGGAGATTAGAATTGAAAATGACTTCGCCACTGAAGGAGATCCTCACGGACTAACCGCTTACGGTAAAATCTGCTTAACGTTTTCGTTTAGCATACATGGATTGCAAACCTGAGGATGAATTAAACTCATAATCTGAATATTAATGGTAGAAATTTGCAGAAAACTTTTTTCATCCCGATTAGTGCTTTTGACACGTTCTTTGTAGTTTACTTTCTGAAAGGATTTTGGGCTATTAAAGCTTTTAATTTTACACAGGTGGTATAGGTCTCATGTCGAAAATGGATTAATTTTTTACAGAAATTCTTAGAGCTGGTGCCTTAGTCTTTTTTGTTAATGGAAAAATCCCAAGTAGTTTTAGCTACGAAAATGAGTTGGCAACAAACCTTTCATTGGTAACTGATGTATAACCGCTCTGACTTGTTTGAAGTTAGTAATGTATACTTTTAGAAAATGAGTTGAAAAAAATCGATCTCCATTAGTGAACTCTATATTACTGAACTCCTGCTTTTGTTTCGAGCGATTTCCCCAATAAATGCAAAAACGATTTTTGATTTTCGTCTTCACATAAATATTTTATTTTAATTTAAAAGCGTTCAACATGCATGCAACACGCGACGATAATCGCGTCTCTAATTGACAACCCATTTTTGGGTCTTCCTTTGTCATTTTTCCTAGACAAACATTGGCAGACGCAGTCTTGTTTTCACCAAATGACGATTCATTCAATTCAATTGCACTCAAAGTGTTCTTGGTCTTATTACTACCAAATACAACATTGATGAAAAGATTTAGTATCAACAATTTCCAGTATTCTAGAGATATCGGCAAAGTGACCAATCGCACCTCTCTGAATTAATAGAATACATTTGTTTAGTTTTTTGAATCGGAAACACTAATCTGGCAGCTAATATCGCAGGATCAGATGCACAGTGATGGGCTTGATTGAAATTTTGACATACGGCGGAACATTTCAGTCATAAAAACAGATCGAGCTGTAGACATAACGGAAATGGAAGAAATTATACGCCAAATCCTTTAGAGTTCCATACAAGACGTAATTTGCTAATCTACCAAAGATAAAAAGCTTTTCGGACAAACAAACGAAAACATCTTTAAATTCAGACCAACTTTAAGGCATACAAAGGCGTGCTGTGATAGTAAAATAATCCGTCACCTTTTATTTATAACGCTTACATCTTGCAGCTGGCTCTAAGTATGTTAATTCGTGGTTTGATGTAAGTTGTCTTTATATGTACTTACCTGAAAGCCTTCAGGTCTTTGTTCAAGATAATTTATTTCGTTTAACCGCCCGTGGGTTATAGTCGCCAACAAACTGGACATCGATTATAAGTCATTGAATAAATATTCGTGAAAAAATCCCCGAAGGCTCTGTTCACTCAAACAAGACATTTTCATCATCTTACAAATGTAGGTAGACAAACTCGCGATAAAACTTGGAGTTTTGTGATTTTTATTAATAAATCAGTATAGGAAGTCATGTCATAAGATATATATAACGTTGTGCATTTTCATTAAGAAATTTTGTAACTAGAAAATGCTGTATCTAGGCGTCGCTCGGTTATCAGGTTGGCTTCAGGTGCAAAGTTTTGTTTCTGATAGGAGAATTGATCTTATCGAATGGAATATTTGCGTGTATCGGAAGACTTAGTGGATAGAAAAAGAACAGAGTCCAGAGATCGAATACATTATTTCAGTGCTTTTTTGGACATCGAACACTTAAGAAATGGATCTCGATGACGAAATTCTACCCCCCGTGGAATGCAATGCGTTGTGATTGGATTGTATAAAAATGGAGACTGAAAAAGAATTTCGGAAAGTTCTTAATTCACTGTATGCACAAGAGGAAAAACTGCATGAGGTTAAAGCAAACATTATTATATATAGGCTAGGTGATTATGGTGATTCTGACACGTTTTTCGTAATTGGAGATGAGAATGCTATAGTACTCAGCCGGAAAATTCATTTATCTTGAGGTAGGAACACACGCACTCATTCAAGGAGAGTAATGGAAAAATTTCTGACCGTTCACTTTCCTCCACTTTACCAAGCAGAAAAGGTGTAACTTCCTAACATCAAACTTGTTATCATATCCTGTCGCCCGATGAAGATACGAGTCCATTTTCACTAAGCCTTTGAAACTTCCTGAATATTTTGAGCGGAAGAAACAGGCTCACATTACCGCTCTCTGGTTATAACAGCCTGAATGTACAACATTCTATATTTTCGCCTATCTTACTCGGCTTGAGACTTGTTCCAATTCTTCTAAACCTGGTTTAATTCAAGTTGCACTTAAAAGTTTAAAAGGGAAGAATTTTACAAATAATTCCTGTTCGTCAAAAGTTAAGAGTATAGGATTTAGAATAACGATGTATTCATGTATAGAATAGCGTAGAGATACCTCAACAAAAAAAGAAACTGACAAGTTGATCGCAGTTTTATTGGAGCCGGTCATATTTTTATAGTTAGTAGTGCCGATGAAACAAACATTTTTTCCACAAAGATCTAAGCAGTGATTCGAACTCTGGAGAAGGACTGAAATCGTTTTGACTTCTCTTCAACTAAGACACCATCTCAAATCACCTGTTCGTAGCTGCAAAGCGCAATTTTCATACGATCCTGCCTTATCAGGGAGTTTTTTTGCTATGTTCTTTTTTACAGGCTTAAATGTCTTCAAATATCCACCGACAGTGAGACAAAATAGTTCTGAATAAACAAACGCAGATAACTTTTTACCTCTTGAACCTTGCACTTTCCGTGTGGTATATTTTGTTAAACTTTCCACTAAGAAGTGTAATTCTAACTGAGTAAAATTAATTTGGCTTCATCTCATAACAAAACAATAAGTATTTCCTCTATTCAACTCAATGGATCGACTGAGCATAGTCGCATGGATCTTACAGCTATTTCAGTTATTACTTTTTAGAGATTTGTTCAAACATCGGACATTTCCACTCTTCATGGCTTCAGCAAACCATACAAATCAAGACTGAACTCCAGTGTATTGAAAGGCGTAGAAATATCGATTTTGTCTTATCGCTTTTCAGGCTTAGAGAGGATGGCGGATGCCGTGTACACATTTTTCGCTATTTTGGCCACACTCATTGGAGGAAGCGGTGTGATCCTTAACTTTCTCGTGTGTTTGATGTACTTCGCAACTCCGAAGCTTTTAGATGCCACTAACATCTTCATGCTCAACATGGCGGTTGGAGACTTCACTTACTCAATCGTGGCTCTTCCTCTTCTGGTCGCTTCCAACGCTCGGGGTGAATGGGCATTTGGAGAAGCAGGTTGTACCGCTTATGCCTTTATCACGTTTTTTTTTGCACTTGGCACCATGATGCTACTGGCGGTTGCTGCTTACGAGCGTTACTTCACGCTATGTAGGTTGTACAATGACGGTCAAACTCAGTTCAGTAAGAAAAGAGCAATCGTTCTGTGCGCACTGATATGGTGCTATTCTCTGTTCTGGAGCGTGATGCCGGTTCTTGGTTGGTCCAGATACATCCCGGAAGGTATTGGTACCAGTTGTTCAGTGGACTGGACTTCAAAAGAGCAAGGTGATGTGTGGTTCACCATCCTTTTGATCCTGGGCTGCTTTCTGCTTCCTGTTTCCATCATTATCTGCAGTTACCTCAAGACCTTCAGGGCTTTGAGAAAGTTAAGCCAACAAGCGTTGCAGAATTGGGGAGAAAACAACCGTGTCACCCAAGAAACCCTCAAGGCAGAAAGTAAGATGATGTGGATAATAATCGCTATAACAGCAGGATTCCTCTTTGCCTGGACGCCGTATGCCTTAACTGCAGTAGTGGCCATTATAAACCCAAACAGGATCAGCCCTATTGGGGCCACGATTCCAGCTTACATGGCCAAATCTTCAGCTTGCTACAATCCAATAATTTACGTGTTCATGTATAGAAAGATGCGAAGCAGATTGGGGGCAATACTTTGTTGCAAGAAATCTCAAGTTCATCCAGACGCACAAATTGCTTCTGAAATGGCAAGCTATCAGAAAAGTGCAGCGGCTACATATGCTGGACGAGGAACTTCATTCGATGATCAAAACGTAGACTTTCCCCACTCAGCCTGAATAGCTGGCGGATCCTGAGGGGAAGGGGGGTCAGAGGATTTTGAAGTATCTCGACAAAATTCACTGATGATCCCCCGTTAAGTCTCTGCAACATTCTTTTGAACCACCCTCATTGGCAGTTAATCGTCTATCGATTTGAAGTAGTCCCTCCTGTTTAGTCTGTTGGCGACGACTTATTCCCTCTCAGTATCCCCTGAAAACATGTGATCCTCATAAATCCTCCGCTCCCCCTCCCCCTCTCAAGTGATAAACAGTGATGGTCCCTAACTGACATCAAGGAATATCAGTGAAAGTTTGATCTTGTTTCCGGGTCTTCCAAAATATCGTGAACTTTAACTGACACAAACAACGCCTATGAGGAGGTTTCCAAGATTTCCGGAGTTCTAATGGAACTCAACTGAAAATTTTAGCATTCTCTCAACACGATGCGTGCTCTATGCATTTCGACAATTTTAATCTGACTCGTCCTTGTCGGTTGGTCTCGAGAAACGCGAGGAAGATGGGTACAACTCATGGACGTACGCAACAAACTACACATTGAAGGGGACGGTGAGGCAAATATTCTCTCCTCCTTCTTTTGCGTGCGATTTTCACAGAAGGAACAGGGACAAGTTCTATATTTGTTCTCAGGCGTTACTTATTATTTATCACGAGGTGAAGGGGGTGGGGAGGGGGAAGGGGGAGAAAGGAGGAGGTTTGGGGGATCACATGGTTTTCATTATTGCCAGAGAGTATACAGACGGGACTTTGAACTAACTACCAAGAAGAGGGGAGGGGGGGAGGGGGGTCCTAAGAATGTTACAGAACCTTATGGGGGATCAGGTAAATTTTAATGACACAACCAAAATCCTCCAGCCCTCCCCTGGTGATAAATATTGAACAGTCACTTAGGAAATGTGACAAACTCCATATATTCATAAAAAGGATCCTAAAGTTGAAAAAATCCAGAGTCAAAATAGATTTTCAATTACTCTTAAAGGAATCTTTAGTTAACTGTTGTGTTATGAGAGTTCGCCAGAAAAGTAATGTTCATTGAGTAAACATGTAAAGTGGAGTCAAAATAATTGAACTCACTACAACTTAAATTACTTTAAAGTTATTTCCTTAAAAAATACCCTTTGTAAAATCATATTGCCTTTTGTGGTAGATACTCAGGATATCAAGTTTGTCAAAAAATAACGTAGTAGGAGCAAGTTTACTTTTTAGTGCAAGGAAAATATATGTTATTCAAATAGAGTTCTTCAGTGACAACATCAACATACACACAAGGAATCAATTATGAGCACTCGAATATTTTCTTCAACATTGTAAATCCCAAACTTGGGTCACACCAATGACATTACCTTAAACCGAATTTGGTTCTGAATTAACACTGCATTTCTATGTTTAAAACATTCTTTGCCTCATACCTTTCATTATGACCACAGTCCCCAACACTAACATGGTTGGAACTTGAAAATGTTTGAGAAACCAAGACCAAACAATATATTGTGGAAGGCTCCAAGCCATGACTAAAAACCCTCTCATAGCTTCCATCTAAATCTAAGAATTCAACTAATTCAACTGCACTTGACTGGCAAGACTCCAAAATAAACCACTTTACAACTGGCCTTGCCTTATTTTTACAACTCTATAGATTCAGTTGCTACTTAGAAAAGAGTTATCAGTAAGTAGAAGTTGTCCCCAGAGATCTGACAGCACCCCTAGTTTTTTACTATTGATGTGGTTCAAAATAATGCATCACTTCCTAAGCTACACAAATAAGACTGCCATTTGCATGGCTTCTCAGCCAGTCACTGTGTCCCATTGCACCTGAGGCATTTGATAACACAAAGTTAGTTTGAACATGACCTGATGTGAAGCTGTCCATAACAGAAACTGAGGTACATGGGTTAAGCAAAAGAAGCTTTTGTGATAATATTTGGGTAAAAAGGGTAGAGGAAAGTCTTAAGTCTTCAGTGGTGTCTTTAGGAGTTTTCAGCTTCTTCATTTGGACTTTGTTTCTTGAATCCTGCACTGCACTGTTTAATACAAATTCTGAGGGTTTCCAATTGCAAGAAAGTGGAGAACTGCTTTCATTTCCCAGCAGTCCTTGTTGGGTCTTGATGTTTCTAACTTGCTGTAGTAGAGTCTCAGAGTGGTTTTGCCGCATTTGAATTCTCTTTGCAACCACCAAAGCCACTTCTGTTCCTCGCATAGGCATTTCTGCTAAATGATGAAACCTGCAGGCAGATTGGGTGGTTAAACAGACTGGTGTCTGCACAGAGGGAGTGAAGTTCTGATGAATGTCACTACTGTGGTGACAATAATGATTGGTGATGGAAGTGACAGACAGTGCCAAAGACAAACTGAACACATACGCCAAGGCACACGCAGAAAAAACCTGAAGATTAAATAACAAAAGAGCTGGAACCAACCTGCTACAGGAAAATGCTACTTCAAAACAGTTAAAACAAGAGCAAATGGGTATTCTAGTTAACTTAATGATATGCCCAAGGCTCTTATTTACATTTGGTACCTCAAGGGAGGGTCCTTATTTGAGAAAGTATGCTTATTAATTTTTTTGAGAAACAGCAAAATATGCAAAACAAAGCTTTACAGTTTAGTTGAAAATAATTATGAAGACCAGAAAAACAAAATTGGATCATTCCTGGAAAAAATGACTGGTGAAGCAATTGTCACAAAATTTTTAAGACAAGATCATTTGTATGAAGGAACTGTGCTCTCACATGGAAATAATAGTTATCATGAGGCAAAGACTTCTTTATAATTAGGCTTTAAGTGAAAAATCAAAGGAAGATGAACCACGGTTGTTATCACAATATCCCTGTAATCTAACAGTGCTATGACTGAAACAAAATAGGGGCACTTATCGGAATAGGGGTGCTTATTGGAATGGGAGTACTAACTTGATGGACATGCTCATTAACAAAAACCAAAGCTGAGGGGGTGCTTATTAGAGAGAGGGGGCTTATTGGAACGAGGTCACTAACCTGAATTATTACCATGCTTCTAATTGACCAAAAGAAAATTCAGTGTGAACTGCTGAATAAAACAGTCTGCCTCATAATAATTATGAGTAGTTAAAATGTCTTGTCAACACCTTCCAAAAATATGACATACCTTCAATACTTCAAGTCTAAAAACACCCAAAGTACCAAGAAACCTGGTATTATCCAGTAATGTGCTCAAGTCACCATAAGTGAACCAACCACGGGAAAGTCCATGAGTAGTTGCAACTCTGCACAAGAGAGGTCAATAACTATAAGCTAAGGATAAGTTATACAAGTCCACTAAGAATTAATTGAATTCCCAAATTTTTCTTTTTAATCATGAAAAATGTTTCAATTTCTTGTACCTGGATTCCACTTTGTTGACAAAATCCAAAAATTCTTGATTGCTGACAAAAAGGTTCCAGTCCTGACATTGAAGAGCAGAATTATCATCAACCACACTTAACTTTGTGAAAGAATACAGATGTTATCTTTCCAACTAACTGTTAGTTTGATCCTGTTGTACTTACTGTGATACACTCTGAATATTGCCACAAATTGAAAAAACAAAAAACCAAAACAGAAAGGAAAAGGGTGTAACTTGAAATATAGCCTAGTACTTACAATGGATGCTAGGAATTCCACCTCAAGCTTGTTTACATCATTCACAGTTTTGTTCCCTAAAGAAAAAAAAACATGACAGAATTCTGACCATTCCCCATACAAAATTTCCATGGTTCTGAAACTGGCAAGAAGTTATTTACTTAAATCTATGCTCTGTAAAATTCTCTTTGCTTCATTGTCTTACATTTTTCTATCAAACCACAAAAACCCCAAATGGCTTACCTGCTCTGGCCCAGTCATCATTAAACACTTCCTCTGTCTCTCCTTCATCATACAAATACTTGGATGCAACCATCTATAATTAAACAAGAAATATTACGTGTATGGTGTTTCCTTGAATAAGCCCAGGCTGTTGGTTTATTTTTCAACTTTGCTCAAAAGGAGGGGTACTTATTTGAACAAGGCAGCTTGGTTCCCAGAGGGGGGGAAGGAGGGGAGTGCTTAATAAGTTAGCGCAGCAATAGGACAAATATTAAACACAGAAAACACACATAAAGGAACTCTGCAAACACATAGGGAAAGAAATAACTGAAACTGAAACAGAAACAAAACTATTCAAGTGTACTGATTTGGCTGAGATTGAAACTTGTGAAATGGCGGTACTATTTATGAAAGCAAAGGAGGAGGGGGTGCACTTATTTCAACATTATGGCCTTGGAATGGGCAGTTATTGGGGAAGAGCACTTATCATATTTATTATTTAACATACAGCACATGCCACACATGAGTGGAAATGGGACTTCCCTACTGTCAGCATTAGAATCTTTTTAATGAGGACAATTAACATATTATTAACCAATTCTGTTAATAAAACAAAATAATCTACACCTTACTAACCATTGAAATCAGGAACAAGTCAGAGGATGAAACTCGTTTGAGATACTCAGGATTCTTCTGACGTAAACGCTCAGAGTAAAGAATTCCCATCATCAATGTGCAGGGAGATATCTTGGCTCTCCTGATCAAAACAAGGTTGCTGGGTGTCAGTGATGTATGCTTGACAGTTTTTCTAAGTACATTGAACTTAAAGGAAGAACATTTACTTGAAATTACTTTCCATGTGACAAGAGAGAGGATGTGTTTGCGGTATTCAGGGGAGGGAAGGGGGAATTTAAAGATGGGGGGGGGGCTTATTGCGAACTTGAAGTTCAAGTCAAAAACCAACTTAGATAGGGGAGGAAAAGGCTTCATAGAGTATTTATGTAGATTTATATGAAACTTACCGTGAAACTACCATAGCATAGCTTGTATCCAAGCACTTTCTGTCTGTGGGTGCAACAGAACCTAGGACCTCCACTGCAACATCTGCAGGTGAATATTTGAAGAGATCACAAACAGTTATGCTGCAATTTCTTCTCTTTTATATGTTATCCTTAAACAGCACAAAAAGCTACAAGCAATTTTTGATCATTTTAGAGTACGAAAGTCATATTAGCCCCCAAATGCCGCAAAATAATTATGAATACACGGGTACGTCATCTGCAGTCTACTTCTCCTCGTGTGCATTATTTTCAGAAATAAAAATGGCTCTTCAAGTTGCTATTGGGTTTACATGGAAGGAAGAAATTAAATACCACGCCAAATTCTGCCTTATTTTCAATAATGTACGGGTTAAAATTTCAGTAATAGCGCGAATATGTTAATTATGCAAATTTCTGAAAAATCATACAGTAAGGCCAGTGCAGTGCTTGCATCATCACTAAATATTCCCCGCTCATGAATTCACTTCTAGACAGAAATTACTGATCATGACTTTAAAAGAGTAGCTTTATACCTGTGACTGCCAAAGATGGAAGCGATCCGTCCGAATATTGGCCATAGTAAAGAGTTTTACGGACACGATCTCTGAATTCAACGTGATTGCTCGACTGCATAGCGCCTCTTTCCTGAAAATTAACAATCATCAGCCATATATTCCTACGATCTTCCGCGATTTTAAACCAAATCTTGTGCTAATAATAACTTAGCTTACCTCCTGATCTTCACTGTTCATACCAGTATTCTATGGCAGTCAATTATAAACAAAATTCGATAATGAATTACCACTCCTTGCTTTATCAAACGCAATCAATATGTAGTCGCCTGGTTCCCAAGCAACACCGAAGCATGTTTGCAACCGAGAGAAGCTGGGAATAGTTTACAATAGCAGCTGGGGCCTGGGCATACAAAGTTTTTTGTTTTTAGTTTTTCGAGTGGGAAAAGGTTATTTTTTTTCTGTCATGAAAAAGGGATAGAGAATGGAAGGAGGTTGTGTGTAGAGGGACTTCTTTTTATCGGAGACCCGACGTTGCCCTAATAATGGGCAGAGAAGCAACTATGGACATTGCAAGGGCAGTCATAACTTTTGAACTTCATTCAAAATTAAAGCTCCCCCTTTTTTCTCCCTCTTGGAGAAATTTAAGTACGCGATGAAAATTAGTTATACAACTTTAGAAAGTGCTAACGGTGGCCCATGAAATTATCAACTTAGTCGTTAAAACTAAATTATCATTAAATAGCCCTAACCGACGTAGCACCACAGTTTCTTTAGAAACTTACCCTCTTCATCTTATTTTCTCTTTCCCTCGTCGTGGGCTCGTTCTTTTTAACCTTTGATTAGGGTTAACAAGTTTCTTTGGCATTTCTAATTAGTTCAGCTGGGAGTACAACTTCAACTTCCTGAAATGGTGACCCTTCTACTTCTCCCGTGGAGAGTGATCTACTCTGGAAAAGAGTGTGTACTTGTACAAAATGATTTTAAAGCACTTAAAGACACTCTTAACTCTAAATTTTCCATTTTCGTTGGCTTACAAGATCGGTTCAATGCATCCAAATGATTACATTTTACCGGAAATGGATTTGAACTCATTACGAACCTTTTAATAACAATTTTAAGCACATCTGATACTCTTAATCTCACGCGCATTAGAATAACTCCCACGCAATGTTTTTTTTTTTTATTCAGTGCGAGAGAATTAACACTTCACCAAGGATTAAGTAACCTTATTTCTGTCAACTCTAATTTAAAAATCAAGTTCCTAAAAGAGGTAAGTGTTCACCCCTCAATTAGAAAAACATTGGGATTTGATTTATAAGATGTTTCTTAAGACAGTTATTTAAGGATAAAGCGACCTCAACTAAACAATGGAAAGGTAATTTGTTATTATAACTGGGTTTAAAACGTAAGTTGGTCACCGGTTAGAGTTTCATAGCTTTAAAACTCTTAACGGTGGTTAATTTACGTTATCAACTCAATTCATAATACTAAATTATCTTGTTACACTCTCCCACCGACGCAGCGTCGCATTTTCTTTACAAACTTACCCCCTTTAATCAATGGAAACTCAGTTACCTCCTATTCCTTGACGAGAATAATTCCAAGCACCTTCTCCGTCCCGCCCATCTAAGACCTCGTTTGCTAACTCACCTTTTTGAATTTTTAAAGAGGCGTTTTTCGAGAACCAATTGTCTCATTTGCAAAGAGACGTAATTTTGAACGATCAGTTTTAAAACTGAAGTTTGATATTTGTTCAATATTTTTTCCTTATTACTTCAGATTAATAAGAGTGATCAATCAACGGAATAGTTTTAAAATTCATGACCAGCTCAGCGATGCTTTCGAGCGTTACACTTGTAAACTTTCTTTTTCTTAAAATCACCAACTACGTAATCACGTAATGAGATTTTCGTCACTCCCCTTAATTAAACGACCATTTCCGGATTTCTTGGATGCCTCATTAGAATGCAATTTTGGTCAGTAAATTTTAACAGTAATGAAATTGAAAGTTACTTTGCTTCGGGTGTTCATGTCCACAGTAACTTAAACTTGTCATCGCGCGTTGGATTTGTAACAACGCAATGCATCAAAAGATCGTCGGTCATATCTTGACAACCCGACAAGTGCACGAAAATTCACGAATGGTGACGAATAACGTTTCCGAGTACTTGAAGAAAGCAGAGAATGTGACTCTTTCATCATCAAATGAAAGGTGAGAATTTGTATATTCCATGAGTATGTCTGTATTTTGTTTTATTTTTGTAAGTCTTCGGCGTTTATTTTGGGTATAACGGGTAGGCGAAACCCCACTCGACTTAACAGCACATTTTACATCGTCATTCATCTGTGACAGATGAAAGGACGTGCCTGAGAACAACACATTGGTGAAGATTCGTTCGTTCCGCACTTAAAATTCATAAACTGTAATCGAAGTCCAGAACTGACCTATCAGCTCCGGCGTAGCCGCTTTTGTTAGTAAGCTGTTCTTTATGATCAGTATTGATTTTTGCGACGGTCCGTGTGATTAGATTCGCTCGGAATTTAACTGGTCGACCGCATCATTAGAATGTCTAGCTCCGAGTAACGCTGATCAGAGCGACAGATACCACGATTTAGCTACGTGGACTTAATTGAATTTCAGCTAACATATTTCAAACAGCGGTTGAATCTGGTAAATACCACAGGGCTTCAATTCATGAGCGTTTTGCTGCAACTGTCAAAGAGTTTACGTTTCTTGCGGGTATTCCAGAATCTCCTAATTACATGTTCTGAGTGAGCTGCTATAAACGAACAGTGACTGATTGCTCTGATATAGCTTCAGAAGCCTCTTGCTCCAACATCTGTACACGACAGTGGCAAATTTGGTCAGCTGAAGAGCCAATTGCATCGTCTCTTATTTCTACTGGTATCTACAGGGACTGTTCGAGTTTATTTCATTCACCTCTGGTTATCATAGATACAAAATGAAATGAGGGAATTATGTCATATGTGGAATAATTTCGGAGCAATGACAGAACACGAAGGAACACCACGAGGATTATTCGCGAGAGCGTGTTTATTACAGGGCTAAAATGGGTTACACGAATTTGAGAGATTTCTGTGGATAAATTAGACTGCTTCGTAGAGAAAGAACACCATAAATGTGCTTTGTCTACTTCTAAGAGCGGCAAGCAAGCACCCGTTTGAAACGAAGGTCTGCCGACAGACACGCACCGGAAACGAAACTCTTCGCGATATTAACTGCGAGGGAATGACCGAGCGATTGTCTCCAACAGCGAAAGAAACACGTCGATTTGTTTGGATTTTAGGAAAGTCGAGAACTCTGTTTTTGTGATGAAAAAGACAAGGTGATTTGGTTCCTTGTATTGCTTTGTATATATATTTACAATTCCGAAATGTTCTACTTGTGGGCAGAGCATTCGAGCATTGTATTTCAAAACCATAACAGACATTGTCAAAAGTTCGCTTTAGTTGTTTTATTTATTTTATCATAAAACAATGTGTGTATCGTATTCGACTCATGTTCCTCGATCTTTTTTGTTTAAATATACATTTAAACGATAAGAATTAACTATTGTCTTGTTCATTTGTTGGTCTGGTATGTTCTCTTCAAGTGTCAATTAATTTACTAGAATTTCGTGATGCCAGAAAAATTATTTGCAACGAAATAATTTAAAGGAGGGGAATTAGCCGTGATTAACCCATCAAGATGAGTTCAATTAAGTAAACTTTGACAAGGATATATTTTTTTGGAACTAGATAGACTGTTGGTATTAATTCTTGGCGTGTAGTTGGAGCCTTTTCTGCATGCTTATTTTCCTATTTTATCTCTAATTTCAGGGCAAAAGACGATTCAGAAGCTTACCAACACCATTACATTTATAACAGAGATGACGAAATCCGCAGAAGCACAGGGTCCATTTATGGAGGTGATAGCCCATCAAAAGTGAAACCACAACCAATGCATGTCCGAAGTAACAGCGACACAAGTGAAATAAATGTTTCAGTGAGAAATAACTACATTGATGGGCATGCTGCAGAAGCCCATTCTCCCACAGGAGAGAGTTTCTTTGCCATAATAAGAAAATTTGAGCAAAACATTCAAGATGGACAGAAATCGGTTCAAAAGTCCTGGTTTTATGACAATGAAAACCAGAATTACCTTGTTGATGGGCTCAGAGGAAAGACTGGTGCAAGCTCTGCCAACTCAAGTCCCCTGGTTGAAAGAAGAACTCCTCTCTTACGTCGTAGAAACTCTTTGAGAAACAACAGTTATTTTGGGAGAGTTTTTAAAGGTTCAGGGGATGCGAAGGGAGGAGAGGAAGAGGTTGGAGATGAACCATCTAGAAAATATTTTGCACACTATGACTGTCGCAGTATAACAGTTGATTTTGATGAGCTGGCACACACATTTTCTGCTCAAGGTGATGGACTTAAAAGGAAGAACACACGCTCTGGTGCTTCAGCAGCATCAACTCAGGTTACTGCAGCAACACTTGCTGACAGAATGCAAAGACGTGGCTCAGACTCGAGTGCAGGCACAAATGAGGACAATCTTCCTGACATGGGAGATGACAAAAGTAATGGGCTTGTTCTGAGCTGTCCCTATTTTCGCAATGAACTTGGTGGTGAGGAAGACCAAGACCCTCAGATTGGTCTAACTCCAGATAATGTGGCATTTCAAAATCTTCATGATCCAATGCATCCCAAGGAACCAAAATTGGACACATTGAGGAGAAGGTCAACCCTTGATATTCTGTTAACTGCTTATGACTCGGCACAGGTTGGAAATTTAAGCAGTGGAACAGGTGTGACAATTCTTGACAACTCAACACCCGAGAGTGGTTTTTTATATCTTGGGGAGGGATACTACAATGAAGATGGAGGAGTATTTGAGCATGTGGATCATGGATCCTATTATTACAAGAACTTTTTCCTCGGTCAAGGTATGTTAAGCATGGCTTTGGTCAATATCAGGTTTGGGTAACACATCTTATCTAAAAAACTTTTGCCATTAAAACTGGTTTTGTTTAACTCCATTAACCCTTTAACCCCAAAGAATGACTGGCTTCTAAATTCTCCTTACATTATCACCCTTTAAACATATATAAAGGTCATAGGAATAAAGGATATAATCACCAACCAGGAACCTCTTGATTGTGAAACAAATTCTCCTTGTCAGCACCTCAGGAAATGTATACAGAACAGTATTGAGAATATGCATACTGATGTTGGGGTGTAATTATTTAAAGTGTTAATAAAACCATGTGTCTAATCTAATTAAAGCCAAATCAGATCATTCCTTTACTGTTTCTGATCTGCTTTGTGCTTAATGGTGCATAAAGTCCTCTGTCAGACAAAGTGTATCCCATAAACTTAGTTATCTTTAATTAATTGTTAAGAAAGGAGTGTTTCTCTTTTTGAAATTAAATCTTCACTCCATCATTTTTAACCATCTTAATTATAAAGAGTGACCAGCTGTAATCAATCATTTAGGTCATGAAAATTAGGTCAATGATCACCAACCTACATGTAAGAAGCTGTGAATGCATGTTCTTGTTTTCTGAACCAAAGGAAATGAATAGAGAAAAGTATAGACATCATCTGTATTAATATTAGGGTGATCAGTAATGATGTTAGGGCTAGAAATTATATCCTCTGACATTCTTTTTCTTGTTGTAGAACATCTGAATTATCTTGGTATGGATGAGAGATTTGGCCCTGTTGCGTTGTCCTTGAAACGAGAAAAGCTTGATGAAAGCACTTCTCTACTAAACACAGGGGAGGCAGAAGGCAACACTTATCAATATCGCATAATTGCTCGATCTAGTGAAGTAAGTTTCTAAAAGTTTTGTTTTTCTTCAAAAAAAGTGAAATTTAATGTTATAAGAAATCTACACTGTTTGAGGTCTGTGTTGAAATCTTTCACACTATTTTTTATGCAAGCTTTATATGTTTTGTGTTCATTATCATTCCCTGAAACAAAGAAAATGCTTCCGCTACTGCTTGAATGCTTTGCAAGTTTGATGATCTTAAAATGCATTCTAAGCACTTGACATGTAGGGTAACAATAGGCTCTTTTAACCTTTTAACTCCCGAGATCTGATTGGTAATTCTCCCCTCTGGCTGCTTCACATTCCCTTTTAAATTAGTCACAAGAATTTGGTGTTAGATCAAGGTAACAACCTCTGCCTGATATGTTTGACTATTCTCATTACCTGTTTGCTAGATGATGTAGAAATATTTTAGGGAGAAATTACATGTTATCACTTTTGGAAGTTAAAGTATTAATTTCAATTTTATATAAGGGTTTATCCAGGCTTCTCTCAGTAAAGCTTGTCTAAAACAATAAAGAATTTTAATACAGTATTTCAAGAGTAGAATTAATAATTAATAATTAGTTATTAATTCTTCAATTGAACAAATTTGTAGTTGACAACACTGAGAGGAAGTATTTTAGAGGAAGCCATTCCATCAACTTCAAGACATGGTTCAGCACGTGCCCTCCCAGCTAAAGATATCCTTGAACATGTGATTCCAGAGTTTCAGTTAACTGCTCTTAGGATGGCACAACCTGGTATAAAGGTACAGAGCTCTACTGGAAGATACGAGACTGTGTCTAACAGAGTTTTTGCATGAATCTTTCATCAGGAATATTACAGCTATAATCTCATTGGGATCTGGGAGCAAACCAATAATTAGTAGTATATCATACACAGTACAATACTACTTTTCATTCTGAATGGGATCAATTGCACTCTGGGCCCTTCTCAGCTACTCCCTTGTTTAAACAATGATGAAAAAAGGGATTAATATTCTTATTGGCTATGGTTCTTGTTATGGTTGTCTTGATGTACATGTTGGTTTTTAAAATCCTCTTGTGTTATAACTGTCACATGATACAAATATATAGTTATCATGCAACAGCTGCTGTTTACATTGATATTTTTTCCTCTAATTATTCCTTTGCAAAGAAACAAAGCCATTTCGTCTTCATTATTTACATTTTTGTAGAGTCCAGTGGTAGTGGCATTATAAAGCTGCTCTCAAAGGCAGCATGGGAAATCACAAAAAAATTTCTTCTTTCTCCTTCTGGCTAGCTGGTATGTTGGCTGATAATGTCCTTGGCTAAGAGATTTCCCTCAAAATTTTAAATTTACCATTGAAGCTTTGCTTGTTTTTCAAATGTTCATTTTGCAGACAATATCTCGGGGGTGGATATTATTAGCCAAAGTACCAGGTGCCTAAAGGGTTTATTTACTAAATATTTGCATCTGAGTCATAAAGAAGTTTCATTGGTCAGGTGCTGTTTTTGGAGGCTGTTGGCTCACACAATGTCTCTATAATCAGTTATACTGTATTTGCTGGAACAAGTGTGCTGGTGGTTATTTAACTTTTCACACCTCCCTAGTGGTTAGTGTAGTTTTATGTTTTCATCCAACTTGCTCAGCTGACTGGTTGGATGACATAAAGTGTTAGTGGCCTTCTAGTTCACAAGTGGCAAAAGGAATGAGTAAATGATATTGTGCTATTTCTTTGCACTTTTCAGGTTCCAGAACAGCTTGCAAAACTTGATGAACAAGGGGTAAGATACATCTGTAAAATTTAACCACCTTCTGTGTGCAATTCAAGGATTGGTCTTATTCAGTAATTGTCTGACTTTTTTGTGTAACATTTTGTTTTTTTGTTTTTTCAGATGACCAATCAATACAAAGTTGGTGTGTTATATGCAAAGAATGGCCAGGGTACAGAAGAGGAGATGTATAACAACCGTGAGTAATAGTCTAAATTCAGTGGAAACTTCTGAAATTTTATTCACAGGAAAGAAGGCTGGTAATTGTGTTTAAAGGTTTGTGCAATATCTCAATGACACTTGGAAAACTAAGGATAAAGAGGCAAGGTGTGTTTAAAGAAAAAGTGATGCAGTGTTAGTGATATTTTGTGGAAATAAAAATAATAACAATTTTTACTATAGACTACATGTAGCAATAACACAATATGAGTTTATGAAAGCTTGCTATTACAAAACTACCAAACAAAGGTCGCTAAATTGGTGACTTGAACCCCAAAGTACATATATTGATTTTGTTTTTCTACTCTCCATGGAGACCAAAATGGTCACAGCATGAAATTAAGTTGGCATTAATCATTTTGTATCTGTGGGTTACCAGTAATCAAATTTTTGTTGTTTTGATTCTGTAGAAACATCAGGCCCAGCTTTCGAAGAGTTTCTTGACTTGATTGGTGAAAGAGTTACCTTGAAAGGATTTGAGCATTACAGAGCCCAGCTGGATAACAGAAGTAAGTTGTACAATGAGTGAAGAAGTTCCTTTTTTAAACCTTTAAACCAATAAGGGTGAGAAGGATCCAATTTCTCCATACAATATCACCCATTAAAATCAGAAGAATTAAGGAGATGATCACTTACTAAAGGAGCTCTTGATTGTTAAACAAATTCTCTTTGTCAGCTCCTCAGAAAATGTATTGAAAACAGAGTGGAGAATGTGCATACTGATGTTAGGGTGTAAAGGGTTCATTTTTTTTCTATTTTTGCTGGGCAGATGACTCCACTGGGGAGTATTCAGTGTACACACAGTTTCATGGACGTGAAATTATGTTTCATGTATCAACGCTTTTGCCTTGGACACCCAACAACAGACAACAGGTAATGCAGCTCCATTTGTAGATTAAGGTTAATCAATGAATAACGTAGTAACACAACTAATATACATAGTCAATCATGTATTTACAGTATGTGGATCTTGGTAATGGGGGACAAACATTTTTTCTCTAAATACTTAATTATTTCTTTTCTTCTTTTGCAGCTTCTGAGGAAGAGACACATTGGAAATGACATTGTGACAATTGTGTTCCAAGAACCTGGTGCTCTTCCATTTACACCAAAGAACATCAGATCTCACTTTCAACATGTTTTTATTGTGGTCAGAGTTTTCAACCCTTGCTCAGATAACACATACTACAGGTATTTTTGTTGATATTCCTCTTAATATGGGAAACTGTTGTACCCAATGTTGTTTTAATATGGTAGAATGTAGCTAAGATGGGGCATTTTCTACACAGCCACCTCTTTTTCCTTTAAAAAATGATAATTTGTGGTTATAGCAACCCTTTTACTCTGCAATAGTAATCATTTGAAAAATTTCCCAACAATTGCAATACACTGTCAAGCAGACTGGTGATGAGAAATAAGGCAATTATTCTTTAGTGGATATTGTCTTAATAGGACTTCAAGTTCTCACAAACAGCCAACAAAGAAATGTAGGATCATTAGTTGGGAGAATTAACTTTCAGATCATGGGAGTGACAGGGTAAAACAACCCAGCATGCTTCCAAATGCAAATAAAATGCTAGTATGGTACACAGCCTGCGGAAAATCTTGCTCATCCTCCTCTCAATACTTTGACTTTCTTAGGGCTTTAGATATCTTGGGTAAATTAGTGGGTTACAGTCAAATAAGTCCACACACAGTAACATGGCTAAGATACTGACCAACAATGCACTATACTTTAGTCAAGATACATGTATGGTTTGTGACTGTCTGTATACACCTTTCTGTACCTAGGGTTGCTGTAAGCCGTTCAAAAGATGTTCCTCCATTTGGACCAAATATTCCTGCAGGTGCAAAGTTTGGAAAGACACAGGCCTTTGCTGACTTCCTCTTGACCAAAGGTAGAGAACATTCTAGTCTATTGCACTGACAGTTTAAAATATTCCTTATGACAAAACCTTAGGAAAAAAAATTTGTGGAAACTATAACTGTATTGTAAAGATTATGGAACCCTAAGAACTCCTTTACATGCACAGATTTTTTAGATATTTTGGTGGGATTACACAAACATGTACATGATAACTGCAACTTTCTGTCTCCTCAAAAGTATTAATTATTTTTTAAACAACTGCAAAAGCCCACAAGCTAGGATGTCCCTTATATTTTGCTGAATTGTTAACATGTTAAAATTGTACCATTGTGATAGTGACCTGAAAAGGAAGTCTCAGTTCATTTTTTTTTCAAATGGCAGTCATAAATGCAGAAAATGCTGCCCACAAGTCAGAGAAGTTCAGTGCTATGGCCAGAAGAACCAGACATGAATACCTGAAAGATCTTGCCACAAATTTTGTCACCAACACCACACTAGAGACTGGGGCTAAAGGAAAAGGTATGAGAAGGCCTCCATCATGACCTTTGGACATGTTCATGGACAACATAATTATTTCTTGATTAACATGATACTCAAAATTGATTAGTACAAAGTTGCTACAGGTGAAGTGTAATTGTTTTTAAATGTTTGATTGTATAACCAAGGAGTGGAATTTTAAAACAAATGGTTGAAATAAACAGTACATTGTTTTTGTGAAAATTTAGAGATGGACAGTCAAATGTTTGGGTCAAGGGCCTTCAGGAACTGAGTTACTTATCTGAGAGCACAGATTTTAGCGATGATTAACCCTTAAACTTCCAGAGGTGATCAACATGTAACTTCTCTATCCATAAATTATCTGGCAAACAGATTATGAGAATACTCAAACTAATCAGGTAGAAGTTGTTATCTTGATCTAAAACCAAATTCTTGTAACTAATTTAAAAGAAATGTGTATCAGCTAGAGGGGAGAATTAACAATGAGATTTTGGGAGTTAAGGGGTTAATAGAGACTAGAAGAGACTTTTTTCTTTTATAGGAATCTTGAGATCAACCAAGAAGAAGGAGAAAGTTCGTCCTCCAATTTCTCCTGAAAAAGTCTCCAGAGGTGCATTGGTTTGGAATGTGCAGGTACATGTGTAAAATATGTTGGTTAATAATGTTGTGGTTGTATTGGATGGGTACCTGTAGAAGATGTGAGAGGAGCATAGAGAAGTGGTTAGCAGCATATTTAGACTCAGTGGAGGAATGATGACCAACTGAAGAAGCTCTTGATTGTTAAACAAATTCTCCTCGTCAGTACCTAAGGAAATTTATAGAGAACAGTATGGAGAATACATATTCTGATTTTAGGGTGTATAGGGTTAAGGAGATGCATGTGTGTGAATTGCAGGTTGAAGATTACAGGAATGCCTCTATGATTGAGTGTAAGATGGGAATCTCTGCAGACAGTCTGGTGCTCATTCACTCCTCAAGCAAAGTAAGTGATCAAGAGCCCCTTGTGTGTCTGGTTTGACTTTACCTTACTCTGCAATTACTCAGTTTAAATGTTTCAATTATCTCGTGTTATTTGATTCATTTATTTAATTATTTCCTTTCAGGAAGTGCTATTTAGCATTCCAGCCAAGTCTGTCATAGGATGGACATCCTTATCACAAAGGTATTTTTGGAGACAAAGCCTCTTGTTTTTCTCTACACTTGAAGTGAATTTTGCTGTCCTTGTGTAAAAGTACAGGTTGAAGGCTTTATTTGAGATGTCATCTTTAAGCCCATAACCCATAAGAGTGACTAGAATCTGATTTATCCATTCAATATCAGCCCTTAACTAAACATAGGTCAGACAAATAAAGGAAATGATCACCAAATAAAGGCACTCTTGATCATAAAACAGATTCTCCTTGTCAGCACCTTAGGAAATTTATAGAGGACAGTATAGAGAATATGTGTACTGATCTTTGGATGTAAAGGGTTGATATACTTTTCCAATTTCTTTTTGCTTTTCATGTTATTTTCTTATATGTGATCATCACGTCTTTTTTGAACAGCATCAAAGTGTTTTATGGCAGTGGTTATTGTCTGGTGTTGAATATTCCAACACGTGATTCAGATGACATCCCAGAGATTGTCAGGCGACTGGAAGAAATTTCTATTGGTTGTCAGGTAAAACAGCATGTTTGTGCTCTCAAATGTCAAAAATGGGATGTTAGAACCTTCCTTGATTATTGACAAGCTACAGAACTTTAATTGAGTGTAATTTTTCTGCTCGGATGATTGTTTTATGTGTTATTTCCCGTTGTGTTCTGTGGTGGTTTTACAGGGCTTGGGGTTGAAAATGAAAAAGATTTCAGTTGAACCAGGGTAGATACATCTACATACAAATTAACTTTCGCAAGATTAGTGTTGGTCGAAAACGATACTAGATAGAATTTGAACCACAGCCTCACTTGATTAACAGTTCAGTTGTTCAACACCAAGCTGAAGAGTTCTCAAGTGCGTCAGTGAACAGAACTTTCTTTAACAAATCCAGAAGAGCAGATTGGTTTTGTATTGTTTTCAGACTCAAACAATGACTTTGCGGCGAAATGGTATGGGACAGTTAGGATTCCATGTACGGTTTGAAGGCCTCATTGCGGATGTCGAGCCTTCTGGATTTGCTTGGCAGGCAGGGCTAAGACAAGGATGCAGGCTTGTGGAGGTTTGTGAGTTTGTGATTGAGGATATACGATGTTTTGTGCACATAACAATTTATGTGGAAGTTTTTTTTTAATTATTTCCTTGAAAAGGAGAGCATTTACAGCATGTACATCCTCATGTTGCGAGAATTTGAATTTTTGCTTTTCAGATGTTTGATTATAGAAGCATGTAAATGTAGTTTTCATGGGTGAAGATGGTGTTTGGTCGTTGCTCAATTTAATGTACATGTACTCTTACAGCAACATAGTTATGTATTTCATACAATTGAGTGGACATTTTTCCAGTGAACTGCTACATTCTCTGTCTCGCGCATCTGATTGGCTGAAAACGAGTGCCTCTTTCACGTAAAACGAGCGCAAAACTGTAACGAGTGCAAAGTTGTAACACAAGTGTAAACTACAAATAGCGCGCGCGCAGCTTGAATTTCGTCTGTCTCGACTTTCTGTGATGCGTTTTTCATGTAAACTATAAACTTATGAAATTATTGTTGTCTTTGAAAAATTTACAACTGCTCATTTACACCAAATTGTACTAGAAATCATCTGGTTACTTACAATTACTATTTATGTAGATCAACGGGATGATAGTAGCCACACTGAGTCATGATCAGATGATTGACATCTTGCGTAAGCCAGGTTCAGTGACGGCTGTGATAGTGCCACCATTCCAGAGTGGAAAGCCAAGAAAGTGCGTATTTGTTTGTATTGCCCTTTCGGCATGCAGTGACTCGATCTATGTTTTTTTACCACCTCAGGGGTATGCAGTGACACATGTACACCCATTTTGTTTCTTGCCCCAAGGCTATGTAATGACTCACCTCTTGTTGTTTTATTAGCCCAGGGGTATCCACTAACTTTCCTCTTTTTGTTTTATTTTTTATTTTTTATTTTTAACACCGGGAGTACATTGGGTTTCACCTTATGTTTATGTTACCATGGGCCTGTAGAGTAACTTGCTTCCTTTTTTTTCTCACCCAAGGAGTATGCAGTGACTCACTCTAGTTTTTTTTTCTCACCCCAGGGGTATCCAGCCGACCACTGGTTCCTACTGGAGCTCCTCCAATCGCGCCTCGGTCACAACCATGTCGTCATTCGGCAGTGCGTCATCAGTGGCAGAGGAAGGCGAGTCACGTGATCACTCGGCAGCCTCGTCTTCATCCATATCAGCCCCTGACAATAGTAGAAAACAGCCGCCAAAAGGTTTGATGTCCAAGAACGAAGTGAAAGGGAAGGAGAGTCCATGGATCATGCGCTCGAATAATGCGGCTTCCATGGATGGAAGGTAAGAATGAAATAGTGATACTTTTATGATGTGTTTTGAGGTTTATCTTTTTTAACAAAAATTCATGATATGACATATGATAGTTCTGTGCAACACATTGGACGCTCGACGTATTATAGATTTATAGGTGTCAACCGACTTGTTTTTACATGTATTTATACACAGTCTTTAGTGCGCTGTTTGCGTTTTCTTATATCATATCTCGTATTCCATTTTGTTGCTGGTGAAGAAGACCTTCGTCAAATCGTAAAGTGCCTTGTATCGTGAATTTCAGAGATATTGCTTTCAGTGCACGGTCAATTGTGTACATGGGAAAGCGAACTTTGCAATGCATCTTTAGCCGCTTTCAATGTATTCATAGAAATCAGTGTAGTTCAATTTTATTCATGGCCCGAGGCGTTCTGTTGAAGACGCCCTGACACGAACTTTATTTCGCGTCTTTCAGAGCTATGTACTCAGTCTCCCGTCCTCCTGACCCACCGTTGTCGCCCAGTGCGAGCTCAGCCTCGTCTGTCAGCGGCAGCACGTCAACGCTTCACGAAACATCACGACAACAAGCTGCTACCTACGGGGCTTCATACACTGTGACAAGCATTACTCCAACAGATCCTAGACACCAGGCGTCCTCTGAAGCACACGTAGCGCCAAAATGGAGCGGGCATTTAGCGGTAGATTCAGACCCACGGCCAGCCAAGCCTGTTGGTGTGACGTTAAAGGCCCATACAGCTTCAGGCACCTTATATGCCATCGCCAGCGGACCCTCGTCTCCGCCAGCGTCTCCGCGTACTCCAGAGACCCCCATATTTGGAAGTACTTCACAGAGACATCGCAGAGTGGTTCTGAATGGTCAAGGGGATGGCAACACTCCCTTAAGGATAGAGGGAAGTGTACAGGATGGGAGACCACTAGCGGACAGTTATGGTACTATTCGTGTGAACATTGAACCGTCAGTAGCGTCAATGCCAAATGACAAAGCACGAGAGCCAGATGTTGCTAATGGTGAGGTGATGCAAGCTGCTGCTTTGCCTTTTAAAGAAACAAGTCTTGGAGCAGTTATTACCACTGTCAATACTTACAAACAGAAACAAAGTTACGAAGACATCAGCGAAGCCTCTATGTCTGACACTGTCGATCAGATCGAACGCGCGTTTGGTTTTAAAACACCTGACATGATCTCGAACGGAACTGGGAGCCTGGAGCGGAACAGCAGCATGCGAGTGAAGAACGGAGACAGGAGCCCTTCCGATTCTATGCAGGACATTCACCTGACCCGCCGTGTGCAGTCAGGGGATTCACTGAATCGATACAGTGATGATGACGAAACTCCCATAAATATTCTGAAACGACTGTCAAAAGAAGCCAACAGAGAACAGGACAGAGTGAAGCAGAGAAAGAGCGAAGGAGATCTGCCACATAATATGATTAAAAGCAGGACAACCACTGTGGTCGAAGCATCACCAACATCGGTTGAAGTTAAAAAAGAAGCCGGAAGGAAGTCTGAGTACGAAGCGCGGATAGCCGCAAGAAACCTGCTTATAGAACGCTTAGAAAATCACAGGCAATCACTCGAAAGCCACAACGTAGAGGGAATCAAAATTTACCATGCTAAAAGTAGAAGTACGCCGGCTGATGGGGCGAAAAGGTTAAATGGCGAAAAATCGCACAAGGCGCGGCAGACCTCGCAGGATGACAGTGCAAAGAATTCTTTAGAGTGGGACGGTGTGGAAGGAGCGGGGAAAGGTGATCATTATTTGAGGCGGAAGAAATCTGCTCCTGAATCATCAAATGTTAAGACAGTTCGTACTCCAGATAATTACCGAGTAGGCAAACCAGTGGTACGCTCTGAACGAAAAATCCGCTTGACAAGTTCTGCGAGTTCGAGCGGTCAGACACCGGAAAAAAGTCAAACAGTACCCCGTCAGAGATCAAGCCGGCGACAGAGGCATGCGTCCAAACAGATGGCTGCTGCCAATGGTGGAAATTCAGATTCATCTGATGAAGGACGTAATAATCGATTTTCGCGAAGTGGAGACTCCGTCGATGCCAGTCCATCCGTTGTGGAAAAGCTTCTTTTCACGCCCGATAGCAACAAAAAGTCGAAGAGTCTCCCGCGCGAGTTGGAATCAGGAGCGATGCCACACGCGAGTGACTCGCGCGAAATGCGGAGTCATCGCTCGCATTCTCATTCGCACTCATCACATCTCAAAGGAGCGCGTATTACTAAGATTAAAATGAGCGCAAGCGAGGAACCCAATGATTCTATTGTGGATCAGACCTCGCGGCTGTTACACGCCGCTAAAGCTGTCAAATACGACAAAGGATCTTCCCTTGTCATAGCTGAAGATGTGTTGCACTCACTAACTCGCGCGTCTGATCTGCTCCATCATCAGTCGTCGGCTGCCAGGGAGGAGAAGGAAAGAGACAGGAAGGATAAAGACAAGTCACTTAACAGAATAAAGGCACCTGGTAAGTGTCGGGCCGGGAGGGACAGGAATTGGGGTGGGAGGGGGTGGTAAAAATAGGAAAACGTTCAGAAAGGAGAGGAGACAGGATTAGGAAGGGATAATGTACGGTGTCATTCAAATTTCCTCTTTTCTTTCTAACTCTTTTTTCTTTTTTTTGAGATATACTTCTATAATAATTTAAGATTAGATTTTTTGCGTTTAGTTACTCATGACACTTGCGGGTACAAAGCTAGATAAAAATTACTCTGGAGGATTTGACAAGATCGAAATGGAAATAAGTTTCATGATTTTAGAATTTTTAAGGCGGCCACCCTCTTTGTTTTACATCTCGTCCTTGTTCCTTTTCGTCATGGTCTGAAGAGTTTAAAATTACCGGAATATAGGCTAGTTGTTTGTATTGTGTAATCGCCAAAAATAACTTGTCAATATAATTTATGTTGGAGTTGGCGTGACGGCTTACACGACAAGTTGGATGCCGTGAGAAACCGCGAGAAGCCGCATTCGATTTCGTTAACAGTGTCATGAATGCGGGTAGATCAGATCGAACTGCGGGAAGAAGAAAATGGGATTTAAGTACTATTTTTGGAGTTCCAAAATCATGTCTGCATCTACAATATCCGAAAAGTTTGGGTAAGGAACCATAGATGTCTTTTTGCGATTACTTTTGGATGAATGTTACAAGTATTTAAGTGGGTCAAGTTCACGAGCTAGATGTAGTCGCATGAAATAATCAAAGCTCCAAGCTTGAACGAAGGCCAGTCTGTGAACAAGGGATTCACTTCTAATCCTTGTTAACGTAGGCAGGTTCTCGAGAATATTGAATTGATTTTGTTCTTCAGGGGGAGAGCTGTTAGTTGGCCTATGTTTTGTCGGCCGTATTTGATTAATTAAACTATGGACAAAGAAGTAAGCGAATAGTTTACATGACATCTTGACTCGAATTTGCGCAGAATTTACGAGCTTTGTGCATCGTTAATTGCATTTTTTAGTTGAAAGAAACTAATCTCGTCATGGAATTCCGCTGATCCTTCAACTTAGTGTCTGAGATGTAACTTTAGGTCGTAGATATTTCCGTTCGATATCTGAGGAACCAATCATGCGGATTTTACGCTTTCATCACCTCACTGTTCGAGATTTACAGTACGAAACTATTTCTTGAGCCATTTATCGTCAGAAGATAAGTTGCCCTCGAGCATTTACACCATTTTGGAAAGGAATTCTAGAATGAGCTAATAGTGAGGAAACGGAAACGCTAGTTTCGCTCCAATCATTATTTATTTTTGTTCTGGCGGTGGAACGTTTTCATTTTCAAGTTCGATTTCAAACAAGTGCTAATGTAAATCTGAGAAAACGTTTAGTCGGTTGGATAACTTTGGCGCGGGGTGAAGTTGCTGACTTTTCTGTAATGGACTTATATTGACATGTGTGGAAATCAAGATTCATCCGATGAAGGACGTAATGGCATGTGCGTGTAATCTTTTTCACTGAATAAAATTAATGTACCTTCGCTGTAATTTTTACCACTATGTCCAATTTCCTGCTGTGATAAACGCTTCCTGCATAATGTACTATACTGACTTAGTCACCTACGTAAATCTCCCGGTCGATTTGTTTCAGACGATATTATTTTGGGCGCGGACTTTGTGTTGCCATCGGCATTGTTTTGGCCTCTTAACTTGCCTCAGTTATATTGTTTTAGAGTTTATTTTTGTCGTAGATATCTTACCCACTTACATTCGCTTATTTATATTTTCTTTGCGTTATGTTTGTGTTTTGCCCCGCACGGAGATGTTTGTCTGCCCTGTTTGATCAGTTGGTGACTTATTTTCGCTGTTTGAATCTTAATCACGATAATTAACGCAAGTCAGTTTTAAGCTCAGTCCCAAAACACCGAATTCGCTAGTTTTGGTGAAGTCAGATTCGTCTGCGAAGACATTTATGCAGCTTAATATATTTATCATTGCCTCCCACTTACAGTGCGATTTGTCAGGTACCTTCGCTAGCGTTGTGTGATGTTTGGGCTGTGTAAGGAAGTCAGAAGTTTTCATTACTTATCACTGACGTATCTCGGATGCCTTCTGTTTATCGTAAAACAAACTCACTAAATGTACACGGTGATGGAGGACATCAACTCTCGTGACCTTTTCTTGGCTTGTCACTTTTCACCGGAAATTGTGTGTAGTGCTAACGAAGAACTTTGCACCGGAAGCTGTTTTAGTTTTAGATGGCCGATACAGATGTGTTTCTCGTGGATTGTAAGAATTCAAAGGAAGAGCTACTACAAAATCTTGATATAACGTTTTTTCTGAATTTTTCAATATTTCTATTTATTTTGACAAATTTGTGCCATTTAAACAGTAGCAGTCCAATATTTACGATGTTTTCTTTCTCCAACTTATTCTTGTCAATATTGTGAAGAGTGAAGAGCATAAATTTTAACGTGTTCTGTGAAAAACTTCCTTTGAAGAACGAAAATTTTCGGTTCCTGACAATCACACACCTAAAAATATCGCGATGCGCGGTAGACTATTCATTTCATTCTTGCAAAGAATGTCTTTCGTGACAAGTAAGGTGAAGTCTCAAAAAAATCCACAGAAAATAATCATTTTGCAACAGAATAGACGGCAGAAGGTGTAATGATTCATGCGGATTATTAGTAGGAAATGCGAAAATACAAACTCATCTTTGGAATTAACTTTAAAAAGCATTAATCAGTTGTTGGAATGTGAAGACTGTTTTGTGCGCCTATTTTTGTTGTAGTGCACCTTTTTGCCTGAAAACGCAGCCGAGGTCAGTTCTTTCTCGAACACTTCAAGTGCTTGCGAAACTTCCTGCCGAGAGAACGTGTTTCTGACTATCTCAATCAGTGAGAAGATAAGAGAGCTTCTCACGAGGGTTCATCAATTTATATAATCCACCCCTTCTCTAGAAACGTCAGGTGCAATCATTTAATGGACCTGCGACCGCCCATGGTTTATCTGAATAGACGCACTGTAGCGTAATAAACGAGCTTCCAACCTTCATTGTGACGAGCGCCGCGTTCTGAGATGTATAACAATGGCGCCTCGTGAATTGTTGTATGTCGTTTTCAGTTCATAGTCCTCCTCTTCATGCCTGTCTCCAACCCTCTGCATGCCAAACCTGTCCGAATCCTCTGGCGAACGAACGTACGGTCGTCGTCGGCCAATGCAAGTGAGCTGCCTTAATTAACGATTAAACGTTGCAGATTGTAAGTTTGTCGACGTTGTTTTTCTCGTTGATTTTCAGGTCGTGGTCGTTCACATGGACCTCACAAGTTTTACATCCCTGTTGTGCCCAGGAGACACAGCTTCGATGAAAGAATATTCGCCGCACCGGTTAGTGAAACATTTCATTTCCGTTTGTAAAAATGCCAGTCTTGGAGTGTTTCCTTAACGTGTAAACTGATTCAGTCGAAGGAAGAAGAGCGGCACTAAATATTCCATATTAAACTGCTTTAATTGCGAGCGTTGTCACTCACAATTGTAGAGCGAAAGATTTGAGAAAGATCTACTCGGAAATTTCCCTCTTATAAACAATGACCGTTACATTATTTTTGTCCAGTTTCAAACAAGTGAAACAAATTGATATGTTGTTATTTGTGTGCATTGCTTCACTGTTTTGATAAAGTTACTCAAAGTTGTGTCCTTTTCGTGTGAAATGATGGTTAGAATACTCCCCCCCCTTCCTGTTGATTGACCGGTCTTTACTGCATCTAGATTCCAATATGCTTAATCAGGTTTGCAGAAGACAGATTAGTTAAAGAATGCTGGCTCATTTGGGTGGAAAAGATTTTAGCACAAGTTAATCGGACGTTTAGAGCGAGTTGAGTAATTCAGGCAGAATTCGAGAAATCTGAACGAACTGTTTCGACCAAAACAACACAATCTATTGTGTCTATTATTTTGTCTTTTCGTTGAAATGGCATCACATATCAATCTCTTCCTTGTTCTATCGCTTCAGGCGTGTCTGAGGTGTGTAGCTAAATATACAGCTAGTTAAATATACAAGTTCCTTCTCGTTAATATTTTGGTTCGCTGAGTGCATCTGCCAACTTTCTAACTTGATTGTCAACTATCACCAAGAATCTTCTACTTAATCAAGCTGTAGTTAATTCTGTTTTATAAGAAAGAACCGAAATATTCAAGATTTTACGAGTTTGGACGTTGAGTCATACCTTTAGATCAAAAGATTGTTGATGGGGTAGAAAACAATTGTTGAAACCTTAGACAACGCCTCCCAGTGAAAACGAAAGGGAATTTTGACTCAGGAATATTTACCTTCTAAAAGAACATAGGGTAACAGCTTTGTTTTACAATGCGTTACGTTTGAGAAACCAACAGTTCTGCCCAATAATTTTTTTTACTTTAAGTTCACATGATGAATTTTTGTCTTCGAGATAAAAGCTTTGTAAGCCTCATCAAACTCGTTAATTAGAGTACAAGAGTGTAAATTGTGGAATTATTTTAATTGGATTTTTATCATTCTTCAGTTGTGTAGCGACATGGATTTCGCTAAGTAAACTGTATGCGATCTCGGACAGCCACACATACTTATATTACTTGACCTAACTTGAATTATTTTTTTGACAAACCAGTAGAAAAACTCTAGCCGTCTCTTAGTGGATATTTTGGTCACGCTCGGATGCTTGTTTTCTGATGTTGTTGCATGCTGACAATTAAACAATGTGAAAGAGTTATTGCAATTCAAGTCACGACAACTTTGAAGACTTTTTTGTTTATTCTTCTTACAGAGTGCCAAAGGCAATTCTGGTGAAAGGTGAGTGTTGTGTGTGCACTTATTTTTACATCTATAGTATTTTTTATGTCATTTTGATTATTTTCATTTTACTCAGGTAAAGTAATGATCCTCGCACGTGAGTAGCAATAATCCATTTTACAGTTGTGTGCTTGGTTGCCAAGCCTTTTAACAAGAGTGAGGCTAAGGTTGACCTTCTTATGATACAAACCTTGCTGCTTTTCAAATGCAAAGGACTTTGTTATCATGCCAACTAGATTCTGGTCTCTATCACAACAAGGTCACCTTCAGCCTCACTCCAAATCAAAGACTTGGCAACTAAGTACACAAGTGTTAAATGGCCTATTGAAACAATTGTTAGAAAGAAGCCAGAAGATAAATTAAAAATTCAGACTTTGACGGGATTCGAATTCAGGCCTCCCAGGTACTAGTTGGGCGCTACTTCCAACTGAGTTACGAAGGCACACTCTCTCATGCAGGGTCCTCTTTCCCGTGAGGATTTAAGTAAACTGTTTTTATCCTTAAGTCAGTAAGGTGTGGCTTAGCTAATTGTTAATGTTTAGTTCGGTCAAAAAGTTATTTTCTGTATAGGATCTTTGCTCTGCCTGGCACTGTTTTTAACTCGACATTAACTGGTTTTTTTGTGCAAAGTTCGATCAAGAATTTTTGCAATAGTTTTCTCCTCCAACATTTTTAAAATATTACTTCTTTAACATAGTCCATCACGGACTTCGGCTGTCATAACATTAAACTTAGGGAAGGAATTTGTTGTCTAATTGCTTTTGCTTTTTTGATATAAATTTCAGTCTGCTGACGAGAGAGAGTATTGGAAAGGAAGCAGAACTTGAGATGAAACTTGCAATCGTGTCAAACGCCTTGATGAAGGTACAGTATTCTCCTTTGCAAAGACTATTATTAATTTTTGCTTTAGCCCCCATCCTCCCCTCCCCCCCTTCTTTTTTTGGAGGACGGCATATTATTTTGTGTTAACATAAGGTACGAATGAGGATTAAGAGACAAATAAAAAAAAAATAAGAAAAGATTAAAAAAACTACAACCTCATAAGAAACCTGTCACAAACTTTTCGACAGAAATTATCCCATGGATAATGTTAATAATAACATTTCCGTGCCTCTACATCTTTAAATTTTCTGGTGGAGGATGGCCCCCTTCTCTCCTTCAGGAGAAAATATGCCCCCCCCCCTCCTTGTGAAAAGGAGTCCAGAGATAAACCAGAACAGCTGACAATAACATGTTCGTGCGTGTGAGTCTTATTTACAAGTATTCGTGTCCTTTTTCACAGGAAGGAGAAGAGAGACACCGAATGGATGTTGAATTAAGAAGACTTCAGAGAGAAAACAAAAGACTTCAAGATGATCTCCGGACCGCCTCGCACCAACTTCGGAAATTTTCCGAGTGGTTTTTCACGTCAGTTGAACCAAGTAACACGTGATACAGACACCATGAATTGTTCGTTGGATAAGTTTCTATTTTAAAACGTTCCTACATCGTTCATAGAGTTAAGCCTTTTAAAGTATTATTGAACAAGTAACGTTTATTAAGAGAAAGGTGCTATTCTTTACATATCTAAGATTGAACTGGTAAAATAGCTTGAAAGATGTTGTATTTTCATAGCGTTTGATATATTAAGGCAAGTAGTATATGTAACAAATTGTCAAATATTTTCATTGGTTGGTTTTCGACCCAGGTGTCCAATTTTAAACGATCGCCGTCTGCATCATCATAGGGACCTGTCATTCTTTATTGCCTTGCTGGAAGAGAATGAGTCGCGGATTTTGGTTTAGTCATAAAATTTACCATATCTGGCTATGGTTTTGTAGTCCCCCCTTTATACTCCCCTCCTCCTCCTCCTCCTCCTCCTCCCCCCTTCCCCAAAAAAAAAAAAAAAAAAAAAAAAAGAAAGAAAAAAATCCTTCGACCTTCCGTTCAAGGCGATAAAAAATGACTGGTCCTTAATAGCAATGCTTTCTTCGCTGTTTATTTATGGATCTTTATCCTTCACGATATTCTTTTTCTGTTGGTTAATATAATCCTATGTATGATTTATACTACAGATACCTTTTTTGACCTCTGGTTGAATTGCACCATTTTTTCTTTTGTCGCTAGTGTTAAATAATTATAGTTATACTGAATGGTTTGACGTGGGTACGTAAAACCTGGGTGAGAGTATTCCAAGACAGGATTATTGTTGGTGAAAGTGAACGTTTGGTCATCGTGAACTTAAGAGTTGTTTGCCAGTCTGGCTCATGAAATGTGATTAGTCAGTTCTTTTTTTTTTTGTTCGCTAGTTATGGTGATGTTGTGATTGAGTTCTTTGTCTGATAACGAGAAATCTATTGATAGTCACTTTCACCAAATGCGGTCCTTAGCAGGTTTACATTTATCCTGACTATCAAATCACGTCTTGAATTGACAGCGGTTGTGGCAGGTTTTAAGTTTCGAAGTCTACGAGGGAAATAAACCTCAGCACATGTAAGTAAGGAATGAAGGCTCTTTTGCCTTGCTGAAATGTTTGGAGCAACTGTTTGTTTATTATTTCGTTTACACTTGAGTTGAAAACTTCTTTTCTCCTTACAGTACACCATCGATTACTTGTGATTAAGCCTTAGGGGAATTTTTATCGACACTTCTTTAAGGTTTTCGAGCACGGTATCCTAGGAAAGAATAAATATTTTCAGGAAAGATGGGTTCCTTTTGGACTTGTTGGGGAATTTAATACATTAGTGAAGTAAATTGAACATAATTTTAGGTCGCGTGCATTTTTTAATTTTTGTCGGGAAGTAATTCGAAAATGATATGGAGGGATAGAAACATTTAGCCATTAACAGATTTATTCGGTGGAAAAGCCATTCATTGATCAAATAATACTTTTGTCGTCAGCTGATGGCGTCACTGTCCGGATAATTTCATAGTTTTTCTCGGGCCTTTGAACTTGATTGATTTTTCCCAAAATGACTTCTATACTTGTTACCTTAACCGATACAGCATTATAATATATATACATTTGGTCTTTATTTTTACCATTTATATATCGTTTGTTAAATACAACAAGTATCCTATTTATAACTTTGGATTTCAAATATTTTATACTTCCATTTTCCTTTTCACTTATGCGATTTTCAGCTTATTTTGTAACAAAAGTTATGAATCGTTACATTTTGGAATACGGGGTCTTACAATGTTCATTGTTTCAATTGTTCGTCAGTAGTTTGTGGATAGCTCGTCCAGTTATACTGAAGGTATTTGTGGCTTTCATCCCATAAAATCGTAAGAATGATTCACGTGTAAGTTCTTAGAGCAATTTTTAATTCAGTGTCGAAAATTATCTGAGGTTGGATTGGTTTTGCTTTACTTCGCTCTGTGATGGGATCAGAAAACTCGCAAAAATTGAAACCAGTCACGAGTTGGTCATCGGCATTTTCCCGCGCTTTAAGCCGTTTGGCTGGGTTTTCATTTTGAGTTGTCATTGGCTCTTAAAGGTATTTTCTTCTCTTCTATTTAGTTAACAGATAACGAGAGTAGAACAACATAACAGCAAAATCTCCCTACTAACTTACAACGAAACGATCACAGCTGGAAAGGAGATCTTAAGTTTGGTCTAGCGCTTGTTTTCCCGGGAAAACTCTTTTTATCTTAGCTTCAGAGTCAATGTCTGTTGTGCTTAAACAATATGTGTAACTTTATCTTTCATCCGCGCTGCCAATTTAAGGTAACTTTGTATCAAGACATCTTTCTCTCTTGCTTTCATTTGCTGAAAAACCGAGCGGGAGAATCTGTCGGATACCAAGGTCTTTTTAATAATCCTTGAGAGTTTTATGGTCGTGATGATGAATTGAATTGAATTGAATTAAGGAAGCATTAGGCTTCAATAATCATGCATGATAGATGAATGAAAATATAGCTTGACAATCTCTAAGGAAGATACGCAGATTTGCAGCCGCCAAAGAGGGGCTCATTTTGTAAAATTTCTATGCATAAGGCCATCTTGTACACAGTTTCTGGAAAAGAAATAAAGAGACGTAAGAAAATCTTTTGTTCTAATGTCCTTTATTCTCAATTTTCTGAGAGATAAAAACGTCAATATATTAACTATAGAAATTTGTTAGTAAGCTTTTGAAAACTTCAGGGGACCAGTAGTTAAACATAGTTATTAAATTCAACCAAAGCATTTTATAGTTTGAATATTCAGAGGGTAATTTCTCAGTCTAAAATTGCGACACTTGCACATATTACAGACCTAATCACGCCCTTTCCAACGCGCTATTGTTAAATTGTCTAAGAATTTTCCCTTTTCACAGAGAGCTGAAACTTTGACATTTGCACACAACACACAGCTTACCACGCTCTTTCTAACGCACTATAAAGTGTTCTTTTCACAAAGATATAAACATATGAATATCAACACAATAGAAATTGGTTAATAGGCCTTTGGCATCTTGTAAGAACCATTAGCTAAAACTAGCTTTTCAAACTCATTAATTAAATTCTATTGTTTCAATATTCGGAGAGCATTTTCTAGGCCCAAAAAAGAGCAGAAACTTTGACATTTGCACACAACACACAGCTTATCACACTCTTTACAAAGCATTATAAATTGTTCCAGATTTCTTCCTTTTCACAAAGATATAAGCGCATGAATATTCAAAGAATAGAAATTAGTTAATGAGCTTTTGACATCTTGTAGGAACAACTTGCTAAAACTAGCCTTTAAAACTCGTTAACAAAATTCCATTGTTCCAATATTCAGAGGTGATTTTTCTTGGCCCACAAAAGAGATGAAACTTTGACACTTGCGCACCATACGCAGCCTACCACGCTCTTTCTAACAAGCTAAGAAGTGTTCCAGAACTCCCCCTTCTCACTAAGAAATAAACACATAAATATTGAAACAATAAAAATTCGTTAATGAGCTTTTGCCAATTTGTAAGAACCTCTAGCTAAAACCAGCGTTTCAAACTCATTAACAAAATTCTATTGTTTTAATATTCAGAGGGGATTTTCTTGGCCCACAAAAGAGCTGAAACTTTAACACTCACACACAATACACAGCTTACCACGCTCTTTCTAACGCATCATAAATTGTTTCAGAATTCCCCCTTTTCACAAAGATATAACCGCATGAATATCAACACAATAGAAATTGGTTAATGAGCCTCTGGTATCTTGTAAGAACCACCAGCTAAAACTAGCGTTTCAAACTCATTAACAAAACTCTATTGTTTCAATATTCAGAGGGGATTTTCTTCGCCCACAAAAGAGCTGAGACTTTGACATTTGCGCACAATACACAGCTTACCACGCTCTTTCTAACGCACCATAAATTATTTCAGAATTCCCCCATTTCACAAAGATATAAACGCATGAATATTGTAACAATAGAATATCGTTAATGAGCTTTTTGCATCTTGTAAGAACCTCGAACTAGAACTAGCGTTTCAAACTCATTAACAAAATTCTATTGTTTCAATATTCAGAGAGGAATTTTCTTAACCCACAAAAGAGCCGAAACTTTGACACTTGCGCACAATACACAGCTTACCACGCTCTTTCTAACGAACCATAAATTGTTCCAAAATTCCCCCTTTTTACAAAGATAGAAATGCATGAATATTGAGACAATACAAATTGGTTAATGAGCCTTTGGCATCTTGTAAGAAACACTAGCTAAAACTAGCGTTTCAAACTCATTAACAAAACTCTATTGTTTCAATATTCAGAGGGGATTTCTTGGCCCACAAAAGAGCTGAAACTTTAACACTCAAGCACAATACACAACTTACCACGCTCTTTCTAACGCACCATAAACTGTTTCAGAATTCCCCCTTTTCACAAAGATAGAAACGCATGAATATCAACACAATAGGTGTTGGTTAATGAGCCTATGGCATCTTGTAAGAACCACCAGCTAAAACTAGCGTTTCAAACTCATTAACAAAACTCTATTGTTTCAATATTCAGAGGGGATTTTCTTCGCCCACAAAAGAGCTGAAACTTTAACACTCACGCACAATACATAGCTTACCACACTCTTTCTAACAAGCTAAAATGTGATTCAGAATTCCCCTTTTCACAAAGATAGAAACACATGAATATTGAAACAATAGAAATCCGTAAATGAGCCTTTGGCATCTTGTCAGAACCACCAGCTAAAAGTAGCTTTTCAAACTTAGTAACAAGACTCTATTGTTTCAATATTCAGAGAGGATTTTCGTGGCCCACAAAAGAGCTGAGACTTTGACATTTTCACACATTACACAGCTTACCACGCTTTTTCTAACGCATCATAAACGTTTCAGAATTCCCCCTTTTCACAAAGATATAAACGCATGAATATCAACACAATAGAAATTGGATAATGAGCCTTTGGCATCTTGTAAGAAACACTAGCTAAAACTAGCGTTTCAAACTCATTAACAAAACTTTATTGTTTCAATATTCAGATGGGATTTTCTTGGCCCACAAAAGATCTGAAACTTTGACATTTGCGCACAAGACGCAACTTACCACACTCTTTCTAACGAACCATAAATTGTTCCAAAATTCCCCCTTTTAACAAAGATAGAAACGCATGAATATTGAAACAATAGAAATCCGTAAATGAGCCTTTGGCATCTTTTCAGAACCACTAGCTAAAAGTAGCTTTTCAAACTTATTAACAAAACTCTATTGTTTCAATATTCAGAGGGGATTTTCTTGGCCCACAGAAGAGCTGAAACTTTAACACTCACGCACAATACACAGTTTACCACGCTCTTTCTAACAAGCTCAAATGTGATTCAGAATTCCCCCTTTTTACAAAGATATAAACGCATGAATATTGAAACAATAGAAATTTGTTAATGACTCTTTGGCATCTTGTAAGAATCAGTAGCTAAAACTATCGTTTCAAACTCATTAACAAAATTCTATTGTTTCAATATTCAGAGGGGATTTTCTTAGCCCACAAAAGAGCTGAGAGTTTGCCATTTGCACACAATACACAGCTTACCACACTCTTTCTAAAAAGGTAAAATGTGATTCTGAATTCCCCCTTTTCACAAAGATATAAACGCATGAATATTGAAACAATAGAAATTTGTTAATGAGCCTTTAGCATCTTGTAAGAACCTCTAGCTAAAACAAACGTTTCAAACTTATTAACAAAATTCTATTGTTTCAATATTCAGAGGGGATTTTCTTAGCCCACAAAAGAGCTGAGAGTTTGACATTTACACACAATACCCAGCTTACCAGGCTCCTTTAAACAAGCTAAAATGTGATTCAGAATTCCCCCTTTTTACAAAGATATAAACGCATGAATATTGAAACAATAGAAATTGGTTAATGAGCTATTGTCATCTTGTACGAGCCACTAGCTAGCGTTTCAAACTCATTAACAAAACTCTATTGTTTCAATATTCAGAGGGGATTTTCTGGGCCCACAAAAGAGTTGAAACTTTGATAGTTACGCACAATACACAGCTTACCACGCTTTTTCTAACAAGCTATAAAGTGTTTCAGAATTCCTCTCTTTTCACAAAGATATAAACGCATGAATATTGAAACAATGGAGATTGGTTGGTGAGCCTTTGGCATCTTGTAAGAACCACTAGCTAAAACTAGCGTTTCAAACTCATTAACAAAATTCTATTGTTTCAATATTCAGAGGGGATTTTCTTCGCCCACAAAAGAGCTGAGACTTTGTTATTGCGCACAATACACAGCCTACCACGCTCTTTCTGACGCACCATAAATTGGTTCAGAATTTCCCCTTTTTACAAAAATATAAACGCATGAATATCAACACAATAGAAATTGGTTGATGAGCCTTTGGCATCTTGTAAGAAACACTAGCTAAAACTATCGTTTCGAACTCGTTAACAAAACTCTATTGTTTCAATATTCAGAGGGGATTTTCTTCGCTCAGATAAGAGCTGAGACTCTGACATTTGCGCACAATACACAGCTTACCATGCTCTTTCTAACACACCATAAATTGTTTCAGAATTCCCCCTTTTAACAAAGATATAAACGCATGAATATCAACACAATAGAAATTGGTTAATGAGCCTTTGGCATCTTGTAAGAAACACTAGCTAAAACTAGCGTTTCAAACTCATTAACAAAACTCTATTGTTTCAATATTCAGAGGGGATTTTCTTGGCCCACAAAAGATGTGAAACTTTGACATCTGTGCACAATACACAGCTTACCTGGCTCCTTCGAACAAGCTAAAATGTGATTCAGAATTCCCCTTTTCACAAAGATATAAGCGCATGAATATTGTAACAATAGAATTTTGTTAATGAGCTTTCGACATCTTGTAAGAACCTCTAGCTAAAAATAGCGTTTCAAACTCATTAACAAAATTCTATTGTTTCAATATTCAGAGAGGAATTTTCTTAACCCACAAGAGAGCTGAAACTTTGACACTTGCGCACAATACACAGCTTACCACGCTCTTTTTAACAAGCTAAAAGGTGTTCCAGAATTCCCCCCTTTCACAAAGATATAAACGCATGAATATTGAAACAATTGAAAATTGTTAATGGGCTTTGGCATCTTGTAAGAAGTACTGGCTAAAACTAGCGTTTCAAACTCATAAACAAAATTCTATTGTTTCAATATTCAGAGGGGATTTTCTTGTCCCGCTAGACAGCTCTACCTCTTACATTTTCATACAACACACAGCTTATCACGCTGTTCCTCTCGCACTATAAACTGTCTGAGAATTCCTCCATTATTCAGAGATATAAACGCATGAATATTAAAACAATAAAAATTCGTTTATGAGCTTTTGGTAACTTGTAGGAACCTGAAGCTAAAACTACTTTTCAAACTTATTAGAAAAAGTCTATTCTTTCAATATTCAGAAAGCTTTTTAGAAAAGCTAAAACTTTGATACAAGCACACAGTACAAAGCTAGTCGTGCTTTTTCGAAAAAGCTAAAGACTTTTCCGGAATTCCTTCTTTTTACAAGAAAATTTACGCATGAATATTGAAACAATAGAAAATCGCTAATGAGCTTTTGGCTTCTTGTAAGAAGCATTAGCTAAAAGTAGCTTTTCAAATATCATTAACAAGATTCTATTGTTTCAATATTCAGAGGGGATTTTCTTGTCCCACTCAAAAATTGCAACTTTGACACTTGCACACAATACACAACTATAGTGGCTCTTTCCAACGAGCTAAAAGTTGTCCCCGAATTCCTCCATCTGACAAAGAAATAAAAGCATGAATATTGAAACAATATAAATTTGTTCATGAGCTTTTAGCAACTTGTTGGCTGAAATCTAAAAATACTTTTCAGACTCATTAACAAAATCCGATTGTTTTAATATTCAGAGGGGATTTTCTCGGCCCACGAAAAAATAAGGAATCTGTTCATGAGGTTTCAGTTACCACTGCGATACCCCTCGCTTAAGCTCCTTCAGAAAATTTTATTGTTTCAACATTTGCTAGTGAAAAATCTGTAAAGTAATGAAAACACGTGACTCATATTATGGTATTCTTAACCTTTTTATTTGCATATTCTACGTAAACTACCATGTGCAATGTGAATTTTGTATGATTAATCTAGCATATGACACTTTCACCTATTTTGTTTCCAAGGTGTTTAAAAAGGGTAAGAGAATTAGAGACTTGCTCTAATCACATTACAAAAGACTTCTTCCAACTTTTTTACGTGAAACGTTAACGAGTGTGTACTAAATATGAAGGCCGGTTTTTTTTCAGGAACGCACACATTCACGTCTTCCCGAAAGGCTCCTTCATCAGTGGCCCTATCCAATGTCCATTGTCATCTGCTTAAATCATTAATACTTTCCTATGTTAATAATCTTCATGGTTATATACATAGCTTTGGCACATCCAGAAATTCAGGTAACGAGGGGGGTGGAGGGGGGGAGGAAGGCGGGAAGGAGGTGGTGGAGATCAAAGACAAGGAGGGGGGGTCTCCACCGGCACAATATAAACTCAGGAAGAGAGATAGGGGTTCTACCCTCCATTCCTTATCTGCCAACACTATATAGACTGTTTTAACAATGACTAAATGATGGTGATAACCTTTTTACGAATCTAAAAAATTTAGTGTTTCATCTAAGCTCAAAAACTTATGGAAATGTTTTATGTAATATTTTTAAAAGCACTGGTATTTAGAGCTCTGCTAATAGAGGTTAGTTTACCTTTGACCTACGGCCTCGTAATCGCTATCATGCTATCGAGATTGGCGGGTCATTTGTATAATACGAAAGGTTTCAGCAAAATTATGAGATAAAAGTTGGCAGTTCTTTACGTAACGCAGGAAGTGGCTGCAAATGTGATAATGGAACACTATTTACAATGTAGGGAACGTAACAGGCTCCTGGCCTGTTAAAAAGTCCAGCATTAGCTTAAAGTATTGACAATGACGAGAGACTTGGGATAAAGACGCTTACACTCCTTAGTTTGGTTTAAAGGTGCGATGTAAGTCTAGAGGCAAACGTCGTTTGCATTTATGTCACTCGTTTAATACAGGTTCTAAATTCTTCTACTCGGTTGTTTGTAGCGGAGAAATCCTCAATGCAGTTAACTACAGTGTCCTTCAGTTTCGGGTTTCGATGCTCATCTCGTAAGTTCGTCAGATCTACGCATGCTCTGACCATTAATAGTTCCTAACAGTAGCCTATGAAAAGTGTTGTCAATAAATGCTTCGCTAATGCTGACCGTGTCGTTCCCGCACAGCTCTCATCACATGCTTCTCATGTCGCCTCCACTCACCCCCATACCAATTACATTCACGTCACCTGGACTCTGTCCGTTGCGGCGCTTCAGTTCTTCCAGTTTCTTGTTCCAAGCGATGTAAAATCGTTGAACCTCATTCATCATGGCCTCCTCGATTTCTGCACACTGCATGGCCACTAGGTTTTCGTAAGAGGTTTCTGGTGTCACGATCCGTTCAACCTCTGAAATAAAATGAGAAAAAAAACAAAAGAATTAGCCACCATAGGAAGCTAAAATCAGTATCGCTGCGATAGCAGTCCGACTCCATGAGTAAGTATTGATTAAGATGCCTTCTGCTGCACTGTAATATTGCTTTGCGAGATTTCCAGCCAAGAATAATAACTCCCCATGCGTGAGAGTGTATTATTGAATCAAAGCTTCTTACCTGTCTTTGCTTCTTTAGGCTGACGTGGTCGCCAATATAGGAACTCCCAAATGAGCCCGCATATGGTCAGCGCACCTACAAGTCCGATACAAGTGTAGATGGCTTTCCTGAACATTGGCGATTTGGCATCAAATAGATTGTTTGTTTTCTCCACGGCTGCGCTCTCCCCTGGTTCCTGAAAGTTTTTATTTTTTGGTAAAAAAAACAATTCAAATTTCATGCACATTTTTTTCATCAAGCGTTGATTATCCTGAGTATATACTCAACGCTAAGCTGGGAGAGCAAGGAAAAGGGCCATCATCACGTGATGTGCTCATGAGCAAATCTATTTTTATTCTTTGAGTTGTGGTTCTTCCCGAGTTCACAAATTGTTTTTCAGCTCGTGAGTAACAACTTCCCTCCTAATAGCTAAGCTATTGGCAAAAGAAGTATTTATCAGTAGGCAACAAACATACCAAGGCGGCGAAGGAACCTATTGCCCCACACCACCTGATCTTGTCTTTGTGTCTGTAGGATGAAGTACTGACAGCTTAGAGTGTTGTGTATTTCACTTAAACTGATGTTTAGCCCGTTGAAAGTTGTCCCACTTCCACCACATCGGTTTGGAAACTAACCCCTGGGCGGCAAGAGGCGCTTTATGAGTTATGCTTTTTACCCGAAGGTACGAAACTCTGCCTCCTACCAGAACAACAACCAGGTAACCAAGCCAATTATTTTTACTGGAGTCCAACACACTAATTCTCATATGCACTTCTTCCCCAAACTTCTGACTGTCAAAGAAGTATGGAAAAACCAAATGTAAAAGAGTTCAAGTTAAAAGGCGTGAAACATTTACCTCCATAGTTTTTGCCTGCTCTTGGATGATTCCCGTTATTTCGGTTTCCATGCTGTTAAGCTTCTTCCTCATACATTTTTCTGCCTCTTTCAAAGCACCAGCGATAACGAAGCCATAAGCAAACTGATGATCGAGCACAGTCCCCACGCGGAGATCCGGGTTCTTTAAAACAGGGTCTTCTGCTACCTTAGCCCAGTAGCCTGCGACATAACTATCTAGCAGCGCTCCAGTAACTTTTGGTTCTTGGTTTATAACAGTATCTTTGAGTTCACTGACGCTGTTTAGTTCTGAAATGTCAGAATACATATGTAAAGCTCCATTGTTAAATACTTTAACTGCACTTCTGATTAATGGCTGTCACAACATTTCTGCGAATGAACACGATATGTGACGGCCAATCTAAAAGCATAGAATAAGGATGATATCAACCTGGAAAAAAAATGGATCTGCAGAGTTGCCTCTGGACTGGCAGGTGCGATTTTAGATGCAAGTGTCTTACTTTGTTAACGAACACAGTGAATTTATTACACGAGAAATCTTGTCACCAACCTGTAACTTTAGCATTGTTTCGTACACCAAGCCTTTGCTCCTCTGTGTTCTTCAAAGCGACAACCTAATAGAAATTTCGCCGGTAAACAGAGCACGTTTTGCTGCGTAAGTAGGTAGATAAGTCAGCGGATAAAACCCTAATTTTTGACCTTTTCAACGAAAGCAACTGAGCAGGTCTTTCAAGTAGTATTGCAAGTTATGGAGGCCATCTTGGAGGAAAATCCATATGATTGGTGCATTAGTACCATATGGTACAAAATACTCTACTCTGATTGGCTGTGCGCCATAGTACCACCGTTTACTACTGAGGTGGTTGTAAGTGTTACGTACGTGGATCAAACTGGTCAAAATTTGACGATTTCCTTTCAAATATTTCCATTCTCAATTGGAGCTATTTTACTTACGTCAGATCCATACAGTTTGATTTCGTTGCTAAGCGATATGGCGGTGAGCGACGTTGTGACTGTAGCGGTAAAGATTGATATAATCACGAGCCCAATGAGAACCCAGATGAAAGCAAACGTACGAGCCAGCACTGATCGTGGCGCGCGGTCACCGTACCTGAAAGGTAAACAGAGGCGTGATTTAACCTCTAGTTTTCAATTTTTATTCCTTTGATCTCAATTACTTTGTTGTTGAAGCTGAACAAAGTTTTGATCCACAGTTTTTTTCTGCCGTTGAGTTATGGATCATAGTTGTAACCGCAAAGCTTTGCTACGGTTGTAGAATTATAATTTCGCTTGAATACTCGTGCCAGTCCCTTTAACAATGAGACGCAGAACCAAAATCAACGGCCGCATGTTCACTTCCTTTCCGCTGCACTTGTGGCTGCTGGCTTGCATTTTCGTTCAGATTGGCTTTTATAGGATTTTTTCTAAAATGACATTTACTCAGAAAGCTCTGTGGCAGTGTGGAATGCCACTCTATCAATTTAATGTTGCTCTTATCAGAATCTACTTAAGCACCACTCCTCATTTTTTGCTCGGGACGGGAGGGGGAGGGGTGGTTGGGGGATTTTGGCTATGCCACGATAAGGTCTCCCCCCTCGACGATAAATGATAACTTTTCACTATATACGACCATTAAGTTAAAAATATACGCTAAAGCAACGAACAACGTTCTCACCCAACAGTTGTCATGGATACAAATGCCCACCAAAAACCTTCCCATGTTCCTTTGAAGAACGAGCGCGGGAATTCTTCAGGATTCCAGTAAGTGTCCTAAAAGAAGAAGAAAACACCTTGATGAGGAGTTTGTTGAAAAATAGAGATTAAATGAGGGTTAAGGTTTCGAGCCACCCGTGTGTCGGGAAAATGGGATAATTATGTCTCCAAAAACGAATTAATAATAATAACTTGGAAGCTTGGAGTGCTTCTTAGGAAAGTTCGTGTGATAAATTCCATGACCATTGCAGTTTTATATTTAATGTAAATTAAAATTACCTGTTAAGAATGTAACACTGTTAGCAATAGCGTTGTGTCAGTAAAGAAGTATTATAATGTACTGCAATGTACTGCTGTGAGTATTCTATTATTGTCAGATAATGCAATGTTGTCGAAAAAAATTATGTATTTTTGTTATGTTATTCACGAGACTCAAATAATGATAATGATATTATAAGAATAATTTTATTTGGTTAAACGTAATCCTCAATTACGGAGTTTTCACTCCCGAGAGCAACCATTAGAGAATTTCTCCCCACATATCGATACATTTTGGAAAATGATTTGAGAAAATAAAATATCACCTCTTGGTTATTTTTTGATCAAACATCATATTTTCTGAGCCAAAACTATAGGAAATATGTGACACACAGTGCTGAGAATTGATACTCAGAGTTGAGAAAGAAAGCCTCGTGTACTAACCAGTGCCCAAACTACTATGCCAGACAGCGCAGCCATGATCAGCGTGAGGAGGAGGACAGGCCATCCCTGGAACACAGCCTCCATGACAGCCTGAGCAGCATTGGATGAATCTTCCTTTTTGACGATGAACACAACGCCAGGAGACTCGACGACTGGATAATATGGGTGGTTTTGAAAAGTCACGTCTTTCATGTCTCCATATACGGGCATGCTGATCAGTGTGCCTGTTATTTTGAATGATATTTGTTCTTTCACTTACAAGCTTGGTAGATTATTAAATCATTTTAAGATCAGTCTCTATTCTTCTTGTTTTGAGTTTCTCGTAAAAAGAACATAGACACTTAGATTTCCCTCTCAGAGAACACAATATTCGAGGAAGAACGCTTTTCGATTGAGTGTCGTAAAACCGAACCCAAAGTAACCACAACAGCCAATCAGAAGAAAGGAAAAAAACCCTAAAGAGCCATAGAGAAGGGAAGAAAAAACAACCAAACTTCCTCAAGCGCGGGAAAACGCAGGCGACCCTTCTGATTGGTTAAGAAAATGGCGCAAGTCTGTGGACCAATCCCAAAGTGAAGTAGGGCAAAAACAGAGCAATTCCGAATTACTTTCGACAATCAATTGAAAACTCGTGACTCGATTGTTATTAAAACACTAATTTGACCTTTAATCAAGAAAGAAAAGCAGATTAGGAAAACACAGATGAAAGGAAAAAATATTGAAGCAGTAGAGAAACTGATAATAAAAAAGTAAGTAAAAAGATGTATGGAGATGTACCGTTCTTATCGATTTGCTTTTTAACCACCTCAGAGTCATTGGAGGGAACTTCACTAAAATTGAGCTTCACGCAGGTTGGTTTATCTGTGCCGCCATCACAACAATCTTTTACAAGCTTCTCCAGAATTTTTGGAAAGATGCCAGTTACTTCTTTTTTTGAGTCTTTGTAAATGTATGGTGGAATCTCCCACCAGTCGATTTTTAATGACATGGGACATTTGTTAACTACTTGCTGTTGGCAGCCTGTAGCTTGGGGTGCTGCAATGATAAAAATAGATATTTGTTATCGTATAGAATTTATAACCAATCACTTCTCTGTAAAACGATAGGTGACCGTGATATTCACAACTTCTTCGTCTTGAAGATTTAGAAGCAAACTTTTCAAGCTGTTGATTTTCCCCAACTGCAACCTTTTTTGGTCCAATTCAATCTCTTTATGAATATTTAATCAGGTCATTAACTCCAGGTTTTGTTCAAACATTTCTAGTACTGGTATATTTTCTAAGGTGATTATGCAGAGGGATGATTGCTGGGCAACCGGGCGTACGTCACTGAAAAAAAATGTAAATCACCATGATCATGAAGAAAACAACATAAAAAGAAACAAACGTGCCAGAGGGACAGATGAAAATTGCAAGGAATCCTGAGAACAGGAAATGTGAAATAACCTACTATAAGATGTATAATCTTAAACACAATGTTAATTTAACTTTGCAAATTTCACTCTCATACTCGTTCCTTAAGATTCCAATCGCTCTACATAGTCCAATTCAAGATCATGTTACTCTGTGTCATCAAAACCTACATATGTCTCTATTTTAAGTGTCAAAGTCCTCTTTCCGATGTGAATTGACACAAACAGATATCTGAAAACATAAAACTACAATATTTTAAATCGCGAGAACAAATTTGGGTGTCCCTGTTACATATCGGTGGTATTTCTTTGGATTATCATTTTTCTCTTTCATTCAATAGATCTTTTATTAGCTAAATCGTGCGTTGCAGTTTTGTTCTTTTTAAAACCGTTTTCATACAGGTGAATTTTGAAACGACTGTCCTTGGCAAAAAAAAAAAAAAAAAAAAGGCCAAATAAAATTCAGCTACCTTAACAATTCGTAGCGGAAAGCATAATAAGGATATTGCCAGAATATACTACACAAATCAACTTTCTTTTCATTCTCTTTAAACTTTTGTGAAGCTTGATTTTTCTATGAAACATACACTTATCATTTTCGTTTGTGTATAAGTGAGGGCTTGTAGAATATTGCGGTTTAAAGTATCGTACAACTTCCTGTAATTAACAACCACGCAATTAGGAAGCCAGTGAATGTCTTCGCAGAAAAACTTCCCCACCATTTTACATATTTATGTTAATAATGTTTTGAATCATGCAAGATAAGCTAAAACCTATTTATCTTCAGGATTACTTCGACTATCTTCTAAAAAAAACGGTTTTGTATCTAAAAATAGTCTCGCGGTTTCTGCCGTTTATTAAAGGGAGACTTAAATAAAAAAATGAACTTTATTTACCCCTGAAGAACTGTTATCCTTATGTTTGTTGATTGTTTTCCAGATTTTGTCAAGTATTTGTCAAAAATGTATTTGAAATTGTAGGAGGGTCCGTCAGTCGTACAAAAATCAACCGTAAAAATATTTCATGTGATCACAATTTAAAGACATCAACCGTTACTGTAAAGTGGCCAAAATTTTTAAGCTTTAGCCGTAAAAGCCATTACCGCATCGAGACTCTCTTTTAAGAAACGAAAAGAAGTAATTTTGACCATTGTGTAGAATGTCTTTTAAATTTTAGTCTAATCGGCAAACCTGCAGAACCATTCTAAACTACCGAGAAATAAAAAACGGACGGAACTAGTAAGTTGGTAAGTTTAATAGAAATATATTAAAAAATTCTCATTATCTCGTGTGTCTTCACTATCTTCGGAGAAGACATACGAATATCAATTATTAAAAGCAAGAAAAATTTCGGATTTGTGCAAGTTCTCTGATTCTGAAAAATGGCACGTTAGCCTTTGAGTGTGTAGCGCCTAAACGAATGCCAAATTTCTTAGATGAAGAACTTTTCCAAAACGTTTTAAAAGAACGCAAAAATTCAACGGTGACTTTTCTTAAAGTCATGTACCACCAAAGCGAAAATAAACATTGGCTGCGCTTTGGGCAATAAGTTATACCCGTTTAATGAACAAAGCTGAAAATCATTTCGAGAATTGTATCCAGTGGGATTCTTTCCAAAAATTGGATGCATTTTTATCGCAGGAAACCTCCTGAAATCGGGAAATCGTTGCTTAAACCACTATCGATAAATACAAGGTTTGTAATTAACATTCTTGCTCGCGAATAATAAAAATGTATACCCATTTAAAGCGGCGTTTAATTCGTCGTATTTCGACGCTTAGCGTTCCAGCGAAAATTACACGAAATTTTGCAATGGTCAGTGGATGAAATGCTATGAAAATACCTGGCGATGTTGAACTAAAAATATACTTACCGGATACATTAGTGGCGTTGTTACTTGCCACTACTTCAATATGGCTGAGTATAATGAAGGATACAACATACGTAAATGCGGGACAACAGAAAACCCTCATAGTTTTACGAGAATTCTTCAATAAATCCTCGTTTGTCCGTTGAAGATAACGATTTTCTTTACAGAAACGAATACTTATTCACAGAGGTATCACAGCGCTTTCTGATAGAACTTGAGAGAGTCGCTCAGTTCGAATGGAAAATTTGACAGGCTCTGCGAAAATGCAAATTTGTTGAATCGAATCACACATCCTGGACGTGTGTATACCTTGGGGATTAGACTCATTTATTATTTATAGTTGACACACGAAAAGCCTGTTTAATTCAGTAATATTTATTCTCTTTCGTTTTTTCTGAATATTTACATCGTTCCTTTGCTCAAGTTGTTAAAATAGATCGGATCAGAATTTCGCAGTGGAGAAGTTTATGTTGGAAAAGTAAAACTCTTTTGTCTAAGTTTGCGCATGAGCAGAAAGAACAAAGACAGGTGTTTCCTTTCAGATGCTTAGAGATGTATGTAAACTGTTTTTGTATTTCAAAACTGAACATGTAAATGTGACGATTGTTATTAGAATCGCCTAAAGCAGAAAGAAACACACGCTGAGCATCGAGAAACAAGACGATGAAAAAAAGAACTAAACTAAACACTTGAAAGCACACCTATTCTACAAATTTAACTCATATCTTCCCAATATATTTTAATTTTTTGCATAATTTTGATCGAAATACTAGGTCGAGGGGTGATTTTTTCTAAATCTTAAAGAGCATGCCAAATAGTGAAATTTCAAAATGGTTGTTATAAAAAATATAGCCTGAATAGGAACGCAAGTATTAATTTCGATGGGATGTTAAGAAACCTCTGACAGAAGAGAACTTCGAAGTGACAGTGCAAAGTTTCTGTTTGCTTTCCAAATAAATAAATAATGATTCACGATGATTGTACAATATTCTCATAACGGGAAGAAGGATTGATGTTACGTCTATAGATGCTGAGGGTGGAGAGAGATAACCATTACGATGAGCTTTAATTCCTACAAGAAAGCTAAACATCTAATCCAATCTTGAATGGTGAACAAGAGGGGAATGTCTCCATCATTAATTCTGGAAGAGTTCGTTTTGTGTGCCATTGAGCAACTCGGAACATCTGGTTTGTCCCAAGCGAAGGTTCGAGATAATAGGACTTCTGTTCTAGATAAACAATGAGGCGGCGATCAACCAAGAACTCAGAGAGTTGAAAAATACAAGGCAATGACCTCCCCATATCTCCAACAGTTTCCAACACAATTTATGGATATGAGAAGCTAACTTTTCGTAAGAACGAGGAGTGAAGTGGCCCAATTGACGACCAGTCATTATTGATCACCAGGGGGTCGCAAAATTTGTGGGGAATCACATGTTTATTCGGGGGGGGGACAGAGGAGGGATCAGTCGAAAATTGGCTGCCAATGAGATGGATCATTTAAATACTACAGAGCCTTATGAAGAATCAGGTGAATCTTTTTCAGTGACACACAGCCGAAATCCCCCCTCCCCCTCCACTTCAGGCGATAGATAATGACCAGTCTTTTGGCTAGTAGGGCCACACTGCGCATGCACCAATCCTTATTAACGCTGCGATAATCGAGAAGCTTTCAAAACAGTTTTACTTTGCTCTATTGCACCAAACTACGCGTGCGCACATCACCCGGCAGGTAACACATTGTTTTGACGACAAAAACCGCTGAGACGTGAAGACAATGCATACTGGAAGAAGTATGTGAAAGATACTTTGCAATATTGGAAGTTTTTGATATTAAATGAAATTAACTTTAATTAGAAGTTCCCCACCTGAGAGACACGATTTGATAAAAACTACGTTGAGAATACAACTCTAAAAGCGAAGCTGTGAATTTGTCGCCAAGATCCAAAGTTGCCATAATTTCAAAACGAATCGCATCACTGAAGCGAAAAGTGTAATTAAGATTACTCGCATTTCTTGGTTAAGAAAATTAAAAACAATTCAAACCTCTACCACTTATTTTAAGGTAAATTTTATCTTTCGAACTAAGTAAATTTTGTCATTAAACGAATTATAAAACGAATTATAATAATTTCCCAATTATTTGTTACACTTCGGCTCAAATAGGAAAGAAAATTCGCTAGTTTTGGAAACTCATCAAGCCGTACCCACTTCCTTACTCCTCAAATAACCAAGTTGTTGTGTCAAATATTTCAGGCAAACTTTGCAAGATGGAAAATATTAAGAAAAGTACTTTATTTAATTTTCTCTTTAAGATAGAACTTCAGCAATTTGTTTATGGTAAAGTCAAACTAGTTTAGGTTCCTTAATCTTCTCTGTAAAATGGAATACCAAAATTTATCTTAGGGTATACTGAAAATTATAAAATAACACCTTGAACGGGTACTACATGCTACTGGTGTCCATAGTGTTGTCTGAAACACATCAGCGAAGTTTTTGTTTTTACAGTAGATTTGTTAGGTGGTTTTTAATTAAACAGGGACGTGGAGGATAAACAGTAAGGTGAAACATTACCACTGAAATTTGTATCTGGGAGACACTTGTTCAAAGCGTACAACAACTCGGTTAATGGATGATTCTTCATTTGCCTTCCACTTTTTTTCTACTTTTCTTTTCAGCGTTTGGATTATTTTTGACAATTTGTTTTCATCTTCCAACGCTCTCCTTCACAACTGATGTTTACGCTCTAGGCAGAGAGGAATTCGCTCAGAACAGTAAGTTAGCGGATCATAGAGAAGCAGACATCATATATCTTATACAAGCACAGAGTTGCCTATCTGAGCATTACACTTCATTTATAAAATTAGCAAGTAGCACTAGACGTGACGTTGTAGTTTTGAGTTGGGGCAGACGATGTCAAGATTCGTCCACAAATCTTGGCAGCGTGGTTTACATTCAAGGAGAGAATACGTCATGGAGTTCCGGGCGAAATTTGTTGTATCATTGGGCTTTGCAGAGAAACAGGAGCTATCTGTACTACGTTTTCCTTGATGAAGATATCGAGTTTATCTTCACATCGAATACGACCCAGGATAGGGGTTACAAGGAGGGAACTAAACATCCACTTGAAGCCTTTGAAAACTTTCTTCTGGACTACGAGCCCGCGGTAGGTCTGTGCAATTATTGCAGTCGTTGTGGGAAACTTGCGGAAAACGGTTCTTATTATGTACCTGCGCTTTGTTGCTCGCCGCGCCCTGCAACTGGAAATCTCCCGCCGATTTTACCGGTTACAATATCTTTTGACGCCGCTGTAAACGCGTTTCACACCAAGGCAGTTCAACATATTCTACCTTATAGACTGGACTACGAGGAGATAAGCTGGTGGGAGAGCCAAAAATATGTTATTTTAAAGTCAGATATTTTATTTCGCGGTCAAGTTATACGCTATACGCCGGTGACTGCCATCAACAACGAACACAGGGATTATCCTCAACGTCCAATTGACAACTGGGAGGATATATTGCTCGATATTAGGAAAAATGTGCCACACAAATATCAGAATCAAAGCATTTTCAACATGAAACTGGAAGTTGACATGATTCCAATTATCTCTGGGAATTTCCTTTTCACACCATCATGGAATATTTCAATTCCTGGTCCTAAAGTACCTATTCAACCATACAGTCATTTTCACAAATAGTACGAGCAAAAGGCAAAAATGTCAATATTATCGGAGATATTTGATACGTTTATCAACCACTCTTTCCGTTTTGAAAACTTCAGATAATTTTAGATACAATAACGCTGATTTGTAGGATCTGTTCTTTCCTAGCTCATTCCGTTCTCGCTTAATGTTGTGGTGATAAACCGTTGAAATGGACTGAAACCTTAAAAAAGTAATTAACCCCAGTAAAATAGGCACTTGAATAGGGGAGAAATATGAGTTAACATATGGGCTTTATTTTTAGTCTTTTCTTGCGCTAAAACCAGTTATAATTCATGCAGTTGAGGAGAATTTACCCGGAACGTTACCGCCAAGCAACGAAACTAAGCAATGATGACACAATGTTATGAGTGAGAAGGTTGAATTTTCCGGTAAAATTCAAGGACAAAAGCAACATAGCAAAATGTAGACAGGAGTTACGCCTTGACTGAGTAGTTCATTACAGTCTTGCACAAACATGGGAAGCTGTAACACTTTCCTTTGAATGGAGTTATTTTTTTGTCTACCCACGTACATGGTTAGTGTTTTTGAGAAATCTCTTCACTTTAAGGTAGTAATACCAAGAACATTTCGCGTCAAGATGAGTTATAATTTATTTATTCGAATTATAGGCTATTCATCATTTGTTGTACATCCTTCTTAATATAATATTTTTGAAGAATGCCCCTAAAATCGAGATTTCGTTATTCTTGCACAAATCTGGGTCAGTCTTCATCGAAACTTTGGCGGCTGCCTCGTTTCAAGAGCTTTTTTTCTGGAATACTTCTTTCCGCTGGTTTCAACCTGGTCAACAAAACGTACTCTGTTGAATCACTACTCCGTTCATTAGTTGTCATGGCCTCGTCTCCTGGTCGAGGGGGCCATTCAACGTACTGGGCGTTGGTTACTAAAAATGTTCATGTACAAGGAAAAAAAAAATTAAATCATCTAAATCCTTGTAGAATTCTAAGTATGTTGCGTAATTTAGTTATGAGTTGAATCTCAATGTTTAATAAAATACCACGCATAAAAATATAAAAAGTTGGAGGTGTGACTCTTACCTGCTACGCATAAGAGAACTGCAAGCGACAGTGTAATCCACATATTAGGGCTCATGGTGACAATACGCGTTTCTTTGAAGCTGTAGAGATGTTTCCAGACTTGGTGCCTTTCGTTATTTAAAGTTGTGAGGTACGTGCGTGGTCGGAAAAAGGAGACTTCAAAATTTCGAAACTGCTAACCAAATACTCCACCGGGAAATTAATGCACTTCCTTAAAAATTTGGGCTCGTTTCCACTTGCGAAAGGGAGATCTGCTCGCGCTTAAGGGTCAATCTAAAAACCTCAGTTATTCATTATGGCTTCAGCGCACTTTGGAACAGTTCTGTTTAATCGTTCTTCGGAATTAGAATTCATAGTTATGAAGCAAGCCAGCTATTCCAATCAGATCACCAAATTCCGCAAGAAAATGAAAAAACGCTTTTCAGCGAAGACAGCACAACCCATTGGTTGATTTGAGCTTCCGTTCCTTCCTTTTTTTTTTATAGCAAATATCAAAATTATATCTCGGTAATTTACGAAGCCCCGAAGCCGACATCATATTTTGTAATTCATGTAATACCTAATTTTCTTCACGCGTTGGGATAAGATCTTATCATCGTGTGAATCTGAAATATTTCAAAAATAGAAACATGCTTTCTTTTTGAGGAAAATCAGTTGAAACGGTGGGCGCAAAATGCCTGGCGATTTAATATGACCTGAGGTATAGGTAATCTAACGACGACGGATTAATTCATCAGCTAGTGAAATGTGCAAAAAATAAGAGCGATTTTTCTACTTGCCCGTGGAAAATAGGAATGTTTTTCGGGATTTTCTTTCTGCAAATTTGATAACCTCGTTGCATATACCAATAACATAAATAGGTATGATTATTATAAAAAGTAACATTCGATCGATTAGTTGGTTTTTTAAATAGAATAACCTAAAAAACTGAATCAAAGACTTAAGGATTTCCAAAACAATTTAGAGCTGTGTGGTTGATTTCCAGCTTCAACTTAATATGAAGATCTTAAAATTGCCAATGTCGTGCATTCGCAAACGGCTTTCATTAAGGCGGTATGCTAAAAAGACTCAATTTCTAATAGGATGTATGTTTGTAATTAGTGAGATGTGACGCGGAACCTTTCAAGATCTTGCTCAATTTCATTACCTAAGTGGATTTTACTTACATTAGATATCTGGGAAATGATAGTTGCCGAGAATATAATCATATTGTAGTATAGTTTCTCTTCGGTTTTAGATACGAAATGTGTTGCACAACTGAAAATACTTGGTCAGCTTCCGTCTGTGATATTCAACGTTTGAGTAAGAACATTTTTAGTTTAATTGGACGTTCCTAAAAGAATCACCTTTACGGTCCTTTATTATTTCTCTCTTCAAACTTAAGAAGATCTCTTTTCCAATGTGATTTTTTGGCTATCTTTAAGAAAAAAAGTTCTGTATCCCCTAAAAAGAAGTAATATTAATTATGGAAATACCTTGAGAAAAATTAGATTGTTTTCTTTGAAGGAAACGATGTTAAATCAATTAGGAAGTTTGGTTTACTATCTACCCAAAATATCTTGCCAACAGTAATTGAACTTTGATTCCAACGTTGTCAAAATTTAATTAAAAATCAAGCATAAATGCCGAAATACCTGTGCTTCCTGCCTCAAATTATTCCGTCTCAAAAGTGACGCTCTCCGGTCCATGAACGTGTAGATAAGCCAAGAACAGAAATTATAGCGAAAAGTTTTACGGTAATGTGGCCTTTTCTTCTTTTAAACGTTAGCAAGGATTATTGTCGTCAAAATCACCTCTCTTTGACGCTTTGGATCGAGAGGATCGCTTAGATCAATACTCGATTTGAAAACGTGAAAATACAATAGTGATAAGTAAAAGACTGAGCGAAAAAGAGGCTTTCCCAATTTAAATATTTAAAACTAAATTCCTGCTGTTACGATCTGAGATAACTCTATCCAAGTCCGTCTAAGAACAAAAGCCTCCAAAAAGTGCTTTTTTTTCTGGCAAATCTAGTGGCAAGATAACTTGGACACTATGTCATAAAATGATTAAATTTTTCGCCCTCAAGAAAGGGAAACATTTTTCCTCGCCAAAGACCATATTTTGGCCGAACACTTTCTACTACTGCCTACAAACGGCACAGATTTCATAACACTCCGTCACTCAGCCAGTGTACCGAAGAATTCATGCGCTCCTTCTGACACTAGCAGCTCCGCCGCGTGACACATTCAGATAGACCCTTGATTGCCGCAATGAGGCCGCCGGGAGACGAGATTTGGGAGATGGAGACAAGGTGATGTTCATGAGGATACCTTGAAGGACAAGCGGCCGAACGAAACAAACGGGGAGCTCTGAGTAAGGTCAGATGAGTAATATACAGCTGTATTGTTAGTGAATATGATCCATTCGTTATACGACTTCATTTGAGAGAGGGTTGTGGTCACATTACGAAGCATTTGTTTTCTTTAGTTCGAAATGAAATTCGCGCGGTGGACCGACGTAATTAACATCCCGACACTCTACGTTGATTGGCTAAACTTCTACGCTTTTACACTCAACAGGAAAACACAAAACCTTTTTTCTTTGTCTTTATCTATCACCTTGGAGGTCTGGAGGATTTTGGTCGTGTCATGATAAAATTGTCCCGATCCTTCCATAATTAAGGTCCTGAAATATTCTTATAATCCACCTCATTGGCAGTTAATTGACAATCAATTCATTTAGTCCCCCCTATAGACTCTCTTGGTGACGACTGATCCTCCCTCAGTTCCCACTGAAAACCATGTGATCCCCCAAGAATCATACGATTCCACCCAGGCGATAAATTATGACTGGTTTTTAAAGCTTGTTTTGGGGTAGATAAATAAAGATATATGGGGTAGATAAATAAAGATATATGGGGTAGAGAAATAAAGATATATATGGCAAATAGATAAAGATATATGGGGTAGATAAATAGAGGATATTACATGGCCGCGCGCGGGGATACGAATTTCACTCGTGAGAGATACTTTCAGTACGAGAAGATAAAATTCCTATCCCCGCGCGGCCATGTAATGTTCTGTTTATTTTATTTATACTGATGAAATTTCAAACGAACCGGCCACGCGCCTGAGCGGGAAGCTCTCTTGTAATTGGCTAATCATGTTAGTAACCATGACGACACCAATATCCTCACACAACAGTATCTTCACTGCGCGCGATGAAGTTAAAGGAAAAGGGGCTATAGAAAAATCTTACTTGGTGGGGTCAGGAGCCCATTACCTAATGGGCTCCTGGTGGGGTACGAAAAATAAATACGGAGTAAAACTGTGCAGGACGTCATGTTTATTTACCTCTATATAGCAATACTAGAATTGTGTTAGAATCGAGTTTATTCCCTCGGAAAACCGTCAATTTTAGATTCTCGAGGCTTTCCGCGACTTCATTTTTCTCTATCCTGTTTGCATCGTTTACGAGCGGTTAGTTTTAATTGAATTTCTTGAATCTAAGAACGTAATGTGCGCGGTGCTCCCGATTAAACATCTTTCTACCTCGGTGAAAAATGGTTGTTTTTTTGCCAGGTGGAGGTCCTGCCATCCAGCAGCAAGCCGCGTTTTGAATATTTTTGTTAATGGCATCAGACGAGGGTTTATCAATGGCCCCTGATGAACTAGATTCTTCTTTGTCGCCTGAACTATCTGCCAGGGAGGTTCCTAGGCAAAACGAGAACAAAATTTCGATTCTTAATATTGATACTTTTTTCATCTATTAACAAAAGTTATATTTTGAGCTAATAATTAAGTATGTTTGCTTTATTTTTTTCGTGCTTTGGAGGTTTGGTGCTAGAAAGACTCACTCACATCTGATGCTACTCCACACATCAGAAGAACATCATATGATTACCAACACATGTACAGTCAGAAGTAGTTTCCATGATTACCTCTCCCAACACAAACCCAATGCAAAGGATACCGGACGCACCTTTTGATCAACAGAGCGCAATCACTGGCGAGAAAGTGTGAACTAGGTGTTGACAAAAGTCGAAAAATTGATTTTAGGTGAAACAATATACAAAAGTAAATACTGTTTTTTGTCACCGTCTACTGTTTGAAAGAACTAGCGAAACTCCCTGAGATGTCTGACGTAAAAAAACCTCTTTTTAGCTATTAGTAAAAGAACAAAGTTGACCAAAGATATTTTGTTTGGTGGGTTGAATTTCAAGGTTAGAACGAATAGTACTTTAATTGCCTTTCAAGTTAATGAATAACCAAACAAACTATTAAAATAGTTATTTGTGTGATATTTTTAGAGCAAATAAAAACATCATCTCATTTATAAGGGAGGCTTAATACAAAGAGGCAGGAATCAGAAAACAGGGCGCAGCAGGTACAAACATTGTTATAACCAGATCATTATTACAACATTACTGAAATAATCATTAACCTTGGCCAGGCAAGAAAATGATGTCTACGAAAGTAATTACAGGGCTCCTCACAACAAAGTGGAACAATGTTCAGTCAAGCTGGTACAATTACCAACCCTAGAACGGGGCAATAAACCCCGTGCTAAGATAATCCCTGACATTCGATTTTCTTTGCATGAAACTGAGTTACACGAGCCGTTTTCGAAGGCTGAATGGAAAGCTATCAGAATGACAGAGGGGTCATTAAACTTTGCTTTCGTCGAACAGAACTAGTCTTAAACACTTCATTAAATTATGTTCTGTGAGCAATTAGGAATGGTTTATAATTACTGTAAAGTCTCCTTCATGTCGTAATGTTTTCTTCTGCTTCAATCATACAGCAGTTGTTTTTGACTGGGATGAATTTAATTAGGCTTATCCGGCAACATATACAGAGCATTCAATGTAAAACGCAGCAGACTCAAACAAACGGATATCCACAATCTTTCACGCCAAAACTGTCATTTCCATTCTCCCACTCTTATTTCGTGCTGCATGTATTCTAACTTGCTTATTTCCTATTTACTGAGGTCAGACCATTTTCTTACTTTCATCAACTTTCTTTTTGATCTGGTCGACATGACTCCTTTTTCTTCTACTTGTGCTTTGTCTCATTTTATCTCTGAAAATTGCATATCTGCAATTTTCTATTTCAGTGAAGTCTCGCTGATACCCATCGAGCTGAGTTTCATAAGATGTAAAAACTGAACACCAATACGTATCTGTTGCCAAAATGAAGCTATTCTTTCAAGTTTTTGAACAAAAGATATATCTTAGAAAAAGATGTGATCATGTAGTCCAAAAAAGACAAATTTTTTTAGACGATGATAAATGGTAAATGCACTCTAATCAAACATAATGCTCTCACGTTTCACTTCCACGATAATTTAAGAAGAAATAACGAAATTTCCCATGTGTAGGCAGGGAGTCAGTTATTAATATTTTTCCTTCTTACGCTATTTCATCAAGGCACAACTGTGAACTTGGAGACAGGAAGTGTTTAGAGCGGGAACACAGGAACAACGTGATCAAACTTTTCCTTCTTCTTCAAGTGACACTTCACACCTATGAATTTCACAAATTTCACTCGAACAATCTCTGCTGTTATGTAAATAAACTGAACGAAATATTTTGGCATATTATGGTTGTGTATTTATCTTGTTACGTGCACATTGCACTGTGAATGCCAAATTTCATTTTAAGAGCCACTTTGTACAACTGTGGCGTGGAATTCCGATCAAATGATTTGCGTTGAATAATTACAGACCAACTCAAAGTTTCATCCACTGCGTTAATGTAAACCTGAATCGAGCTGATTAATAGGTTAAACCAACTGAAAATTCTGCTTTGAAAGTTTCATTACCTGGTCTCACACTGGGATTTCATTCACATACTCACAAATTGTAACCACATTGTGCCTTGCACTCACCGTCCTTCTCACAGAGAAGGGCCAATGAACTCTCAACAGAACCGCATGAAAGTAAGGCTTAGAGGCTTTCATTTGAATGGCCTTACTAGCATTTCACCCACAGACTACAGAGTTAAAACCAATTTGTATACCAGTATAATACGTAGTGATGGAACTTCTGCTCAGTTGCTTTCATATGAACGATCACACACGCCAGGGTTTCATTCACGACTCGAAATTCAGAGTACAGCCCACTACCTCCTTAAAAGCTGACATATATATATATATATATTATGGAAGAATAAAACACGAACAGCCAAATTCTCAACTTATTTCGAAGAACGAAGATAATGTAATTTGGGAGGTAAATTTTTCAATTCATAGCGGTTTTCACTATTGCTCTGAATTAAGCCACAACCAGGAAATTGATTTAAGGACGAATTTTATAAGATTTAAAGAATGCTTAAACTCAGTACTTTTAGCACAGTCAGTTACACACATCTCCCTCTATAACGACTGGTATCGAAGCCGACAAAACTCAAATAAAAGATTACAAATTAAATATCGATTCAAAGTAAAAATGTCATGCATCTCCCTAAGCCTCACAAGCGTACAATGGGAAACAGTTTAGATTCAGTAACAAGATTTGTTTGGATAAAAGAGCATGACCTACAAAGTTAAAATCCCTTTACAAATAGAATCTAATTTAAACGAATTTATAACTTTAAAAATTAAAGCAGACAGATTATGATTTGGAATGAAATTAATCTAAGGAACGCTGATTTACCTGCCGTAAAGATTAAACTGCTTAAGAAAACTGCGACGAATGTTCTTGGACACATTGTACTATCTGCTAAGCTTCGGGTCTACACGCAAAGCAGTGGCGACTGTGAAGCTGGATGTACTTAGTGTCGTGTTATTTATAGGCGACTGATATTTGCGTGGTCGGAGAAAAATAGACATCAAAATTTATAAAACATAAACTAACAGTGTACAGTCAGGAAATAGAGGAAACCTCTTAATCAGTTTGAAGTCTATTTCACGAAAGCTCACTAAAGGGGAGCAGAGTCTATTGCTAGAGTACTGTTAAGTGCCATTTCGCTTCAGGCAATAACTGAAAGCAAAAAAATTGTTCGTAAAATAACGTAAAATGAATCATACTTTTGGCAGAATTTTTTTTGTAGTGAAAAGAGCAAGAATTGCTCTGAAATCATGGGGTTTTGGACACAGTCTGGAAGAATTAACGATGTGGAAAGGTAACATAATTTGCACTTTCTCTCTTCCAATAGGATGACCTCAAGAAAAGAAAATTCATTTTAATCTTTAATAGCGAGGGTATTACATAAAGAACTATGTGCTAAGCACACATCTGGCTCTGAAATTGAGGAAGACTATAGAGAGCTGAATTCAATACCACCCCTTGAAGTAAATATCGGAAAAAAGCGTGGTAAATTATGAAAATAAAGTTGTCAAGTGCAACCATTTTTAATGGGCTTAAATGGAGTGTTGATGTACAATTGACAAATTTGGAACATCATTATTTCATTCATGTATTGTCCTATGTTTGTGAAATCATGATAATGCTGCAGCTAACCCACTGGAGGCGAAAAATTTACAACACAATACACGTCATTGAAACTAATGGAAATTAAATCTTTTTTTATTTTTTCGCTTTACAATTATGGGCCACAATTTTTGGACAATTTTGGATTATTAACTTGAAGCAAAAGAAACTTGTCATAATAAGTGACGAATAAGAAATATGATGCAAAGTGCGTTTTATGAGCTTTTATTTCCGAAATAATTCCGTCTTTTATTCGAACTTCACATTTTAATTACTGTTTGTAGTCGCAACAAATGTAATTAAAAATATCCTCCCATGTTGTTATGAAATTCAATAAAAAACGGCACGGAAAAGCTTAGCTTTAAAAAAAAAGGAAGAGAGGGCCGGCGATTATGAAGAGATGTAGTTTAAAACTAAAAAATTGTCACATTTGGGAAAGAAGAAGTTCCCATAATTTTACGTACGAGGGAAAATCAGTGGGAATAACGCCCAAAAATATCGAAAAAAAAAAATGAGTTTTGGCTTTTTGCTTTGTGATATTTACATTGGTACCCTTACCGTCTAAAGAATTTAAGTGTTGTCTGCCGCACGTGTCAGTGTACGTGCCTTGACTGAGCATGAAAAAGGAATAGCAAAGAAGCTGCTTTCTCGAACTATGACCTAACAAATTGATCTCATTGCTTTAGTTTCTCAACATTAAATTGAGAAAATGATTTTTACAGGGGAGGAAGTGAGAAAAAAAAATCAAATTTCTTGTACCAAAATTTAAATAAATAGTGAATTCAGCTAAGGAGCAAAAGTCAACTCAGTAGATAAAATCGGGCTGGTTTTATATTTATTCATTTTCTCCTGGAGACAGTAGTTTGGAAAGCCATTTTAGAGAGAGTAAATTTCTGTGAAATTTGTTACTCACCATGTCGTTTTGGAAGAAAGCTCAAAACTTCCGGAAAATGTTGACCCGTGGTCATGCAGCCCCACTTCTCCCTCAGAGTTGTCAATGCTAATTAATTAGCTTTTAAGGACTTTTGAAAAGGTAAATACGTGAGCCATTTTTAGACGATTTGTACTCTAAAGATGAGCTGAACTGACGTTGATCATGTGAATTACCGGTTTATTGGGCACATATCACGTTCATAGTACTGATGGCTCTCGAAGCTTATAGTTTTGTTGTTTCATTCATTCACGACGTTAACTCTTATCTGATCGGAGCGTCTGTCCATTTAGTTCCGTATAGCCTGTTCTAATCGTTGTCTCCAGATTAAAGAGCAAAGTTTTTAAATAGTAAATAGTTTTACTATTTACCCTATTTTAAAGTTGTAAATGCACCCCTTTTTACATCTCCTATGTGCTCTCCCTTTCATTGTAGGAAAAAACCATTCCTTTACATTCAATAAATTATTGAATGTCGTGTTTCGTTAGTTTTTTAGTGACAATTCCATTACACAAACCAATTACAAAGTTGGAAACGTCCAGGGTGAATTTTTTTTCCAAGGGAGAATCAAATATTCGCATAAAGTAAGAAAAATAAGATCGTTTTAGCATAAGTCAATTCGAACTTGATTCATTCCTTGCAGGAGAAATTTAAGCTCATTAAATAAGTAAGGTATTGATGAATGTTTTAATTACTTTATTTACTAATTAATTGTAGACATTCTAATTTTTGTAATGATACTAAAAATACCTCACAAAGAGAACACACGAATCAACACGAAGGCTGTCTGGAGGAAACCTTAGTCTACACATATAAACACGTGAAAAGAATACCAAGTCAACGAGGTGTATAGAGGACAAGCAAAAATGTCACAAAAACGGGGTAAAAATTAAAACGTGAATTGTGTGGAATATTGCAGTTCAACTTTGATTAACAGCGAGTGTTCCTAGCTGATTATAAAGTGTGAGAAGTTTCCCGCGAGTTGCTACATAATGTGGAAATGACTTCATATGCAGGGGATTTCGAGGCCCAAAAATGCATTGATGCGAGTTAAAATTGATCAAAACAGTTAGGCTTAAGTAAGATGTGTTTTCGTCTTGTCACGAGCGTGGGACAAAGAAAAATTCTGAGTCCCCGTGAGGAATCGAACCTCAGATCTTCAGATTTGCGTTCCGATGCTCTACCACTGAGCCACAAAGACTCTTCGGTGAGCGAGGTCTATTACGAAGTTCTTATGAAACGCGTCCTGCATACTGCTAGGATCAGCAATGTCGACAGCGTAATTTTTTTGCTGATCCTAGCAGTATGCAGGACAATAGTGATGCGCGTAGAAATGAAAGTTTTTCGTTGAGTGGTATTATTGTTAATTCTACAGGGTGTGTAGGCCTCGAAAACGCAAAAACGAGTCACCTGCGGATTTGATCATTCATCTAAGCTATGATGAAAGAGGGACGTAGTTGCTTAGTCATTGGCACTAGAAGGTATGGAAGTACTGGATTCGTTGGACGTTGCATGCAGATACACGCACTCATGCAAATTATTTCTTTCATCACATTCTTCCTTATTATTTCGAATTTCCGAGATCACGTTAAATAAGGAACTACTGCATATCCGGGTGGGAACGTTTGGACGTTCAAACCGACAGAGGTAAATTAAAAATATGGTTGTTTCCCACGGGGCTTTTGAGTTGTAGGACAAAGTTATCAACATGATATCAAACTTTTCGCCACTACAAACAACCCCGTCATCAAAAACAGGAAAATGTACTTTATGCCGTTAAAAAAATACCATGAGAAGGTTTTTTTTACGTAATTTGATCGCAGTTTGAGTTTTTAACTGTGAATTTGGAACGAGCCACAACATGTTGGTTGGCTCAGTGCGTCAATCAGTAACCTTCGATCACGTTGCAACTTAATTATTCTAACCCCACTCCAACAGGAGGTTCATGGAAAATGAGATTAGGATAAGATATACATCCCTTGCAGGTTTTGTCACGTAGTGCATTAAAATAGCTCAGCAGAACAATTTTGCTCGTGTGCCAACGGAGAGAAGTATAAACGTAGTACAATCATCCAAGAATGACGCCAAAATCTTCTGGCATTCTACAATGTTGGCCACCGCAAAAAGTAATCGCTGTGATGAAGAATGACTATCCGTTCTGGCGTCTGATGATAAATTGATCAATCTCTGCATGAGGGATACAACCAGAAGTTGACTCTTTTGATCCCAAATCCGATATAAATTAAATAATACGGGAGAAAAAATCTACATCTCGTTATTGGTGACCCATGCTTATCTCACGTTTCAAACTCGCGACGTTAAACATTACCTTAGCGCATGGGACGAGCTATAAAAGAGAATTAAAAAGTTACACCAGTCTCATATCATAATCATGTGTAATGAAAATTTTCTAATTTAGTGAATGGTCAACCTTTCAATAGAGCAGGGATCCTCAAAGCTCTAAAGGGGTCTGATAGAAGGCAACTAACATCTAACGTTACACCCTGCAAAGGCAATTGTTGGAACATATTAATTACCAACAAGGTGTTGACGGTAATTCTGTTTGTGGTTTTTCTCATTTGTTTTGATTTTCTCCTAAGCCAGGGCGTTAAGTTTGTAACCTTTAAGAGCTAATAGCACTTTAAAACGATTATAACATAATAACTGTAAATGATCAACACCAGTCACATTAAGGGATTTCACGGATAAATTCACGTTCAAAGATGTTGAATACCGCCCGAAAAGGCTGATAATCATATCATTTGACCAGTTTCACGATGAACTGAAAACGTAACGATGAAAATCTTACAGTCGAATTTCCGTGACCCCGGGTATCTCACATCACGGTCCTTGTCGCCCCCTTTCCTTTGGACTTGTATACATATTCTCAACAAACGCTGTGGCATCAGTATTTGAAATGCATTTTATTCTTTAGTCTGCAATGTCCAAAAATAATTTCAGTGTCTCTTTAAAGTTATTCAGAGTTGATTTGAGGGAAGCTGAGGGAAGTTGAGGGAGAGGGGGAGGGAGGGAGGGGTCGGGTCTCAAATATCCCCGCCATAAGGTTTTCTCTGGTCTCTATTATTTTTTTCTTCCGGTCCGTTAAAACTTAAATTAAAATCATTGTTTTCATATTTATTTTAAGAAGAACAATAATGTAGGCTTCTTCCCGACTCCCGTTGGCACCGTTGAAGTTTACGTTAACAAAATAAAACGCCTTCACAGCCAAACCCTGAAATATTAATGTTGTCTTATGAACAGTTTGAAAAAATGATATAAATTTCCGGCATCCATATTTGAACACGAGAGTCAGCTCCTCATGATTCACTGATTAAAAAGTATAATCGTGTACGTCGACGGTGATTCATTGATTAAAAAGTGTAAGAGTCGACGATAACCCCTCTCTGTCCCTACATCAACCACCCGGCCAACGAACGACCATATTCCTACGCCTTTCATTGTAAGTCTATTATCTCGTGAGAGGTCATGGAGAAAGTCACGCGCAGGTCTATACTGTAAGCAAAGAAGCCAAAAATTACAATTTTTGCGGCGTCAAAAGACAAAGAAACCGCTAGATCCCGTGATTTTTCAACATCGAAATACGTTTGATGATATCTTACATTTTTGTTCCTAGTTAGAATAACTGTGAAAGAACTCACTAGAGTGAAATCACCTTCCAATGAAAGTTATGGTTCTCTCTCCCTCTGTTCTCCATTCAACCCACCATAATCTCATTCCCACTCTCACTACTAGCTCCCCGCTACCACGAGCTTTGACAAAGCTACTGTGCTTTATTCCCTACTTTCAACTTCTACTTCTACGCAGCCCTCGTGAAATTAGTAAAAAAAAGTCTTGCCTACATCGAAAACACAGGCATTCGACAGATTATAAAGGAGTTAATCTGCTAAGAAACCATACATGTCTTAATTCGGGATAATGATGATACCAACATTGCTATAAGGTAAGATTTGAACCGACCTGGGCTGCACAATAAGTAAGGCTTGTTAAGCTTTGTTTAATTGCCACACACAGACGATTTGGTCTACATTTGAGAGCTAAAACACCTTGTTCATAGTAGTAAAGAGTATGATGCGCTCTCCCTTCTTTCACCTAGATTGGGATATTAGGGTGACTTTATTTTAAGCATAATGATTACCACATCTACCTCATGTATCATGTATGCAACGAATGTATGCAGGATTTCATCGATAAACTGAGAGCAAATGTTCTATCACGATGGTTGTTTTTGCTCGCTTATAATTAGAATAAATACCTTGCTAAAAAAGTGAAATTTTCAACAAATGAGTAACGTCAAAGCCAATTAATCCGATAAAAATTTTATGCTTCAGACCTGGTTAAATCTCTCGTCTTCGTCGTACCAGACATCACTTAATTTGAATTGGATAGTTTACGTTGACTTAAAAAAAAGCAAAATTATCCAAACAAAAGATAAACATTGCTATTAGGTAAGATTTGAACCGACCTGGGCTGCACAATAAGTAAGGCTTGTTAAGCTTTGTTTAATTGCCACACACAGACGATTTTGTCTACATTTGAGAGCTAAAACACCTTGTTCATAGTAGTAAAGAGTATGATGCGCTCTCCCTTCTTTCACCTAGATTGGGATATTAGGGTGACTTTATTTTATGCATAATGATTACCACATCTACCTCATGTATCACGTATGCAACGAATGTATGCAGGATTTCATCGATAAACTGAGAGCAAATGTTCTATCACGATGGTTGTTTTAGCTCGCTTATAATTAGAATAAATACCTTGCTAAAAAAGTGAAATTTTCAACAAATGAGCAACATCAAAGCCAATTAATCCGATAAAAATTTTATGCTTCAGACCTGGTTAAATCTCTCGTCTTCGTCGTACCAGATATCACTTAATTTGAATTGGATAGTTTACGTTGACTTAAAAAAAAGCAAAATTATCCAAACAAAAGATCACCCTCTTCACATAAGTACAAAGGTTGGGGTCAATGTCTTGACAACTCACTGACAAGTTGCTTTCCCTGAGTCATTGCCTGATAACAGCCTGCTTTAATCTTGTGTACCCAGTGAAAAATTTATCGAGCCTTTATTTATTTACTCCAAGAACAGTCTCGAATGATCCAGCCCTGAGTTCCAGTATCATGGTCAAGACTTAAGGAGTTCAACCAAGAATATTTAGCAGTGAATTCAAGTACCTTGCTTTATCAGATGGGATACGAAGTACTATGTTTTTAGCTTCGTCGGACGTTTTGAAATATATAGCGTATCCTGTTTTAACTTCCATTTTTTTCCTAATAGACAACGTTAAGTAAGTTCGCGTGACCCACATTTCTGTACCTTTCATCACACTTAGAAAAAAAACTGTTCATTTTTTTTACTGACGTGACGTAGGAAGCAAGTTAACGATAAATAAATCGCGATAAAGGTCCAATACTCAAAGCGCATGGATTCGGTTTGATAATGAAACTGTGCTCAGAAATGTCTGTTGAGCTTAAGTCAAATGAGAAATGGGATTGTATTTTTCGATATTTCAACTTAAACCTAAGCGCATGCAAACATCAGTCTAAATTTACGTCACGAAGAATCTGATAGCATTGTAGTTGCACTTCCACGCCTTTACAGTGAGCTGTCTATTTTTGGTAGATGAAACAGGTTGGAGAGAGTGGGGCGCACAAACATATTTGAACAGATTGGTTATGTTATGCCATAAACTCGTGGGAAAATAAAGAAATTGTCGAAGATTAACGGAATATGTTTGATCAAGCGGCGGTCTGATAAAATTTGAGACTGATAGGTTTGATAATTGAATTATCAGCGAAACTGTTTTTAGCTGAGCAATATTTTGTTTATTTCGACGGGGGTGACCTGGCATATCTCATGACGCATTTATGCCACAGGCCTTCCCCCTACAGACTGTTTAGAACATCATTGGGTGTTTATGTCTACATTTATGTGACACTTCATTTTTGTCATCATGGCGAAAAACGTGCCATCTTTGGAAAGCAAAAGAACATTCTTTGCATTTGTAATATGCCCGGTGAAACTAAACACAAAAACATCCCTAGTTTTTATGAATGATTTGCGGAATTTGCACTTGGTGATCATCCCCCCAAGTCAATGAACAAGAGTGATTAAATTGGTGTCTTATTCCCTGTCTAGTATCAAGAGAAAACAATCTCATTTATTTAGATGCATGCCAAACGAGGCCATATTACCTAACTGATGAACACTGATGAATTTCCGTTGTAGCCATTCGCTAGTGCCACGCGCAGTTATGGAAGTATAGGCTCTTTGATATGTCACTCACGAGGTTGGCGGTCTGGTAGCAATGAGCTGAAATTGGATTTCAAAACTTATTGCACCTTTGGCTCATCATTACAACCACGGGAGTCCTCTTTAGGGAAACACGACGTCTCTAAGTAGCTCTACTGAAGAGCCACACGGCATTGAACCACGAATTAAGGCATTAGCTCCGTCTGTCCCCTCAAACGAGTTATGATGCATCTATCAATGATGACAAGGATAGCCCTGACCTGTGTTTTTCTAGGCATTCACGCTCTATCAAGTGATACGAGGTAAGCTTCCTTATCTCACTTTTCCCACGGTTTGACTCTCAAAATGTTCATTAACGTCAACATTTTAACATCTCATCAATACAACTACGCTTTAGACTTTCAGGGTACGATATTCTAACATCGGGACTTCCTTTGGAGGTTGATCCAATACTGAACCCCAACACCGTTTGTAAGAACACACCGTCTTTGAACAGAGAACAACTGGAACTTTGTAAAACGCAAGCCGATGTTGTTGCTAGCGCGTTACAAGGGGCCCAAATGGCGGTACATGAATGTCAACAACAGTTCGCATACACAAGATGGAACTGCTCGTCCTTGGAGACCAAAAACGGCAATCCCTTGACGAGTGACTTATTAGCTAGAGGTTAGTACGTACAGGTATAAGCATACAGGCTTAATATACTGAGCACAAATCCGGCTTATAATCTCAGTTCTGAACGTTCCTGGTGAGGCCATTTATCCAATTCAAGGAAGTGGCAAATCACTCTACTGTGTAAATACTGTGCGGCATTTCAGGTAAGCAGCTCTGGTTTTTGAATAAGTTGCAGGGATTATTGAAAGAAAAATAAACAAGAGATGCTGTTAAATGGTGGAAGACTGCAAATGTTTGGATGTGACCCAAGGCCCTTTGATCTTTCCATATGTCGCTCCTTTTTTTTTTTTTTTTTTTTTTCGTGCTTTAGGCCTTATCATTCGGTTTTTCTTAATTTAGCATCATAAATATCGTAAGCGGACAGATTCCTGTACTTTGACAAAGAGGTGTAAATATAAGTCACGCGGTAAAACCCATTAAGTTTATGATTGTAACATGGCCTCCTCCAAGTGCCAGGTCTAACGTAACAAATAAACACTCTTGTAAAGGTAAACATACCGAAGAAGGATTCGACTGGCCTAAGTAGATTACTAAACTGCAACACATGTTAGCCCTTTCGATCTCATCCGATTCAGATTGTTAGGTTCATTGTCTAAGTGTAGTGAAATGTCCTCTCGAAAATCTTAAATTCCTCTTAAAATGGAAAGCTTGGTGCAGACCTTGATACTTAACAGAAGAGTCTTAATCCGTTCATTAAAAATTTATCCGCCAGATTTTAGGCACCTAAGAAAGCCGAACGCCATTAAAAGAAACTAACTAAGTTCCGACATCACTATCAACATTAAACTGATTTATCTCACTTGAAATACACTAAGTGCTCTTAGTTTCTGGTTTTATTTACTCGTCGCGACGAAGACTATGCTGTACGGCGGCTAAGAATCAATCACATACACAATTGGAAGATTTGTATTACTACGACCACCTTTTGACTATATAACCACATCCTAGTCTCTTTCCTAAAATGTGTTTACTTTATTAAACGGGCACTCTCTAATCTTTGCCTTGATCTTCACCTGTGCCATCTCTAAACGCTTCCGGTGTTGCCTGACAATCCTATCTCTGATCGCCATCAAGATCTTGCCTAGATAATGTCTCAAACTTCTTCAATTAACTTGCAGGTTTCAGAGAGACAGCGTTCGCGCACGCTATTATATCTGCCGGCATGACACAAGCAGTTGCAACATCTTGCAGCGCGGGTAAACTTGGAACATGCGAATGCGACAAAACCGTCAAAGGAGAGGGTCAGGGCTGGAGCTGGGGTGGATGCAGCGACAACGCTCGTTACGGTGCCGTGTTTACTGCCGATTTTATGGACTCTCGGGAAAGAGGGACAGATATCAAGTCGCTGATGAACCTCCACAACAATCGAGCAGGACGTCTGGTAAGAAAACAAGCCCTTTGTAATTTTTACACAACCACTGAACCTTGAAGAGGTGTCAAACACAAGTCTAACACATTTCATCGAATCTTCACCCGATCAGAGAATCGAAATTAAAACATCGTGACGGAGAAGTTGTCTCCAAACGTGATATTCGAATGGTTACCTGAGGGGGATAAATCCGCAAACCGAAAGGTCAAAATCACACGGTTCGATTCGACTCCACTCAAGAGGAGTTAGGATGTCCGTTCATAACAGATCTCTTACCCCATCGTTTCATTACATCAGACTATTCCAACAATTCGGCGGTACCTGCGTGTCATTGTCGTCTGCTAAATGGCTCTTTTGAAATTCCTAAATGTATCATAGAATGATTACGCATGCATGCTTTGTGTTGGAATATTTGCACGCAGGGTCAGAGATATGACACATTTGTATCACGTGTTTGGCAAGCTTGACACGAACGCTCAAAAAAGGCACGGAATGCTCTAATCCCTCCATAAAATTTAGCTTTTGCCCTGTAATACGTTACCTCATTGTATAAATAGGTACTGCAGCGGTTTTAGCCTTGTTCGTGCATCTCATCGGATTGTGTGCATGGTACTATGTTCTGGTACTTTCAGATAATTGGATTTTCCCATCACTTCCTAGAGTTGCCGACACATTTTGTGGTTTCATTTTTGTGTCAAACCCGCTTCAGAGAAGTTATTAAGTTTTTAAGATTTGATTTATTGAAATTTGTTCGAAAACAATTCAGACCCTAAGTTGCTATTTCAACAAGAGTTGCGCATTAGCAAATCCATCAGGGGTTTCCTATCGTCCAGAGGCCGTTTGATAAATATACCTATCTAGGAGCTACCAGTACCTTTGAGAAGACATGAGGCGAGGGACCGATTTTAAAATAGATCAGTCGCTTTCGGATCCAATTATTAAAGGTGATACCAAACCCTTTGAAAAAAGTCGTGAATTTAGAAGAAGGTCTGGAAGTACTTGACGTAAGAATGGTAATTTCCTGTTCGGGAATTAACCTCTTTACTTGGTACTTTTTTCGCTCGGGGAGATTTTCGTGCTTTCAGATTATCCCTTCCTCTTATATGTACCGACGATAATGAGCAAATCTGGAAGTAATACCGGGCCGGTTAATTAGCTGATTTAGAGAAGACATAAAAGGGCCGAGAAATCCCCGCTGCGTCTGAATCAATTGGCTTAATAGCTCTTTGAAGACGTCTGTGTATCAAAAGGACCAGGCGGGCGTCTTTACACATTGCGTTCACTTATGAAGATCAAAAGGGCATTTCGTAAAAAAGCAGGGAAATTCCAAGATAATTAGAACCAGGTATTTGGATGAAGAGAAAAGCGTCAACAGAGATATACAGCGAAGTAGTTTAGTACCTAAATAGCCCGGGGGGGGGGGAATACTTCCTAGTGATAGGATGAGGGGGTTCTACTGCTGGATTGATTCGAATTTTCATGAATAGATTGGCTATATATCACGGGGTTACATTTTACATAAAGTTACTAGAATGCGGGCACACATTTTCGAGGTGTTTGGGGTAAGAAAATCCTGGTAAGTATGGATTTGAAAATGGGAAGATATGCAGTTAATGAGTTGTTACCATTTTTAATTTGTCAATTCATTTTAGGATAACTAACTTAATAAGGTAGATACATAAATAGAAAGTGACTAAGTCGGGATCGCAAAAATTACGTTTGCTCAGAAGTGACTAAAATGGGGTCTAATTGGCAACAGAATAGACTCTAACGTAGTAAGGGCTCTTATAGGCCAACGGTACAAACGCAGCAAAAATTGACTTAAGTACCCCCCTCTCCCGGATAACACTGTCGTTCATCTCATGTGCTCTTCGCACGGTGTCAGGTTCTCGACATAAACTAGAATCATCGTTGGCTTCGAACACTTTTCTGCTCATCAAGTCGTTAGTTTTCTTTAGGATAAAGCTCATGTTGTTATTAAAGATGTGGCAAACACACATTTGCACATCTAATTAGCACACACTTTTACTCGCATCAGGGACTTTTATGCACCCTAGTGGGTTTTTCATTGAAATCAAGACACACGTCGTTAAGTGGTAGACATTCGTTATGTATTAAATGAGCTTTACATGGATGATTGCTGAAACAACAAAAAATGAAATATTACCTGTGACATATGAAGAGTAGTGGTTCATCTTTACTTTAGCAGATGTCCTGTGCGTGTAATTACCACTTACTTTACTCTTCGATAAAAAAAAAGAAAATCTTACAGCTCAGGACGATACCAATCTACTATTTTATTGATTTTTAGACAAGTCCATTAACATCCCTTATTTATCACGGTTCTTCAAATATTTGTAGCAGAATGGTTGATCAAGAAAGCTTGAGAAGTGAGATTCTTTGTCTTAAATTTTCTGATTTTCAATCCAGCCGCGAGTTTTTGGCTGGTTTAAGAATCAACGAAATTCTTTAGGCGAGTCGGTGGATTAATAATTAAGACAGTTTTGACCCTTTTTTTGGTCTCCTCTAAATGCCCATGTGTGTCATAGTTAAAATAAAAGCTAGTTAACAGTACTTTTGAGTGGCACTGTACATGGTGCTCTACAACGTGGCTGAATATTTTTTGAATTGCGGCTAAAACTCTAAAGCATGACAATCTAATTGACTAAGCTAAGTTTATTTCTAAACCGTATGAGAACACAAGCAGAACATTCATTTGGTACTATCCTGTACTTAGAACATTTACAAAAAAAGGGAAATCTATGCGATTCCACCGTTACCACTTTGGGAAAATTGGTAATTTGGGGTTCAAGCAATGGAAGAAAGCGTAAGCAAGCCCCCCCCCCTTCCTCTTTGGAATGGTTGTGATGAGACTCGCTGCGTTATTCATACCAATTGGACATTTACCGCCGTTCAACTTTGAGTCATAACCTGTGCGCTCATTTTTACCGAGCCACACCTTCCTAAGAACTTTTAATGGTAAACGGATCATTTTTAACTTAATTTCATTAAATCCTTTTGACTTCAAAGACTATGTGACTCAATGAGAAGAAAAATTCTACATGATCCGCTTATGGAGGATTAGTTACTGTTAAAATATTTCAAATAGAACTGATGGATTCATGTAGATTTCGATAAAGACACTTGACAATGGTGGCGGTTTGCCTTTGTAACATGAATACCTCATTGTCATCCGTTAAAATCCGGAAAGAAGAAATAAAAACATCGACACACATCAGATCATGTGTATGTGCTAATGCTTAAAACATTATTATCCCTAAAAGAATGTTGATAAACTGAAAAGACTCTGTTTGGTTGAACAATGAAAGTCTTTTAACTTCTCAGCGAACTTTCTTGATCAATCTGCACTTGTTATTCAGGAAATAAAAGCCTTGTCCTAGTGTGACTTTCTCCGAATCTGTTCATCTTAACTCTGCCTAAATGTCAAACTTAAGAACCATGCACGCATTAAAAACTCTCTCCATTATCCCTCAAATACAATAACTATGGTGCGTAAACTGCCGAAGTTTACGTAAAATGTTTGTTGTTTATCAACCATGTTGCTTCGAGACTTATGCCCTTTGGTTCGGAAAACCTCATAAAAAATGTGAAATTTTCGGTGCTCGTGTGATTTTATTTTTTACAAAGTTATCATGATGAAATTACTCAGCGTACACAGTGAGATGACCGTGTCCACCTCGCAGGGTGATTGCTGACTTAATTCGTTCGTGCATTGGTTCAAAGGACGGTTGGCCTTCACTTCGTTTCCTTGCTCACTCGTAGAATTGTTTTTTCCATTCATCCTTCTTTACCAGTTTGCTTCCATGTTTATAGCTTGCTGGGTCTTCAAATGTGGGTTAGGTGCAACAAAATATGGGCTGATGAACGCTTTCATAAGGACATCGTGTAAAATCACGTTTTCCAACCACAAGATAACACTAATTACTCAGGTGCTCCATGGGAGGCCTGGCTTCTAGGACACGGGATCTTTGGTGTTCTGTTTCAAAGCGCCATCGAATTTAATGCGGGCGTTGTTCCGATTTATCACATGTAGACTGAAGGAACTATTTGAGAAGTAGTTCAAAACACTCTTTGAAACACTTCTGAGACATACGGGAGCCTAAGAACACGGAAATATGTGTTCAGTTAGAAATCATGCTCAAGGAAAAATAATTAAGTTATCCATTCGTTTCTTTACAGGCTGTTCTGGATAACATGAAGACGAAGTGCAAATGCACTGGTGTGTCCGGCTCTTGCACTATGAGAACTTGTTGGAAGACTGTTCCAGAATTCAAAGAAGTCGGAACAATTCTTATGGAGAATTACGAGTATGCCATTCTCATTCGAGCGAGCAACAGAAATCGCGGAAAAATACGACCACGTAAAACAAAGACAGTCAAACAAAATGAGTTCCAAAGAAATCTAGTCTATTACGAACCCTCGCCAAGTTACTGCAATAGAGACGACTCGAAAGGCATAGCTGGGACTAAAGGAAGAATGTGCAAGGTTGATTCTCTCGGAAGCGACAACTGTGACACTCTTTGCTGTTCAAGAGGATACAACAGGATACACGCTACTATAAAAAGAAGATGTCGCTGCCACTTCAACTGGTGTTGTTTTGTAATGTGTGACGAGTGCGTGGAGAAAGCGTGGGTGACCATCTGCAAATAGTAGCGTTAGCCTCTTCTTGACTCTGCTATAGTGTAAACATATCTATCACAGTATCAGTTGGAAAAATCCTGTTCCCGCTTCGTATTAGAAGACAGTTTCCCCTTTGAAAACTAAGTCTTTCTTCCGGCGGTTCGTCCACCTGAGTATCCATTTAGCGTTGCGAGGCTCCATTAACATTCCAAACTGACAGTCATTCTAACACTATATGCACGAGAAAAACTTTTACCAAATATGAGTTGAGATGGAATTTAAAGAATGTTCACTTATTTTGAACGTAATGTTCAGAAAGTACAAGCCATGCTATCTGTAGTTACAAGCGCAGTATAGATATAACTGTATGGAAAAGTTATAGTTTTGCAACCGGAGAACGAGAAACGTCAAGTTTTTTTCAACCTGGATTTTGATAATAAATGGTATAAAATCAGAAGACTTCACAGACCGGTCATTATTTATCGCCGGGGAAAAGGAGGGGGCGGGGGCAGAGGATTTTTGTTGTGTCACCTAAGGTTCTACAGTATTCTAATGGTTCCCTTACTGTCAGTCAATTTTCTATAGTCCCCCTTTATAACGATGTAATTTCCTCCATAATCCTCTGCTTCCCCCTCCCCCGCGATAAAAAATGACTGGTACCTTGATCTTGGTTCCTATGAGGCCATTTGCGATACCCTTATTAAGTTTGGATATCATTTAGAAACGAGCAAAACCTCATTCTTGCTTGAATTTGTTGTTGTTATAAACAAAGTACTGTTACCAGTGGAATGATCGTAACAAATTTAAGATAACCGAACAGATATGACTGGAATCTTAGATGAGAAATCGAGTGTTAGCAGCCACTATATGCACTTTGCAAGGTAATCTCCGCCCGCCCCCAGTCCCAGACCATTTCAATGTTTAGAGCTTCAGAGGGATTTTTGTATAGCATATTGACAACAGTGGGTAAACCGGGCTTGGGAAGGTGTGGCATCAGCATTTGCAAATCTCACTGCATCGACTGACTATATAATTTGTTATCGACACTGAATAATCAATCGCTTGTTATATTATCTTTGTGTGACTGAGTCATAAACTCATAATTGGTCATATATAATATATATATATATATATATATATTTTTTTTTTTTCAGTCGTGTATAGTTCTTCGATAACTTAAACTTAAATCATGTGTCTTCAATCAAACGAGATAATTTTACTTTTACCCTTTCAACAGTGGCTGTGTGAAACATATTTTGAGTGAACTGAAATTTACCCTGAGACTTTAATAAAGCGAAGATTAGTAGTCTACGAGCAGCCCATCCTTTTCGGCTAAGTCTGTCGCGCGAGCAAAAAAAAAAATCAGTGGACCTCTCAGAGTGAAGAGTCGTTCTTCCTCTTTTACGGAGCTTTCACGAGCGTAGGATAGGGTCCAGGTTGAGAAGCCATACGTCTTTTAAGTAAAGAGGCGCTCACACAAAATAATCGCTCTCTACTGAAACAATTTCGACCGTTGTCTTGTGCATTTCATGAAACAACCGACTTTCTTCTGTAAAATGATACTTTGCACGGGGCAAAAATTGCATACATAACACCAATCATAATTTAATTGATATTTTTTTGAACCTTTTTTTTTTTTAATTTTTTAAAAAAATTTTTTTTTAGATAATCAGGAGTTTAAATATGTAGTATACAGGACTTACCTCTTATCCGTTACAGATTTCTATAATTCGACTTACCTTTTAGTTAAGTTCTACGATTCTACTTCAGTCGACGATAGTATTCTGAACATTTTCGGAAACGACTAAGGCACTTCAGTTGTAGACCGTCAAACTACTCTCCACCATCAAGGCCAGCATCCTTCTTGATGACAACCTTCAGCGTTGGCCGGAGACCGCCATTCTCTCGTTCCTAAAAAGGTTTCCAATAGAGGACATTTTTTCAGGTTTCTTGTGTATCATTACTTGACCTGTGGGAGCGAGACGAGGTTGTCTGACTATGGCTTTTAATATAAGTTTCCATCGATTTGTCTGATTGCCATATGTTCTTCAATACCCTTTGTTCCTCGTTACCGGTACCGCCTAAGGACTCTCTAAGCAAGTTTTGTTAGAAAATGCTCAATAGTGAATTTGTTTAAATGTAAATTTGAAAGATCTCACACTCCCATAAACATCATCGGTGAACAGCTACCTCTGCGTGTTTTCAAGGTGGCTGTTATGGGAGGATTCTAATGTAAAAAATCCAATGCATCGGGGTAAATCAAATTACCGTCAATAACTAAGATATTTTAATAAGCCCTCTTTGATCTCAGGTTGGCTATTAGGCATACCAGCCTTTGAAAACGTTTTGAATAGGATCATTCTTCTCCAAATTATTCTTGGTGTTCTTTCACGTTTGTTGCTTTTTCGTCTTCTAAATTTCTTTTCCGAGACTGCACCAGATCCAGAGAGTGGTAAGAAACAGGAAGTTTCGAAAATGATAATCATAGTTTTTGTTATTGAATAAAAAGCCTGAAGCTATTTCTGCCAAACACTCACAAAAGTAAATGGTAATTATGAGGTCAATGATGATGAGGAAAAAAAAAGCTGGTAACAAATATCTCCCGTGAAGATTAAACATAATTTATTGAGATTTATTGTTTTGAGCGTTAGAGCTTGAAACCAGCATTGAATTCCATCACGAAATTATTTGTAATAATCGAAAGCGAGGATTTGAATTGAACAAGTTTTTCTTCGCCGTAAGCGACATTGTCGTAATAAATAATAAATGTTGTACTTTAGGGGAGTTTGGAAATTCGCTATGTAACCATTGATTTGTTTCTTTGCCAAATGTAGTTATGATGGTTCCTTAATGATCTCCGTATTGGTTTCTTAAAATTTCTCTGTCTCGTAAGCTTGATATTGCTCATAAATTATAGATGCTTTTAAGTTAAGTCTTCTCTCTTTTCAAAAGAACACGCCAACTCCTTATGAAATGTTCTTACAGAGAAAAGGAATCAACGTGATACTTTTTTTTTTTCAATATCTGACTCCAGCAGTTCGCCGGTTACTTTAAATAATGTCGAATGAACAGGGTTGGTTTCAGAGCAAACGCGTCGGTGTAAACTTCTGTGAGACGCTAATCGCTTCCTCCACTGTCAGTTAAACTCTCTGAAAACTCCATCTATATACATCAAGATTGTGTCACAGATCACGATTAAGAACAAAGTCATATAGCTTTGCCAATTCTAGATCAATCGCTCCTCGCTAAGAACGTGATAAAAATATATCATTAATCGAGATTTGTTTACTTAGACGGAAACACTCAAGAGAGCAAAACTATATTTAGAAGAGTTCATCACGAAGGTAAATTCATCTAAGTGATGTTTTACTAAAAATTTGGAAAGCAAATTTATTTACTTCTTTTGCTTTGTAACACTCCTTCATGAATTGTCATGTTGTGAAAAGACACCTAAGAAACCATTGCGTGTCATCTAAATTTTAAATTCATTCAATGCGGAAGACAATGCCCGGAGGCATGGCAAATTCCAATCATGTAGAACGATTTGATTGTTTGTGAAGAACTGAGGGGCAGAATTAGATATCACAACGTTATTCATTCACCTGTCAAGGCTCCAAAGTGGCAATTAAGATAAAGCATTGTTGAGACATCCGCCCTATTTCTGAAATATACCTTACTTAACATCGATTAAGAGAAGTACATTTCGCCGCTTATTATCTGGCACACGAGTCCGCGAGGTAAAACCTTGTTTAAAAAAGATTGCAAGAAACTCTAACGTTTATCATGCAAACATTTTCAGAGTTTGGAGATAAAAAATGAGAGGTTTCACTGCTTGGTTATCAAATTCCCTGTTTCCTGCTTCTATTTCATGCGACTTTGCAAAGTGTCGCCTAGTTTTAAATTGCTAAAATATATCGTTTGTCGCTCAGAACGTTTTAGATTCTGGCGATAAAAGATAAGAGGTTTCACTTGACTGGACCACACAGTAAGAAATACACTCATAACTGGCTGATACAGACTAATTTGCCTCCACATTGATATTTCTATAACAACTACGCTGAATGGAAACTCACTTCATAGAAAAGATTATAGGGCTGTTACTCGAAGCGTTTAGTCGGAGTTATTGGCCCAGTATCTGCCAGCTTTGTGCTGTGCCATTAACAAATAGGCAAACACTTGTACTGAACCATCACCATATTATCCCAAGATTTCCATAACATACTTTCAGAACTAAGTGAAATGAAACTACGAGAACCTTGTGATTGAGCCTGAGAAGATTTCGAGTTCAGCAAAGTACGAATATACTTTGTATAAGCAACATTTTATTCTCATCGTTATCTTGATTATTGCATGCCATTATTGGCGCATTTGGCCGCGGTAAAAAGTCATTGGAATAAACATACCAAAGTAATGAAAAAAACTCAATAGTTAATGATGTCTCAGAGAGCTAATTTCCGTCGTTTTTTTGAGAATTGGGCGTAGAATGCTTTAAGCTGAGAACTTTTCATTTATTTTTTGTTTGTCGTCATTACCTATTGATTAAAAAAGCTATTTAGCATAGAAACATCGACTTGATCCTTTACCAGACCAGATCAAGTTTAAAACTTGGTATTGTAAAACTAAAGGATTGTGTAGAGCTTCTTGAAAACTACTTCCCCGTGACAGGAGGCTTCCTCAAAATCATCCTTTATTTTTCTCAAAATGGATATGGAAATTGATTGTGTGAATTTCACTGCAATTGGGTCTACAAAGACTTCTTGTTACTCTGTATGTCTTTGGTGATTGAGATACTCTTTAAAAAGACTTGTAATAATCTACGCATCGCTGAGTCTGACTTTTAAGTCTATATTGAAGTAAATGGCAATTTGAACACTCCATCGTATACCCCAGGTGTGAAATAAACCGTCATTCATTGAAACCAGTCTTGCTTCGAAGTCATCCAACACATTGACCACTATCTAGACGTAGTTGGTCAGATGTAAAGAGTGAAAACACAAACATTAAAGGTTGCTGCGTTTATTGCCATTCTGTTTCATCTAACAAATTGTCAGCGAACAGCTTTAAAACTAATTCAGTGGGCATTGGTAAAAGTCAAAGACAAGCGAACGTGGATCAAAAAATATTTTCAACTGCATACTCTTTTGAGAAAGAACCAGACTTTTCCAGCGTGAAATTAAAAATGAAGGTCGATCATTCATATCTGTCAAATCCAGATTTCCTTTTTGTTACGGACTATTTACCTTTTTTAAGCTTTTCCAATTTAAATTTTATACCACACGCCACGCGGTTTTGTCTAACATCCAAATGATTTTTCATAAAAATCAATTAAAAAAAAACGGAGTGAGGACGGAGTTTAATCAAAGTACTCTACAGTTCTTTGCCTCCAGCGAAGTAGACATTTTTGATAGCGGACGGGGAAACGTTCTGGCCACTGAACAATTTTAATTTCCTGGTGTGGTTACAAATTCATACGACAGAGTTAACTTGACCTGTTTGGATGAGAAAGGGAGTACTTTCCATTTGTGCCAAAAATCCATTTCTTTTGGCGGGATAAAAAAAGGGAACTGCTTTCTAGTCTGACCTAT